TTGCTGCCTCGTACCACGAAGCTGCGTGAACTTGGCTTCACTCACTAACCCGCCTTGCCACCTTCCCGTGGTGTGGTGCTTCACAGGTTCACAAAAGGTCGCAGTCGTACTGATCCTGACGGATGTCCGAGTGGCTTCCTTGGGACAGTGAGTCAACGCCTGCAGCAGATCGCTATGAGTCGCCCCTTTTCTGGCTTTCGTGTCTCGTGCTGTCCAGCCCGGTATAGATCTGATCAGAGGCGGTAGGCGTCAATGTCAATAACGGCGTAGAGGCCGAAAAGAAACCTCTTTTGACCCAATAAATGTACACCTCTGTCTGATGACGAGCAAATACGGCTGGCGCGACTCAACGCCCGCGTCCAGACCGCTAAAGTGCCACAGTCCCCGCTATTTCGGAAGGGGCCCACAGCTGACGCGAGAAGCCTAATGCGACGTGCACGCAAAACAAAAACTCGAGTCTTCTTTCTCGTGAGGCTCTACTTTTATAAGCTTTGCTGTGCATCAAGCTTGCTGTTTGTCAAGCTTTGCTTGTTTTATTGGGAAAGATCATTCATGGAGAAATCGAGGATGGTTTCGTAGGGAGCTTTGGCCTGTGCCATGGAAGGGAAGGGGAAGGAATGCTCTTTCTGCTTTACTCTTGGTCGTGGCCTAGTAGTCATCATTAAAATTTCACAATTGGTCACAACCAGACGGCCAGGCAAGCCCCGAAGCTGCAGGTTCGTGTCGTGATAAATGTGGTGTAAGTGGTGGAATGAAGCCTTGTCGTAGACGGCGCCGCCCACTGTAGGGTGGCACAAATGACGTGAGTGCTGGTGGTGAGACAAAAGGCGGGCCGTAGCGATCAAGCGCTATGAATATAGGGCACAATAGTGCAAAATAGGGCACTTTAGATGGAATGGCAGCCCGTCGCGCATTCCACAATAGCACGTCGAGTCCAATGTATATGATTGCGGAGATGATTTAAAATCGAATAGCATAGACAGATTGAATAATATCCATGCGTGCCATGCAATTGTATCCTGTTCCAGCCTTTCAGGTAGCCTTCCGAATACTCTGAGAGGCTGACAGCGCTGCAGCCTCCTATTGGCTGGCCAGCCTTAGCTGAATCGTTCCTTCGCACTTTCCCCGACCGCTCGATCCAGCGCCTCCACATTTCGACCCAAACGAGCTGTTGCTGTGGTTATTGGGCAGCCCACTTTTCGCGCTTGTGAACAATCGTCATTGTCTTATTTACATCCTCCTGGGAGAGAGACCCTTTTTCTCGTGGACGTTTGGCATTGCATGTGCGACCGACAGTGGGTACAGACCTTCAACGGCTTTTCTGCATTCCTCACATTTGCAATCTCTCTTCGATCTATCCATTTTCATCGCATTTCCAGACGGTGCGACAGCCGACGAATTATCACCAAATTGGCAAACAAAAGTCAACAAAAGACGGCAACAAAAACGACAACATTTTGCAGCCAAAACTTCCACTCCCACCATGCGCATCCAAAGGGCGCTCCCGCCCTTGCTGCTTCTTGCTGCTGCAGAAGCCAAAGATATCCACGAGCTTCCGTCACAGCCGCAACAGCCGCAACAGCCGCAACAGCAGCAGCAACGACAAATCATCCCCTTGGCCGTCCGCAAGATGAGCCTCGACGAAGGCGAAAAGTTCTTCCCTGAGCAATACTATGGCTTCGACGGCGGTGACGACAGCAGCTTTGGCGCGGTATACAGTAGGATGGATGGCCTCGGCCGCTCTCTGGCCGCCCTCTTCTCGTTTGGCCGGCGGCCAGCGTCCATTGCGACGGAACCCGAGACGATCCAGGCGCGGTCCGACGATGGGCGGTGGCCCGTCGTCTCGAGGAGGACATCTGACGAGAGAAGCACAGAACGCTCAGACGACGACATCGCAGGTGTAGAAGCGGCGCCTCCCCCGACAAATATGTCCGAAGCGACGTACACCGCTCGCCTCTTCCCACAAGCCTACCTACCGGCCTTCCCCGTCCACCAGGCCATCGACGACGACAGCCGACGGCAAAGCTCGGTCACCGACAGCGCGAACCCGGCCGTCGAGCTCGTCCGCCGGGCGGCCGATGCGCTCGCCCGTCTCCAGCGCCGCCAATGGGGCTGTCCCACGGGCACCTCTAGTTGTGAGAGCATTGGCTACCCCTACAGCTGCTGCACCGACGACGAGACGTGCTACAAAGTGACCGACACAGGCCTGGGCCCTGTTGGTTGTTGTCCTGCGGGCGAAACATGCGGTGGTGCTGTGTCCGACTGCAAGTCGGACAGCACAGCGTGTCCCAAGAGCTTGGGTGGCGGGTGCTGCATTGCGGGCTATGTGTGCCAGGGGGTGGGCTGTGTCAAGAGCAGCAGTGCTGGCGCAAGCACGGCGGCGAGCACGGCGGCGAGCACGAGCGCGAGCGCGAGCTCGAGCACTCCTACATCGTCGACGTCGGTGGCCTCGACCAGTTCACCAGCGTCCTCCACTTCCACTTCCTCGACAGCCTCCACGACATCCGGCGGCAACCCGCCTGTCAAGCAGACGCTGACCACGACGGCCTCGGGCCTGCCGGCTGGCTACTGCCCCACGGGTTACTATGCATGTGTGGCGTCGGCTGGTGGTGGCTGCTGCCAGACAGGCCGAAACTGCGAGACCACGAGCTGCCCACCCGCGCCAGCCACGACGACAATTGTGAACACAAATGGCATTACGGTCGTCGTGCCCCAAACCGCCGCCGAGGCCGTGACGACATCCTCGGCAACATGTGCATCCGGCTGGTTCCTGTGCGGTGCCAATGCAGGCCCCGTGGCCGGCTGCTGTCCGAGCGGCTACGCCTGCGGCACGGCCAGCTGCTCATTGACAGGCGCCTCGGCGACAACGGTGCAGAAGGAGCTGCCGACGGCTGGCGATGGCAGCAGCACAAGCAGTGGTGTCAAGTCAATAGCCGGTATCTGGTGGCTGGCTGTGGCTGTGGCGTCAATACCATCACTGCTATTGTTATAAGCCAACTGCGTGTTTTTGTTTTATATTTTTTTACGGTTTAAGCATTGTATGTTGCGCATTCGGTGTTTATTTAGAGCGTGCGCTTGGGATTTTGTTTCGGGTGGCCATGACATATGGGCGGTGCTGGGCGTTTAACGGCGTATTTATATACAATTTTATATATTTTCTTCAGCTATGACCATCTTTCCCTCCTCCCCCCTCTCCGTCCTTGTTTTGGTTTGTTCTCGAACAGTCCAAAACGAATTCACCCGAATGTCAGCCTGGTGTCCACAAAGACGCCCACCAGCCAGCCTCTCGTTTCTCAAGCCGGCCTCACATGCAGGCTAAATTTTCTCCGCCGTTTACCTCTATTTCCTTTTTCCCGGAGGACGGCTGAGGCAAATAGAGTATGATGGGCTCGACAGGTTGCGCGTGTTGACATTTCGTCTGTTGTGCTTTATACCAAACGTTACCGAGAGAAGAGGCCACCACAGGCGAGATGAAGATTCATGGCACGGGAAAACGAGGGTGTGTTCGGTGAGGCAGCAGTATGACGAACCCACCGCACAATATGGGCCGTTCTATGGGGTGCAGATGTACCAAAGCATCGCCAAGAAGAACAAACAAACGTGTCTCTCTGCCCGACTTCACACCACTTTTGAATTACCCCTTTTCCCTTACTTGTCTTTCACATGGAGCATATGCATATTTCGCTTATCGGACGTGTCTAGTGCACAAGAAAATAACGAAAATAAGAGAAGCAGTGGATGCCGACCAGAACCAGGCGATATCCACGGCCGACATTCCCCATCCCCGTACGCGCGGGTCAAGGCTAAAGTGTAAAGATGAGACCTTACAGCGCACGTTATGAACCTCTATATGTGTCTTGGTATGTGTTTAAGTCTGTGTCGTGCCAATGCCTGCGTCTGTGTCGCGTTTCGTTCTCTTTTCGCTCTATTCCCCGTCGGTTTACCTTCTGACTTTCCGATATTCCGATGGAAGGCCCTGTTTCTTCGTCTCCCAGCGCCGTCCTGCACCACACGTGGTAAACAAGTAAATAAGTAAACAAGTCGGCCAGAGACACGACAAAATGGATACACCCGGAAGTCGCCATGTCACACCCTTTCACACTCAATATGTGACCTTGTTTCTTATCTACTCCGGCAATCCCTATAGTCTACTCGTTCTGGGCAGTGCATCAAATAGAGAGTGTCCTCTACGATAACATGCTTTTTTGAGATCGCCAGCATGTCGCAGCCCACTTTCAGAGTCTCGTGCCCTCGTTTCGCTTCGTTGGCTGCTCGCCTTTCTGGCTCCTTTGCGTGCCGTTCTGAATCTAGACTCTCTGTCAATTTGCCTCTCTTCCAAGACCTACTTCTGAATGGCCACTCGGTGCGACCAGCTGTCGAAAAACAAGAAGCCCTCGAGGCGGGCCTGATGTAATATTCTCCACCTTGTTAAGCTGCCTCTCGGCCTTTACCATAGTCCACTGGCTCCTCTCCCCTCTCCCCATGTCCCTATGTAGCCACTTCACGATGTTTACATGGACTGGCCTTGGCCTTTTTCGTCTAGATTTCACTCCATCCCGTTGTCCTGGGCGTCTTTTCCCTCTCACATTGCGTCCGAGCCCAGATTTTCTTTTATCTACTGGCACTCCCACCTTGTCCTGCTTACTTTCCGGCCTCTTCTGACTCTCCATCCTGCTAATCCTATCGTGAACTCACCGACTCTCCCGACCGGTATTCCCGTTCTCTTGGCACTCTGCGCCTCCATTTGCCCTCCTCATCAAATTTATCCTGTCTGCATGTCCTTTTCCCCTCTCCTTTCCCTCTAAATCTTGTATCTTATCCTCTCTTTTGTGAACTTTCTCCCCCATTCGATGTTTCGATTGCTCCTTCCCATCCTACTTGTACCCTTTTTATCGTCACTTGCTCTTTCCTTTGTTTTGTATTCTTCCCCTTTTCACGATCGTGCCTTCCTGGCGCCCTCCCGAGCAGTTGCGATGCAGCAGACTACTCGACATCGGCCAATGGCCTCTTTGCTGAAGGCCGTCGCCGTCGCCGCCGTCTCCATCCCAGTCGTCTTCTGCGAGCCTCTTCCTTCTCCTGCACCAACGCCCGTTCCTCTGTCCGCGCCCATACCCGTCGCCGGCGTCATTGCCGGCATCGATGGTCCTCCCACCACCACCGCCTACTCCGATGAGGTCTGCAAGCCCCCGACCGTCCACCCGTCCGATCCTTTGCCGCCCTGCGTCGAAATTGAAAACATTGAGACCCTCTGCTACCCCAACGGCACCGCCCCGCTCTACCTCGCCGCCCACGCCCAGTGCATGTGCCGCGGCTCCTATTTCCCCGAGTGGAACGCCTGCCGTCGCTGCTTGTCCGTGCACGGCCAGCTGTCCGACCACGACCTCGCGTTTTTCCAGAGCGTCGCTTCGGCCGCCTCGACATCGCTCTGCGGTTTTTTGACGGCAGGCGGTGGGCGGCCCACGACGACGCCCACGGCCATCTTCCGCGACCTGTTTACCAGCGCCCAGGCCCACCTGACGTCGGCGACCGGCGCGGCGGCCACGGCAGCCTCCTCTGTGGGCCCCGACGTCTCGCCGAACAATACCGATGTCGGCTTGTACTTTACCCAATCGGGTCCCGAAGGGCCAGGGTCCATCACGGGCAGCGCGACGGCTGCGACTGCAACTGGACTGGCACTCGCCACGGGGCATCCGCAACCACCGGGCGGCGCATCAGTCTCCTCTCTCGGTGCATCGGACACGTCGGCGCCGTCGTCAGGCTCGTCGCCTTCAACCTCCGCCTCCGGGTCCGCAGCCAGCCAAAGCGGTAGCGTCCCATCGTCGGCTGTTCGCGTCGACTCGGGAGCTCTACTCGTGGTAATTCTCAGCACCTTTTGTGTGTTGTGAGCTACCGAGGACGGTGAGAGACGGTCAAAACCTGTTGGGGACAAAGGTGGTTCGGTGTTATTTTGGCTTGGGGCTTTTCTAGTTCATGTTTTTCATGTCCTTCGTCTTTCTGTCAATCTATTTTGTGCTTATTCATACCCTTCTCGGAGAGATCATTGGTTGCTTGGAGGCCATTCGTTTTGTTTTCATTTTGCCGTTTTGCATTTAGCGTATAGTTCTTACATATTTTCTCATATGTTCTTACATCTTCTTAGAGGCTTTTACTTTTGTTAGTACATACTCTTTTACATTGCTTCGATATTTTTGACATTTTTAGAAATTGAAATATAGTTCTTTTTCGTTTCGTTTATCGTCCCTTTATATCCCGACGCAGGGTTGATTTCCTAATAGTTAAAACAGCCGTTCAGTTCCAGTTCAATCCAGCTCGCTTCAAATGCTACACACCACACACCACCGACACAATGCTCCGTTCAACGCCCAACCCCTCGCTGCAACCCTTCCGCTTCTTTTTTTGTCCTTTTCGACAATTCCCATATGATACACAATCTTCAGACAAAATTCTCATAGATTTTAAAATAAACATCGCCGAAGAGCGTCTACTCCGGCATGTGCTCGAAAGCCTTCTCCAGGTGCTCCTGGCAGAAGGGCAGCTTCCCGACGGTCCAGATCTCGGTGTCGGGCTTCAGGGCCTTCTTGTACTCGTTGTCGAGGGTGCCGGCCTTGATGGCAATGATGGGCGGGGCGGCCTCGGGGTCGTGGGCAATCGGCGAGCCGCAGTCGCTGCAGAAGATGCGGTGCACAGGCTTGCCCGAGCTGCCGACGCCGGCCCAGCTCTTGGTAGGGCCTTCGATCTTGAGCTTCTCCTTAAGGGCAACAAAGACGAGCGCTGCATATGGTTAGCACGGGCATGAAGCTTTCACGGGTCAGTAAATCAGTACAGAAGCACATACAGTACGTCGAGCCCGTCTGGCGCTGGCAGTCGTCGCAGTGGTCGTAGCCACAGACGAGCGGTGCGTCCATGTCAATCGTGTATGTGACAGCCTTGCACAGGCAGTGGCCGGTGAAAACCATGTTGGCGGTAGGGGTGGGGGTTGGTGATTGTTAAAGTGGAATGATAATGCTGGGCGATTTGGAATTTTGGAATGGACAAGTGTCGTCGAGAGCTCGCAGCGTTTCGTGGGGATGTTGGAGGGGGGAGATGAAGATGTAGAAGGAAGGAGGGAGGGAGATCGAGGAAAGAGCTATCTATATATACAAGTTGTCGGCGGCTCTTGCCTCTTTATTCGTTTCTTCTTCTTCTTCTTTTTTTTTATTTTATTTTACGGTACTCGACCACTTCTGCATTAATTGGGCGCCGTTATTACATATTATTACATGCCCAAAAACCAAACAAAAACTAAGAACACAACTCCCCTACCCTATGATCCGCCAATTGTCATGCTCTGCAGGAACATGACTCTGAGAAGGCCGAGAGTCAGTGCGTTCCCTCGTTCCTTCCCCCTGTAACTCCTTCCTCTTACACGCCCCTCCCACACACCTTCCCAACAAATGCCGCGCCGTGCGAGTACGTAGTTTGAAAGGGAAAGAGATCCCAATTCGCCGAAGTCAGGAGAGGTTGACGCAGTGTCAATACGATTGCGGGGTGGGAAGGAGCTATCGACTCGCCGACATGTTGGCGCCAATTGGCGGGTTGCGATACTCAGACAGCCCCCGTAATCCCAACAAAAGGGAACACGACACTAAAGTTCCAGCGTCTGTAATCTGGAACTCCGTCGCAGAGCGAGCCACGCTCTTGATAAGGCGACGGGCGTCGTGAGGCGACTAATGTACGTCGTATACGACATACTTCGGCCGCTATACGATGCCACTATAAATCGAGAAACACCCAAGGCGTTCGCGTTTTTATTACGGTATGTTTGTCGACGTCATGCTCCTTCCCACCCTGCGATCATATTTTTGCAGCTCCTTCACCTTTTAGTGTATGTGGCTGTTTCCTTTTTAGGAATTGGGCTGTTCTTTTAAACCGAAAATCACACAGGTGCTCTTTGCCCGTAGAATTTCCATTCCGCCCTTGCCTTTCGGAACCTGACCGGAGAAACACTGAAATGCATCAAACAGAGGAAAACAGAAAAGCCGCCGGCAGCTTGCCCCTCCTCCGTTCCTTCCTTTGCGCAGGGCGCAAAGGATGTCCGTTTTTGGTATGTTATGTGTTGTACTGTTTGCCCCACTGCTGGCGTGGGAAACAGGGGGAAGGAGCTTCTGTCTCTAGCGCGGCAGATCCGAGCTCAACATCCTAGCGTTGTTTCGCTATTTGAGTTTCTGTTTTTGGTTTGTCGTTTTTTCTTCACTGGGCGGCAGATGGAAGCCGAGAGGCGAACGGCAAATGGAAGTGCTCGTTGACTGACAGAATTACAGTTGCATTCCTATCTCTAACGAAGGCGATGTTTGCTGATGTAAGATATGATTTGAACATAATGGATTTGGAAAGAGGGCAATTGCTTCGCACCTTCCTTGGGGCACATTGTGTCGGATGTAACTGCCAATCCTGCCGCAAGGATCGCCGTGAAAGCAAAACGAAGGAAAGGGCAAGGGGAAGACTGCAGTAGAAAGAGGAAGCAGCAACGCACTCAGTACACCTGCTGCAAAGAAGTAAGACGGGCCCGCCTCCTATTTGTCACTTCCCCAATATCCACGTCTCTCGTAGTTCAAGATCGTTGTATCATAACATCATCTGTCAGTTAGGGCATCCGAGCAGCGATACGGCCCCCGATCCCCAAAGACCATGGTCACCGCTGTTGTTGTTTTCGAAACGCCCTCTTACTATAAACCTCACGGTGACGACCTAACATACAGCGGCGTCCATTGCGCAGAATCTCGCCAACCTTCCACCGGGCATCGACGGGCCGTCACCAGACACAAAAACTCGATGTCACGCCGCTCTTCTGACAGCTCTGAGATCAGATCGACGGTCGATTGTCAACTGCTATTTCGTCCGGCTAAAAATCAAAGTCCAAAATTGATAATACCGGCAGCTCGAATCACAAGCGATACAGCGGCGAATATCACAACAGAAAAAAGGATGCTTTTCCGGGTTGCCACGGGGTTATCACATAGTAGAATCACTCTCACAAGGAAGGCTATCAATATAGAAACTCTTGCGAATCGGAAGTAACATGCAGAGGAATCGCATGTGCATGCAAGCTGCAACTGAGATGCATGGAGCTCCGCTCCGTGGAGATAGGGCTCAGCGCCAGGAAAATAAGTATTTGGAATCGCCCAATTTGGAATTCCACTCTTTTGGCGGGGTCTGATAGCAACCATTCACATTTCCGACTAACAAAGCTTCCACCACAATACCGACTGCGAACAACGTGCAGCTGTTCCTGTGCAAGTTGCCACATCGCTAGCTCCGGGCGATGCCCTTATGGGGAATATGTACTCCGTTTTAGAGAACCCACCCCTGGTGTTTGCTCCGTATTCTCGCATCTGAAACCTGGCAATATCGTGTAAGGCTGCCTCTCGTCGCCAAAGAACGTGGTCTCCTCGGAAGATCCCGAGTTCTCATCCGCCGTCGTCCGGATGCTCGACCGTTTGTCCGGTCGGACTCGGGCCCTGGTTTCCTAGTGTTTGATACCTTGATACCCACTACGGCTTTCTTTTTTTTGCTTTTTATCATCATGCGGTCACAGAGATTAACTGTTCTGGCAGCCATATTTCTAATTGTTAGCATTGGCCCTCGGCGACCCCGTGCCATGATCCGTGCTGAACTGTACCAGAAAAATATGATTCCACATACCAGGCTCATGTTTGGCAATCGCTAAAATCAATAGTACCGATTTCAGTTGCATCACGTCGACAGTTGATAGCATCTGGTCTACGCGGTTGGAGACGGCAGAAAGATCGACATAGCTACAGAGGGCACGACCTTGTTGATTGGGTACGATACAGTCCTGATACTCGACAGCCGTGGAAGCAAAGGTAGGCCGACAATATGGGACGATAAGCAGAGGCCCGGCAGCGGTTTAGATGCTTCATTGAAAAGGCAGGATTCCACGCTGCGGATATGTATGCGCGCCGTGGCCTGCAAGTCGTAGGTCTGCATATGACCTCAACTGTTCGGGAATTCCACCGTATTTGCCATGATAGCCAAGACAATACTAGTTTCCAGAGTTCCCTACTCGGAACCACACTGGCCGTTATTCGCCCTCACGGAAGCTGATATATGAACATACGAGGCTAGCCTTGTCCCGATTTGGTTCTCCGAATGAAACATATCGCCGAAGAGTGATGTCGGTGGAATGGTACATGAAAGGAGATTTATTGAGACCACGGTTGCTGGACCAGCAGCAACGTAGACAAGTTATGGCGTGGAATTCAATGATGCACAAGATGGGATGGAATTTTGATTTCTGACATTTTTAAGCGACGTGGTCTTTACAAAATACAAAGGTGATGTTTGGTGTTTGCTTGCTGGATTCCATATCCGTACCCCCTGTAATTCGTACTTCAGCTGAACATGCACCACAACCATGCCTCCGCAGTAACAATATCCAACGAGTCTTTAGCAAATGCCGCTTTCTCTGTTTTCAGACGCATCCATACACGTGTTGCATCTAGAGGCCGAGTATGTAGAGAGCCCTGAGCACTAATGACATCGAGCCACACACCAAACAACTTACGACACCCATTTTCAGTAACTGTAGCAAAACCGTCGACCCGAAGGTGATGCGATCCGCTAAAACCAAGCTCAGCATCGTCCTGCAGTAGTCTGTGGTTATGGCTTGCGATTTGTGGCCGAGGGAGAGGAAATGCCCATCCATAGCGGACAGGCGAAAGCTGCGGAGATCTCCTGATACGTTCATCGGCACTGCGTCCGCCTTTGGCGACGACAGTACGGCTGCCGTACCGTCCTTGTTGGTTGGCCATATCTTTAGCCGGGGGATGGGAGCAGGCCGGCGCCGCAGCTTTTGGATAAGCTTGAACGAGACGTACGACATAGGATCCCGTATTTGAAGCTGTGGCGGCAGCGTCCGCTTGGATAGAAGCCGCTTGGCAAAGACGGCGGCCGCCGCTGGTGGCGAGATGTCAATGGTACAGCTCTCGCGCAACTCACAAAACAGTGCCTCCACATCATGAGCATACAGAGCGAAGCGCGTGTAGAAGACGGGCGTGAGAACACGGAATTCAATTACGTCGATGCCTTCTGGTGATACTTCCCCATTCACCGAAGCATCATGAGATTTGATGCTGGTACCCGTAGCAGCAGCTGCAGCAGCGACAGCGGCACCAGCAGAGGGCGACAACAGCAGCTCCGACCGCAAGCCGCGGATTCCACAAGAAATGTACCGTACAGCCAGCGGCTTGTTCCCGGTTGTGCCTGGGCCATCGTCGTCGCTGACATTGTTGACGAGGTGCCGAAGATACAAGTAAAAGAAGGCTTCAAACTGCGACTCGGTCGCGTCGGCCACGCGGCCCAGAGTCTTGGCAAGCGGCTCAGGTCGGAACCACACATGCAGCCCCTTTTTGAAGAACAAAATGCAGGCATGGGTGAGGATGCGCGGGAACGTTCCAAAGCCGACCCACCACCACGCTGCGAGGAACTTTGCTTTTTGCCACAGGGTCATTGCCGCCGGATCGAGCGATTGCAATTCCACAGGCTTGCCTGGCTCCGAATGCAGGCCAGCGACAATCTTGCCTTGCGCGTCGGATGTGCGCAGGACGATAGTGGCGGCGATGGGTCCTTTTCCTCGCATCTGGGGTCCGAGGGGGTCGTTGGCACGCAGCTGGTACGACCCTTTCCGCGAGTTGAACGGCGACACATGAAAATCTTTGGGCCACGTCTGCCGAAACGTTCGCGCCTCCTGTTCATTGCAGCTCCCGCTGACAGTTACTTCTGGCTTTGTTTCGGGTGTGAGATAGTACATGCGCCTCTCACCAAAGGTATTGTTGACTTCGAGGACCATGGCCGCCAGTGTCTTGTTGGCATTGTAGAGATACCAGAACGATATCGGGTTGAAGTGGTAGCCAAGAAAGCGCGGGGCCGTGACAAAGTATGCATAGGGATATCTCTCCGGATCTGCACCCTGCGATACAAGGTGCGCGTCGAGCTTGCCGCGTAGGCCCAGGTAGCCGCCTCCACGCTCGAGGTAGTCGTCAGCGTCGATGTGGAACCAGCCCTTCTTGTGCCGTTTTCTCTCTTCCTCGCTTCCTGCCGCGGCCACTGAAATTATGCCGCCGCAGACGCCGGTCCAGCCGACGGGCACGCCCACCACAAGGTAGGAGTACACAAATGAGTGTTTCTTGGGAATGAGCCGCGTATGCGTTGTGATGCACGGGAACAACAGAGGCTTCCCTGGCCCGGTCCAGGGATCGTCTCGAGCGCTGGTTGGCGGCACTAAATATTGCTGCTCCTTTGTCGCACCGGGCTTGAAGATGATGCCGACGACGGCACAAAATACCGATGCAAGTGCTGAGATCATCATTTTGTAGGAATTGATCTCGTACAAGACCATGGCGAGGTGGTGCTCTAGCATGTGACGGTCTTGTACAACGGCCACGGTCAGTGCTAACAGACTGTAAAAGGGGCTGCCATGGCCGAAGGCGTAAGCGATGCCGAGTCTGGCCGCAAGTGCAGACGAATGGTAAGATATGCTCGACATAGCGTGTGTGAGAAGCGTTCTTGATCTTCATCGACCGTCGTTTAGCAGACGGTGAAGTATAGACGCGCAAATTTGATGCTCGTGTCGCTGTCGTCCTCATCGAAGCTGCCGGCCACGCCGTAGTTTGAGCATTGTTGCTTGCTCTTTCCTTCCAATCATCCCATTTTTGCTTATTTTGCACTACACTCCATATCCGGTGCACAGATCCCTTCCTGACATCGGAGTTCGGTTTGTTGGGGGATGAAACGGCCTCGTCGTATTAGCTACTCTCTGAAATGACTAATCGGGAGATAAATAGTCACGTGGTCGGTCATTTATCGTGTTTTGGAGGCATCTCTCACTACTCTTACAGAAAACTATGCTTTTGGTATGTCGTAAAGAGGGAGCGTATCGACTCGCGAGTATCATGAACATCGAAAGGATGAACAGTCACTTTTTATGTCATGGTGACCGTAAGACGTAATGTCTTTTGGTCCAGTTACATAGCAGAAGCTCTGATACAGGAATAGGTTTAGTGTATATGCAATTATCCATACTATCTACATCAAACACACAGTGGGGCAAAATATGTGACTGGTAGAATCTGGTGGAAGATTCGCTGGCCAACGGCTTGGACCAAACACAGCCAGTGGCCAGGAGCCGCTAACAGGCCCTGAACAACGCCTCCGACTGACTCAATCGGCGTGTCCGCGCCACAGCCAAACATTCTCGACACTGCATTATGGCAGTGACTGCTTCCCTCGCATCTCTTAAGTCCGCATTGGCTCAGAGGGCGGAAAGGGCAAAAAGCGGGTCTAGACCACCCAAGCCCCTCCTGGGCAGCAGCGACGAACGGCGGCAAGGGTGCGTGCTTGCCTCTTTTCCCCCAGCCTTCGATCTCCCTTTCCGATTTCTCTCGTCATTCTTCACTTTTGACAAACCGTCAACCTACGACCTCAGCCTTCTCACGCGAGCAAATCAACATTCTCTTTAAATATCGACGCACCTCGTCTCTCTTTTCTCTATCTATCACTCAATCGTCGTCCCTCTTCGTCCCTCACCGCTACTATCGTTCGACCCTTTTTCTTCGGGTCGTCGACCATTTTTGTCAAATTCCTTTCTTTACGCCTCAACGACAAGAGCAACTCTCAGAAACCGCCAAGATGTCTATGGGCTGGAATGATACAATCAAGATCGGTAAGAGCCACAACGGCAGCGCTGTCCAGCGCGAGACGGTCGTCCGCAGCCGAGCCCAGCTGAACGCTGCGCAACGCACGGGCTCCATTGTGGCCACGGAGAAGAAGTACGCCACCGGCAACTCGACGTCCAAGCCGTCCGTCGAGGGCCAGCACCTGACCAAGGTCGATCGGTCAGACGACATTGTCAAGGTCAAGCAGATTGGCAAGGAGATTGGCGTCATCATTGCAGACCGCCGGTCCAAGATGGAGCCCAAGATGTCGCAAAAGGACCTGGCCGATCGGTGCAACACAAAGCAGGCTATCATTGGCGCCATGGAGCGCGGCGAGGGCCAGCCCGACCAGAAGGTTCTTGGTGCCATTGAGCGGGTGCTCAACGTCAAGCTGCGAGGCTCCGACATTGGCAAGCCCAAGTTTGAGAAGAAGAAATAAATTGACATACCCTCGTTGCTTTATTTCTGTCTTTGATCCTCCGCTTCCGAACTTTCTCTCCCCCTTGTCTCTCTCTCCATCGGTCACCTGATACGATGGATGGCTTTTACGAACCGCGAATGAAATTTCCAGACTGAATTTGAGCCGACGTCTTTTTCCACCCTACTTCGCTCTCTCTCTGCGACAAAAGCGTTTTTTGTTGCTTTTGATTTAGTTTTGGACGAAACGAAAATTCTCTCTTTGCTTCTCCCTCCTTTGATATATATCTTTTCATTTGCATGCGTGCACTCGGTATGCTGCGTGTGGCGGTTCGATTGCGCAAGATAGACTAGACAAGACTGCGGTGGCTGGGAAGGCTGCCCAGACTGACAAAAACTCCGTGGAGGACTATTCGGAGGAGTGGTCGCATATTGGAGCGGTAGCATGTTTCTTTTCTATTTGATAGACGTCTAACGGCTGAGTTTGCCTCTTGGACCGTTAACAATACAAACATTTACACTCCAAACGTCTGTCCAAACGTCTCAACTTGATATATCTCCGTTGTAAACTATTACAACCAGCCAGCAAGAGTATTTGTTGATTTTATGTTTGTTTGAATCATTTTTCGTTAAACAATAGGTATCTCAATGCTGTACTATGCTTTCCCACCCGTATACTAAACCAACGTGACCTCGGTGGTAAAAGGAAAAGAAAAGAAAAATAGAAAGCAGAATAAAAACAGAACAAAAACCGTCCAATAATGTGAGTTTATATATGCTGTCCCAACGCCACAAGAAAATGCAGTCCAAACCCGTTTGCCACGCCAAAGGTGAATAAAGCAGTCCCTCAAAACATCACCGCGTCAGGCTCTGCACGCGCTCCTGGATCATCGTCTTGCTTGGTACCACGTCTGCCAGCATAATCACAATCTCGCGGCCGCCCATGCTGACAATGGACAGCCACTGCGGCGCCACCTCCTTGGCCAGCAGACGCACGCACGACGCCGCCTCCTCGCGCGCAATGGGCATGCGCAGCGAGTCCTTGATCTTGCTGGTAATGGCCGTCATGCCAAAGGACACACGGCTGCTCTGACGCAGCGACGCGGCCGTGCACAGCATGGACAACACCTCGGCGATGTCGCCGACGCGCTGCAGGGCGGCACGGCGCTCAAGCTCCTCGGGGGTGGGCGGCGCAGCGAGGGCACCGGCGGCTTGGAGCTGGGCCCGCTGCATCTGGCGGAAGCGGATGCGGTCGAGGAGGTTCATGTGGGTGGCGGCGGTGGCGGCGTCCTCTGGTGCTGATGTCGTCGTCGCTGTCTTATCGCTGTCCACATCCATCGACTCTGCCTCGACAACAGCAGCAGCCACCGGGGCCTTGAGCATGGCCTCGTGCGCAGCCTTCTCTTGCTTCTTGAGGGCAATGCCGTGCATCAGCTCCTCGAGCGTGCGCTGGCCCTTGGCACGCAGAGCGGCCGTCTGCAGCACCGACTTGGACGCGGTAACGGGCGCCTTGGGCAGGGCAGCGATGAACTGCTTGAGGTCTGCCGCTGCTTTGGAGGAGGCAGACGCGGCCCAGCGAGCGCGCAGGTTGGCCTCAAAGACAGCGTTGAGCCGGTCGGCCAGTGTGCCCATGGGGCCGATGTCGATGTCGTTCTGCATCTCGATGCAGATCTTGCCACGGCCATAGTCGGCGAGGAAGAGGACATCGGCCACCTTGTTGTCGGCGGCGGCGGCCAGTGACACAACACCGAGACACCGCTGCACGTCGTCGAGCGTCACGCTCCGCTTGCCCCAGGCCTGGGCCACACCCGGGCAAAAGGTACGAAGGTCGACAGGGGCATTGGTGCCGTGGTGGGCGTGGTGGAGTGCAAGTGTCTTGGCAAATGCATTCTGCAGGCGGAGCAGGTCGAGCAGCTCTAGGGGAAGGGCCTTTGTCTTTCTATTGCGTGCGGCGTCTTCCGACTCATTTTCGGACTCGCATGGTGTGGTGGGAGCGGTGCTGTTGGGCCGCGGCGAGGACGACGTGGAGCGTGGTGATAGAGGGAACGAGGTCGAGAGAGAAGCACCAAAGTTGCGGTTCAGACGGGCAATCAGGTTGCCGCTGTCGAGCGAGGACGCCGGTGTCGATGCCGAGTCACTGTCGCTATCCACAGACGGGAGCACGACCTCCGCCTTCTTCTGGGTGGTCCGGGTCAAGTGATCTGCGACAGATGTCGTCGCCTTAGTGGTACGGCGAGCCCGTTTTGCTGCGGATGGCTGTTGCTGAGAAGGACTTGGAGAGGAGAACGTGGTCGTGGAGGAGGAAGAATCGGAGTCAAGAGCCTCGGCGGCCCTGCGCTTCCGCTGCTTGGTCGAGCTAGTGACGGGTGCTGATGGAGAGGTCGGCGCAGTCTTCTTTGCTGTCTTGGGCGTCTTGGTTTTTGGCTGGGACGCGGCCGTTGCTGCTGACGGCAGTTCAACTGTGATGGCCTTGTCGGCGAGGAACTGCTCAACAGCAGCCTGGCGACGGGCAGGGATCGTCACTAGAGGTGTGGCGGCAGGAGCAGAAGTGGCGGCAGCAGCCTTGACGAGCGAGGAAGGAGCAACCCGCTTGGAGACGCGGCCGAAGGTATCGATGCTTCTGTTGGACGGGGCAACAGCAGTGCCGGCCTGCTTGGCGGAGGCAGGAGCAGCCCGTGATGAACGGGAGGGACGGGCCATTTCGCTCTTTCTTGTTTTGCAAGTGGGATGAGGCTGTGATTTTGATTTGAAGATCAAACAACCTCGCGGGGACGTGACTTGCTGGTAATTATTGGGGGATGAAGATTGCGTTTCTGGAAGCGAGCGGAGAGGTGCGATGCAGAAAGGAGCACAGGAGCAGATGACACAGGTGGAAATGCGATGAGAGAGAAAGTATCGAAATGGAGAAATGAAAGACGAACAAAAAAAAAGTTGTGAGGTGAACGTAATGTCGAACGAGAGATCGATAAAGAGTGGTGGGAGAAAGTGAGCAATGCTGGGCAGAACGAAAACACCCGGCCAACAGCATACGCAAGGGCGGCTTGTGAAATTGGGACGTGGACCGTGTGGTGCTCCACAGCAAATAACGCGCTTTGACGCGTCCATCGTGAAAACGCGTTAAGTGGTGTGGAGCGGGTGCGGGCCGCGTTTGGTGCGTTTTTGGTGTATCTTAGCTGGCGTTGGTGCGCAGTGGTGCCTGATTGGCGATTTCGGCGAGTTTTGGCGACGATTTGGCGCCAGAGCTCAACAACGCGAAACTCGTTCACAACAGCAAGCAGCCCCTGTCGGAAGTTCGACAGTGTACGTGTAGGTAATTAGTAGATCGTATGCCATTTCACAATACAAGACAAAATAGCAGTCAAGACCGGTTGCGGAATCATGTGTTTATCCATGTGCATTTATGTTCTTTTTTTATCTTTTTTTAATAAATCATAGCCCCCCTACCTAAACTATCTTATATCTTATTCACCAAGCGGATGTATTGAGCAGTACGGCAACTTCCATCAAGTAAGGGTCAAGGATTCTATCAACGCCCTCCTTGATCCACGCGTTGTTCCACCCGGGACACCAAAGGGCCTTGCAGTACTCCCAGTATTCGGGGAAAAGTCCAGAAAACTCCCAATCCAGAATGGCGACGACGGTGGCGCCGCGGACCAGAATGTTTCTCGGGCTCAGGTCCTTGTGCGTCAACACAATGTCGTGGTCATGCATAACGGCATGCTGTATTCTGCAAAGCAGACGCGTGACCGGGCTGTCTTCGTCTTCGGCTGACCAAACTTTTGCCAGGGCATCATTGAATGCGCCCTCGTTGGCATAGGGGCCGTCGTCCACGTCGTTCATCGAAAAGATTGGGTCGTTGCAGCCAGAACCGTCGACGGTACCGATAAACGCGCCCTTTATCTGTCAAAGCTCTGTGAGGTAACCACGGAGCTAGGTCAGATGCGCATTCTTTTGTTCGGCGGTGAGGTCCTCCCACACGCTGTCCAGTCGGTCGCCCTTAATATACTCCATGACTATGCAGACATGGCTGGAATTGGCATCTCGGTAGACGTTGTGTACTTCCGGGCCCGGGATGCTTGTGTGCTCAGCTACAAACTTCATGGTGTTGGCCTCTGCTTCACGCACTCTGTCGCTGGATTTGAGGACCGTCTTCATATCAGGGAGCAGACCAGGCATCGAAAATGGCGGGGCGAGTTTTGTTTCATGGTCAAGTTCTTCCTTCGTGATAACTCGTGCCATGTCGGAAATGGCCATGGATCGGCGTTGTAGAACAGATTTGAGAAAATAAATATTGTCGTTTATCCCTCTTGGTTTTTTTGTCGTTTTGTAGATAGATTTGATACGAAGACGGGACCAGCTGACACTACAACGCAAATATGCTTATATGCTTATCCGCCGACGTTTGACGAGCTGCAAGGGCAGCCTAGTCCTATCAGCCAAGCCAACATATGGGACTAAATGAACATCTCCAATCTCACACAGCCCAAACTCCATATGCCGCACAGGTAGTCATGGCTGACACTCTCTAAGCGGTATTGATCAATGTCTTTCCTACGCCCTTATGGCGACGCAACCAATCTTGAGCCGGCCGAGGCCTGCTCCCGCGCCGTTTGTAATCGAGCCGACCGCTCCCCATACCCACACATTCATCCTCCTCCACGGCCTTGGCTCCAATGGCGAGAAATTCGGCCGTGAGCTTCTGGAGACGGGGATCGGCTCTGATGGCCTCGACCTGCCGTCTCGGTTTCCCGGCGCAAAGTTTATCTTCCCCACGTCCCGACGTCGGCGCTCGACGGCGTTCCGGCGGTCCATGCTCACGCAGTGGTTCGACATCGCCTCCCCCGACGACCTGTCCGATCGCAGCCACAAGCAGCTCGCGGGGCTGCGCGAGTCGTTTGCCGAGATACTCGCCATCGTGGAGGCGCAGGCAGATTGCGGTGTCGACGCGGGTATCCCACGACAGAACATTGTCCTCGGCGGACTCAGCCAGGGCTGTGCGATGGCGCTCATATGCCTGATTGCGCTCGAGCGGCCCATTGGTAGGTTTGTCGGCATGAGTGGCTGGTTGCCGTTTCAGAAAGAGATTGAAGCAAGAGCGGGTGCCGGAGCAGCTGCTGTAGACAGGTCGGAGCTTGAAAGTGTGCTTCTTGGTGGAGCAAACACGGCGAAATATGGCCCCCACAGGTCCCTGGCCAATGGTATCGACTACGTGCGAGAGCTGCTGCAGCTGGAGAATGTCGTCTCTGACGGCACACACGCGATCCTGTCAACGCCCGTATTTCTTGGCCACGGCACGGCCGACGACAAGGTCAAGATTTCGCTTGGCGAAGCAGCGCAATACACAATGTGCCGGCTCGGATTTGACGTGGCATGGAAAGCCTACGCAGAACAGGGCCACTGGTACAAAATCCCAGACGAGATCGACGACATTGTGGCCTTTGTCTCTACAAAGTGTCGGTGGATTGGTGACAAACAGCCGGATATGTCGGGGAACAGTGAGGCATAGGATCCTGGGATCTTTCAGAACAGTTGTTTTCAAGAGAAAACGGACAAAAAGGGAACAGGAACAGAAAAGGAATATGAGAAAAATGAAATAATCATCCAAAATAAAAAATCCAGACCAAAAAACGGTCAGCAGCGGGTATTCGCCGGTCGTCACGGACCCAACTACTAATCCGCCGATTATTACGGGCGGTCGGGATCCCGTATTGCCTGTATCTATGGCCGTACGTGACAGAAGTGTGTTCGACGGCAGATTACAAAGTCTATTCACGTAGTCCGCGGAACAGACCCTCACAATGATATTAACATATTAATACTGCTCACCAGCACCAGCACACGGCCTCCGCATGAGTCTGTGTCTGTTGTGTTTTGCATGTTTGCAGCGTCGACCGACGCTTCCCGTTTGTACGACGGTTCCTTCATATCACAGGTTGGTCAATATCAACGAGGAAACACAGGAGCACAAGAACAAAAGAATAATAAAATAAAATAAACCCCCCCAAAATGCGGCGACTCCCTGAATGGCCTGGTGGATAAGAGGGCCCTGAGGAATGTCATGAGCACAACAGTCTGCTCTTAGTTTGATAGTGTGTTGATGTAATAAATTGCAACTGCCAGCTATGTCACTAGATTCGTTGATGATCCCAGTCGTGTTTATGTTTCCCAGACTCCTCGCATCTGCACAGCAGCACCCGAAAATGAAGGACCGAAATGATAAAAAAGGAGTGTGGTAAAGACAACATTAAAGAAAGGAAGGTGATACAGAAACAAAGGAACAAAGGAACAACGGTATTAGGGGGAGTAGCGCTTTTCCTTCTGGTCCGGGATCGTCCATCGTCGTCGCGCCGTCTTTTTGTGGTTTGTTCTGTTTTTTTTTCACAAGGCCAAAATTAAAAAATCTCTCACATGTCGCTCTCCATCTCGTTGAATGGCCCTTCTTGTTTTGCATCCCCCATGTTGACGGTTCCCAGTAAACAAACAATATCAAGACAGACAAAAGTCACAGAAACACAGAAACACCGTATGAAATGCGAACAAAGGAAATGACATTGACCATCGTGGCGACGATGTCGATGTCTGTTGATGTCCGTCAACGAATCTGACGACTTGGACACCTATCGGCATCTTCGCCATCTTGTCATCTCGTCGTCGTCGTTTCAATTCCGCAGAGGCGAGTGGGCACTCTTCACCATACTGGGCGGCAGCCAGTGGTGGTCGTTGCGGAAGCTGACGGGACTGGACGGGGGCGCGGCCGGCACGGTGTAGTCGTGCTCGCAGATGGCGTACCGGGGCACGTCGGTGGTGATGATCGTGTTGCCGACGCCATTGTACGAAAGAGTGGTTGTTGATGACGGCGAAGACGTAGGTTCACCATGGCCACCATTGCCGTTTGTGGGTGCAAAGCTGGCCAGGATTTCCGTCGAGGTGACGACCTGCAGGTCCTTGCGCTGGGGCGAGACGGTGACGGGGGTGAAGATCTGGCTAGGCATGGCTGGCGATGTGGTGGGCGGCGTGGTAGAAGGTGAGAAAGAGAGAGTGAAAGAGAGAGGAAGAGAAAACTCTTCAAAGCTTAACAGTCAGCGTTTTGAAAAGTTTGCTGGAAATGTCTTGGAATCTTGTCTTGGTCGTTCGGTCGAGAGGAGAGCGAGAAAGGCAGATCCTCGCGGCCTTATTATACTCACCAGGATCAGTGTGTCTTGGTCAGGTTGAGGCCGTTGACGAGGGATCGAAGGGTGTGACGGAAAGGGCGCGGGGGAGGAAGAAGGGTGAGAAAGGGTCGACTTTGAGTGGACCGGATGAGTAAACGTGGTAGATGTGGTTGATGACGATGAAAGAAAACAGGACTGAGTGAGAGAGAAAGCTGAAAGACGAGAGAAACGAGGGAGAGACGAGGGACTGAGACGGCCGTGTAATCCGCCGGGTGTTTCTGACTCTTGGTGACGATTTCTCCTTCTTTTGTCTTTATCGGGTCTTTGACTGTCTCTTTTCTGGGGATCCGGGGCGTTTGGGGGATCTGGGGATTCCCTCTTGTCTGAGATTGTCTGGGATTTCTAGCCCGTCTGAACTGCTGTCTGGCCGCTTTTTGTTGATCTGCACTCGAGAGGTCGATCCGGAAGGGTCGTGAAGCATTCGAGACACGATGGAGAGCAGGGAAGAGACGGGACTCGAGGGTATTGGACCCGTGGAGACGAGGGGATCAAGTTGGGATGAAAGCTGAAAAGAAGGCGGGCAGAGGACAGAGTATGAGAATACGTTCCAAGTAAAAAGTGACGATGTTGCCGGAAAAGAGTGAAAGACAGGAAAAGGAGTAATCGGCCTAAAAGAGTATGGAGGACGTATTTGTAGGCAAGCACGGCCAGTTTGCGTGTACGGAGTACTACGGTGTATTTGTTTTGAAATAAGGGTGGGAAAGAGGGAGAGAGAAGGCAAATGGGGGCAATGGGGGCAAACGGTGGGGTGTTGCTGGGGGTCAGAAGGAGACGAGGGAGACAAGCAAAGGATAGATGGGGAAGGGAATGGGAAAGATGGGGGAGCGAGAGGTGACGTCGCGATCGCACAGAGGGAGTATGGAGGACGAGTATGGAGGACGAGTATGGAGGACGAGTATAGAGTATAGAGTAGTGGTGATAAATAATAAAGGAGAGAGAAAAGATGGGGCGTGGAGGAAAGGGGGAACGGATCGAAGGGTATGGAGAGTCGTTTGGGGGGGTGTAAGTAAGCCGAGAAGAGTGAATGTGTGTGCGTTTGCGTTTGGTGTTCGGTTTGTTGCTGATGATTATGATAAAGAAAAAGAAAGAAAAATTAAAGAAAACCAAAATTGTACAAGGTATGTCGTGTCTTGCAGGAACCTAGGAACAGCTTCCCCGTCGCCCGTTGGCGAGCCGAAGAAGTGCCAGGGAGGGCGAGACGTTTCTTTGTTTGTGCCTGAGCTGGGACGGGACGGGGCCTTGCTTGTTTGGTCTTGATGTGTCACTCGGTATGAATATGAATATTCCACGTTGGATGTTTTTACGTTTTGCCTTTCTGCGTTGTCCCGTACCTCCTTCGCTCCTTCCACTGCCCCTGCCCCACGTCCTTCCTCGTCTCCTTTTTCTTTGTTTGGCCCATGCTGTGTAACAAAGTAACGGGGGCAGGAGCAACTGGCAACTGGCTGCCGGTGGCGGAACACGAAGGTAATGAGCCGTTTCCATGTTTTTCAGGTCATCCCGTTCTTTGCTCCCTTGTTTGTTCTGTGGTTATTTTTATTTTTATTTTGTAAGACTTATTATTCTATTACTTTGCTTCGGTGAGTTGATGGATATTTTATGGGGTCAAAGTATCCATCCCGACGGAATTGACGGGGAAAAGGGGAAAGGAAGGACGAGAGAAGGGGATGGAAGAAATCAAACAGGTCGGCAACAATACTAAAACGGTCTCCTTTATTTTGATTTTCTGGGGAAAGCTCAGAATGCTCCGTAAAAGACTGGGGCAAGTGCTGGGGCAATGGCTGGGGGAGCTGGAAGCGCAGGAATGTGGTCAAGGAGTCTGGGCGTGTCCGAATCATCAGTGGAGACACACCCTTGCGATTTTACCGAAGAAGAAACGAAGGAGATTCCTATGGAGTGGCTCTGTCGCAGTCGGGAACGTCTCCGGCGGAAGCGGTAGTGGAAAGTAGGTGTAACGTGGGTGTGAAGATAAAATGAAGAAGACGAAGAAACGAAGAAACGAAGAAACGACGAGAATGACGAAGAAACTTACCTCTGTATGGATGAGTTCCAACGCAGCTTTCCTTTCTGATTCTTGCCATCGCCTTCGTCACTTTTCCATCACAGGACGTTCTGGTTCTGATTCGCTTTCTCCTTCTATCCTTTCATCTCTCTCTTCCAGTCACTTCTCATCACATATTCTCCATGTCTGATTTGTCTACGGCGTACGGCCATCCTCTTCTACGCCGTCAGATACGTGCTTTGTCACGCCATATTCGTGCACAGCCTACTCTCGTCACATCTTTTCAGCAATTACAGAGTGTCGCACGAAATCCTTTTGCCCAGTCATCACTCGCCCTGCTGCCTTGCATATACACGAGATTGCCCATCAGTGTCACTCCAGTCACTGTTCAGCCTGGTAGCAGACACCACCCAAAGAGTGCTTTGCGAGCAGTCACTCGTACTCCACGCTGAGCACACGAATAAAACGACGTTGCGAATGAGGACGCGCCGTCGCCTCAACCACTCATCGAGCGACCCGCCACTGCTCGTCACAAAATTCCAAAGGGGTGAGGACAGCGAGCAGGAGCACAGCCGTAAATCAGACCAAAGACAAGCCAAAGACGAGGCAGACGCCAAAAAACTTGAATCGAGCCGGCAAAGAAGCGGTCTGACTCCTGTAGCAGCTTTGCGTTCGTCGGCGCTCAGGCCCGGCTGATCGTTTATTCGTTTGTTTCGTTTGCCCGACCCAGCCGCAGTCCCAAGCTACAGCGGCTGGCGGCATTTGACTGGTGGGCGTCTTTGTCGAGAGACGAGACGGATGACGAAGGAACGGTATGAAAGTGAGAAAGTAAGAAAGTAAGAAAGAGTAAAAGAAGTAGGAACAGAAGGAAGTCAGAGAGAGAGAGAGAGATGCGATTACTGGGACGTGGACTGGCGTCTCACAAAATGGCAACAACCATCGCCAACATGTATCTTACAACAGCTTGCCCGAGGTCGCTGATATCGTTGCGAACATCCTACAATTCCAGTCATCCTCTTGTAGTCTCTCGGATGCAACAATCTGGAATACTGCGCCGCTCCTTGTCGGCTCTCGTCAGCATCATGAACAAGCACGAGTGCGACATGCATATACGAGAGCGTACGGCGTATCTTTGGGCATGGACCGTCTTTGTGGAGCACGGTATCAAATCGCCTCCGGGGTAAAAGTCAGCACGATGAGGCAGATAAAGTCTGGAGTATTAATTACTCGGTGAGTCGGTTGGTTATTGCCAGCCGGAATCGACGGCCAGATTCAGAGGCAAATTGGAGCATGAAGCGGCTGCATCATGCGCTAAAATGATCAAAGGGGGCGTGCCGTTCCCCATTACAGCGCTAGCGTCTAGTGGTTGCTGAGCATGCACCGGGCCTGGTTGGGCCTGGTTGGGCCTGGTTGGGCCTGGCCTGGCTATTTTAGCGTAAGATACTTGGTGCCTATCGTGCCTGTAATTCGTGCCATAGCGCCGGCATCAGCACCTCTTGGTCAGGTTCGGCAGTCACAGCACAATGAAAGATGCAAAACAGAAAGAAAAACATCAGCATCGTCTTGGACAAAAACGTGCAACTGGAAGTGCTTGTGAGAAGCAGACCTACACTTGTGTACACCGGGGCCAGTCACAGAAAATGACAGGAAATCGGCAAGGGGTTGCTATCACAGAGCATGTCACAAGGCACAGCTTTCCGCCCGGAGAGGCATTATTTCTCCAGTCTTTTATTTTTATTTTTTATTTTTTTTATAATTCGAGGCGGTGACTTGAGTGACTGCGAGGCAGATTTGGATGAACATTGGCTGTGGACTGGGTTACGTTGTGTGCACTGTGATGCGCTGAGTTGGCATGGCGGATTGTCGGAGGTGTATATTTTCAGTTTCTTTGTTTCCATTTTGATTTCTATATTTTTTTATCCGTGATATCTTCCCGTTCTACCTTTTACCATCACTTCGCCTCATCTGTACTCCGTTCGTATCGTTGATCCGTCTTTGTGCTGTGAGACACGCCTTGGTCATCGCAAGTGGTTTCACTGGCTCAGATTGCTTTATACTTGCCTTATTTTCTTTCATTCTCTTCGTCTTGTCTCACATCTACCAAACAGTGTCTCACTTCACATCTACAACATACGCCATCATTTCGCCCAAAGCAGTGGTTTATCCCCGGACTTGCAATCTCTGGCGATCGCCCGTGTATCTCGATATCATGTACTCCGCTTTGATCATGTTTCTTTTTCTGCTTGTCTATGCTTTATATGTCCATTCATTTTACTCATTATTCATATCCTCATTCGTATCATCCCATGTCCCGAAGATCGACGCGAAGTGAGGAATCCAAGACATGTAGGAATAATCATTACAACGTCAGTTTCAACGACCGGATATCCGCACGCTCCCTCTTCTCCGGACTTGACTTTCCAAGATTAAAGGGTGAAGAAGTGAAGTGAAGGGACAATGTAAAAATCGACAGAAGAGGGTCAAGTATTGCGGAGAACTCGATGTGCTGCCGCCCCGCCATCCTGGGCGTTCATCATGTTGACGCCGTCTGTCTTGCACCAAAACGCGACAAATGTCTCTCCACGTCTGTGAGCCATAACGGTTTTTGTCTCGTCCCTTTTCCGCCGATTTCCCCAACATCCTTCATATCGCCGATGTCGTTGCCTGTTACCAGTTGCTGGTTATCCAGACAGTCCCGGCGAAAATGCCGTTCAAGGACGCTCAAGGTTGCTCAAGAATGGGCTGAGATGCTGTGTGTCATGCTTGGTCCTTTCTGTACTCTGTACGACGTACGGTCTGAAAATCTCGTCAGTCATGGCGAAACAAGAGTGACGGAAGAAGAGCTCGACAACGAAACTCGTGCGATGGATAGAGATATACTGCCACCCTTTGTACGCGTCGTTCCGGGACAGTCTGTGTCCGGAGAGAGGGAGGCACTTTACCAGCTGGCAGTGCTTTACCAGCGGGCAGTGGGACGCACCTCCTGGTCAGCTGATTGCGTCGTGGTCACCTCTGGTGAGACCCAACTGAATATCCATAGATTCATTGGGTGCAGAGTTGGGCGGAATATGACTTGACACTTATGTTCGAATCGCCTGCTCGTGATCCTCTCTAACTTAACCCCTATCCCTAAGACCTCTGCCATCTAACTCCATTCTTCCAGAGTATCCGTAGATAGTATAGTATGTGGATGCTCTGGGCCAAGTGTTCGTTGGCACGCCAAAGCATAATCCTTCATCAATGCCAAGGCCTCTATATCACGGCATTGTGCCCTCAACGTAAAAGCGAGGTTGCACATACTCACTAACGTTTCGGGATGGTCGGCCCCGAGTATCGTCTTACTCATCTCCATCACTTGCACCTCCAACTTCTCGGCCTCGTCCCACCGGCCTTGATCCCCAATCGTCAACGCAAGGTCGGCGATACTCGTTAACGTGTAGGGATGATCAGCCCCGAGTATCCGCTTACGAGTCTCCATTACCTGCACCTCAAGCTTCTCGGCCTCGTCCAACCGACCCTGATTCCAAAACGTCGACGCAAGGCTGCTCATACTCAATATTGTATTATAATGGTCGGCCCCGAGCTTCTCCATACTCGTCTCCATTACCTGCACCTCCAACTTCTCGGCCTCGTCCCACCGGCCTTGACGACAAAGCGTCATCGCAAGGTGGGTTATGCTCCTTAACGTGTCGGGATGGTCATCCCCGAGTGTCGTCTTACGAGTCTCCATCACTTGCACATCCAGCTTTTCGGCCTCGTCCCACCGGCCCTGATGCCAATGTGTCGACGCAAGGTGTGCCATACTTTGTAACGTTTCGGGATGGTCGGCCCCGAGTTGCGTCTTGCGAGTCTCTATCACTTTTTTATACGGTATTTCTGCTTCGTCATACCGCCCTTCAAAGTAGAGGCAAATACCATACCTCCATAATAAGTCAACGTATTCCTTAACTTCTTCGTTGCCGCGGCTTACCCCGAGCGTGTGATATGTATGCGGCATTAATGGCCCCTATACCTCTCTGTTTTCTTGGGTGACAGGCGTTAATACCTCCACCAGCTTTACGATGGCTCTGCGGGTCCAACCGGTCAGCAGCCCCTCTTTCCGGAGCCAGTTCCTCGTCGCCAAGTGCACCAGTCGATGGATATTGATCGCCGAGTCTGTAGACCGTTTCGCGACGAACGAGTAGCCTTGCAAGGTACCCATCGCGTCTGTCACTTTCTTCTGTGACGGGCCGGGCGGAAGAAGCGACGGCGGGATGTCTTTTGCATCTATGCAAGCCATAAAGGATAAGTAGTCCGCTGCAAGAGGGTCGCGCTGCCGGACCTGCGCGAAGGATACAAGCCAGGTTGTGGCCACTGGGTTCTGCACGTCGCGATATCTCCATTCGTCTTCAAAATCCTCGCTCAGGAGATCAATCACCTCCTCTTCTTGCTCGTTGAGGAGTGGCAGATAGTCTCGTAGGCTGATGTCGTTCGCGTTGATGTATGCCGCGGCTTGAACAATGGCCAGCGGGAGGTACGTGAGCCGCGCAAGCAAGGCCGCTGTATCTTCTCGGTTGTCGACGAGGTCCTTATCAAGTAAGTAATTTCGTAACAACTGCTTGCCGCCGTCTTCGTCCATTGCTGACATTTCGATTATGTTCCGGCCTGTAAGTCGTACTGCCTCCTTCTTAACACGCGTCGTAAATATGATGGATCCGTGCTGACTTTTGGGGAGATAATCAATCAGGCGGCCAGACTCCCCGGCCGACTGGTTAAACCATATGCTGATGTCGTCGGCGTTGTCAAACACCAAGAGCCACCGGCCTGCACTCTCTTTACTCAAGTGGTCCCGTACGAGTGCCTTTGTGTCCGCCTTGTCGCTCTCGGCGCCGGGTATGTTGAGCTCCTTGGCGGCAACGGCAAAGGCCTTTTCGATGCTTTCTCGGCTAGTGCAGGGCATCCACAAGACACAACAGTCCTTGAATTCGTCTCGTATATGATAGGCCATGGCTAGTACCAGCTGTGTCTTGCCGATCCCACCCAGGCCGGCGACGGCCACCTTGGCTGTCTGCTCCTCCTTTGTGAAAAGAGCGTCACGAAGCTTTTTGAATTCCGACTCGCGGCCCGTGAAGTCTGGGTTCTTTTCGAATGGGACCGACCAGGCACGAACCTTTGCTGTGTGGATTAACGTACTTGCGCGTTGATGTTGGGGTGGTACTTTAGTCTTTTATTAGTACGAACAAGCATAGTAAAACCCATAAATTATTATATTCTCCTCAAACAGTAGTTACATACTCGTGGGAACAACGTCTTCGACTTTGTAATGGATGTCGGTCGTTGTTTCACCAGTGGAAGTCCAGGGAAGCATCTGCGGCGGTCTCTGAGAACCGGCCGCCCCAGAGACAGAAGTCGACGTGGGAGTCGAGACAGGGATCATGGATGTGGATGCATCTGGACCTGGCTCCGCCTTCGATGCTAGTAAGGCCCGGACAACGGAGTCGATTTGGGCGGACACCACCGTTTGGCGCATATAGCCAGTCGTATAGGTTCGCACATTGGAAATCTTTTCACACTCGGCCAGGTCGATGTTGTCGAGACCACGGTCGACGCTGAAGCGGAAGTACGTGTCGTGCGCCTCGCGGTACCGCGCCTGGACGCGCTCGGCGGTTGTATCCGACTCCGTGGCCATCTTCTTCAGCGCGTGGACCAGATTCGACCAATTTGTCTTGGGTGTGTCGGGGAACCGGATCTCGCGAGCGAGGCCCGCTCCAATGCTGACAATACAAGCCACCTTGCGCCGGGGAAACTGTCGTCGCGCTTCCTCGAGCACCTGTTCGATGGGGTTGTTGTACCCGAGCCCGCCATCAACATAAACCTCCTCCTCGCCCGACTCCCCAATAGCAATGGCATCAAAATACGCGGGCGCGGCCGACGTGGCACGACTCGCTTCCCAGATTGTGCAGTCGTATGTGGCATGTTCGCGTACTTTGTATGTTCGGAAGAGGGTCGGGCCGGCCCGAGCCTGGGCATCTTGCTGTAAGACAGCGGACACGAACCTAAGAGATGGCACAGGGGAACACGTTAAAAAGGGCGAACGGTAACAAAGGCGAGGTAAGAGAACAATGGACATGAAATGAATCGACTACGAGCTGCATCACTTACACGCCGCAGGCGGGTTTGGCGCGATCCAGCATTCTTTCCGACTCGCGCCCAGGACCAAGCGTCTTCTGGAGAACCTGCTTCACGGCCATTTCCAACGCTTTCCCGTCGAACTTGGACTTGTCGAAGAACCTTTTGATAGAGAAGACCTCATTTGCGATCTTGACGTATTCCCGCCTTGCCTGTGGCACCGAAAGGCGCAGGCGTCCGAGTAGAAGAGCAATAAGGCTGTCGTAGAGGCGTTAGTATTGGTCCACAGTTACTTGTACGTACATCTTCCTTTGTTGCATGGGCCTTACCCCCCAGTGTACGTGCCGCCGATCAAGTCAAAAAAGTCGGCTGGGAGAGGGTCGTCGTTCATATCCAAATCGGTTTTAATTCGTGACATAATCTCTTCGAGGATAAGAAGCTCAGAGAGGCCTCGGATGCCTCCGCCATCTGCATGAAATCAGTTAATATAAAGGGAAGAAAGCCACCAGTAATAGTACCGAAGCTTGCCACGAAAGAAATACGCACCCAGAGCGAGCAAGCACAACGGCTTGTTCGACATTGTAAAAACGTTTCACAGACACAGAAGACAGCAGTTTTGACTTGATGCCGACATGAACGAGAGACGGGGACAAATGGGATCGGAATACGAAGGCGAGAAAAAGACACCTTAAATGAATCGCTTCCTCATCAAGAGCACTGCCTCGATGTTTTGTTCCGGTACCCTCCACTACACTTTTACACGTTTACGATGTACATTTCACCAGTTCGAAATTTCTGCACCTAAATTTGCGCAACATTGCCTCCATCACACGCCCTGACCGTAACTATTGGCCACGAAAGGCCCGGCCTGAAACGGTGTCGTGTGCTGCAGGGAGATGCTCTCACACGTCTTCCGTTTCTCGTCCTAAGAAGAGACGAATGAAAATGGGCATCTAAGCGCCGGTGCATGCGGTACGGCAAAGGGTCGAGCCGGATGCGACGTTATCTGCTTTGGTTGGCATCCCCTCTCTTTACACGGGAACATGGTGCATCATAGCATGTATGCAGAGCCTATGACGTTAGGATTCTAAATCCCTCAGCGACATTGCTGGAATTCTCAGCGGCATTGCGAGACAATGATATATCCATAGAAATTAGTGAGTATTGGGGGCGTCTTTGAGAGCATATCCCGCCGCTGCTCGAGCGTCATATCGGCGGGATTTTCGTGACTGCAGCCCTGCAGTCCGATCTCTGGCCAGCGTCGCGAATTATGGCGCACTCCTTGGGGGTTGCCTCCAGAGAGTGGAAGAGTGGCCGCGGATAGACCACGACGCCTTGACGTTATATTTCTCAGAGCTTGAGGACCCGGCGTGTGCCGATGTGGCCAGCCCAGAGGCCGCGGCTGATGTCATATACAAACCGTTTCCACAGAAAGTACACCACAAGAGGATGGATATTGAATCGCAAACGTCGTGTCTGGCAAGGGACTGACCGGAAAATAAAGTGCCATTGTAAATCTCGTAATAACATTTCAATCCTTTTATTGTTCTCGCTGTCGCCGTATGCCTCTACTTCTTTTCCAGACCGTACGCCTTGACAGCTGTGCCGGCCCACAGCATCGCCACATCGTCTTCGCTCAGCGTCGCCATGTAGCTCAGGTACGCCACCACGCTCCGCCACTTGTTCCACGCGCCCACCTCGCCCGGCGTCCGCGGCTTCTCGGGTGCCGGGGGGTCCTTCTTGCCGTACGGCAGCGTGCACACCGGCCAGTCGCTGGCAAACATGAGCCGCGACGCCCCAAACGCCGCCAGCAGCACGGCCAGCCACGGGTACGTGGCCGCGAAAAACGCCGATGGCTCCTGTGCGTAGAGGGCCGGCGGCGCTTCGGTGAAGAGGCCCGACAGCTTCATAAAGATGTGGTCCGGGCTCGTCTTGGCCAGCGCGAACATGGTGTCGCGCCACGCCGCGAACCCGCGGTCCGCGTGCGGCGTCAGCACCGTAATGTCGGGCTTGGCCATGTGGTTGACAATGAGCACCACCTTGTCAGCCTCTGCGACCCCGCTCTCGGGCCCGTGCAGCTTCTCGACGAGTACCACCGCCTCGGCCATTTGCGTGCGCCCGCGGCGGTGCTGGTCGATGCCCAGGTCAAACGAGAAGCCGCGGCGGCCGAGCAGCTTCAGCGACTCGACGAACGCGTCCGTCAGCATGGTGCCGTGCGGCTTGTCCTGCACCAGGTAGCGGAAACCGCGAACGCGCGGCCAAACCACCGGGCCGGCCGTCTCCTCGACTTGGGCGAGGTAGCGCTCCAACGCCTCGGGCCCCGCGTGGACCGGCGCCCAGGGCACAATGGCGAGGCAGCGGGCCTGCGTCGAGGTGACCGACGTGGTGGCCTCGGCCTCGGCCTCGACAATGCGGCGCAGGTAGGCCACCTCCTCGAGGGGTCCTGTCCAGTCGTCGCCGTTGGTGCCGTTTTTGCGGTCGGTCTCAATAAAAATGTAGCCCACACGGGGACCCGACGGCGGTTCGTCGGCCTCAGCTTCTTTGTCTCCCTCCTCGTCCTCCTTCTCCTCCTTCTCAGCCCCCTCGTCGACCTTATCCGGCTTGTTGTTGATGGCGTTCACATAGTCGCTGACGTTCGACGGGCGGTCCAGCTGGTCGCCTTTCTTGAGCCAGCTTAGGCCGTCCAGGGCGTCCGCATCGTACAAGTGGATGTGCGAGTCCACAATGAACGGCGGTGAATCGTAGGAAGACATGCTTTGTGCGTGTGTGGTGCAATCTATCAACTATGCAAAGAAACAGTATATCGTATGTCGTTGTTGGAGACGAATTGCCCCTTTTCCGCTTTGTCGATGCGTAACGGTCAGGCCGCTGGATTGGGAAGGCACGGCGCGGGGTTGGCGTCGCGTTTCTGCCCCTGTTCTCTTTGTATGGCTTTGTGTGCTGGAGCTGGCAGTTGGCGGCGCAGATCCAAAACGGACAGAGCGACCCCGCTGTTCAGGGGCGAGGTGTGCAGAGGGAAGGAACAAATGAACAAAGTACCGTGACTTCTGTTTTTAGCAAAATTAAAACAAGAGAGGTAAAAAAGGAGAACAGAAACTTCAAAAGATAAGAAATTTAGAAATTCTTGATTTCTCCTCTCAAATTGAAAACGTCTCTCTCTGTCGTCCATCAAACCCTCCCCACACGCACCCATTTACACCGAGACCCGAAGCTACATCCCGCCAGCCACTTTTTCCTCTTCGGATGTTGTTTAGCACCAACTTCCCCCCAAAACCGCAACAGGGCCGTCGCCCGCGGAAAGCTATGCAACTTTCGCGAGTGGTGCAATCTTTGTAAGTTGACACCGCTCAATCGGGTAATTCTGTGCGAGACGACCAGTAATTTTGGGCAAGGCGAGATGGGCAAGGCGAGGTGGGCAAGGCGAGGTGGGCAAGGCGACATGGTCAAACGTCCTTTGTGGAGAGCAACGAGAACCAAACTGTGAAATAAGACACGGCAGCATCTGAACAAGTCGGTCTAACCTGAGACCGCATTTGCCATCAACACCGATCATCTTCATCGTCACAATTGTGGTCACAATCAGTTTGGTGGAAATTAACGTTGAATGGATAGTTTCAAGCGTCCTCTACCCATCTCGAATTGTTCTTGACAAGGCGGTATCTTTTATGGTATCTATTGGCTGGCTCAGGTGGCACGTTGCTCACTCCTGAGGCCAAGAAACTATTGACATTTGTCCTCGGCAGGTCTGGTTTTCTTTTTTTTTTTTTTTTTTTTTTTTTTTTTGGTAAAAAGAGTGTCCCCCTTTCACAAAAGAAAAAGAAACAACCAGCGCCTCGGCAGATTGACAGGGTAAATATTATCTGTCCAGTGCAGACATGGCAAGTCCACAATTCAGGCAGATCAAAGAAATGATGCTTCAAAACAAAAATGGCAAAAAGAAAGAAAAACAACGCAATGGCAAAATGGGGAGATGAGACAAACGAGAGGCAGAAACTCTTCTCGAAAAGAAGGTCTTGTTTCCCGTGAGGGGTCGCAGCATCGACCCAGCTTGTATTGGTTGGTTTGGGGAGGTTGGCAAAAAAAAAGGAAGTATGAAAATGGGGAAGGTGTGTTGCAGGGTTAAAAAAAGAGACACGAAAAGCAGTTTTTTTGGTCTGTTTTGTTTGTTATTTTCTCTGGTGTTGTCGTCAAATGCTGCATTAAAAAGGGAAAAGTGGCTGGCACGCGTCGACGGCTCGCTTTCAAGAAAGCAAGATGGTCAAGCAAGACGAGCACACACAAACTTCTCTCTTGAAGAGCTTGAGTCTTCCAAGTGGCAAGACGGAGAAGCAAAGAAAGTAAGAGACAACGGGACCAGCTCGTTGGTCTTTCTTTCTCGTCTCTGGCCACAGCGGAAAGTTGGGCAAGGAAGAGGAGTGCAGTTCACGTCTCTTGGCCGACCTGTCGTGTCCATCAAAGAGGCAGGACAAAGACAGGATCCAGTCGAAGTGCGTGTAATGAAAAATTGATGGGAAGGCGGTTCGTTCTTCTCTTTCTCTCTTTTGAGGCAATGAAACAAAGCAAAACTTATCCAAGCGGACAAGGATGGTGGGCAGGCAATCCGGGTGGAGAGGACTTGCCGTCAAATCCTTTTCTTACTTTTTCTTTTCATGGATTGAATTTTTTTTTTCTCTTTTCTTCTTCTCTTGATTTTCGTGTTTTTTCTTCATTCGTTCATTCCCTTTTATACTTCGTCTCAAAGGGCGATTTGATTTTTATTCTTCTTTCCGCGGCTCGATAAGGAGAGAAACGAGCCGCATTAGGGTCAGAGAGCGACGGCAGCAAAAGAGGCAGACGCTCGCGAGGGATTCCCTTTGGGGCGATGGCAACAACAAATGATCCTGTCGATGCGAATGCCCCCTTGCAGACAAGCAAAAAAGGCGCGCTTTCCAAGTAAAGCGGCGCGGTCCTTTATTTGTTTTGTCATGAGTTTGGTGTGGGGTCATTCTTTCAATCGTCAAAGTCATTATCATCGTCATCTCGTCTCATGGTTCATCATCGTCATCATTAAAGAACAGCAACAACAGCCACAGCAGCAGCAGCAGACGGTTCATTCACGAAACAATGATGCCGTTGCGGCGCGACGAGGTGGCGCAGACATCCTCATCCTCAGACGACGAGCACTCGTCCTCGTAGCCGCAGCGGGTACCGCCACAGTCGATGCGGACGCGGTCGCCCTTGCGGGTGATGCCGTAGCGCTCGCAGGTGCAGGAGCTGATGTCGGAGCTGGGGGTGCTGTAGCCGGACATGCTCGAGTGGGTACCCGAGCTGATGCTGCTGGCGTCGTCGGACGAGTAGGACAGGTCCGAGCCGCTGAGGACACCGTAGTCGGCGGTGACGTAGGCAGACTCCTCGGAGTACTCGTACTCGTACTCCTCCTCGGCGATGCCGGTGGCGGCGAACTGCTCCGAGAGCGCAGACATGTCGTAGTCGGCGGTCAGGATGTTGCGGGTGGCGTGGGGCGACTGGGGCTTGGGGCACTTGATCTGCGAGGTGGACAGCGGGCGGCCCTTGGGGATCTCGGAGCGCGAGCTGCGCTTCTTGTCCTTGCTGGAGTGGCGGGAAGAGGACGACGACGACGACGACTTGTGGGACGAGCTCTTGGAGGACGACGACGAAGACTTGGCCTTGGGGACATCAAGAACGTTCAGCTCACGGCCGGTGGTGGGCTCGAGCGTGGACTTCTCGCTGGGGTTGTGCGACGCATGGTAGCCGTCGATGATGTAGTAGTACCAGTAGCGCTGGCCGGCCTCGAGGGTCTCGCCCTGGAAGCGGAAGGTGCCCTTCCACGAGCCGGACTTGGAGGCGGACTTGTCCTTGGACAGGGGGAGCTGGCCAACGTAGTTGTCCCAGGAGCCGAGCAGGTGCACGGTCTTGACGCTGGAAGAGACGCGGAGGTTGAAGGAAAGCTGGACGGACGACATTTTGACTGGAAAGAAGGGTTGGTTTTGAGTGATAAAAAAGGGGCGTAAAGTCGAAAGAAAAAAGTCAAAAAAGTAAAGACGAAAAAAATTCAATTAAATTCTGAAAAGAATGGTAATCTTTGAAAAAAGATGGACAAGTTTTTCCTGATTCAATGAAGAACAAGAAAATAAGACTTTGAGGTCGTTCTTGTTACCGGAACAAGAACTGCGAGTTTGGTTGGGCAAGGAAAAGGCAGAAATTTGTTTATTAGAAAGACACAGAACGACCGGCGAACTGAGTACTTTTGAGATTTGTGTGCTGTCGAGTGACTGTGAGAGATTGAGAGTGAGAGTGTAATTAAGGATAGAGACCGGCTCTAAGGGGAGAGTGAGAGAGAAAGCGGAAAGAGGAAAACGAAACACGGGAACAAACAACGACTGGCCTTTGAAGATGAAAAACTTGCTGAAGAAAGAAAAAGAGAAGAAGAGGAAACCAGAACGAAGGCGGGCGACAAGTCGATTTATATAACGGGTTGGCAGGAGATGAGAAAAGGCCGGACGGCAGGCGGCCAGGACCATTCGGTGGAAGGGCCAGGCGTCCGTTTGGTGGCCGGCTGGCAAGGCCAGTCCCACCCACACCTTGAGACGACGGTCGTGGTTTTACAGACGACATACTTTCTAGTCTGTCACGTCGCTCTCTTTTCTTTTTCCCGTCTCCCATTCGCTCCCTGTCCAAGACCCGCATAGCCGCCCCCAACTCTGCCAGTGCACACAGCATGCATGCCAACGCACGGGCAACGGCAATGTGGTGGGGAGTCAGTTGATGAGCATGGCGGAATATGTCTGTCGAAGAGTAACAGGAAAATGGCTTTCTCCGGTCATCACATTGCCGTACTCTGCATGCAGCGTTGCACGGCCTGCACGGCGCGAATTCGAGAGGTCCACAAGATGCTCAGGTTATGTCTGCAGACGAAGACAAGGATCTAGAGTTGGGAGGAGAAAGAGACGGAGTGAGGCCCGACGAGAGTGCTGTCTTCAGAATAAAATGACATGCGTGACGAAATCGACCAAGGACCAATAAGAGGATGTGGCAGGGGTGACGGATGATAGAGAGGGGGGACGCAAAGGACTGGCAAAAATAAAGAAACAAACACAAATGTGTGTCAGGGTTTGCTACGTCTAGATGGGCAAGCAAGGCCTGGATTTGTCGTCACATTGGCAAAGACGTGCCATCCAGCCTCACTTCCAAAGAGGAGCGCCGGTCCCGACTAGATTGATATCACAGCGGGAGGATGGGCGACGAGGAGCATGGGACAGGGGCAACGACAGAGGGAGCAGGCTAGCAAACAAAGTGATCGCAGACAAATAGAAAGCAAAAATAAAACACAAGTGGAAAGCCAAAGAAGACAAAAAAGAACGACGGGTCAAAAGGGAGCTACTGCACGTTCGGCGGCTATTCGAGTGCTGTGATGGGGGGCCAGCTGACAGGGGTCGAGGTCGACGGTCGAGCAAAGGCACGGACGGGAGAAGGAGAGGGAGGACGGAAAGGGTGGTAAACCTGGTCGTGGTGCAGGATGCAGTGCTGCGTAGAAGAGGAGAAGAGACAGAATTAGAAAAGGATACAAGATACGGAAGCACAAAGATACAAGGAGCAGGCAGGCATAACATTGGCTGCTCTTGGTCCCAAAAGGAAAGAGGTGATGCAAAGCATGGGGAAGGCAAGAGCGAGGGCGTCTAACTCGGCGCTGCCATTGGACGGTGCCCGCCCAGTGTGCACCTTACCAGCAGGGGTTACAGCGGCCCGCGGATTGGCTGCGCGGGAGATAGATCCGCTTTTTGCGGTCTCCATAAAACATTTGGCCAATCATGGAGTAGGAAAGTGTAAGTCTCCATATTTCGCATTGTGCTTCATCACACACACTCTCTCTTTCTTTGTCTTGTTTTCATCAACATGCATGCAACTGTTGGACATTATTCGGTCTACTTTCCATTTTGTCTGCATCGGCAGAAAAATCACAATCAAGTTCTAAAGGAGCCGAAAGTTCGGCGGACAAGCAGAGCACAATACAACGAACTTACGTTCTCCTTTTCGGTCAGTTTTTGACAAAAGGGAAGGAAATAACAGGAGAGTCCGAGAGAATATGAGACTAAAAGCGGCCGCAGGTATGCGGCCACGGTCCGACGGGTGTCGCGTTGTGTTGTGTAGTTAGATTTGGGCTATCTTTTGAGCCACTTCCTCTATTTATGGAAGAAAAGACAGACGTGGCCAGTCAGACAGGCCAGACCAGTATCTCGGACGGAGACAAAAGAGAAGAAATATGATGAAAAAGATGAAGAAAAGCTGTAACAAACAAGCGAGAAAGAGATGAGTAGGATTCTCTGGACAATTCTCATCATTTTTCTGCCTTTTTCACTTGTCATATATCTTTTGTTGGACGTTGTCTTGTTACCAAGTGTTGCCTCCGTAGGCTTGTCGACTTTGCTTTGTTTGCCATGAATACTTCCACTTCCGTGCGAGAATTCTTTCAAGATCCTTCTCGGCAAGCTCCATGCAGGCGATGTCTAACGGGCGGGTAGAGCGTGCAGCCGATTGACCAGCGTCTTCGTCTCCGAAGTAGAGCACGCCCAGGCGGCTGTCACTCCAGATGTGTTGTTCATCCCCTATTGCTGACAACACGGTCGTACCCGGCACAAAAAACAGCGTACCACCATTGAGTGGGAATAATTTACTTTGTAAAGAGGAGCACTGCGAGGGAGAGTGAGAGAGGCCTATTTTTGCCAAGTGGAAGAACTCACAGGCCGCTGCATCTGTGCTCTTGGTCCTGCAGCTGCATCGTCTGCCGCGCGTGTCGGTTTTATCACGAGACCAGAGCGAATAATGGAGAGAAACCGGAGAGAGGACTGCGCACGGTCTCGTCTGCTCCCTCCATTTCTAATCTAATCGTTAGAGCCGGAGGATGACGACCAGAACAGACGAAAAATAGCCGCCGCTACGACCATACAACAGACTGGATATTCTCGGTCTCTGGTCTTGGAATGTATATCTTGCCTGCCGAAACGCCCCCGGAACAGTCCTCAGTCCTCGTGTCAAGAACCCAGACCACGCTTTCAAATTCACATTCGGCTGTTTGTCTGTCGGGTTTCTTTCCCCTTCTTGCATTTCTCCACTTTGACAATCGTTGTCCTCCTCGCGCGTCCTTGAGTTCGGCACCTCGCATGACCATGTTCCTGCACACCATCGCGAGAACAGAATCTGCACAATGTCTCGGTTTTCACTGTTCCTAGCATGTGATGACGAATGAATTGTCCAAAGCGTCTACCTTTACGATGGACAAAGTGCGGGTACGTGGCCAGGCATACCACGGCACATCGTCGTTTCCAGCTTCGTAGTGCCGGCGGGTATGCACGCAATGCGTTGTCGTCACATAGGGGTAAAAGGGGGCAACAACAACCAACAAATAAGAATGAGAAGAAGAAAAGGACGATGAAGAAGAGGGACTGTAGACAGGTGATGTAAAGCATTGAACTTTTTTTTTTTAAAAAAAAAAAAAAAAAAGTAAGGAGGAAGAAGAAGAACACGGAGTAGAAACGTTTGGGTAAGTATAGGAAAATATCGGTAAGTCGACTGAAAGTTGGAAAGTTGTCGAGCATTAAGAGTTTATATTATGATAAAGATGAGTCGTTGTATTGTCCTTTGCGAAATGCGGTCCTATGCCCTTGGATGCGAGGGGTATTAACGTATCAACCATGCAAAATGCTCCGCTGTGTCTAGTCGTACATATCCCGTCGTACATATCCTATCGTACACGTTTTTGAATTTTGTGATTGTTTCTGGAGACCCCTTAGAAGATTCCCAGCTCGTCACGGGGTTTGACCACCTCCTGCTTCTCTTCGTCGGCAGCCTCTGCGGGTGTGGCCCCGTCTTTCAGAGCTGCTTCAAAGGCCGCCTCATGATCAGTCCTGGCGTTGGCAACAGCCTGCGTCGAGCCCTTGAGCAACGACGCACACAACAGACCCGTCGCCACGCTGACGTTCAGGCTGTCCACCACCTTGGTGCCCGACCGGTTGGCAATGCTGACCTCCACGTCCGCCTCGCGCCGGATCGCCCGCGGCAGACCCTCGCCCTCACTACCCATCACCAGGATGATGGGTTCTGTCTGCAGCGGGTCCGCCGCTTCGAGGCCATCCAGGTCCAGCACGGGCGTTTTGGCGTGGAGGCCGCGCGTCACGTAGCCATCGGGCGGCGGCACGGCCGCGTACACCTTCCAGCCCGCCTTGCGCGACTCCGCCAAAAACGTCGCTGGCGTCTCAACAGAGAACAGAGAGAGCGCCTCAGCCGCACCCGCCGACGCCTTCAGCGCCACCGACGTCAGCGTCGCCGAGCTGTGCTTCGATACGGCCACGGCACTGACGCCCAAAAAGCTCGCCGACCGCAGGATCGCGCCCAGGTTTCCCGGGTCCAGCACCTGGTCGAGCAGCAGCACCAGTGGGCGGTGGTAGCGCGCCGTACCCGCATCGACAGCCACAAACACCGCTGTCCCGTTGACGTTCGCCTCTTCGCGCGACTGGTAGCCCACCTCGGCAGAGAAGCCAGCGCCTTTTGTCAAGGGGGAGGAGGCCACGTCATCCGTAGTTGCAGCAGCCGTCCCATCGGTGTACTTTCCAAGCGCCGTCACTGGTGGCTGCGGTAGGGGCGACGCCTCCAGCACGTAGCCGTTGTGCGGCCGGCCCTTGCTCATCTTGTCCAGCAGCCGCTGCCAGCGCTCGTCGACGATCTGCACGCTGACACCGCGGCCCTTGGCGAGCCGCTCAATCGCTCTGCCGACGCCCTGGTCCTGCGGCGTGCCTCTGGCGTTGAAGCCGCGGTGCGCACCGCCGTACACATAGAGCTTGTAGAGCTGGCGCCGTCCGGCGCGCAGTGCCGCTTCGACCACCGAGCGGCCGTACAGGAACTGTGACGCAGCTGTTGTGTAGGGGATCGAAAGAGGGACCGGCGTTGAAGCAGTAGAATCACGAGATCTGCTATTACGCCCAATGTCATAGCCGTTGTCTCGTCTGTCATCCCGGTTATGGCTCCTCTCCTCGTCATAGTCCTCGCGCTGCTCACGGCCAAAGCGGCGCTCGGATCGCGTGTCGGATCTTGTGTCGAATCGTCGTTCAGAACCGCGGTCACGTCTCTCGGGAGCATGGTCACGGTCATACGACCGACGCTCGTCAAGATCGCCTCTCCGGTCACGGTCGCGTCGTCCAGTCACGCCCTGTCTGGATCTCGGACCATCGCGGCCGCCAAACGACACACCACTTGTCCGTCCTGACCTCGACCGCGATTCCAAGTCGTTGTCAAAGTCGTTGTCTCTGCTATCTCGGCGGCGGCGCCCACCATCATCCCTCCGGAATGACCGCCGATCCCTCTCTTCGTACTCTTCCTCCCCTCTGTCACGTGCCCGTTGCCTCGCAAGAGACTTCACTTCCGCCTCCAGCTTGCCCGTCTTGGCCTGGTACACAAGACTCTTCTTGCCGTACTCGTCGTCCGGATCAAAAAACCGCGCTCGCCGCGTCTTGGCCTTGGGAATGGGTGGCTTTGTAACATCCTTCTTGCCCCGGAAGAGCTTGTACTTGGGCACCTCGGCAGCCTCGCGCTCTTGCCGCCGCTGTCTGACATGCGCCGCCACTTCGGGGTTGTAGCCGGGCGGTCGCTTGCCGTCGGGGTCCCGGAACGAGCGGCGCAGACCCCGGACGATCGCCGACATGGACGACTGGCGCGAAAAGACGGCATGGCGGGACAAGTTCAGGGCCAGCTGCTGTTGTTGTCGACGGCCCAAAATGCGCAGTGCATGGTTCGAGCCAAGGAGAGGCGCCAGCAGGGCGGTCACCGCAGGCGATGTCGTGAAGGGAGGCATTGCATTGTGTGCAGGGCAGTGCGGATATAGTAAAGAGATTGTGTACAAAATATTGAGCACAAAAGAATACAACAGAGAATTGTTGTCGTCCACTGAAGAATTTCCTAAAATTATAGTGGAGACTCTTGCTTATCGCTTATCGCGCCCAACGCGTCGCCAACTCATCGTGGGGAAAGAGTGACCGAAGGATGGCGTGAACAGGGGAGTCCCCTCCTGAACCTGCTTCCTAGCGTGCCTAGTTAGGTAATATTTTCACTGTACTTCACGGATGAATAGTGCATTCCGCTCTATCCACAGACTCAACAGCGCTTCGCGTCTTTCGTCCAATGCGCCTTCCCAAATCAACATCTCCGCGTTTGACGCAGAACGGAAAAAGGAAACTACGGCTCGCCAGTGTTGACTACCAAAGGATCTACACTTTCGACACACTCCTCCGCCCTCACACGTCAACAAAGAGCCACAAGCAGGCGTCTTTGTCTACAATGCGCCCTTGGTATGCTGCTCCCTTGCGCTCTGCCGCGTCTTGCTGGGCTCGTCTCATGCAACTTTAGGATTCTTCTTGTGGACGACTGCTGACCCCCTTGGTCCTCCTCTAGCTCATCGGGTTCAAATCAAGCTTCTCTTCTTGACGGCCAACACCACTTCTCCCGGAAATGACGATACCATGAGCGGCTTCGGCGACGATGACGACCCGTTCGCACTCTTTAGCGGCAGGAACGGAGGTGATGGCACTCTTGCGGACGACCACCTCCCTGTGGCTGGTGACGGTATAGACGGAACCTTTGCCATGGATGCCGACAACTTCTTTGAGACGAATGTGCCCACAATCGACCCCGCAACCCTCTGGGGCGACGCCTTCGACTTTAACAGCGAAGATGCAGGCGTGGAGGGGGCCGGCGGCGGCGACGAGGACGCCACGGGCCCCAGTGAAAATGCCAATGAGGAGCACGGCGACGGCGAAGACGGAAACAATTATGAAGGAGACGGGGAAGAGGAAGGCGAGAACCATGGCGATAGCGCCGCATCACAAGAACAGTTCGACCCTCCACCAATACCACCTCCCGAGATCGGCGCGAACGATGCGAAAGAAGCAGACAGTGATGCCGAGGACGACGCTGCCGAGAGCAGTGGCGATGAAAACGACGACGATGTTACCGCTGAGGCAGATAGCAGCGACGGCGACGAGCGGGTTATCGACGATGTGTTTGGCAACAGCGTGGACAGCCAAGATATACCACCTGCCACGGTAGAGAAAGGCGACGACGACACGGGGGACCTTGCAAACGAGGACTCACCTCTGCCAGTAGTCGCCTCGGATATAGCTCCACGCCAGGTCGAATTGTCCGATGTTCCCGGCGACGTCTTTCCTAGCACGGAGGGTGCCTACGAAAACTCGCACACCAAGGACGTCAAAGACGCAGACGATCAGCAACATCCCATCCTCATGTCCGATCAGTTCGCAAACCACATAGATGACAGCATGCTGGATCGCCGCCGCAACCTCGACGACGACGACGAGTACCAAGATGAGAATGACGAAGACGAAGACGAAAACGAAAACGAAAACGAAGACGATGTTGACGAACAGGACGGCTCCACAGGCGAGGTCAACAACGACCATACTAACGACAACGGCACCGGTGAGCATGCCATAGATGCGGACCTGATTATGCCCGGCGATGGGAGCCGCCTCGAAGTGGTTGTCGAACCCTTGCCAGAATCCCGTCATGCAGAGTACGAGGTCTGCGCGCCGAGCGACTATGTCTATCGGGTCATTGCACGCGTGCGCGGACGAAGCCGTTACGAAATCGAGTATGACGATGGCAGGCGCTTCGAGGTAAGTTGTGCCGTGATAAGTTGTTCTCGCATTCATGCCACCCTTGTCGGCGCAAGTGCTTGTGCCATGATCAGATGGTACTTTGTGTTTTTTGCCCCAGCCCGTTTTCACATTCACTTTGATCTGATCTCAAACCACATTCATGCTTGCCTTCACCGCCCCTTCCCTTAACTCTCACTCTACCTTCATGACTCCCAAAACGTTATAAGACTCAAGTCCCATATTTATTGTATTGGATTGTATTCACTTTTCAACTCCTCTCTCTTAAGACCTCTACCTCCTACTTTCAGTCTCTTATCTTCCTTTTTCATCCTACAAAACCTTGTACTATTCACACATCCATCATCTCTTGTCATGTGTGGTTAAGACCATCTTCAGTTGGAAAGTGAGCGAAGCAAGCATTCAGGCTGTCCGTACAGAAAGTCGCGGTTTCTTTTGTTTTCTTCACTGTCTCAGTCATTTGACCACAGCACCAGCCCAATCCACGCAGCCGCTTTTGTGTTTTTTTTTTTTTTTTGTAAAGTTCAATTCAACTAACAGGACCGTCTAGTTTTACGAAAAAGATATTTACGACCTTCCCAACGGTAGCAAAGCATTGCACAAGTTCAAGCGGAAGGAACTCGAGGACGTAGATGAGCTCTCGTCTGCAGAGAGCGGTTTCAAGCGGCGCCGTCTCATGTCGGACTTAAACGACATGAGCTTCAACGCCAGCCGTGGCGTCAGCCTCGGCAGTCATTGTGGCTTTCCTATCGATGACGACGAGGATGACGATATGATGGACCTGGATATGGAGGAGGACAGCATCGAGTCTCACAATTTTCTCAACATGCAGCGCCGCCGTCTACGTCTTCTGGGCGACACTGGTCGGACCGGCATTAGGTATAGCTCGCGCCTTGTCACCGCAGCCAATGATGACCACAGCGACGAGGCAGGCGATGGCCGGCGTCTACGTACTCGGGCGTTCAACTCCGAGACGCGTACACCCGTGCAGGACGACGAGGCAGACGAGCTTGGTGGTGATGACGATGCGGACTTCATCCCCACCATCCAGTCCGATCTTCAGCCCCCTCGCAAGCGCGGCCGTGGCCGGCGACGCCAAATCATATCAGATAAAGACAAGATCCGCTCCACACGTGACGGATCGATCGAATTTGAGCGCGCCCGCCGATCGTCTCGTGCCACAAAAAACACGCGGAGCATGGTTGATCCTACCAATTATGATGACGAGTCGTTCCTCGTCGACGATGACCGTGTCCCCGCACAACCCAAGATCATCAACGTAAAGGAGGTCTTTGTTCCCCTGGACGGACACTCTGCGTTCAAAGACGCGCACATGCAGATCTGTAACTCGTGTGGCGGCCCGTCAAACACGCCCAACAAGGGCATCATGATCTACTGCCAGGGCTGCTCTCTCGCTTTCCACAAGCAGTGCATTGGCCTCCGCCGAACGCGTGAGCACGCTGTTACCAAGGTGGCTCCAGACAGCTTCGTTCTTCAATGCCGCTTCTGTATCGGTCAGGCCAAAGTCAAGGACGCCAACAGCCCCCGCCATGATACGTGTCAGGTGTGCTCCAAGACGGGCCCTGCTTGCGCGCCTTTTTCCCAGAAACTATCCGCCAAGCAGGAAGAGAAGCTCCGTCTCGAGAATGATGGCGTGGATCCTATCACACCTGTGGCACAAAATCTCGTCAACAATGCCGAGAACGTACTGTTCCGCTGCACAGAGTGCCGCCGAGGCTTCCACTATGAGCACTTGCCGCCCCCTTCAGCCAGCTGGACGGACGCTGATGATGCCAACATCCGTAAGGAGCGGCTGGAAGAGTATCTCATTGACGGGAAATGTCGCGAGTGTCTGGACATGACAAACAAGATTGAGGGATTGATTGCCTGGCGTCCGATCCAGCGCGACGGCGATCAGACCGGCCTGGACTACAACAACGTCAAGGAGGACGACAAGGAGTACCTAATCAAGTGGGAGAGCAAGTCGCACGACCACTGCGAATGGCGGCCGGGCGCCTGGGTCTGGGGTGCTTGCCACAGCCGCATGCGCCAGACTTTCAGCCGGAAGAACGGCGAGGCTGGCGTGCCGCCAATCTTCGAGGCCAAGGACGCCATCCCAGAGGAATATCTACTTTCCGATATCATCCTTATGGTGCGCTACAACCGCAACGGCCCGTCGACCTCCAAAGAGGATGGCCTCGCCCGTATTTGCGACGTAGAACAGGTCCTGGTCAAGTTCCAGGGTCTTGGCTACGATGCCGCCGTGTGGGACGAGCCGCCACCGCCTGACTCTGGCCGCCGCTGGACGACGTTTGTCTCGGCCTACGACGAGTACTTGAACGGCAAACATTTCAAGAACGACTCCCAGTACGCCATGCGCCAAAGAGTTAAGGACTTTACCGCCAGCAAGAAGTTTGAAGTCATCTCCCAGCAGCCCGCCGTCCTACGCCGTGGAAAATTGATGCCGTACCAAATGGAGGGTCTCAACTGGCTGCTCCTCAACTACTACAAGGGCAAGAGCGTCGTCCTCGCCGACGAAATGGGCCTCGGCAAGACTGTGCAGGTCATCGCCCTGCTTGCCACGCTGATTCTCGAGACACCGCGCTGCTGGCCGTTCCTCGTTGTTGTGCCGAACTCGACATGCGGCAACTGGCGCCGCGAGATAAAAAATTGGGCGCCAGACCTGCGCGTCGTCAGCTACCACGGCGGCCGCGTCTCGCAGTCGATGGCCTACAAGTACGAGCTGTTTCCTGATGGCACACAGACCATGCATGCCCACGTCGTCATCATGTCCTATGACTCGGCGCAGGACGACAACACGCGCCGCCTCTTCCACAAAACGCACTGGGCGGGCCTCATCGTGGACGAAGGCCAGCGCCTCAAAAACGACCAAAACTTGCTCTATCTGGCCCTGAGGGCAATGCGCATCGGCTTCCGGCTGTTGTTGACTGGCACGCCGCTCCAGAACAACAAGCGGGAGCTGTTTAACCTGCTTCAATTCATCGACAGCGCCAACAATGCGACGGAGCTCGACAAGACGTATGGCACGATCACTGCTGAGAATCTTCCGGAGCTTCACAAGCTCATTCGCCCGTACTTTTTGCGCCGCACCAAGGCAGAAGTCCTCAAGTTTCTACCCCCCATGGCCCAAATCATTGTTCCCGTGTCCATGACCGTCGTGCAGGAGAAGCTTTGCAAGTCCATCATGGCCAAAAACCCGGAATTGATCCGCTCCATCTTCTCCAAAGGCCAGGTCAAGGCAACAGAGCGCGGCTGTCTCAACAACATTCTGATGCAGCTGCGCAAGTGTCTGTGCCACCCCTTTGTATACAGCCAGGCCATTGAAGACAAGAACGTTGACGCAGAGCAAATGCACCGCAACCTCATCGAGGCGTCGGCCAAACTGCTGCTTCTCAAGATCATGCTGCCCAAGCTAAAAGAGCGCGGCCACCGTGTGCTCATTTTCAGTCAGTTCCTCAACCAGCTTGACATTATTGAAGACTTTTTACACATATCGGGCCTTCCGTATATGCGCCTCGACGGCACCTTGTCGAGTTTGGACAAGCAGAAGCGCATCGATGCATTCAACGCCCCCAATTCGGAGCTATTTGCCTTCTTGCTGTCGACGCGTGCAGGTGGTGTGGGCATCAACCTCGCCACGGCCGACACTGTCATCGTGCTCGATCCGGACTTCAACCCGCACCAGGACATCCAAGCCTTCTCGCGTGCCCACCGTATTGGCCAGAAAAAGAAGGTGCTCTGCTTCCAGTTCATGACCAAGGACAGCGTCGAAGAGAAAATCATGCAGATAGGACGCAGCAAGATGGCCCTGGACCACGCCCTGATCGAGACTATGGACGCGGAGGACGACGCCGGCAACGACCTCGAGTCCATCCTGCGCCACGGTGCTAAGGCTCTGTTTAGCGAAGAGGCCACGCAGAATCGCATTGTCTACGACGATGCGTCCGTCGATAAGCTGCTTGACCGCTCACAGGTCGAAAATACACGGACCGACGACGAGCAAACGGCCGAGTCCCAGTTCTCGTTTGCACGAGTCTGGGCCAACGAGACCGGCACCCTCGCTGACGATATTGAGCTGACTACCTCGACCGGCGATGCGGGTGAGGCAACCAATGCAGCCGCACTAAGTGTCTGGGACAAGATCATCAGCGAGCGCGAGGCCGAAGCAGCACGGCTGGCTGAGATGCAGCGTGAAGTGCTCGGCCGCGGCGGCCGCCGGCGCAACAAGATCAAGTATACGCAGCCGCGCTACAACGAAGATGGCGACGAGGTCGCGCTACGAAACGACCATGGCGATGGGTCCGAGGACGACCGCGACGGCGAATTTTCGGGCAACGATAATGCGTCCTCGAGCGACGATGAGGACGGCAGCGGCGCTGGTAGCAGCCGCCGCCGCAGCCGTGGCCAGTCTATGGCAGCCAACCTAACCGCCACAGAGGCTGTGGCTGAAATTCAAGGTACGCAAAAAAAGAATGCAAGAAGTACAAAGAGTGCGTCGCCGAAGGTGGTCGCAACGCCCAAAAAACAAATCCCCAAGAAACACGCCCCCAAGAACTCCACCCCCAGTAGAGCATCCCCGCAAAAAGCCATCACAGCCAAGACCAAGAAGCCAGCAACCAAAGTGGCAGGCATCCCTCCACCCTCACAGAAGATGAAGACGACCCCGTCGACCAAGGCACAGCCGGCCAAGAAGATGGAAAGAGGGACGAAAGGGAACCAGGAATCGCCTACTGGCGACAAAACAGGCCGCAAGAAGGCAACGCAGGCGCAGCTGGTGGCGACCACCGGTAAATCAGGGCCAAAGCTGGACCCCAAGGATGCGCATAAGGACACTGTAAAGAGCGCCACGGCGAAGGTTCCCAGGCCGAAGTCGCCGCCTTCTGGAGAGCCAGCTGCAAAGCGGCCGCGCACATCAGACCCTGCGTCGTCGCAACATACCGCCTCAAGCAAGGCCAATGACACTGCCACCGTCAATTCCACCGCTAACACAGAGGCACAGAAACTGCAGAAGGCAGATCCGACCGGCGTTCAATGGTCACAGGCTACCATGGGCCCCATGGGGGCCAAGGTATGGCTGGCCAAGCCGCCCCTGTCAACGCCAACGTCCAGATCACCGGCCCGGCCCCGTTCCAAGTCCATACCCAGCAGCAAGCTCCCGGAAGTCAATGGAACGGCTACCCCGGTGGTGCCCAATCCACACCATATACCAACGGCAGTTTTACAGCAACAACAGGCTATCCTCCCGTCTCCGGCAGCGCATTTACACTCGGCAGCCACTCTGCCCTCCCTCCCAACCCTGCCAACGGTGCCGCGCCAGCACCCGCAAAGCCTGACCACCCCGCCCTTGTGCCAGGATTCTTTCACAACAAGAAGCTGCAAGACCAGCAACTCCTCCAACTCCTCCAACTCCAGCAAATCCAAAACCTTCAAGTGCAGCAACACCACCTTATGCGGCAAGGACTTCAACAGCAGCAGCAACAGCAGCAGCAGCAGCGGCAAGCTATAAATTTCCCCACAATCTCCAACGCCAATGGCTTTGCACCACTCCCTGCCACCGGGACGTCGCAGCAGCAGCAGCAATATGCAGCCAGTACCGATGCCAGCGCCGCCGACAAGACTATAGCACACGGCCCCGACGATCTCAACATACCATACCACGTTCGAAATCGGGACTCTCTGACATTCAACAGAAGAAAAAAGTGGTGGAGGGACAAGGAAGATCAAATCCGAAAGCAGCTGGAGGCTCTCGACAAGCAGGGACCGCATCTCGCTGCCACGGCGGCCTACGGCGCAACCATTACTCCCTCCGACTGGGCAAAGACGCCATCTCAAAACAAGCTACTTCATCTGTACAAAAAGCGAAAAAACAAACTTTCACAAGTGGCTGTGCTCGAAGAAGTCTACCGACAGCAGCAGCGCAGTCTCCTTTTAAAGAAGGAGAAGCATACGGTGGCGCTGCTCGAATTTATTGAGCGAAACAACGGAAGCACGACCGGCGCGCCGACCCTGAAGGAAGTCGACACGGAGGACATGCGCCGAGAACGGTACGCTCAACAAAACAAGATTCCCCGAACCATCCTTGCCTTGCAAAATATCGATCGCAAAATTGTGCAGCACTTGATAAATGGCGGTCCATCCGTTGCGTACGATGCGCTGCCAGAATGGCTGCGGACCGACCTCCAAAGCATCCCGACGATCGAATCGGGGCGTCCGCCAGAGTCCCTTGAAGCTTATCTCACCGAGATCTACGAAAAGAATCCGAACGCGGAAACAGCCGTAGCGGCCTTGTTCACCCCCAACCGACAAGTACCAGGACGCCATGAGGTCTCTGTATCTGCATCGAAACCACCCAACGCGGCGTCAATGCAAACGTTTTCTCCTGTCGTTCCTTCTGTTCCGTCTGTTCCGTCTGTTCCGTCTGTTCCGTCTGTTCCGTCTGTTCCGTCTGTTCCGTCTGTTCCGTCTGTTCCGTCTGTTCCGTCTGTTCCGTCTGTTCCGTCTGTTCCGTCTGTTCCGTCTGTTCCGTCTGTTCCGTCTGTTCCGTCTGCTCCGTCTGTTCCGTCTGCTCCACCTGTTCCAGCACCTGCTCCAGCGCCTGCACGAGTTTCAGTACCAGCACCAGCACCATCCCCGACCCCATCCGGGGCACCATCATTGCCGCCACCGCCGGCGACACGACCACCGACAACATCTCATTCTGCGACGCCTCCTCTAGCACCGACATCTACAGCGCTACCAACAAAAACCCCCACGCGTAGCCCAGCAGGCACACCTGGGCCCTCCTCTGAAACCAAAACGGCCAAGAAGCCCAAGAAGCCGATCGCCGACACTGCACAGCCGCAAGTGCCGGCCATGGCCCGGCACATGGTCGTTCAGTTGTCCATGGCGCCCATTACACGCTGCCGTCGGTGCAATGCGCCTCACCCAGCCAGCGGTGGATGTGCCAACCTTGAATGCGAGGCGGGGATCCGATTGGCGCTCGACGCCCTGCGCAGCAGCGATGCCGATCCCAAACAGAAGCAAGCGATGCGTAAGAGCCTTATAGCCAAGCTAGGCGAAATATCAAGTTGCAATAAGCAGTGATACGTTGTCGTGCTATTTTTTTATTTTTTTCAGCTTATGACGCTCTTCTTGTCATGACTGTGTCATTGCATTTATATATATTTAGAGGTCTTCGCCAAATTCGGAAGTTCATCGGAGGTTATTTTGATCATTTTTTTTATTTATTCACGCATGGCCACGGCGTCGACAGGATTTCACGGCTAAAGAAGCCGCAGTGGAGGGAGAGGCGGAAATTATGGAAAGGAAGGTTTGTTTAGAGAGGCCTATCTTTATTTAAACGTTACCTAAATTTACATCACAAAATGTCATATTCTGTCAATAATGGCTCAGTCGATAGACTCGAGCCGTCACTAGTAAAATCATGCGAGGTGACAACGGTGTATCATTAACGCATAAATAAATATCGTTATATACAGAAATGCAAGGCTAGGCTAAAATCGCCACTTCCCAATCACATTGATATCCCGTCATCATACGCCGTACGTCGTTTAGCATTCAACTGACTTTCTAGCACGTATAACTCGACACGCCGACCAAAAGAACAGGTCGCGGCCATATACCTACACTTGTCCCCGACCGCGACGTCCATCCGCCACGATGAGTGCGCAACTCGCCCAGCTCCAAGAGGACCGGGGCCAATACCAGGAACAGGTACTGGCAATCTTATCTTCCACACACTGCATTGACCTTCAGTAGTTAACATACTTTCCTATAGCTCGACCTCGTCGTCAGCTCGCTGAATGATGACCCCGGCAACGATGAGCTTCTCGCGCTCAAGGCCGAGCTGGAGTCGGCACTCGAGATCATCGACGCGTCCATTTCGGAGCTGAAACCAGAGCACCGCAAAAAGGCGGCAACCCCAGCAGCAGCCGAGACACCAACGGCACCATCGGCGACAGCAGCAGAAGCAGCAGCAACAACTACAACATCAAAAGCGTCAGCAACAACACACGACGACGCGCCGGTTGTGTACAAGGTCAACGAGAGCATCCTGGCGCGCTGGGTGACGGGCGATAAGGGCTTCTACCCGGCGCGCATCATGTCCGTGACGGGGTCGGCGACGGCACCCATGTACACAGTCAAGTTCAAGTCGTACGACACGATTGAGACGCTGCGGGCGCGCGACATTCGGCCCCTTGCGCCGGCAAACAGCAGCAGCAGCGCCACGTCGTCAGCAGCGACAAAGCGCAAGGCCGACGGCAGCAGTGCGACACCCTTATCGCCGTCGACGTCGACACCAACACCGCCCCCTCCCTCCTCCTCCTCCTCCTCCTCCGCCCTCTTCTTTGTCGGCACCCTCTGTATCGGCACCACCCCAGCCGCCACAGCCTCCACATCTCCATGGTCTGCCGCCACCGCCACCTCCACCTCCACCACCGCCATCGCACCCGTCGGCGGCGGCTGTGGTCGCTGCCGCGCCGCCCGTTCCTGCATCGACATCTACAGCCATCCCTCCACCGTCCCGATTCCGCGCAATCGACCGCTTCAGCCAGGGTGTCGTCTCGTCCGCATCGCCCCAGCTGTACACACAACCGCCGCAACGGCAACAGCAGCAGCACCAGCAATGGCCATCCGGCAGTGTAGCCAATGTCAACAGCACCGGCGGCAGTAGCAGCGCAGCAAGCGGCAGTACCGCCACAAACGCCACGCCGCTCGGCGAGGAGCCGCCTGTCAAGAAGTTCAAGAAGATCAAGGCCACGAAGCAGCTCGAGGCCGGCAAGAGCAAGTGGCAGGAGTTCAGCAGCAAGGGCAAGACGGGCAAGCCAGGCAACAAGAAGGACAGCATGTTCCGGACGCCCGACGGGCCACAAGGACGAGGTACGCTCCCACCGCACCACTCTCCCTTGTTCTCGTTTGACGCATATGCTAACTTTTATAGTCGGATTCATTGGCTCTGGACAGGCCATGCGTAAAGATGTCACGAGAAGTCGACACATCTACCAGACCAATGATGATGTGGACTAACGTTGTGTTTTTTGTTTTCTTTTATTTTTTTTCACAGTTGCCGATCTTGCGCGTCGCTTTTGAAGCCGACTGCCGTTCCCGCGTTCATTTCCCGACGAGATCCTGTCCCATACTACGAGGACTAGAAAGAGGCGCTGAGTTCTTTGCATCTTTGGTTTTCTGACAGTCACTTTCTGCCCTTACCTTTTTACGCTTAACGAACATAGCTAACGGCGGGAATCCAAACACACGCTCGGCGACAAAGGGTCGCAGCTGAAGTAGCGTAGGAAGAATAAATTAAATCAAATTTTTATTGCGAATTATGCGTACACTTGGATTTCGACTTAAATTTGTTGTGTGATAACTATAAATTGAAGTCACCGTTTGTAATTTTCTTGAAGTAAATATAAAAGACATTGATATAACTTTCTGATTTATTGCCGAATATTTTTTTTTTAAAAAAAAAAACCTCGATTAGAAATATAGCGTAATATACAACAGAATGAACCCCTCATAAAGCAAATAAGAAACATTCAATGGAGACCTCGCGTGCTTCACGTCTAATACACAAATATATACACTATCTAAGACAGCCCAATTGTTGTCCCGATGTCTTTAGCCAAAGTCAAAAAAGCTTGCGCTCTGCTGCTCTCGGGTTCCGATACGACCGTTGGTTTGCCCCGGTGCGCATCGTCCCCGATGAGGGGGTGCAGCGGAATGTCCGCGAGGAGCGGCACGTCCAGCTCGGCGCATGCCTTGCGCACGCCCTCATCCTTGCCAAAGATGTGCGTCTCTGTTTGGCAGCCGGGGCAGCAGAACACGCTCATGTTTTGGACGACGCCCAGCAGCGGCACATTGGCCTTTCGGAACAGCTGGATGCCGCGCACGGCGTCCTGCACGGCCAGCGTGTGCGGCGTGGTGACGACGAGCGCGCCGTCCACAACAACCTGCTGGGCAATGCTGAGCTGCGTGTCGCCCGTGCCCGGCGGCAGGTCCATCACCAGAACGTCGAGGCCGTCCCAGGCGACGTCGCGCAGCAGCTGGGTCAGGGCGCGGCTGACCATGAGACCTCGCCAGGCGACGACCTGGCCCTCGGGGACGAGGTAGCCCATGGACATGGTCTTGACCCCGTAGTTGGACATGGGAACGAGCATGTTGTCGCTGGAGAGGCGCGGCTCGCCGGACAGGTTGAAGAGCGTCGGGATGGACGGGCCAAAGATGTCGGTGTCGAGGATGCCAGTGCGGTAGCCCTGCCGAGCAAAGGCAAGAGAGAGGTTGGCTTTTCTCTTGTTACTTCCGACTCTCGCTTTCTCTCTCTCTATCTAGACACAACTTTGGATCTTGCGTGAATCTAGTCTCGTGGAGACAACTTACCAGCTATTGTACTTTTGCCAACACCGCCCTTGGCCGAGGATACAATAATCACCTTGGCCACGCCCTTGATAGGCGTACGGTCCGGCAGTCGGCGTTGCAGCCGAGGCGGCGTGCCAGCTTTTGGCAGACCCTACTTTGTGTCAGCAATGTTGGAGAAGGATGATGAGCATATGAGTTGCAGGGCCTGTGTATACTAATGGATTCTCATGCTGCAACTTGGAGACACTATGAAAATAGGACCGGGATACACACGGATGCAAAGAATTGACGCCGTGACGGTATATTCGGGGTAGAATTGAGGCAGACATTATGTGTTTGGCGTGTTGGTGATGTTGGTTGTTTTGATGGAGAGAGACGTCACAGCTTAGACGATGCACTGTATTATGGCGGTAGGTAGCGGCATTAGCGCTGCAGCTACAGGTGAGGAAGGCGCCCCGCAGGTGGCTTCTAAATAGGGAAGGCGGTGCTAGTTTGAGCGGCAGAACAGCAGGAACGATGCGTGGATTCTGGCGCTACTCGTCATAAATAAGGCGGTGTAGCGCAACTTTTTAGTGGCAGTATTTTTCTGTATGGCAGAAAAGCTCCTAAGCCAAACTTTTTTTCTAGGCCTGTTCACGATCGATACGCGGCACCATTTCTCTCTTTTCATCGAGTGGCACTCCGAGTCCTCAGCATCTCACATCACAGCGCACAGGGCACAAGACACAATGGTGGGATTAAAGGGACTTGCGGCCCAGTTGTTTGCGAAGCAGAGTCTGGCCAAAGGTAGGCGGAGACCAAACTTGGGCAAATATAACAATGGGGACAGTCCATTTTTGCTAACGACGCTGCAGAGTTCGATCCAGAGTCCGAAGATCCCGTCGACGACGACAGCGACAACCGGAACGGTGACGCCGGCAGTGACAGCGAAGTCAGCGCGCCCGAAGATACACAGGACACGGAGCACTATGTTCAGGTCGGCAAAAGCAAGTTGCGCCGAAACGAGCCCGTCGCATTAGGGCCGGCCTACCGAGGCGTGCGCATCAGCCGGAAACAGCTGGAGCAGGATGGCGAGGACGACGAGGACGGTGAGGATGACGAAGATGACGAAGATGAAAGCGAAGACGAGGACGAGGAGTTTGACGACCCCGACGAGGTCGATGTTGCGGGCGCCGAGGAGGTCCACACCGACGCCGAGATCGACAGCGACGAAGCCTTTGGCGAGGACGATGAAGACATCATAAAGAAATTTACGTTCCGGGGGAGTGACAAACCCAAGACGCCCAAGGGCAAGCCAGTCTACTCTGGCGAGGAGAATGAGGAGGCTGACGAAGAAGAGGACGAAGACGAAGACGACGAGGAAGAGGATTCGGATGACAACGAGGGCGGCGAGGTCGAAGACATGGCTTCCAGTGGTGACGATGACGATGACGACGACGATGGAGATGAGGAGGAGGAAGAGGATAACAACGACGACGAGCTCGACGCTTCTGCAGCAAAGGCCGAGGAGGAAGCACGGAAAATCCTTGCGGAACAACGCCGTCAAGTGCTTTCCTCTATATCGGCGTCGGCCAAGGCAGATGCCGACAAAGGTTTTGCAGTCCGCCAGCAACGGCGCACATTTGACGCTCTCCTTAACATGCGCATTCGCATTCAAAAGGCTCTGTCGACGGCCAACACACTGCACACTGTGGCCCAGGAGGACGCAGCCAGCACAGCCGCCACCGACAGCGCCGTGGAGGAGGCGGCCGCCAAGGCCATTGAGCTGCTGAGCTCGATCCACGACATCCGCAAGTCCCTTTGTGACGCCGATGGCTCAAGTACGAACGCCAAGCGGAAACGGCACAGCGCCATCAGCGCCGACAGCTCGTGCCGGGCCATCTTTGACGAGATGACGGTTGCCGAGGAAGCCGCTGCGGCCAAGCGCCGCAAGGTGATTGACCGCTGGGCCGCGCGTGTCCAACGTCCCTCGGCGGCATCGGCCGCCGCCGCCGCCCGCCGGTTTACCGCTGGGGCCGCGCCGCAGCCCCTGTCGACGGTTCTGGACGGCCAGCTGGTCGCGGCCGAGCGGTTGGTGAAGCGCACGCGCACACCGCGGTCGTGCGCGCCCGTCCAGGCCGCCAAGAAGGTCGAGGAAGACCCGGAGATTTTCGACGACGCCGACTTTTACCAGCTGCTCCTCAAGGAGCTCGTCGACCAGCGGACCGTCGACGGCACGGCGCCGGGTAGCGTGGCGCCCATGGTACGGTGGGCCACCACGGCGGCCAAGGACGCCAAGACGCGCAAGCTGGTGGACCGCAAGGCCAGCAAGGGCCGCAAGATGCGCTACAATGTCCACGCCAAATTGCAGAACTTTACGGCGCCTGAGGACCGGCGCGACTGGGAGCCCGAGGCCATTGACCGCTTCTTCAGCTCGCTGTTTGGCCAGCGGATGGCGCTGGCGGAGGACGATGGCGCCGATGATGACGACGACGACGAGGATATGGAGATGGGTGGTGCCAGTGTGGGCGAGGGCCTGCGGCTGTTTTAGACGATGCGGCTTGGCTTCAAAGAGTCTGATTTTAGGACTCGGTCATTATTTGTCCTTTCTTTCTGGTCATTCCTGCTTGCATACCACATTGGCGTTGTAACATTTTATGAATAGACAAAAACCGGGGAGCCGTGTATATATATAAGTGCATGTCAAGCCATTAATTTGTGCCGTTCACCAAAACTTGCAACTCCGTGTCCCGTTATTCGTCCCGCAGCAGCTCTTGCAGACCGGCCGATGTCAACGCCACAAAACAAGCAACGTGGACCGCCAAATGCACAGCCGGGCCGCCTAGTGTCCGGCCTTGTGGTCCCTGCAGCCCGATTCTTTGCGTCTGCCGGATGAGCGCTCGCCGGCTGGGAAAGAGATGGTAGCTGCCAAGGGCGAGAGCCACGAGGCCGCGCAGGTGGCCCGGTGACGACCACGCGGCCATGACGAGGCTGAGCAGCACCGACGACGCCAGCAGCCCGCCGTAGTTTTGCAGGAGGAGCACCACCTCGGCACCGCCGCCCGTCGCCGATGCGAGCAAAGTCGCGCTGACCTGGCGGTGGGGCGCAAAGAGAAAGGTGGCTGCCGCGGGCGTCTCAATGGCGGCGTGCAGCAAGAAGGCGAGCCGGGCAAGCATGGTGTTTGGTGGGGTGCACATGTATCCACGGTCTGAGTGGAGATGGCGGAAGGGCGTGGCGATGCGATGAAGCGTGGACGGACCAGATAGCTTACACGAGTCGGTTCGGCATACATCTGGCTTAGTGCATACCCTAGTTATGAGCTCCCGCTTATGAGCATACGAGGTAGTTGCCTCGGGTGAGGCCTTGCGCTCAGCCTTCTGTGCTGGAAAGTGCGTTTCGGCTAGACGAGGCTGTCACAGCCGTCCGCTGTAAAAGCTCTACTTCCACTTTTGGCGTGTGCATCTTGCACACCATTTTGTCAGATACTGTAGTGTACACGGGCAGACGATCTCGAATGCGAAATGCTAGTTTTGAACTTGTTGATCTGGCCAGATATGTGATGCATCAACATGTAAAAAGAGGCTCTGGACACATGGTCGACAAAAGACGGGATATTCAAACGGTGCAATATGACGGCATGCCTCGTTTAATTACGAGCCGTGGCTGCTGCGTTCATGTAGGTTTTTCCATTAATCAAATACTCATTACCAGCAGGCCTTGGGACTCGATCCATGCCGTGCGGTGAACCGACGTGGATGTGGCACGGCCAACAGGGGAGCATTGTCAGGTCGGTGCCATGTCATATGTAAAGGCCACTGTGGCAGGAAAAAGGGGTGTCTCATCCGCTAACGCCCCAATGGTTGATTTCGCCAGATACGCTTTCTTGGACGGCGTGTGGGCTGCCTGTGGGGACGCTCCGTTCGGTGGCTTAGGGGACTTAGGAGGTTCCGTAGAATCAGATGGAACAATCGAGCTAAATAAGCTTTTGTCGACGACACTTGGTCGTTCCTTCTTGCTAACCTTCTTTTCGCCTTCCTCCGTTGGATTGTGCGCTTCGGCCGTTCCTGCCTGGAGCATGGCCACTGTGGCCAAATATACAGTGACTCAGAAAAGTGTCATTTACTGGAATTGGAAGGGAAGGTGCCAGCCAGCAAAGAACAGGTGTGCTTATGGGATGCGTTGACAATGAGATCGAACCACACATTCGACAGCCCTCTCGTCGTCTCCCCCAAAGCCACCTGGCTTTCAGGGGCCCAAGTACCGCGTTTTCAGGGGGCCAAAGAGGCCGGCACACTCTGAGTTGTCGGGTGGGACAGGACAGTTGTAGCTTTTGGGGTTAGCGCGCCTGCCTTGCCGCCATTCAGTGCGTGCATGTGTGTGAATGGGTGGAGCCTTGCCCAGACGATCAAGGGGCGTGCAGCCAAGGGAGCCAGTCAGGGAGCGTCAGGGAGGGAAGGTACCAGGGGAGCTGTGTGTTTAAAGTGGTCACGTGCTTTCCTGACCGCGTTGATTCCCCAATCCAAACGTGCAAAGCGCCACCCGCCGCCAGCATTGGACAGATGTGCCAGGTGTCCTCAAGCGGGACCTTTTCTTCGAGGGCGGCCCTCTTTGGCCCTGAAAGCATATCCGACCCGCAGGTGCCAAAAGGGACACATAAAAAGTTCGAGATATTCTACCTCGCATATAAAGGAACACCTCTTTCTTTTCCTCCTTCCGCGCACCAACTTTTTACCTCTTTTTTTCTCCCTCTTGTCAATCTGCACGCCGCTCTTCGCCAGTCCCTTGATCCAGACTCTTTGTTGTCTGAGAGGCATACGAGCTCTGTTCCTTCAGTATTTCGTTGGTTTCCTTTTTCTTTTCCATTTTCGTTTTCTTTTTCTTTCCCTCTTCTGCGGCTTTTCACCGCTTCACACACACCTCACAATGGCCTCTTCCCGGAGAAGCTCGTCCCAGTGGGGGCTGGGCCTCTTCCTTGTGGCCTTCTTCGCTGTTCTCTTCTCGCCTGCGTTTGTGAGCCAGGCCCGCGCCGACGACGTCCAGGAGTACGGCACTGTTATTGGTATTGTAAGTAGGACTCGGCTCCCAGTGACGTTACAAACCAGAAGCCAGACAACCAGGATACGAGCAACGTGGTCACAATGCTAACCTTCTCTCTCTAGGATCTTGGCACCGTAAGTCAAACAACTATTTCCCGTGCCTGCGAGCTGAATGGCGCAACATCGAACCTCACAAGGAGTTCCAGGAGGCCCGGAGAGGACGGCCGAAGCAACCACGAACATCCTACTAACCCGTGTGTAGACATACTCTTGTGTTGGTGTTATGCAGAAGGGCAAGGTGGAGATTCTCGTCAACGACCAGGGCAACCGTATCACACCCTCCTACGTGGCTTTCACCGACGAAGAGCGGTTGGTTGGTGACGGTATGTTGCATTTCCCTCCACAGCTTCCCCCAAAGCTCGCACTTGGCGATTGGAATGTATACTAACTCTCCTCTAGCCGCCAAGAACCAGGCCGCGAGCAACCCGGAAAACACCATCTTCGACATCAAGCGCCTGATCGGTCGCAAGTACTCTGAGAAGGATGTCCAGAACGAGTATGTGCCTATGTTGCCTCCGTGAGAGGTGTTTCTTTATGCATTGGCCCCAAAGTACCTTGCTAACAATCGTGCAGCATTAAGCACTTCCCCTACAAGGTTGTCAACAAGGACGACAAGCCGTTTGTGCGCGTCGACGTCAAGGGCTCCGAGAAGACCTTCTCCCCCGAGGAGGTGTCCTCCATGATCCTCGCCAAGATGAAGGAGGTCGCCGAGGGCTACCTGGGCAAGAAGGTCACCCACGCCGTCGTCACCGTCCCCGCGTACTTCAACGACAACCAGCGCCAGGCCACCAAGGATGCCGGCATTATTGCTGGCCTGAACGTCCTCCGTATTGTCAACGAGCCCACCGCCGCTGCCATCGCGTACGGCCTGGACAAGACCGACGGCGAGCGCCAGATCATTGTCTACGATCTCGGCGGTGGTACGTTCGATGTGTCCCTGCTGTCGATTGACCAGGGCGTCTTCGAGGTTCTGGCTACGGCCGGTGACACCCACCTGGGTGGTGAGGATTTCGACCAGCGCATCATCAACCACCTCGCCAAGCAGTTCAACAAGAAGCACAGCGTCGACGTCACTGCCGACAAGAAGGCCATGGGCAAGCTCAAGCGCGAGGCCGAGAAGGCCAAGCGTACTCTGTCGTCGCAGATGTCCACCCGTATCGAGATTGAGTCGTTCTTCGACGGCAAGGATCTGTCCGACACCCTGACCCGCGCCAAGTTCGAGGAGCTCAACGTCGACCTGTTCAAGAAGACGCTGAAGCCCGTTGAGCAGGTGCTCAAGGACGCCAAGGTCAGCAAGAGCGAGATTGACGACATTGTGCTCGTTGGTGGCTCCACCCGCATCCCCAAGGTCATCTCGCTCCTCGAGGAGTTCTTTGGCGGCAAGAAGGCCAGCAAGGGCATCAACCCGGACGAGGCCGTCGCCTTTGGCGCTGCCGTCCAGGCCGGTGTGCTGTCGGGCGAAGAGGGCACGGACGAAATTGTCCTGATGGACGTCAACCCGCTCACCCTGGGCATTGAGACCACCGGTGGTGTCATGACCAAGCTGATCCCCCGCAACACCCCCATCCCGACCCGCAAGTCGCAGATCTTCTCGACCGCGGCCGACAACCAGCCCGTTGTCCTGATCCAGGTCTTCGAGGGCGAGCGCTCCATGACCAAGGACAACAACATCCTGGGCAAGTTTGAGCTGACCGGCATCCCGCCGGCGCCGCGCGGCGTCCCCCAGATCGAGGTGTCGTTCGAGCTCGACGCCAATGGCATTCTCAAGGTGTCGGCCCACGACAAGGGCACCGGCAAGAGCGAGAGCATCACCATTACCAACGACAAGGGCCGCCTGACGCAGGAGGAGATTGACCGCATGGTCGCCGAGGCCGAGAAGTATGCCGAGGAGGACAAGGCCACGCGCGAGCGCATCGAGGCCCGCAACGGCCTGGAGAACTACGCCTTCTCGCTCAAGAACCAGGTCAACGACGAGGACGGCCTGGGCGGCAAGATCTCTGAAGAGGACAAGGAGACCATTATTGAGGCCGTCAAGGAGGCACAGGAGTGGCTCGACGACAACGCCGCTACTGCTGACCTGGAGGACTTTGAGGAGCAGAAGGAGAAGCTGTCCAACGTGTAAGTCACACCCACCGACAGCCGCCACCCCACCTCAACGTTTGAACAGGAACAGGACCTTTTACTGACATATTCCAGTGCTTACCCCATCACGAGCAAGATGTACAGCCAGGGCGGCGACGCCGACGAGGAGCCGCTCGACCACGACGAGCTGTAAACGACTCCGCCGGCGACCTCAATACGACATGAGCGAGCGAGCGAGCGTTACAAGTGGAGGCATGTTGTTGATATACCAGAAAAGGCAACAAGAAAAAGTGAAAACAGTTTTACAAAACAAAAAAATTGAACAAACAGAAAACACGCAGGCGACGGGGCGTTTTTCATTTGATGCCCGCCAGTCAATTTATTGCGTTTTACTATTGCGCTCTACTATCATCCCCCCAGTTCCGTTTCTTTTGATTTTGATTTTTCTTCTGGTGTTGAAGGCAGAGGGATTTCTTCTTTCTCTGATTTAGATGTTTCTCTTCCTCTCATAAAAGGAGGAAGAAAGCGGGCACACGCAACAACTGCCCATAAAGTCGGACATTGATAGACCGCGGTGCTTTGCGTGTACTATTATTAAACACCGAATTTGATAATAAAAAGAAATTAAAAAACAAAACGGGCAAGGCTGTCGATTGTAGACTCAGCAGTGAGCAAGACGGGGTGACAAGAGGCGCGAGCAACGGGGATGTAGAGAAGACGGGGCGCAGTTGAAGTATCGTGATAGTTTGGACTTGAATGGAGAGGTTTTTTTATTTTATTTTTTATTACACCGTGCAAGGTCTGCTGCAGGGGTTCTGTACGCTGTTGCAATATGACGTAGCTGGGCGCAAAAGACGTTCCCGCGGCGCGCGGCGCGGGAAGACAGGTGACAAGGCTAGCACTTGCCAGTTCCAGTGGACACGGAGGCGCCGAGCGAGGAAGTCGCCAGCTTTCAGCTGCGAACGAATTCTTCCATTCGTTCTGGAACTTGTAGAATTCGCCTCCATACCTCGTGTCCGTTTCTTTTTTCCCCTTTGTTTTCTCGTCGCTCTTTTTTTACCCGGCCAGCCGGCCTACGACGTAAAGATGTCCTGGTCACCCACTGCCTGCTTAGCTGGCTACTCCGGGCGAGTCTTTTGCGGTCAATCAGCTGCCGTCGTCGCCGAGAAAGGTCGCGCAATACTGCTTGCGCAGGCTCTTGTCTTCACCGCATCTCCCGTTGTTCCTCTGAGGACTGGTTGTAGAAATGACAGTAGATTGACAAACGACACAAATTGCCAAAGATGGTAGTATTTTACATTGGTTGTGTTGGGCGTTCGTCATGTTGGGCTTTCTTCCCGTTTACGGATTTCTGTGTAATAATATTAGTGGTTGAACTTGCTTCTTCCCAAGGTTCCAAAACGTTCCAAATGTTCTGTGCCGCTTCGAGAAGCATAATTCCAGGTGCTGTCTTGGGCGGAATCTTATCTTACATTGCTGTAAAGTTTGGAATCGTTTGTAAGGGAATATCCTCTACAGCAAATGTCACGTCTTATTTAGGGCCCTGCGTAACTACTCTTAGTTATTTGGCAGCCTAATCAATGATGCTCCGCCGTCCAGCGTTGTCCAGCGCCCGCTAAACCCGCCTGTAATACAGTCGTAATTAGTCGTAATTAGTGCACTAACAGCTGCGCCCCTCTCGTGCATTCTGCTCTCTGGGAGCAAAACCCCTCCCTCTTCCCCTCCCTGTTCCTCCCCTTTCCCAGTGGGAATGACAGTGTTACGCAGGCCCAACCAGAATAAGCACCACCTGCGAATTGCCTCCGGACCGGTTTCTCGCGCTCGTGACAAGGAGAAACAGGAAAACAAAACGAAGTATTGTTCTTTAAATAAAACAACGAAAATTTGCTTTTCGCAGCGTGCTCTTTGTTGGCTCTTTCACTTTATGCGCTCTGACATCCGGTCGCCGTCGTTGCTCTTGCCGTCTGCCAAAACTGTTCTTGCCCTTCTCGAACCATTTCTTGCACCTTCCTTGGTCAACGGCCTCCGCATGCTGTAAAGTACCTGTGTCGTGTCGGATGCAACTGCCCCCTAGAGGGCTGTCTAGAAGCCACTACTTCGCACTTCCTGCCCATTTCGTTAAAGACTCGGGTCACTGCTACCAAGGAAAGCTCCACCGCGAAGCACCGACCTTGCCATTTTCACGTTCCAACAATCTCCTCTCGCTCACTCGCCTTCTCGCCCTCCTTCTCTTGCTCTCTCTCACCTTTCTCTCCCTCTCAAATATCTCTCTGCATCGCAACAACGACTGCGCGGCACGTTCGTTTTATTTGCTACGGCTCCTCGCTTTTGCTTTGACAGTATTCGCTATTCGTCCTGATTTCCTGCCCCCATTCTCTCGCTTCTCCTTTCCCTGAATCGCTTGCGCATCCGACGAACATCGTTTTATCTCTTTTCTCCGCCCACTTTCGTACATTCGGTGGGCAGCCAGACCAACCCGTCCCGCCCGACTACCAGCACCCCCGTACCGACCATCTTTCTGCGGTCTCGTCGCTGCGTTGTTGACGTGCGCCATCCTTCCAACTTTCTGCGTGAAACCCAAGGAGCCCTCTCCGTTTTCGACGAACCGTTGCTGTGTCTTCACGCAAACGCAATCGCCAACGTCGCATTACGACGACTCCGTCTCCTTTCGTTTTACCCCGACTGAGACTCCATACAACCCCCTTTCTCGTTTCTTTAGCTGCACAACCCGGTCTCTTGGACCACCCAGTCGCCCATCATGTCAAAGGTTATGAGAAGCGTCAAGAACGTCACCAAGGGCTATTCCAGTTCCCAGGTGAAGGTTCGCGAAGGTTGGCCAAACTCTCTCTTGTTGTCCTTATCTTGGTACTTTTGTGGTTGCACGTCATGCTAACCAGGCCTCTCTTTTCCTACAGCGACCAGCAACGACCCATGGGGCCCAACCGGCACGCAGATGAGCGAGATCGCACAGCTCACCTTCAACTCGTCAACCGACTTCAACGACATAATGGACATTATCGACAAGCGGTTAAACGACAAGGGCAAGAACTGGCGGCACGTTCTCAAGGCCCTCAAGGTCCTCGACTACTGTCTCCACGAGGGGTCCGAGCTGGTTGTCTCGTGGTCCAAGCACAACCTGTATATTATCCGGACGCTCCGCGAATTTATTTACATTGACGAGGAGGGTCGTGATGTCGGAAACAATGGTACGAGATGGAACTAGGCACCCTTTTCATTGTCATCCTTTGATCCTCTGACGAGTCACTAACAAGCCTCTCAATAGTTCGCATTGCCGCGAAGGAGTTGACTGCTTTGATCCAGGACGATGAGCGACTGCGCACTGAGCGCAGCGACCGGAAGAGCTGGAAGTCGCGGGTAACTGGCCTTGACGAGTACGGCCCCGGCGGCCAAGGCGGAGACCTTCCCCCACCGCCCCGGCGCAACCGGGACCGGCGCGGCGGCGGTAACGACGACGATGACGCCGAGTACCGGCTGGCGATCGAGGCGAGCAAGGCGCAGGAGGAGGAGGACCGTCGGAAGCGCGAGGGCCGGAGTGGGAACGCCGAGGAAGACGACGACGACCTGGCCAAGGCCATCAAGCTGAGCAAGGAGGAGGAGGAGCGCCGCCGCCAGCAGCTCGAAGCGAACAGCAACAACAACAACAACAGCAGCAGCAACAACAACATCGACCTGCTGTTCGACGTCGAGCAACCCGCCCAGCCAGCTGCCGCCCAGTTCACCGGTTTCAACCAGGGCTACCAGCAGGGCAGCGCTGTCGACTTCTTTGCCAACCCCATTGATCAGAGCCAGATGCAGATGCAGATGCAGCCGACCGGCTACAACCCGTACGGTAACTTCGCCGGCCAGCCCACCGGCTACCAGAACGGCTTCGGTACAAACGGCTTCGCCACCCAGCAGACCGGCTTCGACCCATACGGCCAGCAGGCCTACCAGCTGCAGCAGCAGCCGACATCCTTCTCCAACAACCCCTACAACACGCAGATCCAGCAGCCCCAGCAGCAAGACTCGTCCTCTCTGCAGCCCGGCAGCAACAACCCATGGTCGTCGGCAAACAACGGCGGCGCCCAGCCCTTGCAGCCCCTGCCCACCGGCTCCAACAACCCCTTCGCCTCGGCCGGCGCGAACAACGCAAGACCGCAACAGCAGCAGCAGCCGTTCAAGCCGTCCTTCAATACGCTCTCGAGCCTGCCCGAGCAAAAGACACTCGCGTCATTTGGCCAGCCACAAGCACAAGCACAACCCTTCCAGGCACAACAGCAGCCACAGCAGCCCCAGAAGGAAGTCAGCGAGCACGAGGCACGCCTCAACGCACTGCTGGCGGGCGGCGAGGGCATGGACACCTTTGGCAACACGGGCCAGCTCCGTATTCCTGCGCAGCACACCGCGCCCGGCACATTTGTCAACAGCGCCGGTTCCAACCTGAATCGCCTCACGGGCGATGCCACCGGCACGAACAATCCCTTTATGCGCCAGCAGTTCACTGGCATGCCCGCTCCGTCCTACGGCAACGGGCCGTCAGCGAATCCGTTCGGCGCACAGCCGCAGCAGCGGCAGACTGGCAACCAGGACCTTATCCAGTTCTAGGCTTCCTGTTTGCATATGCTCTTTTTAATCGGTGCTGCCCCTCCATCTCTGGCTCTTTTAGCCCATGCCTATTCCCATCCCTTCGATCCCTCAAACATCTTCTTTGTCCCCCGCCTTGTCTGCTCCTGTTCATACTTCTTCTTTGCTGTCAACATTCGATACGTCTGGGGCTGTCGAGTCTATCGGAGTACGGATTTGTCCGTTTGAGGTGGAGGGAAGATAAAAATACCAGCTCACTCATTCCGTGCTTTTCCCTTTCTCTGTTTCCCTCTCCCTCCCGTCTCCTTATCTTCATCTACGTCCTTTAACAATGCGACTTTCTCTCGGTTCACACCCGTGTTCTGCTTTCTCCATTTCCCGTTGCTCCGTGCGTACCTTGGGTATTGGCTTTATTTTGTTTCGTTTCATTTATTTTATTTCAGAGTACATTAAGTCATATTTTATATAACCAAAACAGTCTTGAATTGATTGTTCATTCTGCCTCGCCCTGTTGTCCGCCTGCCGATCTGTGCGAATCTCTTCTCGTGACACTGGGCCTGTTGCCATCGATTTGTCATTTTTGTAATCTGAGCCTGGTGGTTTCGACCTCGTGACTACAGTCGAAACCCTTCCTCTCCTTATTTACCACTCCATCTGTCGTCTCTTCAGCGTGCTTTGTCAGAACAGGAGTCATCACCAAGTATGCCTTGCGCCAGACAGCTTCAAGAGATCAAAAAGGCTCGATCCTGCTCTGTTAGTGGGCAGGAGCTTGATGAGGCCCACTTTAGCGCCGTCGCGCCGTGCGCGTTGACAACCTTATTCTAGGCAGGCGCAGGCAAGCAGCTCTGGTCAGAATGTGGGCTTCTGATTGGCTGATTGAAGAGCTGCAGCGAATCATCGTGTGCAATTGGGCACCAACCTGCTGCTGCCTGAGGCCATCTGGTGGAAAATGGCCATCGAACAATGGCTCGGAGGACTCCACCCAAGCCACGCGCCAAAGGCCTGTCTCCCCTCTGTCTTGTTTTCTCGTCGTCCTGCGCGAAAAGGCTTTGCTGGCCACGTATTTTCGCCCTTTCCTCCTGCTGTCGACCGCTCCTGCCGCCTAGTCATTGTCTTCTACAGCGCCTGCAACCACACAAACCGTACCGTCCGAGGGTGGTTTGCGCCTTCCTGTCTTCCGCCGCTGTGTCCTCGTTCCCACTCCCAATACCAAGGGCAGAAAAAATAGGAGCGTCTTCGCCAGGGAAGCTATTTACCCTCACTCTTTTCTCTCTTCCTTCCGTTTTCTACACAGAGGGAATACTAGAGCTTCTCTTTCCGTTTCCTCCCAATCCTTCCTCTCCTTTTTTCTGACCACTTCCTTTCTTTATTTTTTCTTTATTTATATCTTCATATACAGCGCTGCTGTCTGCCCGTTTTCCCTTGAAATTTATCGTTCGCTCGCTTGTGTACTTTTTCACCCCCCCTTGTCTGCTTTCGCAGCCCAAAAAACGAGACCAGCCGCGTCACAAAATCCGCTGCCCATTTTTCCTGCTCTGGATTTTCCTTCAATCTTTATTCGACAACAACAACAACGACGAGCGACAGCTGCAAATCGTCCGACACGTACGCGCCGCATCGCCGAGCAAGCCGTTCACTCGACTCAGATCGACATGCTGGCAGCTCCCGATCACGGGTTTTAAGCTCCGACTACACACCTCTTTCTCCCCCGGCCTCTCCTCGCGACAGAACCTCGCGACGCGCCATTTGGGAGCTTCCAAGACAATATAGCTTGGTCGACAGTGGGAAGCAACAAGAACGTCACTAAGCTTGGGCCGTCTTCAGATCGAAACGCGCTGTAACCTACGGCGGCGACTTTGACGCGTCCGTTTTCTTGCATCGACCGAGTAGGCGTCGATTTCGGTGACCGGGCGAACGACGCGCTTCCTTTTCACGACCACGTATCACCTCTTTCACTCTACCTATACAACTCGACTTACCCTTGATAGTGCTGAGGTACAACTCATAGATCAAGGTGACAAACTCTTCGACACGCAACAATGTCGTTCGGGGGTGGTTTCGGTGGCTTCGGCCAGCAGAACCAGACCCAGCAGACCGGCGGCTTTGGAGGCTTCGGGTCAACCAGCAACACTACGACCGGAGGTATGTACCAGAGTCGACTATTTCTGTTTTTCCATCGCGCGCGCGCTTTTTCTCTCTCCCCCCCTTCTCTGTTTCGCATTAGTACCGTGTTGCTTTTCGTTTTTTCTTTTGCGGTTTCTACCTGCCTGCAAGTCATGTTATCGCGTCTCTACTGTCTTCACTCTTCCTCTACCTTGCTCATCTACTTCTTCACTCCTCGGCATTCACCTCATGACGCCTTGCTGGACGAAGCTACGACTGGTGGGGGGCGAAGAGAGGAGACGGCGGGCGGGAATATACTTCGCGACGCGTCTTGTTTGAGCCCATTTGCTTTCTTCAACTCTTAAATTCGCCGTCTTCACCTTCTATCAACCGGCCCCAAAGATCGGTATCCCGTCTTCCCCCCAGACACCGCAGGACTAACGAGATTTTCTCCTCTCTTACGTGCTCGTCGAACCAGGGTTTGGAACAAATACAAACTCGTTTGGCGGCGCTACTCAGAACACCGGTACCGGTCTCTTTGGCAACACCGGAGCAACTGGCGGCGGCTTTGGATCCTCGACCGGTATGGCATCAGGCGCCTTTCCTACGCGTTGACCCTTTTTCAAGAAACTATCTCTGTCCTGCTCTCTGCTATCCTTTACGTTCTCCTGTCCTCCCATACGCACCTAACTTAATTTTACACTCGCTCCTTTTGCATTTTCTTCTCCTTTTTTGCATTTTTCACATATCCTCTACATCTGTTCCGTGACTAACCACATCTGCATTATAGGAGGCTTTGGCAGCACCGGCACTGGCGGTTTCGGTGCGAAGCCTGCATTCGGGGCGACGACCTCAGCCGGCGGCGGTCTGTTCGGATCCACGACGGCAACTGCTGGTAGCTCAGGCTTTGGCGGCGGCGGCGGATTCGGCAATCCTGCAGCAACCTCTTCACCATTCGGTGCCGGCGGCGGCACCTCACTGTTTGGCTCCACAGCAGCTAAACCCGCCTTCGGCTCAACGACGGGCACTGGTGGCCTCTTCGGCACAACGCCTGCTGCCAGCACGACGTCATCTTTTGGTAGTGGCACCACGGCTGGGTTTGGCGCGACGGCCAACCCGGGTATCGGCACCAATGTTGGTGACCCTCCTGGCACCAACTCCGTCGCCTTCCAGCCGTATATTGAGAAGGAAGCAACAACCAACCAGCAAAACAGCTTCCAAAACATCCTCTTCATGGACGCCTACAAAAAGTGGTCTCCCGAAGAGCTTCGTTTGACCGATTACAACCAAGGCCGCCGCTACGGTAATGCGACTGGAACCGGCGCATTTGGTGTCGGCTCCAACTTTGGCGGCTTCGGTGCGTCAACCACTCCCTCTACGACAGGCACGACTGGCGGTCTGTTCGGTGGAGGCGGGACGACCACAGGTGGCTTCGGCGCCCAGACCGGCACGACCACGGGCGGCTTCGGCAGCACCTCCACTGGCGGCGGCCTGTTCGGCGCGAAGCCTGCCACGACTGGCGGCCTTTTCGGCAGCACCACGCCTGCCCAGCCAGCACAGACGGGTGGTATCTTTGGTGGTGGCGGCACCACTGGTGGATTCGGCTCGTCTACCACCGCTGGCGGTTTCGGTTCGACGCCCGCTGGTGGCACAGGTTCGCTCTTCGGCAGCACCGCGACCCAGAATAAGCCTGCTGGCGGATTTGGTTTCGGGAGCACCACGCAGGGCACGACTGGCTTCGGTGCCACTGGAGGTACAAGCGCATTCGGCACCCCCCAGGCTGCCACCACTACTGGAGGCGGTCTCTTTGGCAGCACACCGGCGGCCAGCACCACATCTGGCGGTGGTCTTTTTGGCGGTGGTGGCCAGACGGGTGCTGCTTCCTCGGGTTTCGGCACCCAGGCAGCCTCTGGATTCGGTGCCCAGCAGCAGACCGGTGGTGGCCTTTTCGGCCAGGCTAAGCCTGCTACTGGCGGTCTGTTCGGCTCGACCCCGACCCCGGCAGCCGGCACCGGTACAACTGGCGGGTCACTCTTTGGCTCATCCACGACATCCACACCATTCGGCGGCACTGCTGGCACACAGCAGACCGGTGGTCTCTTTGGCGCAAAACCGGCAACAACCACGACTGGCGGCCTCTTTGGTAGCACACCCGCGGCTAGCACGACCACAGGTGGCGGTCTCTTTGGCGGTATTGGCCAGACAGCTCAGACACAGCAGCAGCCGGCGCAGACTGGCAGTCTGTTTGGCAGCTCCCTGGGCCAGGCTCAGCAGAAGCCGTCTCTGTTCGGCACAGCGGCCCCTGCCACCGGTGGCGGTCTCTTTGGCGGCCAGCAGAACCCACAGCAACAGCAAGGCGGTCTGTTCGGCCAGAGCACGACCGCGGCCCAGCCCCAGGCTGGTGGTCTTGGCGGTTCTCTCTTTGGAAACGCGCAGCAAGGCAACCCAGGCCTGGGTGCATCTCAGGGCCTGACCACGAGCATCAACGACACTGGTGCATATGGTGCGCCCTCGCTCTTCCAGAGCTTGGCCGCCCAAGAGGTGCAGAACCCTGGCCCTCTTGCGACCCCTCTGTCCGTCAACAAGACCAAGACTTCTAGGAGAAGTTCGATCTTGCCGCTGTACAAGATGACCCCAGGCTCGGCATCCAAGTTCGCCACTCCCCAAAAGCGTGGCTACGGCTTCTCGTACAGTACGTTTGGCACCCCCAGCAGTGTTTCCAGCACTGCGAGCACGCCCGGCACCATGAGCCAGAGCCTGTTGGTTGGTAGCATCGGACGCGGCGGCCTGACGAAGAGCATTTCGTCGAGCAACCTGCGCCGGACCTTCAACCCCGAGGACAGCATTCTGCTCCCCGGCGCCTTCTCGTCCAACTCGGGCCCACGCTTCTACGGCAGCACGGGAAGCAGCAAGAAGCTTGTCATCAACCGCGACATGCGCTCTGATCTGTTCTCCACCCCCAGCAAGGTCAGAGACTCTGGTGGTGCCGATTCCTTGACCGACGCCAGTCTCGGTAGCACCCGGAAGCTGACCAAGAGAGTGAGCTTCGATACCACCATCGCCAAGGATTCCGTCCCCGAGGGCGTCAACGGTAACAACGGCCCGGCCAGCGGCAGTGGCAGCGAACCGGATATGGGCTACCTGCGCCCCCAGGCGCGCCCATCCAACGGCACCAGCAGCTCCTCCAACACTGCTGGCAACGGTAGCAGCTCCGCGCTGGTTGTCTCGCCGGCGTCCAATGAGCCCGAGATGGAGCAGGTCACCGGCAAAGAGCTTGCTATTGTGCACGAGGAGGAGGCCTCACCCGTGCGAGCCCGTTGCATCCCCAGCAACTACCGCGTTAACAGCAAGGAGCTTGGCAATTACTGGATGTCGCCCTCCAAGGACGAGATTGAGCAGATGAACCGCGTCCAGCGCCAGCAGGTCGTCAACTTCACCGTCGGCCGCACGAATGTCGGCCAGGTGCGCTTCCGCGTCCCTGTTGATCTGACCAAGATCAACCTGGACTCCATCATGGACGGTATCGTCACCCTCATCATCCGCTCCGCCACCGTCTACCCTGACGTCAACACCAAGCCGCCTGTCGGACAGGGCCTCAACGTCCCGGCTGAGATCCTCCTTCTTCACACCTGCCCCCGCAGCGGACCGGACGCGAACGCCGCCAAAATGAAGAAGCACATCACGCGCCTCAAGAACATTCCTGATACCACTTTTGTCAGCTACGACGAGCAGACCGCCGCGTGGGTCTTCCGGGTGGAACACTTCACCACGTACGGCCTGGACGACGACGACGACGAGACCGACGCGGAGACAACCCGCCTTTCTGCAGCCGCTGGCAACGCTGCGCCTGTGCCCGCCTACAACACAGTGCTACCGTCGACGGAGCAGGTGAACGACGAGGATACGTTTGACTTTCGTCGCCGCAAGCACGTCTCCGTCCCCGGTGCATTTGACGACAGCCACGACATTATGGATGACGAGGACGAAGAAGGCGATGTGACTTTCCAGCAGTCTTTTTTATCTAATCGCTCCGCGGATATGAACGCCCAGGCCGTGGTGCCCATCAGCACGATGGAGCACGACCACGACATGGAACAAGGCGAGGATAGTGGTCTGTATGAGAACGAGGGCGAGGCGCCTTTTTCTCAGCAGCTCTATTCTGCCGCGGAGCTTGACGACAACAACAGCCTCGAACCCTACCCCTTCCTCCCCGACCTGCCCCCCGTTGTCCAAGAAACGCCTGCCGGCATCATGCGGGCTCGCCTCCGGGCAATCAAGGAGTCCAACACACCACTGAAGCTGCAGGTCGCCGACGGCGACAACTGGATGGACATGCTGCAAAAGACGGTCAGCCCCCAGAAGCGTGACCGTGCCGCTCTCAAGGCACTGGGCGAGCACGGTGCTCCCGAGAAGCCTTCATTCAACGAAAGCATCGCCAACTTTGACAAGAAGGCCGCTGCATCCACCGCGGGTCGTGGCTTCGGCGCAAACGACAACCGTGGTTTCGCCACCAGCATCGACCTCATGAACTCGCTCTTTGAAAAGGCCAAGGCCCCGACGACCCAGGCGCCGGAGACGATTGCCCCCGCCAAGGGATTTGTGAAGGTCCGTAGTGCCCTCCTCATCCAGTAGATGGACGACTTTTTGGCTCTCCCGTTTGATGTTTCCCTCCCGTGCCATTCACACTTCTTCCACCTCGTTTTGTTATTCTCAGCACATTCCACATCCACATGATTGTATGCACGTTGGCGTTGGAAACCCATTCCTTCATTTTATCCCTTGCTTCCCCTATTTAATAATTACATCTGCCGTGTACCTTACTTGGTAACAAATACAAAACCTCAAAATCACCAAACAAAAAACAAAACTGAACACCTTGACTAAATGTTGTTCTGTTTTCTAGTGGCCTTACAAGCGAGCCAACAAGACCGTCGACGAAGATGAGGCCACCATGGACCCAACGGACCGCGCTTTCCATGATGCCGCGAGACCTATCTGGTCCACGGACGGAGCGTGCATTGTCACCGAGGCACAAACCGATGACACCGAACCCTCGCTGAAGCGAATTCGGATGTTCGACCCCATTGGTGCGCAGCTCACAGACGTACGTGGCAAGAGATGCTTTCGCCTTATATGCTCAAAAACCACACCTAAAATTTTTTGAAAATGAAAAATGATAAAAAAACTAACAAGGTCCAGTACTCCGTTGAGGGTCTGTCCGATCACAAAGATGTCGTGGACGTCCAGGTCGTGGACGGTGTGCCGGCGATCTCGACTTGCCGCATCCCCGAAATCAAGGCCTTTGCCGGTTTCTGTGAGCAAGTCAACCAGCGTCGGTCAGCGTCCGCCAGCACCATATCACAACAGCTGGGCTCCTACGAGCAGTCTGTTTGGGAACTTGCCAGCGTGCTATTTGATCCTATCGACGAGCATGCTTCGAACCCGGGAGACGAGGCGCGCCAGCGCAGGGCCAATCTGGCCACGTTCTGGGCGCAACTTGTGCAGGACTCGTCTTCGGCCAAACCCCTGGACCAGGCACAGTCATTTGAAGAAAAGGCAGTCCTCTACCTGGCGTCCCGCAAGGTCCCTGAGGCCTGCCGCGCGCTCGTGGATGGCAAGAATTTCAAGCTGGCCACACTGGTCTCGCTGATTGGCACGGGCGATGCCTTCAAGAAGGACATGCGCGAGCAGGTGGATGACTGGCAGCAGGGCGATGCTCTCTCCGAGTTCAGCGTGCCTCTGCGGTCGATCTACTCGCTGCTCGCTGGTAACGTGGCCGTCTGCGAGGGCAAGAAGGGCGGCGGTGTCGAGAACCGCATGAACTCGGTGGTCGTGTCCAACTGGTTCGGCCTCGACTGGAAGCAAGCATTCGGCCTCCGTCTCTGGTACGGCATCGCTGCGGGCGAGGGGATTGAGTCGGCTGTGGCCAAGTACGTTGAGGATCTCGAGCAAGGCCGCGTGCCTGCCCCTCGGCCATGGTACACGACACAGCGCGACATCACTGCTGCCTGGGCCGATCCCCAGCGCGAACTTCGCGAGGACCTGCTGTTCGGTCTACTCAAGGTCGCTGCCGGCCTTGCCCGCCTGGAAGATGTGCTGGAGCCCGAAAACTCACAGCCGTCGCCGTTCCGGTACCGGTTCTGCTGGCAAATCAGCCAGGCCCTGTCGGGTGCCAAGCACATCAGCGCATCGGCCAAGCTGTCTTTGGAAAAGGCTGACGCGCTCTGTACGTCTTACGCGTCCGAGGTCGTGCACCAAAACGACCGATCTTCCAACGGCCCGGACGATGGTGCCTGGGTTCATGCCATCTGGGTTCTGCTGCATCTGTCTGACCGCACAGCACGGATACACGCCGTCCAGGACGTGCTGGCGCGCCACACGGGCTCACTGTTTGTCAACAACGGTGCCCAGTCGAACCTGTACGGCAAGCTGGTGGACGACCTCAAGATCCCGGCGCAGTGGGTGTGGCAGGCCGCCGCGCTCTACTGGCGCAACCAGCAGAACCAGCCCGTGCTGGAAGCCGAGTGTCTTCTGCGTGCGTCAGCCTTTGCGGATGCGCACCGCATCTTTGTCAAGGAGCTGGCGCCCAAGGCCGTTGTCGAGCGCAACTACAGCGACATTGCGGAAATGCTCGAGAAGCTGCAGCCACACCGCCAGCAGATCAAAGACTGGGCGCTGGGCGGCGAAGTGTACAGTCGGTTCCTCGACCTGCTGACGCTGCAGCGTGGAGGCACGCTCGGTGGCAGTGGTACCGGCGGCTCGGGCGGCAGTGCTGCACGACGTACACGAGGACGCCAGCAACAACAGGCGCGTGACGAGGCTGAGCAGGCCTCCGCGCAGCTGCTTGGTGCCGTGGAGGCGCTGGCCGCCAGCCTGCCGGCCATGTACGACAACGCAGGCAATGCGCTGCCGACGGAGGTGGCGGCCATTACGGAGATGGCGGATGTGGTGGCGAAGGAGACGATGGCGCTTGCCAACAAGGGCAGAGTGAGTATTTCTATTATTTCCCGTTTATGCATGCCCCAGACTGCCATGGTTGCCGACACAGATGCTAACAGTTGCTTGTAGATGGACTTGACCAAGATTTCTCGACTGCCCTTGACGGAGGACCGGCGTGTTCGGTACTCGTCCGACCTTGCGTTTGCATACTACCGCGAAGTGATGAGTGCTCACTGAACAGGAGACGTGGGAGGAAGGAAAGAGAGAGTGCAAAAAGAACGAAAAAAAGATGAACGCGAAAGAAGAAGGAAACAAAAAGGAAAAGCAGGGAGGGAGCTGGCGGAACTAGGCGGAACGGCCCGCAATTGTATAAAAATGGAGGAATGGAGGGACGGGTTCTGTATTGAGCAGCGTCCTGGCAAGGACTCGCTCGCAATGTATGGGCTGAATTTGGCTGTTGATTTGCCGATTTTTGTTTTGATTTAACTTGTTGAGCATTGGGTTGACGTTGGCGTGTGCTTTGTGTACGATCCCCCCGTCGGAGCGCGGTTGCATGTAACCCTTCATTAGATAGAGACCCGTAAGCTTGTCCTTTAATATTACATTTTTGACGCTTGCAAGTCGACGGTGCAGATTTGCTGCAGATTTGCATGTGACAGGTGAACTCTACTCACATCCCGGTGACTACAGAGCAGAACGATCGTCTCCATGCACACGTAGCCTGGAAAAGGTTGGTATTATATTTCGTAGTCTATTTCAAATTGCTATTTCCTGAAATAAAAACAATAGTGTAGAAATGGATGAAAGCATGGAAACGAGTACAATATAAACGTGAACAGGACGCGATGCCGCATGAGCAAGCAAAACACGGTAACACAAAAGAGAACCACCTTTTCATTCTCTCCAATCGGCATCAGCTGTCGCCCGGCCCAACTGTCTTCATCCTCTTCTCTCTCTCTCTCTTCCGCCCCTTTTGTATTTGTCGGTTGGGTTTTTTTTCTTTTCTTTTCTGTTTTGCTGCTGCTTGTCTTGCTTTCAGAGTGGTGGTGTTACAGGAGGAGGACTACAGCCGACAGTATGCGTGATTTACGCCGTCTTCTTCCACTGGTTGTAGATGCCAACAATACCCGATGCCGTACCGGCCAGACCAACCACGCCGTCGTCAAAGTTGGTCCAGCCCAGGCTGCTCGTGGTGTTGGTCAGGTCGCAGACGTCGCACAGCAGCTGCAGGTGGCTGGCCTGGCGCTCCTTGGCAATGCGCTTGCCCTCAACAACGCCCTCGCCGTCCTTGCGGTCGATGCGGGCCTCGCGCTCCTGCAGGCGGCGCAGCGTAAAGACCTGCGCAAAGACAGAGCACAGCAGGCCCAGCGTCCACAGGCGGGCGGAGTCGCGCTTGAGGCGCGTGGCCAGCGTGCGGTTGGAGAGCTTGCTCACGCCCAGCGTCTCGGGCAGCATAATCAGCTCGATCGTAAGGTAGCTGGCATAGCTCAGCTGCCGGCCCACGGTGGCGTAGCGCAGCACGGGCGAGCCGACGGCAGCCGTCGACAGCTTGGGGTCCTGCGACGCGGCCACGGCGGACTTGAAGTGCTCCAGGTTCTTGCCGGCCTGCAGCAGCTTGCGGGCCTTGCCGAGGACGGCCTTGAGGGCGGCCCAGGGCGCCACTTCGGCGGTCGTGGCATTCGTGCGCAGGCGGTACCAGACATAGAAGCGCGCAAAGTACTGGACAGTGCGCATCAGCTTGTCGCGGCCGACGGTCGTGGCGGCGAAGCGGAGATAGTGCGCCACCGTCGGGTGGAACACGAGCGCGTCGGCAACCATTGTGTATGGGGAAGAGGAGGAGGGAGAGGAGGGGGAGGAGGGGGAGGAGGAAAAGGAGGGTTGGTGACAAGAAAGGAGAGAGTTGTGAAACAAATGTTGGACGTCCGTGGTCGCGATAAAAATTGCCGGAGGAGGATGCGGTCGAAGTGGTGCGAGAGTCGTCGGAAGAAAGAGACAATCGGCGGCAAGGTCGACAGGAGGCTGGGGTAATAATGCTCCGGTGTAGGAATGTGGAGTGAAGACGTGATGCGAAGACGTCAAAACAGAATAAGAGGGCAAAAAAAGAAAAATAGACAGGAAGAAGAAGAAGAAGCAGAACGGAAGGGAACGAGATGTCAAAAAGCGAGGCTGAGGCAAGATCAAGACAAGGAAGGAGGTTTTGCCGGTGTATTTAATTTTAATGCGCGCCTGCCCTGCTAGTGTCGCTATGCTTTGTTGCGTCTCTGTCGAGGTGAATCACGAGGAAAGAGCGAACCGATGGCGTCGTCTGGGGAAAGACTGCGGGCGAAGCTGGCGAGGTTCCCGGCTGGGGAGTCGTTGGTGCGTATTGCGCTTTGCCCCCCTTCCAATGTGCACATGCCGAGGTTTGAAGTGTCTGGTCTGGAGAATCTGGCTCCGCCGGCTCAACGTTAGCGAACTGCCTGGATTGCATTGCCTAGGAATGGCCAATAAAAAGTGGAAATTCTCCGCAAAACCTGGCCGCTTTGCAGCGTCCGGGAAATCAGGCAGCGCATGCGCCTAATCGCAATGCATTTAAGCAATATTATATATGACTGTATGCGATTTCGGAAAAGCCCGGCCTTTCCTGGTTCCTGCCCGCAGGTGCCCCCGCGCCTGCTTGTTATGTCATGCACCGAGAGGTCACGCACCTGCACAGGTCATCTGATGGCGCGTTACAGGTGATGCCGGTGGGAAAGAGCTTCCTACTGCTTTCCGACTGTGAGCTACTTGCGAAGCTCCACGGCTTGCACTGGAACCCGCTCGGGCTAATGTGGGCTATTACGGCACTTGCCAACCCGGGAAATCTTCTTTGCGGCCAGCAACACCCACCAGAATTACCAAACACGACTACGTTCCCCTCGGCCGGGCGCCACATTCGCTGGTGTCTCTGTTGCAGCATTCTTCATATGACAAGAGACAAGTCTCGTAATTACCTATCTTGCCCATAGCCATTGATCATCCCCGGTATTTCTGAGTTGATCTAGCTCAAGTCGAATCCCCAAGGGACAATTAACCTGTAATTAAGAGCAAGAGTAGCGGGCAGCAGGAGACGGGGGAAGGCGCCACGGACGAGCGTGACGCTCTTTCACAGGAGGGGGAAGGACGTCTCGTGCACTCAAAGGAAGGACCGACCGGCGATGACCTTGGCCACTCAAATGCTTTGTAACGAAAACAGGCCCGTCTCGTCATCTTTCTTTGAGCTTTGCAGCGCTTCTATGCTTCTGTGCCTCTGCACCCGAACATCCGTTCAATTAAAAAATAAAAGCTTGCTGTTCTCGTGCTCCATCAATCTACCAAACTCGTACCCTCATGCCAGGAAAAAACCATCAATCGTCGTGAGAAACCGTCAGTCGTCCGCTAGCCGTTCTCCGCAACCGACTAGGAAAGCGCCCAGCTTCCCTTTTTGCCCCTGTCCTTTTGGTTCTCGGTGCTCCACAGCCGAGCGGCGCCGCTGCGAAGGCTGGCTCTGGCCCTACCTATTGTCGGTTGTTCGTTCATCGTACCTGCCCAGTTCAGCCCAGACCAATATAAGAAGAAGCCCCGGCCGTTTTCGTAACGGTCATGCGTGCCTGCCCTTTTTGTTGTTTGTTCCTGATCGAGAACTTACGATACTTTACAGATACCGAGACACAGAAAGAACGCCTCAACAGTCAGCTGCACCTGCAGTATCCGTATAACTAGCTACGCTCCTTCCCACGCTACGTCATCCGAGCCGGCCACCGTACCTTCCCCTCCATTTTCAGCGCCCGTTGCAATCTGAACAAAGAGACACAGCTCATTCTCGCGAGCTTCGTTTCGTCTCCTTTTCTTTTTTGTCGACTTTCCCTCCACAACCTCACCCCCCCAATAGCCACCATGGGTGCCTCCGACGACAGCGTTATGCCAGAACAGGTCAACTATAACATTGTGACCCTCACACGCTTCCTGACGGAGGGGCAGAACAAGCAGCCCGAAGCCACTGGTGACTTTACGTACGCTTCTTGAGTTTTTTTTTTTATTTTTTTTTTTATTTTTGGAGAACTAGCATCTCCCATCTGCCGTACACCTTCTCGCTTTTCTCTTGGCCAAGATGCCCTTCACTAACACGAGTCCGCTTACAGACTTCTGTGCCACGCACTGCAGTTCTCCTTCAAGTCCATTGCATACTACATCCGCCGTGCTACTCTCATCAACCTGACGGGTCTGGCCGGCTCGTCCAACACCACGGGCGACGACCAGAAGAAGCTCGATGTCATTTCCAACGACCTGTTCATCGAAGTCATGCGGTCGTCTGGCCGCTGCGCCCTGCTGGTCTCCGAGGAGGAGGAGAACATCATCTTTTTCACCGGCGCCAACTCGGCCGATGGCAAGTCCAGCGAGCGCGCCCGCTACGCCGTTGCCTGCGACCCCATCGACGGCAGCTCCAACCTCGACGCCGGTGTGTCGGTCGGCACCATCTTCGCCATCCACAAGCTGGCCGAGGGCTCGACGGGCGAGGCCGCGGACATCCTGAAGCCCGGCACCGAGCTGGTGGCGGCCGGTTTCACCATGTACGGTGCCTCGGCGCAGCTCGTCATCACGATGAAGGGTGGCGGCGTCAACGGCTTCACGCTCGACAACGGCCTGGGCGAGTTCATCCTGACGCACCCCGACATGCGCCTGCCCAAGAAGCGCGCCATCTACTCCGTCAACGAGGGCAACTCGCTCTACTGGGACGACCGCGTCAAGGCCTACTTCAACTCCCTCAAGGAGGCCCAGCCCGACAACGGCAAGCCCTACAGCTCGCGCTACATTGGCAGCATGGTGGCCGACGCCTACCGCACCCTCCTCTACGGCGGCATCTTTGCCTACCCGGCCGACTCCAAGAGCCCCAAGGGCAAGCTGCGCATTCTGTACGAGTGCGCCCCCATGGCCATGGTCTTTGAGAACGCCGGAGGCCAGGCCGTCAACTCCAAGATGGAGCGCATGCTCGAGGTCGTCCCCGAGCACATCCACGACAAGTCCGGCATTTTCATGGGTAGCTACGATGAGGTCGAGAAGGTCAAGTCGTTCCATAAGTAGGAACCGTCTCTTTTTTTCTTGGTTCAGTATTGGATACGTCGTCGTTGCTTTTTTCCTTTTGGGTTTGCTTTTCTTTTCTGGTTATCCATTTGTGAGAGCACATTATATTATTTATCATGTATTTTGACGATATATGACAAAATTGGATACATTAGACGCCAAGATTTTCTTCACCCTCCCATGTTCTCCTTTGCTCCTTTGCCGTCTTATTTCTCCACTTTGTTCTGGATTTCTCCAGACCAAACATGTCTTTCTTTACCTTGTCGAGACTCAACTATCCCACAGCAAGCCGTCAAGATGTCGGTTGTCCATCGGGAATATCAACGGGCTACATCTGCAGCACTCCATTGGTCCCAAGCCAGATTAACACCCCGCTTTACAACCGCCGCTACCTCACCCAATGGCAGGCCGCAGACAACCTCTCTATTTGGGTTGAGAGCCAGGGTCGTGTTGGAGAAACGAATGTTACCCCCATTTTCCCGGCCGCCGTGCGTCTTGTTCAAAATGCAAAGCTCGGAGTAAAAATGTGACGGTGAGGAGGAGAAGGGGTCTCGTGTTTTCGGACATATTATACGACGGAGTTTGTATCGGCTCGCTTATGCGTTCCTGTTTGCAAGCCCTTTTCCGCCTTTTCGATTTTTTATGTGCTTTGCGATCGGATGATACTCGTTTATCTTTCGACCTCTCCCCACCACGCGCTCCACCATGGCCTTTTCCGACTTGTCGGTCATTGTCGTTGGCCTTGGCACCCTCTACTTTATTCTTTACCGCCTGCAACTGCGTCGGACCCGCCCCGATGAGCCGCCCGTCATCCCGGCACCGGGCCTTCCATTCCTTGGTCATGTCCTGTGCATGGCCTTGCAGGGCGGTCGCTACATGCAGCAGCTCGGGCTGCGCATCCAGCATATGGCCCAAGGCGGTGTAGGCACGACTCTTGGCGGCCCTACGCCGTCGGCGCTCTCTTCGCCGTCATCCTCTTCCACTTCCGCGTCTCAATCGTCCGGCCCGGCAGGCATTGTCACACTACCGGTCCCCGGCTCATGCATCTACCTCGTAACCGACCCGTCGCTGGCGGCCGCCGTGCAGCGCGCATCCCGCGCCCTGTCCTTTACGCCTCTTGTGCCCGACGTAACGCGCCGCGTCCTCGGCCTCGACAAGAAGACTGTTGGCATCGTCCGTGGTGAAAATCTGGCCGTAGCGACGTCGCCTAGGCTTAGACCGGCAGCAGCATCCGGGACTGGGCCAACCATGTCCATTGTCGACGACCAAAAGTATGATGAGTCGTACGGCTTCCTGGCCGACATGCACGACATGGTTTACAGCTACTTGGGACCCGGCGATACATTAACATCCTTTGTGAAAGATGCGGTCAGCGAGCTGGTCGGCCAAGTCAACTCGTACGCCTCCGACCTGGACGCCCCAACGACTTCGACTCCAACGACAGCGGCCGTGGTCGATTTGCTGGCTTGGATGAAGCATTTTGTCACGCTGGGCACTGCGCAGTTCTTGTACGGCCCGCGCAACCCGCTCGCCATGGAGCCCGCGTTAGAGCCAGCGTTCTGGGAATTCGTGCATGGTCTTGGCCGGCTGCTTCTCGTGGGCGACCGTCAACCCGGGTCGCTGATGGCATCGCTTCTAGGCGGGCGTCCCTTTGCCGCACGCGAACAGCTCGTGGATGGATTCACGACGTACCTGACTGCAGACGAGCATCTGTCCAGTGACAGCAGCGAGATTGTGCGGCGCCGCGTTGCCATTGCCGACCGCTACGGCTGGGCCCGTTCCAGCACGGCACGGTCTGAGCTGTCGTTTTTATTTGCCGGCATCATCAACACGGCCGTGACATCGTTTTGGGTCGTTCTCAGACTGTTCTCCAACTTGGACTTGCTTCAGACCGTGCGAGGCGAGTTGGAGACACGAAGCGATGGCAACAGCGACGACAACTACGACGACGGCGACACGCTGAGCATCGAACACATTCGCACAAACTGCCCGACCCTGCTGGCTGTCTACCAGGAGTGCCTCCGACTGGGCTCCAACAACATGTCGACCCGCCTCGTGCTGTCCGACACTCTGCTGGCCGATCGGTACTTCTTGCGCGCCGGTTCGGTTGTGCAGATTGCTGCTGGTGTCATCCACGCGGACCCAACGCTCTGGGGTGCTGATGTCGACACGTTTGACCCGGCAAGATTTCTTCCCAAGTCGGCAGCAAAACCGGATAAATCGGACAAGGCCACGCCGGCAGTTCCCAAACGGCACCCTGCCGCGTTCCGCGCATTTGGTGGCGGTAAAACGCTATGCCCCGGACGACACTTTGCGACAGCCGAGATTCTGTCGTTTGCCGCCGCAGTGGTGCTGATGTTTGACGCCGAGGACGCGGCCGCAGCTGCCAAGGGCCAGCACGGGGTGCCACCCAAAGTTCCGCCGCGAAACGACCGGGTGCTGCCCATTCATATCTTGGAGCCTGCTGCAAAGGATGTACCGCAGGTCCGGCTTCAGCTGCGACGGTCGGGGCGACCTCTTCGCGTCGTGCCATAGATGCTGGAAATACCAGTCATGACCAAGTGATGCTTGGCTGGCAGGAATAGACTTTTTTTTGTCAGTTTAAAATGAAACCGAAGCTGTTGACAAGATGCATCTGCTTGCAGATCCTTTGACTGCACCACGGCATGGTGGACATGTGCCAGTTGCACCTGTCTCCTCGCAGCGCCAAGAACAGGAAACGTGCTTGATCCATGTATCGCTACTCTGCCGACTGAATAGAGTTGCAATGTCTCTGTTGTGGAATTTTGACGGTGAAGACGCGGATGTTTTCTTTCTCGGAGTAGACCATGTTGAATCATGCACGTGGGCCTAGCCCTATGGAAGTTTAAACGCCAAAGGTGACCGAGAAATTTTCTCGAATATCTTCAGGGTAGACTTCCTTCGACGACATGGAGGGACGACGTGGAGAGACAGCCACGGGATACGTTGTATGCCGTACATAAGATAGACCCGACCGAAAAAGCGAAAAACAAGGCAAACCACAACCACATCCGCAGCGGCTCGCACAAAGCCACGCCATGCGACGTGCAAAGGCACCCAGACGACATACGATCCTCTCACCGCTGGTGACGATGCGTCGATGGTTCCCACCCCAATATTTGTTTTGTTTTTTGGGGAGCAAAATAAAATCATAAAAAAAAGCTTGTCTTGACCTTTGGGCGCCCTTCTCATGCACGGCGGCATACCCGTTGACCACCCCTTGCACTCTTATGGTGTGTGGGTTTTATTTTATGGTGTGGGTGGTGGATCGACTGAGCAGCAGCTAGGGGCACATCCCCATGGTGAGGCGACTGGACCACGTTGATCGGTGGGCAGCCACGATTGGCTGCCTTTCGCTAGGAACGAACGTCCCGCGCCTGGTGGAGGGATGGGTTCTTGGGTGATTCCGGAACATACTTCGCCTTTTTGCTACTTGTTATCTGATCCTCCTAGACCAAGTACCGGCGCCATCGAGCGGAAGGGGCGAACTTTGCGAGTGCGTCGTACTACTGAAAACATGTGGTAATAGGACGTCGGACAGGTACCAGATTGTGGTCTTCCCATTTCAGACTGGGCTTGGAAACGACTGAGAAGCTTGATGCGGCAATATTGCATATCGGGCCATGTGAGGGCGGTTTACACTCATTTTTGTGGCCTGTGCAATATTTTTGTGTCGATAGTGATGGCGTGCGATGATGCATGCGGTTATTGAGCTCGTAGCAAGGTTATTAGCTGTCGTTGCGTCCAGTCATGTCAGAACCAGAGGATTCCAAAGGATCTTCATGGTTCGCGTGATGGAGGACCTGTAGTTGTCGAGGCTGGCTCGCACGTGCCCTCCATAGTACGTACGTCCAGACTAGTATTACATCGACGTATCAGTCCTTCCAGGATGTCAAAACAAAGTCTCAACAAGTGGACAATACCTTTCTCGGCATGGGTTAACCGTTTCTTTTTTCACAAGCCCTGATCAATCCCCATCGACACCCTGTCGAGACGCACAAGGCCATTTAGCCGCCGCAATGTCGAGATGTTACACTCGGTGAGCCAAATGAGATTCACACGGCCAAGACCGAGCTGCTCGAGTTACCATGCTGACCCTTCGTTTCTTTTCCGGGCCGAGGACATCCCGGGGAGCTTGGACCATGCTTGCCTCGTTGGTCAAAAGAGGCTGCGGACAAGGTGGTATATTGTATGTCGTAGAGGAGGCTGCATAAACGAAACTGCGCTTCCGTGTGTATCGGGAACTTTAACAGGCTAGGCAAGTGGCAAGTGAGGTGTCGTCGCTGCAAGCGAACGGTAACGTCCAAATACGACGTAGAAAAAGAAAACCTTGAAGGGCCCAGTCCAGAGGCGTTGGAAGGAGTAATTACCAAGGAGAGGAAAAGTATGGAGGGAGAGTCGTAAAGAACGACCGAGAGAAAAAGAACAACGAAGAGGCAACAGAAAAGCCTGCAGTCGCAGCCAGACTAGGCACAAGAGCCACATGAGGGCCAAGCAGCCACGTAGCCAAGGAACCAAGCTCGCCAAGCAAATGTTTGGCTTGGCCAGGGAGGCCAGGCCAAGTGTTGTTTGTCTTCATGCCGTTGTCGAATTGTTGTTTTGTCGCCCAGCGGGCGCCAGTTCAATTGTCGGGCCAAGCACGGCCTGAACGTCTAGAGAGAGGCCAGCCTTTACGAAGTAGCGTCCTTCCAGACCGTTGTTTTGCAGGAGGTCGTGTTCTTGGTGAGGGGGTAGTCGGCGTCGCCGAAGTGGGTTCGCCATGCAACGTCGAGATGTTCAGTTACCGTTGTAAGGGCGTTTGGAAAAGAGCGCAGCGACTCGGTGGGTAAGGGGAGTACGAAAGTTCCAAGGGCAGGAAAACAAAAGGATGCCTGACGACTGTTTACTTTTCTGGACACTGTTTTGTTGTTTTGGGCAGGAGAGAGCGCGATGGACGTTCCTTCCTCAACAAGGTGCTACAAGGTATAATGTGAAAGGCGTCTTTTGTCTTCAAGCCGCACTCGGAGTAAGTACGACCTGTGAGGGGCAACGAAAGTGGTAAGAGCCCCGGCAGACGAAAGAGCCAGAGGGGAAGAACGACATAACTACAGGGCAAAATTTGTGAAGGAGCTGTGCAGGAATCAAGGGGAAGTCGTGGCTTAATCAAAAACAGGCAAGTGCGAGCGAAGAGGACGTGCTAGTCTAGTCCCTGGGCGGTAAGGCTTGAGATTCGGAAAGCGGCAACCAAACGAGGAATGGTTCCAGCGCCTCTGCCACTGCTAGCAAGTCAAGAAAAGCCGATTTACTGTTCTTTTGATCGTTTTGCTTCTGGTGTGTGTGCCTAGGCTGCGGCAGGGGCTCTGTAACGGGACCTAAAGCGTGCTACTTGCCAAGCCGAACGCCATTGACGTCAGAGCTTGAAAACACAGTATAAATCAAAAAGACGAATGTAAAATGTAAAAGAGAAAAGAAGGGGGAATATTCTGTACAGACGAAGCGTGGATGCTGAAGACCAAAGAATTGGAAAGGATGGGGCGGTATTTTCCGTACTTGAGAGGAGCAAGGCGCGCCTCGAAAAAAGTACAGAGTACATACACAGAAACGCCGAGCTTGGAAGTAGAACAAGGCTGTTAAATGAGACCGGCGCACCTTGAAAAAAGAGGAAGGCGCGATGGCAGCCGTGCGAACAACACACACAAAAAAAAAAAAAAAAGCGGAGCCTTTTGGAATTTACGTCGGTCTAATATCTTAGAGTCGCAACCAGTCGTTTCGCGTCGCTAGGAGGTACGGGCAGAGACAGGATGAAGTCGAATGTGACAGTCTGATTCGATTTTTTTTGTCAACAGACAAACATCGGGCCAAACAAGGGGGCTGTCGGCTTCGTAGAAAAGGACGGAGTCTTGTGTTCGGTCAACCATTGCAAAACTGGGAGAGAGATGGACCTGTCGAGTGGCCGGCCGCTCTTGCCACCCTGGTTGCACGGGAAAGAACACCTCGTTCCCGAGAAATGGGAATGGAAGGTGCGGCCACGTCTGTGCCCTCCAACAGACGGCATACAAACTGCGTGTGTAATGAAGTCTACGGCTAGTTGACTCTTGACACATATCATCCAACACACCAAGCCATGACGGCGCCTTACTCCGTACACACAAGTCCTTCGTATCGCCCAGCGATTTTCTTATTCCCAGAACCGAGCAGAAAGGCAATATCGCCCACATGAGCACTATCACGCGTCCGGTCCCACCGCCAACCCACGGACGACCCAGTATTTGCCCCCGTGAGAAAGGATCGGCAGCCCGAAGAGGAAAACAACTAAAACAGAAAAATATCAAAACGAGAAGTACCTCTCTGTCTGTGTACCGTCCCATGCGAGCAAGGTCAAAATACAGAATACGTCGTACCAAATCCTTTGGGGTCCTGTCTGTCCACTCTGTCTTAGTCCCGTCCAACCACGTCCGCCTCCCCATTTGCGCCCCAACCCCAGCTTAGATCCCCATAAACAAATGCGCCTGTGGCGACCTCGTGAATGTAACCGAGTATTGTCCTCTTTTTTTTATTGCAAAGTACCAAATGGCCCTCCCACAAGGCCGATCGTTTTGTATTCATAGTCAAAGTCCTCATAAACGCGTACCTTCCCCCCTCCTTCCTTCCGTACCTAGCACCCTCACCTCTTTTCTCTCGCTCTTTCCGTGATTTGTGTTCTGTTGTCGGCTTCCTTCTTTCCTTATTTCTCGTCCGTAAGAAGTAAGAAGGGAGTAGAAAGCTCAACTTTCTCGACACCTGCCGGCCCAACGCAGATTATTGTTCTTCTTCTGTCTCCCTCTCTCTGTCTCTTGTCTCTCAACTTCGCCGTCGACAACCTCGGTTTACATTTTTACCCACCCTTCCCCGCCCACCATGTCGTTCCTCAACCGCCTCACGGTTGCCGGTCGGCAGCACGAGCGGGAGCAGGCCGAGAACGTCGTCGAAGAAGTCAACGCCGAGAACAACCTGCCGCCCATCGACCAGAAGCAGCCTCTTATTACGCTGCCCGTCGTCGCCTGCGGTGCCGGTCTCTTCTCGGACGGCTACATCAACAACGTGAGCTGCCCATCGGCGTAGATTGCGAAAGATTGGGCCGAAGTGCGCATGTGTGCTGACGTTTTGCAGGTCATTGGCTCCGTCTCCACCATCCTGGCCCTCCAGTACGGCGACACCTGGTCCAAGTCTCGGTCCAAGAGCGTTGTCAGTGCCATCGTCTTTGCTGGCACCGTCGTCGGCCAGCTGTTCTTTGGTTTCCTCGCTGACCGCTGGTCGCGTACCAACGCGCTGCTTGCGTCTACCGTCATCCTCTTCGTCTTCACGGCTCTGGCCGCCGGCTCATACTACCATGGTGACACCATTGGCATGTTCAACATCCTGGCTGCGTGGCGTTTCTTCGTCGGTATCGGCATTGGCGGCGAGTACCCTGCGGGCTCTGTGGGCTGTGCCGAGTCGACGGGCGAGGTCCGCAAGGGCTGGCGCCATTTTATCTTCATCCTGTGAGTTCGTGTGCCGCGAAGGTCGCCGTCCTTTTCTCTACCTCTCTCGCTCTCGGGTTTTCACACACACTCTCTCTTTATTTCTACCTAAACTAACAGAATAGGTTCACCAACTCCATTATTGATTTTGGCTTCGTTATTGGTGCCTTTGTTCCTTGTACGTTTGTTCCTTGTCCTCTCCTATTTTCCCCTTTTTTTGGGCCTTTTTTACGGCTCTTCCGGTTGGGAATCCTCTCCGAGTTAACACCAGCCTTGTCACAGACGTCGTCGCGGCCGCCTGCCATAATGAACACCTCAGCACCCAATGGCGCGTGTCGCTCGGCATCGGTGCCGTCTTTCCCCTCGTCCTTTTCGTCCTTCGTCTTTTTGTCAAGGAGAACGAGGAGTTCAACCGCAACTCTATGAAGGGCGCCCGCACTCCGTACTGGCTGGTTCTCAAGTTCTACGGCCCCCGTCTGATCGTTGTTAGCCTGATCTGGTTCATTTACGACTTCCTGACCTACGCCTTTGGCATTTACTCGTCCACCATCCTGGCCAACATATTCTCCTCCGACGCGCCCCTGACCACCATCTTCGGCTGGAACGTCGTCATCAACCTGTTCTACATGCCCGGCTCGCTCCTCGGTGCCAAGGCCAGTGACTGGCTCGGCCCCCGCTGGTGCCTGATCACGGGGGTGCTGCTGCAGGCCATTGTCGGTTTCATCATGGCCGGCGACTATGTCAACCTCTCCCAGCCGCACATGGTCGGGGCGTTTGCCACCGTCTACGGCATTTTCCTGTCGCTCGGCGAGTTCGGCCCCGGTGACAACATTGGTCTTCTGGCTGCGAAGACCTGCGCGACCGGTGTGCGCGGCCAGTACTACGGCATTGCCGCCGCCGTTGGCAAGATCGGCGCCTTTGTCGGCACCTACGTCTACCCCTACATTGAGGCCGCCGGTGGCGACGACGCCAACGCCACGGCGCAGTACCCCTTTTATGTCAGCTCCAGCTTGTCGGTTCTGTCGGCGCTCTTGGCCTTCTTCCTGCTGCCCAACGTCGGCCAGGACACAATCCAGTACGAGGACGCGCGCTTCCGCCGCTACCTGGAGGCCAACGGCTGGGACACCTCCCAGCTCGGTGTGCGCAAGGCGGATTCTCTGGAGCACGTCGAGGACGGTGGCACCGTCACGGAGACCAAGGCGACGTCGCAGTAAATAAGGGAGGGGCCAAGTGATATAAATCCGAAAATGAAATGACAATATATGAGGGCGGGGCATCCATAGTCTCTTTTATGCCCGATGGGATGCTCGCTGGGCTGGGGGACAGGAAGGCACCTTAAAGTGATTGGAGAACTTGGGTTAGTTGGCGGTAGACGCAAGCTTACTTATTGAGTTTTGGTTTTGGTTTTGGAAGATTCTTGTTTGGATAGAGGGCAGCGCTTGTTTTTTGTTTATAAATGATACCACTTGCAGCAGTAGTCAAAATAGCATTTTGAAATTGTTTGCATTTCTCTGGTGATATGGAGGTGACTGATTCACAAACGTTGTAGAGGCTGCTGTTGTACTGCCCTCAGTAACAGCTGTTTCTAACAGTCTCGAACACTAGATGCCGAGCAATCTGCACACGACTTAAAAAGACGACCTGATGTGTATAAAAATACTTCTTTCCCTTGCACAGATTGCTGGGTTCCGTATCGCAAGTGAACGTAAAACGAGGCAGTAAACGATAAACCATTGTTGGTGACGGACGAAAGTCAACAATAGCAGTATACATTTAATATGAACAGCGAAAAAAAGAAAAAAAAAAACACAAAATCCACAGGTATTAAGATACATCCGCCCATCCCATTGCGTCACCTTACAAATCGCTTGCAGTAACTCCACAAATGTCCAGTTCTAATCAGTTCGAGTCCAGCTCCAGGTTGTTGACCTGCGGGGTGATGGACTGCGGTTCTGCTTGTGTCGCCTGGTTAGGGGCGGCTGTGATCGATGATGCCGTTGTCGTCGTTGCCATCGATGGTGCGGTCGTCTTCTCCTCGCCGGCATCGCCTGCCTCGCTACGGCTGGCCTCGCTCTCGGTCTCGGGAGGCGTGTCGATGCCGGTGACGCGCATGTTGCGCTTCAGGATGCACGACTCAACAGCGATGCCCGGCCCAAAGGCACAGCCGATAATGTACTCTTTGGGGCCCTTGCCGCCAGGGGCCCAGGCGTCCATGTCCTTTTCGCGCAGGCGGTCGAGCACGCTGAAGATGGTAGCGGAGCTCGAGTTGCCGTGGTTGATGTAGGTGTCGTAGCTGGCACGCATGTGCTCCGGCGAGATGCCCATGGCGCGCTCGGCGCCGGACAAGATGGTGGAGCCGCCGGGGTGCATGGCCCAGTCAAAGTCGGCAGCGGCCTGGTAGGTGGGAGGGAGATGGGGCACGGAGGCGACAAGGTCGCTGAACGTGGGCTGCAGCACCTCGGCGGCCAGCTTGGGCACGCGGGGCGACAGCACGACCTTCCAGCCCACAGGATCGACGTCGAATCCCAGGTCCTCCTCGGTGTCGGGGATCATGCGGTGGTCCCAGCCCAGCAGCTCGTAGATGGGCTCGGCAGACTCGCCGATGCCGTTGCTCAGAACGACGGCGCTGCCGCAGTCCGAGAAGAGGGCAACGCCGATGCGGGTCTCCTGCAGCTCGTGGATGCTGTCGAGCTCGCTGCGGACCATCATCGTGCTGAGTTCGAGGGTGACGACCAGGATGCGGGCGGGCTTGCCCTGCATGGTGTGTCCCAGAGCAAGGTTGGCGGCCGTGCGCAGGCCGGCGAGGCCGCCACTGCAGCCGATACCGTGCAGCAAGACCTTTTCGACCTGCTGCTTGATGCCGAGACCCTTGACGACAAAGTGGTCGAAGCCTGGGTTGGCGCTGTTGGTGCAGGTGTTGGCGACGACGTGGGTGATTTGCGAGAGGTCGATGCGGGCCTCTGCAATGGCCTTTTGCGCGGCTTGGACGGCGAGGGGGACGCCTTCCTGGAAGAAGATGTCGCTGAGCTGCTTGATGGTGGGTGCCTTTTCCTGGTTGACGAGGGGGTGGTCCGGCGTGCCAATGGACGAGCGCGCCTCAATACCAGTGAGCTGGTTGATACCCAGCACCTTGGTCATTCTGCAGACGAACAGCAGTTAGATGGGTTGTAGGGCGAGCGACAAGGACGCGTACGACAGGATGCACTTACGCTGGTGATTCTGGGTAGAATCGTTTGCTCAATGTGTTGAGAGAGTCGGGCTTGAGGGAGTATGGCGGGTATTGGCGGCCGACTCCGATAATGGAGAGGCCCAGGTTGCTCTTGAAAGTGTTTGGAGCGGCCATTGTGACGGCTGGGAGTCTGTTCGGAGACGGCTGTGAGTCTCTGGTGGCTGCCAGGTGCTGGCGTGTTTAAAGTGTGGTTAAGTGCGGTGACGTAAGTTGGGGGATTGCCGATCCTAGTTTGAAAGCCCACGTCAACAAACGTTAGTTTATGTGAGCACGCGAGTCTGTTGCCGATCGTTGATTGTGCAGAGAGTGATGTAAAATGGTGGGGGTGAGGGAGTGAAGGAGGTCAGACTTAAGTCAGGGGTACAAAATGAGGGCTGGAAAAAGAGTTGGAGAAAAGATATGTTGAGATCAAAGTGTTGAGAAATGAGGCCTGAGACTCGTCGTAAACGGCAAGAGGATGTGACGACAGACGATTGCATGGGAAGGAACGACCAGACCAAACGAGCTGCAAACTTGTGCAGGACCGGTGCGCAGATAGGGCAACAGGGAGAACGGGAAGGAGCGAGTGGACGACAGAAGAAGTAACGATCCACATCAATTGGCCAATGGCAGACAAATAGCAAAGACGAAGGCAAGGGCAGGTTCGAGGAACGCTGCAGAACCGCGCCTTCTGAATTGAGGGGCACGCAGGACCTAGAATTTGACGCAATCGGCAAGAGATCTTACCTGGTTGTTGACTACAAGCCGGGAGAGGCAGGAGCGGCCGGAGTGTGTGAATCTGCTTTTGAAAGTCAGCCTCTCGAAGAAACAGGAAACAGGAGCAATGCAGACTCGTCAACGGGTGAACGGAGGACATAAACAGTGCCGAGGGAGCGAGAAAGACGCTGGAAACCGGTGGACAGCTGCCGCCAAGAAACAAGCCAGAGTAAAAGCTCGCCAGCTGGGAATGGTGCGAGAGAAGGCGGCTGTGGAGAATACGAAAATTCCTATTGGGAACATACAGGAGGATCGTGGAAGAGGGAAGAGCGGCACGCACAAGGTACAATGCGGCGCAGAACGAAAGTGCCGGTTGGTAGCTGCGAGGTGGGAACTGGAGCTGTCCCGGGTATCGAAAGGTGCCTGAATGCGGAGGTGACCCGAGATCCGAATGCCAACCTTTGGATGTTGATTTGAGACGGGGAACCGGCTGTTTTGTTGTTTCGAGGATTGCCGATGCAAAAAGAGGATGCAGAAGATAAACGGGCGAGGCAGCGAGTGAAGAAGAGAAACTTGATAGATAATAGACAGAATATACAACGTAAATTAGAACTAGATCAAAACCAGATCAAAAGTAAAGAGAACTACGACGTTGAGGAGAGAAGGAGAGAACAGATAAGGCGGTTTGATAAAGTTGGCAAAGCTGAATACAACAGAGGGCTGTGGATGGTCTGTTTCGAACTGCATGTGCTGAAACAAGCGTGTGATCTCCCTGTCGTTTTGTACTTTCTCCAGTAGCAGCAACACCAGCCAAGAGCCCCGAGAATTCGCACCAGACTCGGCGGGTTGTATTTTACCATTGTGCGTTGGGTCGGTATCCGGTTTATCCTTTTTTACATCGACTTGCTTCCCTGGTGGTTTGCCTTGTTTTGAAGGATTGTGAGGCGGAGCCTGGGGACGACACTTGTTCGCAGGGATATCAAGGTCAGCGGGCGGATTTGGGAGGCAAAAGCACAAAACAACACAGAATCCGGAATGCAAGACATGCGTAATGACGTGCGAACGATGGGGCAAGGGATGCAGCCGACGACGTGGCCGTACTGCAGCGCTGCGCAGAAGGTCATGTCAAGGTGCGCCGTCGACGCTTGTGCTGGGGCAGGGATGCATCTAGACTGCTTTGGAGAATCGGCGGTCTCTTGCAGCTGAACGGGAGCAGGGCACATGCGCAACGCGAGACAAGATGATACAAAACCGAGGGCGAGATGCAGAGTGAGAATTGGAGTCCACTGAGGCGGTGCATTTTGGCTGGCGTTCCTGACACGCCCGGGCTCCGTCTGTGGCAGGTGCGATGGGGAGGGCGACACGGCGAATGGAGCACGGAATTGGCCCGGGTCGGTGAAACATAGCGTACCGTGCTGTCGGTGCAACTGCTGCGTCGTAGCGGCTTATGGGGGAAGGTGGGAGGTGGGATGTACCGACGGCAGTGGGGAAGTGTAGGGGCGGAAGGCACCTGACTTGGCTTGGGCTATTTCACATTTGTTTTGTCGAAGAAAAAAATAAAATAAAATAAGGTGACAGAAATCTCCAACACGGATAAGAGCCGGAGAATAACAATAAAAGCCAACAGTTGCCCGAATCTACGCTATGGCGCACTTGTCAAGGCGCACGTCTACGAAAGTCATCCTGGATGCGTTGCCATTAAAATAGAGGGTATTGACAGTTTAAGACAACATAATAAAACAAAGGTCAAGCCGACAGGGCGAGCCAAGAAACAATGGGATAACAGGGAAGAAAATAATCGAAACAAAAAACAGGACTCCAATACATAGAAATAATCGACACACAAGAAATGCAAAACGTCTGAACGCCATGCTGCCCAACTGGAATTAAAATGTACATCTTCCTGAAAAGGGGTTTTTTTTTAAAAAAAGAAGCATCAGTACACCAAGTCTGATTGCCAATTATGTCTCTCCAACATCCACCATCACCGTATCAGCTTCACCGCCGTCGTGCAACGCGGCAGCCTTGATTTTACCCAGCCGCGGTGACGACCGGCCTCGAGTCCCGGATGCCAACACGGCGCCGTTCACGCCGCCGCGTTTGTCCGCCAGCCGCGTCGGCAGCGTCGGCGTGTGCACCTGCACGGTGTCCGCCACGGTGTGCTCGTCGTCGTCTTCGCCTTCGGCATCGGCCTCGTCGTCGTCGTCGTCGTCGTCGTCGTGATGGTCGCCACTGGCAGCGGGTTGGCGGCTCGGCGTGAAGGGTGGCGGCGGATGTTCATCGTCGGCGGCGGCAGAGGCCGTGGCATCGTGCGCCTCGCCCTCGTGTTTGGGGCCGCCATTGACTGCATCGCCCGAGCTCGAGCCCGAGCCTGAGCCTGCCTTATGCGACTCTGCTGCTGCAATCTTGCGCGCAAGCCAGGCCGGCGGCAGGCCCGGCCCACTGTCGGCATTCCCGTAGTCGCTCTTTTTGGTGCCCTTGGGCCAGCGGCCAGGTCCGCGGCCTGTGCCGCCCGTCTTTTTCTTGGACGAGCTCGGTGCCTTGGGCCGCGACGCGCTGACCACGGCCCGCCGGACGTGGCCCGTGGTGTTGTGGCGACTCCGTGCGCGGTTGCCGCTGCCTGTGCGGGCGCCTGGTGGCCGACCGATCGGTGCCCGTGGATAGCTGTTCAAACGGCGCGCCGATACCGGCGGGAACACGACAAACCGCGTTGTCGGGACCGAGCTGTAGGCTGCCGCCCAGTCGCCGCCGTTGCCGCTGTCGTCCTGCTTTTGTGAGCCATTGGCTGTGCCCGCCACGGACGGCGCGGGCGCCGCACCGTGGATTTCGTGGGCCGCGTCCGTCGCCGTGCCGTTGAGCGCCGTCGTGGCACGGTTCTTACTGCCGACAGCTTCGTCGCCCTCACTGTCGTCATCGTCCTTGTCTTCGGACTTGATGTCGCTCATAATGTTGGCGACTGGGGGTTCAATATCGGCATCCGCGTCGGCTTCGGCATCGGCATCGGCATCGGCATCGGCATCGGCATCGGCTCCAAGGGTTTTGCTTGAAGTGGCTGCCGATGCCGCGCTGTGGTCGCCGTTTGTCTTTGTGTCCGCCTCGTCTTTCGTCTCGGAGACAATGCCGTCCTTGTCGTTGGGCTCCGTGGACTCAAGGACCATGGCGGACGAGGCCAGCGCCTTGCCGTCCCCCGAAGTTGCGGTCGTCGCCGCAGCGTCTGCGGCAACGCCATTTGTGAGGCCGCCTTGTGTCGAGATGCTGTCGCTGTTGGCGAGGCGAGCCACAAACCGCTCGCCCGATTTTGGCTCTTCGTCCTCTTCGCGCGGTGCAATGGCCGTGAGTGCCGGCCCCAGCTCAAAGTTTGTGGCATTACCACGACCCATTACGTAGGGCGTCCACGTCAGCGCGGCCGGGTTGAGCGTCACGTACTTTTTGGACTCCCATTTGGCCACGTACTCGCGGCAGTAGGTCACGTCCACCCGGAACGCGTAGAGACCCGTCTGTGGGTCGCGCACGAGACACCGCAGGCCCTCGAGGGCCGAGATCACGTCGTCGGCCGTCATGCCTGTGTCGTCCGAGATCTGCTTGATCGACAGACCGAGCTTGGCGCCCCTGCTGGCCGTCATCGCGTCCAACAGGTAGCGGCACAGGACAAGGCGCCAGTAGTTCCGGTACGAGACCAGGCCCATGTCGGACAGCGGCTTCTCGGGCGAGCCCGTCTTCTCCTCCACCCGCGTGAGCAGGTACGAAAAGTCAATGAGCAGGTTGCCGTAGCCCTTGCGCTGGTGAATGGGCAGCGTCAGGATACAGCTGACATTGTTTTGGCTGCTGGCGCGCTTCTCTTTGGAAAAGTACCCCACAAAGTGGTACCCAAACTCGTCGTACTCGCAGAGCACGTAGAACAAAAACGGCTCCACGTCGTAATAGAGAGTCTTGGACCCAAGGAACAACTTGGCCAGCAAACACAGGTTCTGGCAGTACACCGGGTTCTTCCGCCCGTCCACCTCAAAGAACGAGATGGACTCGTGCCGGTAGATCTCGTCGCCCGGGGGGTGCTTGGCCGGGCACTTGAGCTTATGCCGCCACGCCACGTAGTCCGAGTTCATGTACTTGAGACAGAACTCGCAAATGTAGAGTACACGGTTGCGGCTGTACTCTTCGGGATACGGTGCCGCATACCACGTGTCGATTTCCCACCCGCCAAACTCGATGCACTCAATCTGGCTGGCAGGGCCTGCGGCCTTCTTTTTCTTGGGTGGCTGGGTTGCCTCGGCCTCGGCCTGCATGACAAGCAGCCGCGCCCGCCACTCCTCCTCGGCCTTTTGCTTCGCATCGTCAAACCGCCGCCGGTCGTCCGGAGTGGGGAACGTTTTGGACGTGTCCGCCTCGGCCTCGGTGAGAATGCCACCGTACGGCTTGCCCTTTTGTTCGTCTGTGTCCTTGTCAAAGAAGGAGTAGAACGGCTGCGTGTATGCGGTGGTGGACGGCATCACAGGAAGAGCATCGCTGCCGACCGACAGTCCGTTTTCCGCGGCCAACTGTTCGAGTCGTTTCTTTTCTTTTTTGCTGATCCTTGGTGGCGCCGTGCCGCGCTTTGTGTATTTGCGCTTCTTCACTGTGATCCTGCGCAGGTCGGCAGGTGCCACTTTGATCTTGAGAATGAGACTGCCTCGTGTCTTTTTCACAACTGAAACTTGCGACGCGGCAGGCGGCTTTATCCGCAGGGAGCGGGCCGAGTTCGGCACTGTCGAATTGTGGATATCGGTAAACCCGTCAATGCTCAAATCTGCCGTCACATTCTTCCGGCGCTTGCGCAGGGACATGCCGCTGTCGACACTCTCGACCGGCGATGTTCGCCGTTTCCGCAACGAGCGCGGTGCACCGTCTGTCTGGTCCTCTGAGACAAAGCCTGTATTTGCGCCTAAACCACGCAATGCTGGCGACGACCTTGGCGTGTTGGCTTTGCGTGTCGCATGTATTGCTGTCTTTGGAGGTGTCCCATTTGCGACGTCCGCTCCGTTTGTCGTTTGGAGAGTTCCGTTTCCATCAACGTCCATCGTCTCGACAGCAGCGTCTCCTGCTTCTGTGCGGATTTTCGCAACACAATCCGGGCATTGCCATGGCTCTATTTGTGCGTGTTAGCAAACAGAAACGAAAAGAGCATGGTTATCACTCTGCAGCAAACACAAATTCGCTGGGGAATACGTACCCTCTGCAGTAAACCCGTCGGGCGCCTGATGTTGGTAGGAGCACTCCACATGCGCTGGGGTTGCGAGTTAGCATCATGTCCATTGCCCCATTCTTTGCATGTGTCTCTTGCCAGAGACTTACCCCTGTTTGTACACGTTGGACATGTCCAGAGATTCGGGTCGCTCTTTCTGGGTTTGCCATAGCCTCGCCTGCAGTACAGGCAGTCCAAGTGATAGTTGAACGCCGCCCCGTCCTCATCTTCTTCATCGTCGTCATAGACATGTTCTGCGGCGGCACCGACTTGGCTTGCGCCTTCGTCCTCGTCTCCAACCTCTTCCTCCTCTTCCTCCTCCTCCACTTCTTCATCCTCATCGTCGTCATTGGCGTTCCGTGCCTGCTCTTCCCACTCTTCGTCACTGGACTCCCCGGAAGCAGCGCTGGCTTCGCTTTCGTCGTCGTCGTCGTCCTCTGTTTCACCAGGCCGAATCTTAACCGCACCTACGCCCTCAGCGTCGCCAACAGCGTCGTCGTCCGACGCCTCGTCCTCGTCGCGGCCTTGTTCGCTGTCGTCTTCCCCTTCGGCATCGTCATCATCGCCCTCCTCTTCGTCGTCTTCGCCGTCATCGTCTTTGACACGCAGGCGTCGTCGTCCTGCTGCTGTTGGTAGTATTGTGTCGTCCTCGTCCAGCTCGTCCTCGACGTCCTCGCCGGCGCCGTCGGACTCGTAGTCGTCTGCGTCGTCGTGGAATTCATCGTCTTCTTCCCCTTCGGCGTCCTCCTCCTCCTCCAACTCCTCGCTTTCCTCTCCCGTGTAACGTTCGCCGTCACCAGCCGAGGCGTCGCTCTTCATGCCGTTTGTCATGCCAAGCTGAGCGGCCCGGTCGAGCGTTCCGGTGCTCTCGTCATCGTCCATTTGCGACGATGCACTTGGCTCCGAGACAGCCGCGCTGCTTTGAAGCTCCTCCTGGATAAGTTGCTCGCTCGCCATGGCTGCAAATGTCCCCTTCTCGGCGGGTCATCCACCGCCCCGGCGCGGTCCGTAAATGTGCGCAAGGCGCAAAAAAGGGTATGTTGTACGGAGTAGAGTATCGAGATGGGAGCGACGAGGTGCAAAGGCGGGAATAAAGTGCGTTACTGTCTCCAGATTGCCGTCAAGTTCGCTGGTCGATCAGGCGCCAGCGTGGGCATTGCAGGGAGGCGAGCCACAGCAAACAGGACGTGGCCTCCAAATGTGGTGTTTCCGGGTACGCAATGCCGATAGCAACAGACGTGCAAAAGGATGCTGTCGTTGGCAACAAAATCGTAGTGAGGTGAAGGAGAAGTGGAGGTGGCAACACTTTTTCGGTGCAGGGATGGAGACCCGCGTTGCAGGTTGCGCCGGCGCTGATTGTCGGCCGAAAAGGTGCCGAACGCGCTCTGTTAAGGCTGCTGGTCGCGATAGAGGTTCTGGTACAGCGAAAGGCGCGGCGTTGGTGATAAAGGACGCGTCGAAACGGGGTTGTTCAGTGGCCGCAAGGACGTTGTTTTGGCTTGCACGATCGCCGGTTTGTATGTGTTCCTCCGCTCCTGCCCCTTTGGCGAACAGCTCCTCCCCTTCTCCGCGTCCACTGCGTGCCACCTTGTTCGTTAGTCACATTATGTAACCCAACGCGACCTGGCCCCAAATTCCACAGTGCTGAGAAAGAAGCTCCACTTTTATTACGGGCGTCCGCACCTGCTGTATTTGAGAATGCCCGCGTAGCTTGTGGCCTCAGGCCGCAAGTTTTTTGCTGCGCCAGTGAGAGGCAGGCAATTGAACATTCCCTCAATTCGAGATCTTAGCCGAACCTCACGACCGAGCGAACGACCACGATCCCAGGCTTCGGATTCGACGGCCAAAATCTCGGACTGCGAACCCACCTACTCAATCGAAAGCAGCTGCGAGCTTCATCGCATCACCACCACCCACAATGCCTGTTCCCTTCGAGACTCTTATCCCGTACGGGATCATGATTGTCGTAAGCCGCGACCCGATCAGCAGACGAAGATGGCCTGACGGCGATACGGGGGACTACTAGGTTACCAGTCTAGGACAGGTTGCTAAGGACAATATGTTTGCTCAATTCTAGATGTTTGGTGTTTCAGGTGCCGGCCTGTCCAAGATCCGGCACATGCAGAACGGCGGCAAGCGGGCGCGGCGGTCGACTGACCAGTGGGACAGAGTGAGTTTGAGCCGAATTCGGACAAGAGATTTACACGATGCTGGACTCAGGATGCTGACTACCATTGCAGCAAAGTGCGTATTTGCAAAGGGCCCGAACGACGACAAACGCAGCTCGAAATGCATCTCGAATCGCTCGTGGACTAACAGCATCGAATTCGTAGTGATGGACCGCGACCGGAGACTCACAGGCCTGTTACGAGGACAGACAGACAACCCATCGGCGCCGCCAGGCTTCGAAGTGAACAACCCGTGGAGAGTACGTCAACTGAAGCTGCCGGATGCTGCCAGATGCTGTCCGACTGTTGTTTCAAAACCTGTTTGCTGGGAGCTAACCAATGTGTCTGCAGTTGGAGAAGCGCTTCTCATAAGCGGCAAACAGCGACGATGTGACGAAATGGAGGATACGTTGAATGTATGGTCGTTGTCACCGCGCCGGAAGGAAGTGCTGTCCGCTCTGTGTCGTGAATCAGCAAAACACCTTGTCATAACGGACGCACGTACACCCACAGTTTGGCAATCGAATTGGATTGCACCACCAGTACATAAAACAACAAACTTTGTTCTATTTTTTACGGGATATCTCAAAAATTGTCATTGCGTCGTAAAGTCTATACAGTCTATGTGATGTGAAGTGGGATGGGACCACCAGGAACGAGAAAAAACGCCGACGATGCAGGACCTATATCTGGATCTGTGGCCGGTTCTTGTTCAGGCCTTCCAGCAATGTGCACGCTTGGCACATGGCCTGGCTGGACATGTAGCCGCACTTTACGCACGTTCCGAGAACTTGCTTGGCGACTGCGTTTCTGCCTTGTGGCTGGCTGGGCGTTGACGTTGCTGCTGGTGATGTCGGTGCCGGCGGCGGAGCAGCCTTCGTTTTATTTGCAGGCACGTGTCCGTCGTCCAGCTGCTGCTGTTTCCGGGCTAGGAACAGAGAGGCCATGTCGGTCTCAAGTGACTCGGCGGCCTCGTTGCTTTTGAGGTGTGCCTCCATCGCCGCCAGCTCGTTGCCCGACGAGCGGCCGCCCTGTGAGCCGCACCCGCCTGCTCCACCCCCGCCATCGGTGCCGTCGTCGACTGGCAATGGTGGTGCACCTGCCGCGGCCTTGCTTGCTGTTGCTGTCGTCTTTCCAGCCTTGCCTGCGGACCCGGAGCAGGAACAGGAGGATGCAATGGGTGCAGCGCCGGGCACCAGCCGGGCCATGTCCTCGCCACTACGCACAATGTCCAGGATGGCACTCGGACGCACCCGTTCGAGGTTCTTGATGAGGCTGCGCGCGCTGCCGCGGAATGCTTCCGGGCTGTAGATGCACTCGGTGCTAAAGTAGTCCAGCTTCTTGTGATGCGCGTAGAGCACAATCTCCTTTTCGTACGCGTACTTGAGCGGCTTGCTGCGCTTCACATCGACGTCGGCACGGTCGCCGCCCGTCACAATGCTTGTGCTTCGGGACAAACGCGGCAGGTCGCCCCGCAGCAGGTTCATCAGCACCGTCTCGGCGACGTCATCCGCGTTGTGTCCCGTGACGACGTGCTTGATCTCAAGCAGCTTGGCGCCGCGGTCAAGAGCCTGACGCCGGAAGACGCCGCAGTAGGTGCAGTTCCCTTTCTTGCCAATGGTCTCGACGACCTGGTCCATGGTCCAACCGTACAGCTCGTCGTAGCCCACAATCTTCAGAGGCATGTCGTACTGCACGGCATTGCGCTTGACCGTCTCGAGCGAGTCGTCGCGGTAGCCTTTGATGCCCTCGTCGATGCTGAGCAGAACGAGGTCCAGGCCGTACTTGTGGCGCTCGTTGAGCGTCTTGAGGACCGAAGCCAGCACGGTCGAGTCCTTGCCACCGGACGCGCCGATCGCAACGCGTTCGCCCGGACCAAACAGGCCCGACGAGGTGATCGTGTGGTGGACCTCGTCTTCAAAGACGGCGATGAAGCACGTCTTGCACAGCTTCTGGTGGTTCTTGGGCCGCTTGATGAGCGCACGCTCCGTCTTGCAGAGCACACATAGCGCAGGGGCCATGGTGGGAGGATGAACAGTGGCTGTTGACTTTGTATCTGTGCATCGGCGAAACAAATATCTAAACAAAAGAAATAAACAGTCAACGGACGCAGCAAGAAGTCTGCAGGTAGACCAGGTGGGACGCTTGGTTGTGACTGCAGCCTTGGACTAAGAAGAATCGTCGACCGACTGACCAATCAGCCTTTCGCAAGATTCGTTTGATCTTGGGATGCACGAGGCTCAGATAGACCCACTTTATTTTGGTAAGAACAAAGCTCACTGCAAAGGCTACCAAAAATGGCTGCCCGCGCCACCGAAAAGTGGCGACCAGAACAACCTGGCTCCCTAGTAAGCCCGAAAAGGGAAGGCGTGAAGGAGCAACTTTAGCGTCATGAAGAGAGTTTTTCCGAACAGCACGGATTTTCCGGCCAATCAATTTTTCCGCACCTTTCTGCCCCTCCAACCCTAGTTTTTTTGCGCGCACGACATTTTTGGCCCAGCTAGCGTACGTTTTTTTTATAGGTTGGGTTCGACTATTAGGGAAATCTTTTCGACGTTTCGAAGGCTCGTTATTTTTCCCCTTCCTCTTTGTCTTCACGTCTCTCATCACCAACGACAGCAGGACAACATCTCGACACAATGGTAAGCATTTGACTTTGATGGCTTCGGTCGATTTCTGCGAACAGTGCTTCTGCCTAGTATGCGCTTCATTGTGCAGAACGGCCAGGCTGAGTGATTCAGTTCAACCAACCTGAGCAACCCAAATTTCCGCTTGGTTGTCCAGCTTCCTCTCTTCGTCCTTGCCTTTGCCTCACTTCGTCTCGAAAGAGGAAGAGAGCAAATGTGCACTGGCATGAGAGCGGTGGCGACACAATCTGGTGATGAATTGGCCTGAGCCGCTCGACCTCATGATGGGGCGATATGAATGGCGAGGACGTTTGAGATGAAAGAGGAAATTGGCTGAGCAGAAACGCCGGCCTCGTCCCCTTGTCACACTCATGTCTCTCTCTACGTCCTCTATCGCTTCGCATTACAGGTTCGATGCTCTACTAGAGTTTAAAAAAGATCACACATGCTGATCTTTTTTTCTCAATGATAGGCACCCAAAGCTACCGGCAAGAAGGCCGCTCCGGCCCCTTCCCCCAGTCCCGCGCTGGCAAGAAGGCCCCCAAGGTTCGTACTCTTCTCCCCAGGCCTGGCACTTCTTCGTCCTCACCGACGCCTGTCTGACCCTTTCGCTGCAGAACCCTCTCATTGAGAAGCGCCCCAAGAACTACGGCATCGGCCAGGACATCCAGCCCCGCCGCAACCTGTCGCGCATGGTGAAGTGGCCCGAGTACGTCCGCCAGCAGCGCCAGAAGAAGATCCTCGGCCTGCGCCTCAAGGTGCCCCCAGCACTGGCCCAGTTCCAGCACGTCCTGGACCGCAACACGGCCGCCCAGGCCCTGAAGCTGCTCAACAAGTACCGCCCGGAGACCAAGGCCGAGAAGAAGGAGCGCCTGCTGAAGGAGGCCACCGCCATCAAGGAGGGCAAGAAGAAGGAGGACGTCAGCAAGAAGCCCTACACCGTCAAGTACGGCCTGAACCACGTTGTCGGCCTCGTCGAGAACAAGAAGGCCTCGCTCGTCCTGATCCCCAACGACGTCGACCCCATTGAGCTCGTTGTTTTCCTGCCGGCTCTGTGCCGCAAGATGGGCGTCCCCTACGCCATCATCAAGGGCAAGGCCCGCCTCGGCACTGTCGTGCACAAGAAGACGGCCGCTGTCCTGGCCCTGACCGAGGTCCGCTCCGAGGACAAGACCGAGCTGAGCAAGCTCGTCTCGGCCGTCAAGGAGGGCTACCTGGAGAAGAACGAGGAGGCGCGCAAGCGGTGGGGTGGTGGTATCATGGGCGACAAGGCCAACAAGCGCACCGAGAAGAAGCGCAAGGCTCTGGAGTCCGCCATCAAGGTGTAAGCGCGAGGCTGGTCTTTTGTTGGTCTCTCTTACACCTCGCCTTCTCTTTGACGTTTCCGTGACGAATCTTGTTATTTTTCCTCGTTTTTCTCGTTTTGCATGCGAGCGGTGCTGTTCCCACATCGGGACCACCTGGCGTCCTGGTCACCAAAACACTATTTTATAGGCAGAAAAGCAAAATAAAAATTGCAAAAAGGACAACCAAAAAAAGAGAAAAGAGGTCATAAACGTTACCATTGTTCGTATTCGTGACATGTGTGATATGTGAAGCGGCCAAATCGACTTGCACAATGTACAAAATAGACGAGGATACATACGACGTACGTAATGCTGTATGTCGCACTCTGCGCGAATGAACGACAAAAGTCAAGTGCCAAGCTGTTTGACGTGCGTCGTGGACCCATGGTCGTCACCCGTCAGGCGTCAGTCTCGATACCGGATGGAAGGCTTACTGTCCGTCCGAGAGAGCCAAGAATGTGTTTGTGAGTGGCATGTGCTGCCGCATCTGCCACTGTGCATTCTAGAGTAGAGCCTGAGCCACAAACTTCTGCGAGACCGAATATCAGCCACGGAGCGAGGGTGGTGAGTGTCTGACAAGGAGGCCGAGTTCACGGACAAGAGGTACGGACTTCACTGACATTCCTAACAAGAGGGTGTGGATGTGTGTCTGGCCGCGTTGGGTTTATGGTGTGTCTGATGCATTCAGGGATAGAATAAGCAAAGCACAATGAAGTGTCTCTGGAACTCCGTAAAGGTGTGCAAATGTCAGGTGACATCTAGAAATAGCACTGACAGTCAACAATGATATTGCAAACGGCAAGGGCAGGGTGGGGGTAAGTGGACAAATCTGAGTGAAGCCGTCAAGGAAGACGATAGTGCTAAATACAGTGGAGACCCGGCGTGGGGAGTGCTGTTGTATGTTGTGTGCTGTAAACGGAAGGAACTCATGGTGGTGCGATGCGCAGCGGCTGCCTTGTTCTAGGATGTGGTGCCCTGGGATGCGAATTCAGCGAGAATGCCCTGTTTCGAAAAGGGGAAAGCTGAGAATGCGACAAGGGCCGACCAAATGGCACAAGTGCACAGATAGTTCCCTGGGCTCTGTAACGGACACAGATGGCCGGAGCACGGAACAGTGTGAAGGAAACCAACCGATCGACGGTAGGGTGTCACAAAAATGAGACAGGAGAAACCGGACTGTTGAAGTTGACGACTTGCTCGTCTCCAATTGCTGGCGTTGCTGTTTCTTTTGTTTGCTCCTCCTGGTCTTTTTTGTTGGTTGTCACTTCTGAGGCTGCCTTGTGATAGCACAGAGTGCGCTGCATATTATTATTTTCGACGTGCACCCACCCTTGTGAGGTTGGCGAGAGCGTCTTACCCACTGCGACAAGTGCTCCAGACCGTCTCTTCCTCAACTTCAACAAAGCTCTCTCCCTCTTTACCCCGCCGATGCACTCCTTCACTGGGCTGTGTGACCATATTCTATAATCTGGCGCCTAGAAGGGCAACAATGAAATAAATAAAACCGACTTGGCTGGTGCTCTTTCCCTGGATGCGGTAAAGCTACTAAAACTAATGATTGCGACCTACTAAACGTCTCCCCCTCCCACTTCACGTTCGCCAAGCACGTCCTCACATTGTGTAGTGTTTACTTTAGGGGGAGTATGTCGCCGTTTCCGTCTTCTGCCTTCTGATATGTGACCCCGTAACGCCAACGCACTTTTGTGGCGTGGCCAGACTCGCCTCCTTTCAACAGACGTCTTTCTCCGGCCGGCCGCAATGAAAGGGGGATCGCCTCAAGCTAATAAGAAGAGGAGATGGGCGATACGTGCAGTTTCTAGTTTGTTGACGATTACCCCGGACATGATGGACACAGACGAGTTTCAGCTGCTTGCTGCCGCCGCATCTAATTCTGCCTCTTTGCGTGTGATGCACACCGACCAGGGACTGCCATCCCCGTCCTCAGCGTGTCGTAGGCCGACGGGGTTGAAAAGCAGGGGCGACAACGGGACGTAGCAGACCTAAATCGTCTGTTTCACCAAGCGGTCCTCCCAGCAGGGCCCGGAAGCACTGCTACAAACAGGAGCACAGGGCATCTCTGCGCCGTCATTCGCGATGACAGTGGCGCCTGCATCCGATGATACCATGTCGTTTACGTCGTGGCATCCCATATCTGTGAAGACGCCCTTGCCAGGAACCAGTTTTACGGCTCTGCTTCCTTTCTCCAAAGCCTCGCCGGTCTTTCCATTTGCCATGTCTCTCCCTCTTCCGGTCTCTTCTCTCCCCACCCCTCTCCATTGCCTCTGTGGTCATGCTGCCTGGTCCACGTGTGCTGTGTGTGGCTATTGTGCTGTCCATCTCACTCGCATCATGCGATTTCCCGCCAAAATTTGGTATCAGTTGAACTGGATGCAGCAAATCGCGCCTTTCACATTTCTCTTCTTGACGTGCACCGCTTGCACCTTCCTTAAATCCACGGCTCTGGCCGACACACACCAAACGGCATCCTCAATGCAACCTCGAGGTAGAAAAATAACACGCCTTTATTCCATCATTGCCATCCTCTTTTCGTCTGACAACGCAGTGCCCTGTTATGCATGCCTTTTCAAATTCACCGAGCTCCGAAAGCAGCTCGCCATCTCGCGCAAATACATTTCCAAGGCACCCCGTCTTTTGCGCTCTTCGTTCCGCGCCGTTTGATACTTTGTTATTCTTTTATTTTCGCCTTCTCAACCACCCTCACGCCCTACACCCTCGACTAACTGTAACTGTCGTGTTATCTCTCAGGAGCGAATGTTGAAAATGGCCACGTAAATAAATCAACATAAAACTCTGATATTCGAGACGAGAAAACAAAAACTGCGCGAACAAGAACAAAAGAGATACTGTCAACAACATTCAGGGAACACTGGAATTTTGGCCGAGCACCACTCCCAAGACAACGAGACGAAAATAGGAAGGCAGAAAAAGAGCACCGTGAAGAACAGAGGCAGAAAGGGACCAGTCGGATCGACCGCTGCTTTCCAATACACCCTTCCCCCCCAACACTCTTTCAGCACTTACACACGCGACACCCCTGTGTGTCTGTTCTCAAAATCCCTCGCACCCTTTCCGTCATCCTCGTACACACCCTCGTCCATCGGAGTATTCCTCTGTCCTGGCACCTCCTGTAACTGTCGACGAGATCTGTGCTGTCACTTTCACAACCCCGTATGTCTCGTCTGGTGGTGTCGCCGCATTTGTTAATCCCTCCACCTGCGTGTGGCATCACCTGCTCATGTCTGGCCCAGTTCCCTTTCCACGGAGAAGTTCTTCTTCTGGTCTGCCTCATCCCGCCGATTTCCTTGTGTCTCTTTGCCTTTTTAGCCTTATTTGTTTCACGCACGCCCACCACCCCCTTGCTCGCCTCACCAACGAGGTCTTGGTCCTGCATTGCTCCGATGGGGTGAGTTTTGCTCTTTTTCCCTTTTATTTCCCTTTTCACATTTTATATTTCCCATCTTTTTGTTCCCTTTTTTATTTTATTTCTCCCTTTATTCATCAATATCTACGTAGTACAGGCCGAGCTGGCATTTTCGAACCTCCTTATCACCCTCGTCTCAACCGCTTCTCGTCTTTCTGATGCCATTTTCGCCTACTCGATAATATTGGACGACACGGTACGACTGCAATTTCACCGACCTCGGTCACTTCGGACCAGTCTAGGCCTCGACTTTTACCTCACACCTCACAATGGCGGACAGCAAGCGTATGTTACACGATCCAGAACCGACACTCTCACCAAGCGTCTCATACTGACCGGTCTTTCCAGAGAGCTCGTTCAGCTATGCATTAAGCTCCAACGCGGCCTGGGCTAGTTACAAGGCGCACCAAAACCCGAGCTTCTTTCCCAACTTGGCCAGTGGACAGTCGCCAAAGTTTCGTAAGTTGTTGCCAACAAGCTGTCGGGAAGCTGCACTGGAAGCAGTCGCTGGAAAACAAAAGGGCAAACCTGGCATGAGACTGCGTACTAACCCCACGTCCTCCAGTCTGGCTAGGCTGCTCCGACTCGCGGTGTCCCGAGACAACCATCCTCGGCCTGCAACCCGGCGACGTCTTTGTCCACCGCAACATCGCCAACATCATCTCGCCGACCGACATCAATACCTCCGCCGTCATTGAGTACGCCGTCGTCCACCTCAAAGTGAAATACATTGTCCTGTGCGGCCACTCGAGCTGCGGCGGCTCCGTTGCCGCGCTCAGCGACTCCCGTGTCGGTGGCGTGCTCGACACGTGGCTGACGCCGCTCAAAGCACTGCGTGCGGCCCACTCCGAGGAGCTGGCGGCCATCCGCGACGACAAGGTCCGCGCCGTGCGCATGGCCGAGCTCAACGTCGAGGCCGGGGTCAAGGTGCTGCTGGCCAACGTCGTCATCCAGGAGGCCATCAAGGAGCGCGGGCTCGAGGTCCACGGCTGCCTGTTCGATCTGCCCAGCGGCCGCGTGCGGGACCTGGGCTACGGCACCGGCAAGAGCGCCGGCATCTTTGGCGGCGAAGAGGTGGTGCGTGGCAACCACGGCGTGCTCGTCTTCCGTGCCGGCAACGCCTCCATGGCCATCCGATGATGCGGTGCTCGCATCTTTTTTTTTATCCGTTTCGGAGTCTTCTTGGTGGCGTTGAAATGCGGTTCCGGTCGGTCTCCGCCGTCTGGCGTCCCCATTGCCCAAGTAGAGTTGGGGTGGTTAGAGCATACATATGGTGGCCGGATTGGGTTCGGCTTGCGTGATTTTGTCGTCATGTCGATTTCTCATGTCTTGTACGATTTTGAGGTCTTCTCTGTTCTCTTGCACTGCTTTTATATTTTATCGGAGCGAAGCATCATTCATCCTGTGCAGCGAGATCGAGGCCCTTCTATATATCATGTGCAGCGAAGCGATTTGGCTGTCGCCTCTGTTCTTATCATTCTTGTTTTCGTCTTCTGTTTCTCCCGGTTCTTCGGAATACATACTTTCTTAGCACGCCAGGTAGACTTGGGGAGAGCATATGTAATTGAATTTTGTTGCTTTGCATTTCCTCGATGTCAGCCGCGAGTAGGTTTCTTTCCAGCTCGAAGCCATACGATGTAAGAGCCGTTGTTATGTTTACTGCCAATGGGCTTGTCGATCACAGACACCGCCTTTTGCCTCGTGCTTTCTCCGTTTTGTTTGCTTCTGTCGCCTTTCTCTTTTACCAAGATGGCCTCTCGGTTGCCTTCCTCAGCTTCTGCCCTCTGAGCTAAGACATGATACCCCACTGATAGAAACGGTCCCTCCTCTCCTTGCACTTTGTTTTACCAGTGCGACTTCCTTGATCGATCCTGCACTCTCATTCAAGTACAATTGAAGTTCCCTTGCTCCTTCCGTTCCGCGGAGCAGTTTCGCTCTCTCGTTCCTTCCATTTTACCTCTCTCGTTCCTTCCTTTCACAGTCCTCCCCGCCGCTTGGCCCTTCCTCTCACGTCACAACCCCACCATGCGAGGCAAGCACACGCAGACGGCATGGTTGCGCCTGCCAGACTTGTCAAAAGATAGGGCCGGTTTAGCGCTTGTGTCATCCACTGCAGCCCAGAATCAACTCCGTATAGCAGAGAGCTAATTCCCGTGTGGCGAAAGTTCACAAAGAAAACAAGACGGATCGCGCATTGGTGACGCACTCACTTCTCTCACCTATCCACACGCGACAACGCCAGAGGGGCAGAACACAGCTTCGACATCCCAACCATAGTCTTCGATTTGGCTCTCTACTGGTCTGTTGATATACGATTGCAGTTGTAGTAGAGAACAGAGCACCCATCTGATCGCAGCTTTTCCCCGACTTTTTTATTTGAAAAGTAGCTTCGCCGATTCTGTTCCGACTGCCCGACCCCGACAACTCCGCTCGCCCATCACACTTTCTGACACACGGCCTAATTGCCCAAGGGCAGCCCTGTGCACGTTGCACTTACATAGGCAAACCGGCAGACAACAACCTTGGGTCGATCATCACCAGTGGCAGCCGTATCTACAGTTCCACGACGGCAGACACAAGCACAACAGCACCGGCACGCCACCATGTCGCTCACGATTCTCAAGGACGACGAGATTGCCGAGCTTCTCAACTACCTCACGTTTGACGAGCTGGAGTCGTTCCGCAGCGTCCTGAAGCAGGCCCTCTACGAGTACTCGACCGGCACCCAGAGTGTTCAGGATGGCGACATCCAGCAACCGCCGCGGACGTCCGTGACATCGCCAGTCACCGGCTGCACAACGCTGTTTATGCCATCATGCAGCACGGAGGGACTGGGCATGAAGGGTAGGCGGGAGATTGGAGATTGGCTTTTGTCGAGACGATAGGTTTTGTCCCATGCTAACATACATGTCCGTCGATATAGTGATTACACTCTCCAAAGCGAGAAAGGACACGCTGCCCCCACCCGTGGGCACGCAGGCCAAGGCCAACATCCGGCCGACCGGCGCCCTTACGCTCTACTCCGAGACGGGAAACCCCATTGGCATTCTGCACGCCAGCACGCTGACGGCCTTCCGCACGGCGCTGGCCTCGGCCTGTCTGCTGCAGCGCCGCGACACCGTCAAGAACATCACCGTCTTTGGCTGTGGCGAGCAGGCCTACTGGCACGTCCGCCTGGCGCTGCTGCTCCGCGGTGACACGATCCGCCACGTCAACATTATCAGCCGCCGCTTCGACTCGTCGCGCGCCTTTGTCGCCCGCTTCTACAAGATGGCCACGGCCGTCAAGGAGCGCGAGGGCTGGGCCTCCGACACCAAGTTCAGCATCCTCACCACGGGCTACAACGACTACGAACGTCTCCTGTCCGAGAACCTGCGCAGCTCCGACGTCATCTTCTGCTGCACGCCCTCGACCGAACCTCTGTTTGACCACCGTGTCCTGACCAACCACGAGGGCCGCCGCCGCGGCCGCCTGATTGTGGCCATTGGCTCGTACACGCACGAGATGCGCGAGCTGCCGGCTGAGCTGCTGCGCCAAGCCACCAAGACGCCCGACAAGACCCACGTGCACTACCACAAGCACGCCGTCGAGGGCGGCGTCGTCGTCGTGGACACGCTCGACGGCGCGCTCAAGGAGGCCGGCGAGATCGCCGAAGCTGGACTCGGCCCGCGCCACCTCGTCGAGCTCGGCGAGCTGGTCATGTTGTCGCGCGTCGCGCTGCTCGACGACGACTCGTCCGAGGACATCCAGAGCCTGTCGAGTGCGAGCACCTTCAGCGCAACATCCAGCGAATTCGAGAAGCTCAGCCTCAACGGGCCGGCCATGTCGTCCGTCTACGGCAGCAGCCAGGACACCATGCCGAAGATTACAACCTCCCACGCTCCCAGCACGGCCGACGCCCTTGCGAGTCCGACAACACCTACAGTGGCCAGTGGCGGCGGCAGCAACAGCCGGTCCGCGTCACCCGCGCGCAAGGGCAGTGGCGGCCTGCTGTCCAGCCTGACGCCGCGGCACCACCGACGCAGCTCGAGCCAGGCGTCCGTCGACCGGCGCAAGAAGAAGGAGGACCAGTCGGCGCGCTGGCTGCAGCGAGGCAACGTCATCTACAAGAGCGTGGGGCTCGGTCTCATGGACCTCAGCGTCGGCTTGCGGCTGATTGACTTTGCCCGCGAAAAGGGCGTTGGAACACGCGTGCCAGGATTTTAAGCGAACATGAAAATGAAAACGATCAGTGGTTTTATGACATTTCCAATATGTTTGTGTATATTATGATATTTGTGCTCTGTCTAAGTGGATCCTTCCGTTTCCCGCCCAGCATCTTTTCCGAAACAAATCTATTCCCAAGTCCACAATACAAACAAAACTGTCGGCATTCCCACAGACTCGTATACCTGCTTTCTTGCGGCGGGACCATGGTCTGCATCCTATTGAAAATCAACGATGTCCTGGAGGCCAAAGTCCAGGCGATGCTGGTACCGGTCACGGAACGACACTGTGTCCTCGGAGACATCCTTGCGGCCAAAGCGATGGCTCCATTTCTTGATCCGCGTCGTCTCGTCCAAGCGGGCGGCAGCATCAATGCCTCGCTTGTCGTACCCGCGCATGTCCTCCTTGGTCGTCTTGTCAAAGAGGAACCGAGGCACACGCTGAAACTCGTACTTGCGGTTGCGGAAGCGTGGCAGCCACATCGGTCCGCTTTCAATGTTGGGACGGGCCATGCTATCGCCCGTTTCCATGAGCGCCACATCCAGGTCATACGTCTGGTAGAGGGCTCGGTCGCCACTGCCACCAGTTTTGCCATTGGCGTTATTATTCCCCTTGCCAATGCTGCTTTTCACTGCCGTCGTTATCGAACCCGACGTGGGCTCGCGGTAGCCGAAATACGGAGCGCCGCCCCCGTCCGTCCAGATGGCCGTCCGAATTTGACCCGATAGCCCGCCACGTGGACCCGAATAGCGAGGCGACTCGACGCCGACAACCTGCTCGTGCAGATACGACTCAACGACGCAGTTTTTGAGCCCGGCGTAGAAATTGGACGGTGCCAGGTCGGACGAGGATGCACGTACGAGTGCGAACACGCCCGTGGCCGTGACATTGTGGGCCTCAAGCGAGCGTTGCAAGAACAGCGACGCGCTCGACCGGTAAAACAAGTCGCGAGAGGCCGTGTGCCAGCGGCAACGAATCGAACGCAGCACATCACAACGCTTCGTGTGGCGTAGGTGTAATGGCACGTGTGGTGCCGGCGGCGGCCAGTTCTGGGCAGTGCGCAACTCGGGCGGCAAAAAATACGGCATCGGCCTCGTGTTTCGATGTGACGTACCCGGTCCATCGGCGAGTGACAGCCCAGACATGTTTGTCGATCTAATTGCGGTCGTGGGCACGGGAGGTGTGGGAAACGGGAGCGACTGCGAGCAGGGAAGAGCGTCGGTGTGGTAGTATCGGCGCGGCCAGCGCAGATCAAAGACCTTGAGGCCTGCCGAGTTCTGGTTGCCCGTGATGAAGCGATCGGTGCCCCAAATCAGCATCGCCTGCGCAGATTCCTGGGGACCGAGTACATTGTCTTGATATATCATGTCGTAGGGGCTGGCTGTGCGCAGGTCTTGCAAGCGGCATGTTCCATCACGCCAGCCGCTCAGCGTGAGATGTCCGTTTCCGCCAGTGATGGATGAATACGGCACTGGTGTGAGCGACGTCGGGATCACTAGGGTGGTGTCCTTCAGGCTGTAGTGCTCCATGAGATCAGGCATTGTGTACGCCGACGTCAGCTCAACCGGGCCAGTCGGCGTCGCAGTGAGATATCGCAGTGGGTTCGCCCCGGCGCCCATAGCAACGGCAAGCGTCCCTCCAGCCTCCATCCATCGAGCATTGAAAGGTTGGCGGTTGCCATTGGGATATAGGCCGACGTCTTCCAAGGGAAATGCAGAAACAGAGTGTATCGTTGCCGGCGAATCAGCCGCTTGACCCCCAGAGGAATCCGACGTGCTCTTTGGCTGAGGGATGGGATAAAACAGGATGTCAGAGGGTGTTGTCACCGCTGCAAGGCCACCATGAAGGCTACTCCCAAAAGCGGCCACATGCCGCGGGTTGGTCGACACGTCGATGCTGTAGATGCGGGTCTGGTCCACCTTGGTGTTGTGGTTCGGCACGAACTTGGCCAGAAGCTGGCCAAAGGTCTGATCCGGCTCCGCAGACAGCAATGAGACATCACCGTTGTCTCGACCGGCAAGAATGCCTCGTCGACGCGGCATGCCCATGGCATTCTCAATCACAGACACGGCTCGCACGTCGTCGAATCCCGGCCGATAGCCAGCTGCCTGGCCGTCCAAAACATGCATGACCAAGTTCACGGGTACACCGTCTTTGGTTTCGACGGGAGGTCGTTTGCGGAAACGGGCGACAATGTCCTCGCCGGCGCCAATGACCAGCATCTCTTCGCCATTCACGCCCAATCCAAGCGCCTTGCCGCTGTCGGCCAGGTCCGCCTGGAAATGGACAGCCAGGGACGGCATGTAGGGCCGCGGCCGCTTGTGGCGAGGAATGTGGTCCTGTTTTGGGATCAGGGCCTGGAAGGCCAAGGCCCGGCGGTCCCAAGCCCGGCTTTGCCATGTCAGGGACTCGGCCAGGGCGCTCCACCCGGGCTCGCCATCTCTGCCGTCGCGCATGCTGGCGTCAATCTGGCTCCTGTGGCCGACAGCATTGGTGCCGTCGGAGCTATTGGCGTTGGCTTGACCCTGGAGCTCGGCTGAGAAAACACCGGGGAAGCAACGGCGTGTGAAGGCCCGCCAGCCCTCGCTCTGCATGAAGCCATGGAGCTTGTGGCATGTCCCGCTCAAGCTGGCCTGGTCCCGGGCCGTGTCGAGGTTCTCGAGAATGAGAAACAGAATGTCATCTGGCAGCCGGTCGAGGGCTGCTCGATGACTGGCCATGTTCCGTGGAACAAATAAATGCAATTTAAATTGTGCAAAAATGCAAGTAGCAAACTACCGAAAGAGAGCCATTGTGGCTAGCTTGCATAGATGCCACAGAAATAACCGTAGAGAGGTGCTTGGGTGCTTGTTGATATGTTTGTTGTTGATGGAGAGAGAAGAAGCAGTGTCTGAGTAGTGAAGAGCGGCAAGATCGCGTGCTATATCTTCATTGCACTTTCCTCCAATGACGTGTGCCACAGTAGGAAAGAGCCTGGCTGGTTTGGCTGCCTGGTTCCAGAGGTGCACATTACAGGGTTCGGCAGCTTCTTCTAGCGGACTGCCGTAGATCCTTTCAGGTTCAGGGGATGACTCTTCACTAACACCTTAGCGCTGAGGCGCTGCACAATATCCGAGTCAGCGAGGCTCGGTACAACGGCAAGTGGGCCAGGCCAGTCCCCAATGCGCCTAGAAGCTGTAGGGCTGCCTTGGGCAGGAACGCTTGGCGATCGTATTTGTCTGAGAACCCCCGTAACGTCCAGCTCCTTCCCAAGTTGGCGATGTTGTGCGAGTCGGCAGAATAGCGACACATTGCTGACAAGATGTGTCACAGGGCATGGAAGGAGCGGAATGACCTCTGACTGCAACATAAAGTGTGACTTGTCCCTGGACTTAGGGAACAATGAATCTGCTCCACCGTTCCATCCATCCATCTGCAATTCGAATCATCGCCAGCCTTGCTGCGCCCCCGGCTCATTTGCATGCCATCTTGGGACCGTTGAAGCGAGCCTCGCCTGAAGTTGCACTGTCTAGGCCTGTTTTGAGCGACCAGCCTCGCTTCGTGCACCACCATGGATTCCTCTTCGGCACTCTTCTCCTCGACATTTGGGACGTCTCTGTTGCCGTGGGCATTGTTTACGCTGGCTGCCATTTCCGTTTCCCGGTTTGTCGTCTTCCCACTCGTTGGCAGCCCGTTGAACCAGATCCCCAATGCACACTGGTCGGCTCCCTTCTCGTCGTTGTGGATTCTCTCCGTCCGCTACAAGGACGCCGAAACTGAGACCGTCGCGGACGCCCACAAGAAGTTTGGGCCTGTCGTGCGGCTCGGTCCGAACGATGTGAGCATCGACAGCATCGACTATGTCAAGACCGTTTACAGCGGGCCCTTCAACCGGACGAAGTGGTACGGCATATTTGACAACTATGGGTAAGATGTTTTTTTCTTTTGCAAGTACCAGGTTATACACCGAGAGAACACGCTTTAACTCGTGCACAGCGTCCCTTGCATGTTCTCGGTCATACCGGTCAAGGAGCATGCCATGCGAAAGCGCATGGTCTCGCATGTCTATTCGAAATCGTTCCTCCAGGCATCGCCTGCCGCTGCCGGCCAGGCTCGTGCCATCCTGCTCGACCGGCTGTTGCCCATCTTGGCGGATTCCGCGAAAGCGGGCCAAGAGCCCAAGGGCGTCGAGATGTTCCAGTTGTTCCAGGCGACGAGCATGGACTTCATCACATCTTACATATATGGCCTCCGCGGCGGCACCGATTTTTTGCGCAACCCAGCCGCCCATGGCCATTGGATCCAGACGTATCTGACCCGATTCAGTGCTTTCTTTTTCCAACAGGAGCTCCCTGAGCTCTCACGGATGGTCGCAAAATGCGGCATCTTTCCGTTGCTGCGGTCAGCGGTTCGGGCCACCAACGAGCTTGCCGACTGGAACCAGACGCTGTTCGGGACGGCGGCGGCGCGGCTTGACAGTCCGTCGGTGGATGGTGGAGACGACCAACCGTCACCGGAGGACGAGCCTACGGTAGTAAAGTCGTTCTTGTCTGCCGTTGAGCGCGAGAATACTGCGCACGGCGCAGAGTCCGTCCTCTACAATACTGTGCTTCAAAATCCCCGTCTGTCGGCCCAGTCGGAGGTGTACGACCACATCATTGCCGGCCAGGAAACAACCGCCAGCACGCTCGCCTATCTGGCGTGGCAGCTGTCCGTCCACCAGGATGTGCAAGACAGTTTGCGGGCAGAGCTTCTGCGGCTCAAGGCGGACGAAGATTCCGGCTCGCCATTCCTCCCGGATGCCAGGACACTTGATGGTTTGCCCGTCTTGCATGCCGTCATTATGGAGACGCTGCGGCTATATGCGCCGTTCGACGGTCCGCTGCCCCGTCAGACACCCGCGTCCGGCTGCCAGCTGGGCCCGTATCGACTTCCGGGAGGCGTCCGCATTGCGGCCCTTGCACATACGCTGCACCGCGAGTCGTCCGTTTTTCCCGACCCGGAGACCTGGGACTATACGCGGTGGACCGGTGCGGATGACAAGGAAAGAAACGAGCGCAATCGGCAGTTTTGGGCCTTTGGGTCTGGTGGGCGAATGTGCATTGGGTCCCATTTTGCCATGCAAGGTGAGTGTCGAAGGGACCAGCTAAGTGGCCTTTCTGGCTGTCGACAAGGCTAACGCCGTGCAGAAATCAAAGCCATCATTGCCGCGATCTACAGTCGCTTCAAGACGCTTGTCGTGGACGACAGCAGCATGGACCCCGATGACGCAGAGTAAGTTGGACCTGTTTCCGTTTGCCAAAGTAAACTGCAGCTAACCATGTTTATGCGATGCAGAGAAGTTGAACCGGGAGCCGAACAGCTCTACCTTCGATTCGAACCTATTCCGTAGCGCTAGCATTATGACAAAGGCCGTTACGGAATCGTACGGATAGTTGGAAAGCAAAAACAATCTGGGAATAAGATGTTAAGAATATTATCAAAATATTGACAAGAAAAAGAATGTAGAAAACGACAAAGGCGTTCAGGAATTCACTACTCGAAAGCATCTTGGATTTAACAGCCAGTGCCATACCAAAATAATCTTCACTTACATGACCTTTCGATTAATTTTACTCATCAATATGCTGTCCGGCACTCTTCGTTTACACGGGCTTGTTTGTGGTATGTCAAAGCCTCGGGCAAAACTGGCCCAAAGGCTATCATGGGGGATGGTCACTTGAGCGGCCTTGGCCTACAGCCTACGACGTAATAAATTGCCTTGTGGGCAGCCGAGTTCCAGCAGACGTCGAACATGCGCAGAAACTCGCATACATGCATATTAAGTAGGTGGCCACAAAAACCAGCGAACGTCGCCACAGAGCTAAACAGCAGTGATCACATGCGCTCCTCACCCCGACCATCCATAGGGTGAGATGACAGTGAGATCCGGTGCGACGTTATGACAGATCACAAAGTAGTACGACATAATTACGAAGGAATAATACGTCGTTGGCTGTCAATGTCTTCCCTAACACGAAAAGGATAATGGATACGTCGTTGTAGTGAGACAACTGTGTTTCACGGCAATCAGTGCTGGAAGTGTTTTGCTGCATTCCAGAGGGCGTGCAGAAGGTGCAGAGGCACGAGAGGGTGTCCGCAAGCAGAGAGCAAGACACAGAAGGTCGCTTTAATGCATATCTGCGTTCCTGCCTTTGGGCGAAAGCGGCAAAGCAGCGCCAAAACTTTGGCAGGTGCAATTCCGAAAACATGTGAAAGTGCGACCGTCACACCCCTCCAAAACTTCGTGGGCAGGTGCAGGTGGTTTCTAGCGCCACGCACTAGCGGTGTTTCTTGGGGGAAGCGACTCGGCCTGGGGGCGGATCCCCGGACTTGGAGGCTCATTGGGGAAGGCACAGAAAGGACCAGAAAAGTGGTGACGCAGGTGCGCTGTGGCCAGTGCTGGAGTCGGGGGAAAGAACGATGGGAGGGGCGAGGATGCCTCGGCTCGCCCATTTTCGACAGCACCCTCCTCGCTTTATTATGGAGAAAGCTTTGGAGAAACTGGCGCCGTCTTGACTCGATCCGTTCACAAGTCCTCGTCCGCTCCAGGGGGATTACAAAACAGTTTGCCATTGTCCCTTTTTGTTTCCTTTTCTTCTCTTCGTCTTATTCTTTCCTTCTCTCGATCTCTTCTTCCTTCCACCTCACCATCCATCACCACGTCTCGCATCTTTTGCATCTTTGATACCCTTTCTGCATCTCCTCATTTTTTTTGTTCGACCTCTACAATCCTCTACACATTCACAATGGGTGGTAAGTCTTTTGTCTCCTCTCCTCTGTCTTTGCCACTGAGCTAACTGTCATCTTTTTTGTCCCGCCTCGTCCAGCCCTCGACCGTCTCTCCTCCATCTCCAACCAGCTGTCCGGCGGCTCTGCCGGCGGCAAGGCCAAGCTTCTCGAGAAGAACCCCGACGACGTCGTCGTCACCGCTGCTCTGCGCACGCCTTTCACCAAGGGCGGCAAGGGCGGCTTCAAGGACACGCAGGCCTCGGACCTGATGGCCGGCGCGCTCAAGTCGCTGCTAGAGCGCTCCAAGATCGACCCTGCCCTGGTGGAGGACGTGGCTGTCGGCACGGTCCTGGCCCCCGGTGGCGGTGCCACGGAGATGCGCGCGGCCGTCCTGGTCGCCGGGTTCCCCACGTCGACGGCGGCGCGCACGCTCAACCGCCAGTGCTCGTCGGGCCTGCAGGCGTGCGTCGACATTGCCAACCAGATCCGCACGGGCATGATTGACATTGGCATCGGCGCCGGTGTCGAGAGCATGAGCACACAGTACGGCCCGGCGGCCGTGTCCGAGTTCTCGGAGCTGCTCGAGAGCCACCCCGAGTCGGCCAACTGCAAGGTCGGCATGGGCCAGCTGTCGGAGCAGATGGCGCAGGACCGCCACATCTCGCGCGCGTCGCAGGATGCCTTTGCGGCGGCGTCGTACCAGAAGGCCGCCAAGGCCCAGGAGGCCGGCCTGTTCAAGGACGAGCTCGCGCCCCAGACGGTGCAGTGGGAGGACCCCAAGTCGGGCGAGACCAAGACGATCACGGTCGACCGCGACGACGGCGTGCGCCCTGGTGTCACGGCCGAGTCGCTGGGCAAGATCCGCGCGTCGTTTGCCAAGGACGGCAGCATCCACGCCGGCAACGCGTCGCAGATCTCGGACGGTGCCGCGGCGGTCCTGCTGATGCGCCGCTCGACGGCCGAGAAGCTGGGCCAGCCGATCCTGGGCAAGTTCGTGTCCGCGTCCATCGTGGGCGTGCCGCCTCTGCTGATGGGTGTCGGCCCCTGGAAGGCGATCCCCAAGGCGCTGGAGCTGGCCAAGATCACCAAGGAGGACGTTGACGTGTACGAGATCAACGAGGCCTTTGCCAGCCAGTGCCTGTGGTGCGCCAACGAGCTGGGCCTGCCGGCGGAGAAGATCAACCCGCTGGGCGGCGCCATTGCGTTCGGCCACCCCCTGGGCTGCACGGGCGCCCGCCAGGTCTCGACGCTGCTGTACCAGCTGCGTCGCACAAACCAGAAGGTTGGCGTGACCAGCATGTGCGTTGGCACGGGCATGGGCATGGCCGCTGTCTGGGTTGCCGAGTAAGGGGCTCTGTCTGCTTTTGCAGATCAGTACGGATTCGGATTGGGGCTAAATAAAAAGGACGGGGCTCATGTGATACATGGTCGGTCTATTGTTTATATTTATCTTGTATGAGTACTTGTTTAGGTCCACGAGCCTTTTATTTTTATTTTTTTAGAAATTGTATCCTACAATTTGACTTGTTGTTTCGAAGCATTACTATATTGTGGTGATTATAACGATTTTGGACTCAAGATAGTATTGATGAACAACGTACACTCACACGCATATTTGTGTATTGAAAATAATTTTGCTTGACTATTATATATACACATTTTTTGTTTTACTTTATGCTTCGGGTTCGCCGGCATTCCGCCACAGTGAACGCACAGATTTAGTACAATAATACAAAGGGGTGGATTGGGAGGCGCCTTTCTGTCCTCTTCTCGTCTTCCTCTCGTCCTCTCATGTTCATCCTGCCTAGTGTCTCTTCTTCTTCGTCAGGGCCAGGACGTTGGCACGCGCCGCCGTGCCCTGCTTGTGCACCATCCTCCGCTTCTCCCACACACTGGACCGGCCCTCGGCGACGGCAATAATCTCCTCGGCCACGCGGTGCGCAAACGTATTGCGACCACTGCCGCGCGACGGCCGCTTGCTGGCGTTCTCGAGGATCCAGGTAAAGGCGGCGCGGCGTCGCTGGCGCTCGTTGAGAGGGGCGGGCACAGGCAGAGCGCGGCCACCACCGGCCTGGCCGGCCAGGTGCAAGATGCGGATCAGGGGCGCGACGGAGTCGACCACGACGTTGAGGTAGCGGACGGGGTCGAGGGGTAGCGCCTCAGCGGGCAGGTTGCCGGTCATGAGCGGGAAGTTGGGGTCAATCTTGGGCGGCGGCGCCGTACGCAAGTAGTTGAGGACAAGGGCCATGTTCTGGGTTGTGGTTGTGCGGTCAGCAGTTGGGATCTCTCGGCAGATGTGAAAGATAAAAAAAAAAAAAAAAAAAAAAAAAAAAAAAAAAAAAAAAACCCGGGGGACTCACTCTCTGGGCTTTGGCGAGCTTGCCGTCGCGCATCATCAGACGCGTGACCTGCGCGATGACGGGATCATGACGCTTCTGCAGCCTGCCGACGCGGGGCAGCGCCTCGCCGTCTGCCAGCGTCATGTCTCCCACCTCGAGCGCCTCCTGGTCGAGCATTGCCGCCCGTGTTGCGTTTGTCGTCAGGCCGAACTTGTGGCCGTCGGCAGAGCGTTCGAATGGTGCAAAGCCCTTGACCAAGCGTTCAAACTGGAGGATGGCCTCACGCCTCGCGTTCGCCAGATGGGGCTTTTCCACATCGTTCGCTTTCGTCCCAGACCCTGACGGGTCTAATGCTTGTTTTTGTGATACGCCTCCGGCGTCAACGTCGTGTGTGGTGTTGTTGTCACTGTTGTTGCTCTCTGGTGTCGTCGCAATGTCGGCAAAGCCACGCACGGCCGACGGGACGACCGCCACTCTCCGGCGTGCAGCCAGCTGTGGTCGTGCTCGTGCATCTGCAGCCATCGATCTCGGAAGAGTAGCCGTCGATGCCGTTGCCCGTGGCCGGAGAGCAAGGCACTGGCCGGAGCTCCGCCAGAGCGGTGCCATCCGAGAGGAGGACATGGTATGAATTGTGTGTTGCCTCGCTCCGGGTCAATTGACTTCATACGACGGAAAACGGTAGAAAATAAATACGCCGAACAGCCCGGGATGCCAGTTTGTCGATGCAGTGTATCGGCGTGTGGGCGTGTCGTCGTGATGTCGTGATGTCGCGATCGCCGAGGCTCGATGCAGTCGCGCGACCGAAAATTTATTTCCTATTTATTTTTCCTATGGCGCTGGTACTGAGGTCTGGCTGGTATTCTGTATTGGCAGGACCGGTCTCCAGCGCTCTTTCCGCCCGGAACACCATTTAGTCCGGGTGGGGCTCAATTGCGTCTGCGCCCCCTTCTCTCTGATTGGCCAATTTGATCTTACACTGGCCCAGGCTGGCCCAGGAAGTCTTTTAGGCGGCGGGCCTACCCGTTGTCCTCTGTTGAAGCGCCTGAGGGCCTGTAATTAATGCTCCGTACAACGACATGTCGTGTCTTGTCGGACTCACCAACGCCTGTTGCCTTTTGTGTTCCCTCTTGTGATACGACTGGATGCACTTCGCCTACGTATGGTATTTCTGTACTGCGCACTGGTGCTTCGGTTTGTTTAGCCCAGCCCGAGTAATATCCTGCAGACGGATTCAGGGCTCGATCTAGCACCCAACGCGCCTTCCTTGCGCGTATTTGAAGCACCTGCTCTTCTTATTTAAGCACTAGCTGTCTTCAAACGGCAGGTCCGCAGCGTACAGTATCACGGGCGTCACAAAATGGGGCCTGTATGCAAAACCCAAGCGGAAGGAATAGGCGAGCCTGCCGTCGTCTGCTTGGCCCGGTGGGCTTGAACCTACCCGATACAGCAGGAAGCAACAACGTGACTCGCCAAAATACGCCTTCGTGTCATATGCTCTCCAATGCGCTTCTCACTCGCAACCTCAATTCTACCGGCACTGCGTCACAAGACCTAGGTCGTTGTCGAAAGCCGCGGCGGCAACATCGTCATGGCAGTAAATCGTGACCCGGTGGTCGTCGAAACGGCAAGGGCCTTCGTCTTGAACGCGCCTGACGGCCTGGCTAAAACAAAAGGCCTGCAAACGAAAGGTCTGCAAACAAAAACCGGGCCCTAATATCATATGTAGTACATGTATTACATTGTTGATAATGGACCAGGCCAGGATGCCCGACGGACCTTGCCATGCCGATGCAGCAGAGTAGCATGCGGGATGCAAGGAGGTTGTGCCTGATACGTGGGTGTCGCTCATCGTGCATACCAGACCACCATGCAGTGCCCCCGTGGCTGGGAGACCCCGTGAGAGGAAGCCGCTCCTCAGACAAGTGTCCACGTGCACTGTAAGGGAGAGAGAGTAGGCGGCTTGGGTCGTGATGCGAGGACAGGCGCACAAGATACTTGGTCAAGTAAAAAAGGATGCTAGTTGGGCGTATTTGAGGGGCTTTACAGAGCAAAAATGTAAGTACCCAGCCCACCGAGCTGGGAAAAGGGCAAATGGTTGGTGGAGAGAGGCCGGAGCAAAAGAAAACAACGTTGGGGGTCATGCATGGCCAAGTGTCCCAAAACAGGCAATGGCCGGCCTAGTTTTCTTAGGATTTCTGTTTGCAAGAAACGCGCCGTGCTTCGTCTGCGGTCCGTCCGCGTGCCCGGCTTTTTTTCTATCTTTCTTTCTCCTTTTCTTTTCGTTTCTTCTTGTCTCTGAAGGTTTGCTTCCTTTTTTCGATTGTTGTCTTGTATGTAGCGCGCCAGGCGTATGGTGCTTTGTTTGGGACTGTGGTTATCCTGTATCCTCCCCCGTACTGGCCCCACTGGTCTCGTGATACTGCTCAGCTGCACCATGGTAGCGGGGCGACCGAGCACTCAAAAGGCAACAGCGACGTCTACACCTGGGATGAGGTTAGAGAACGAGATGGAAAAGCACAGGAAAGGAGGCAAGAAACAGGTTAGGAGACATCTTCACCTGGTGGTTTGGACATCGGTGTCCGGCATGGGGGTCGACAAGCTAGTCCGCTCTGTTGGCCATCCTTCTCACAACGTTTGCCTCCTGTCTTGCATAATTCCACGCTATCCCACGCCTTTCCTATTCATCTTCTTGTTTCTTATAATGGGTGGGGAGGAACCAAGACCACCGCAAAAGAAAACCAAGTGCCAGCTCTGGACAGACGCGTTCCCCGTCTGTCATCGCTTCAACGTTAGTAACTGCCTGGGCCTGGTCGTAAAAGAGGAACATATCCCCTGTTCACCCATTTGTACTAAAGACAAGTCAAGAAAACCCTATGCCCGGGAGAAAGTGTAGGAAAGAAAAGAAGAAGGAATAGAAAGACAAAGTGCTGGAGACCCATGCGGTCTCGGACTGGGGCGGGTTGCAAAGTCAACGAAGAGAAGACAAAGTAAGAAAGAAAGGATCGACGTCCTCGGTGAGAGGCCAGCCGAATACCAAGAACGCAAACACGGGGGAAAGCAGACGTGCTGCCGTAGCGTGAGGGTCATGGCGGCTCTGGGTTGCGACGGTCGGAAAGCACGGTGTAAGGCGAACGTCGAAGTGAAATAAGTCATATGACGGCAGGGTAGGATAAGACAAGGTAGAACCGTCGCTGAGGCCTGCTCCTGCTCGAACCGGCGTGAGACAAGCAGAAACCTGTCTGTGCCACGCCGTTTGTTGAGTGCTAGACATTCGTTAGCTTCTTCAGGGGGCCTTAGCAAAGAGAAGGGGCGAAAAAGAAAAGGCAAGTCAGAATTGAGAAATCAAAAGAAAGGGAAAGACGAGACGAAAAGAATTTTGTAAACTCAGTTGCACTGTCTCACAACAAGAGAGGTTGACGTTCAAACGGTCAAAAACACGACCCCCAATGCAACTTGATTCACCCGAGAACAGCATTACCAAACAAACGACGAACATGGGGGCATGGGGGGTTGGACCAGGAATGGAGTGGGCTCGGGAGACACAGCGTGCGTTGCCGCCTACTCACCGCTCCTTAAACATATGCACGGCTTGTTCTGTGGTTAGATCTCTTGTGTAGTTCGGTTGTTTTTGCACATTAGCGGTGTCTCACAATAGTTCGTTTTAGTTAGATAGTCGTCGTGTTTCCCCTTTTGTTTCCCTGTTCTTTTATTTGTTTCAATTTCTTGGGTGCGTCCGAGCTCGCTGTCAGTCCAGTGTCGCTCCGTTTCCGTTAATCGGTGTTGTGTTCTCGGTGCGTTGTCAGTTACCAAAGCGCTCTCGTTTTGTCTCCTTTTTGGAAAGTAAAGAAATAAAATAATAAAATAATAAAATAATCTCCGTACGACAACAACAAAAAAAAAGCACCACAAAGACATATCCAAAAAGTAAAATAAAACAGTCAGAGGTGATTGGGATCCAATTTTCTCGTATAACCGGCATCTATCCATAGTCCAAGGGGTGGTTTTCGATAAAGTCGGGCGCCATGTGGGTTGACAGCTCGTGCTTCAATAAACTCAGAAAGAAGTGGGTGTGAAAAAAAAGTCCGAACGCAATGTTTTGATCTTTGAAAATAAACAAGGAAATAAAAGAGAAGCCAAAAGGGTACAAGAAAGATAGAAAAAGCAAATAAGACCCCGACAATAGGAGTTGTAAGGCGTCATATCCTTGTCCTTGCTTGGTCATGCAGACAAGTCACTGCAACATTCTGCGCCGATTCCCATTTTATGACCGCGTGGTAACCCCATTTTCCAAATCCAGCTCCCCAAACTCCAAGATGGAAGGCGTCTTGTATCGCAAGTGAACTGACGAAATGGAAAAGATCAAATTCCAGAGAGGGAATTGGTAGAAGAAAACCGAGACAGCAAGACAAAATAAGAAAAGCCAGAAAGAAATATAGCACACAAAGACCCAATGGACCAACCTAAACAAAAGTGCAAGACCGAAAACAATGGAGAACGACACAATAGAAGAGAAATCCGAGGAAAGGAGAGCGTGGAGGTAACAGAAAAATGCCCAAAAAACTGCAATCTCAGAAGAGAAACAAGTGTTGTAAACGTGACAAACTGGGACAGAGGTTTCAAACGCCTCTACCAGTTGCTATTCAGCGCTTCGTGGCCAATACAAAGGGCGTGTGCATATGCGTTACTGGCATCAGATTACCACCCGGAACGGGAAGTCGACGGGGAGCTCGGGTTGGATCCCCCCGTCAGCCAGGCCAGTGCCATCTCAGCAGCATCTTCCTTTGCATTGTTGACGTTCTTACCATCGTACCAATACCGCGCCGCAAAGACATATCCGTAGACGGACACCCGGCTTGACCAGGCAGTGCGTCCTCCTATATGTGCGGGTTAAAAAAAGGGAAAAAAAATCATGTGGGCTGACCACATAACGGGTTTTGGGATGTTGGAGACTGAGAGAGCGACGGCTTGACCGTTTCTCCGGCAGAATTTGTGGGTGGCACATACCTCGCTGATCGGAAACGACTTGGAAATCTGGGGGGTCGATATTGCAATCGCGGCAGGCTTCTATTGGGGTTGGTTAGATCTGGCTTCGTGCCGCGCCGGAGAATATTTCTCAGTAGATGGGTGTGGGAAAGAAGGATGCTCATCGAAATGGGCAAGACCATCAGAAGTTGTCTTTCCTCATTATGGATTACCTGCGTACTTACCGATGAGTCTCTCTTGCCACGCCGAAATGTTGGCCTTCTTGGACGGCCCAGAAAAGGGGGAAGAGGAGCTGGGCATGTTTGGATCTGGTGATTGAAAGAGATAAAAATATGTAGATAATATGGAGCCGTGAACAAAGGAGATGAAGAGTTCGTCGTGTGAATGATAGCTATAGGTAAAGAGAGGTAAAGACGAGAACGGGTAAGGTACGACGAAAGAAGGATAAAAGTAAAGATGTTTTCCAACAGAAACGATTCAGTTTGCTGAGTTGAGAGTTGGCACGAAGAGAGGTGAAGGTCGACGATGGGTCTATATACTTTTTGAGCGAGGAAACCCTTGGGTTCACAGTGTCCGTCAGAGACACATCCAAGCAAGTCGACTGTCGTGGCAGCCGTTTAGTGCCCAGTGCTGCAGTGGGGATTTTGTGAGTGACGTTTGGTGAATTGTTTGAAAAATTTCGGGTTGTGGATGGATGCGTTTTCCTCGCCCTGCTTGTTTGTATTCTCTCGGGAACGGGCAGCAACAAAGGTTACCAAAAAGATGTTGTGTCCAAGAAAAGGAAAAGAGGTGGCCAGGCCGGCGAGGGAGGGGGGTGTCCGTTGGCAGACGAGACCTGCGTTTATGCTGGGCTGACGCACTTGGCTAGAAGAACGGAAACTTGGGCTTTTGTTTTCTTCTTGGCTCTTCTTCTCACAGTTCGCTTTCCCTGGTCTTCTTTTTTGTTTCTTCTTCCTCGACAGTGGTTTTTTTCTGAGCCCCATCCCTACTCTTCCTGCAGCTGCAAGCACACCCCCTTGTCTACTAACCCTTGCAAGAGCGTTTTTGACACTTGACTAGAGACGGGAGGATGGTTCTGTTTGAGAGAGACACCTCCTCAAAAAAACCCTCCAGCGTGCCATTGCCGTGGGCCGAACCCAAACATTGCACGCGCACGGCTTTTGCAGTCCTTCTAGAAGCAAATCTGGAGACCGTGCGCTTGAGATACGGGCTTGTTTCTCGACAGCGGTAAATTCTGACTGAATACGGGACAGAATGGGTGCTGGGCTGTCTTCCAGAAAACTAGGCACGCAGGCTCGTGTTGCTTGCCATGAAACGAATTTGCATCCGTCGACGTGTTGTACAAAATAAACAAATGAACTGACGAAAATTTCCTATTTTTTCCGTCAGTGTCTTAAGCTGAAAATGGTTGTCTTGTTCCCCTTCTGTTGACATTTCGTGTAACAAAGGAGCCAAGCGGCATTGGAAGACGGACAAAATATGTCAATAGCCGTGTACACAAAGGCCAACATTCACTGCTTGTGCTCTGTGGAAGCGAAGACAAGGGCACTGGAAGCCTTTCTCCTCACGGCAAGTCAATGAAATGAGTGTACAAACAAATAAATGATGCCGCTGTCGTTAGGCTGCTCGCATAAAACGGAATGCGATGGTTGAGAGCCGTATGCAGGAAACAGTGATCAGCTGGACGTCTTGGGTGCCTTTTGTCAATGCTGCAGTTGCAGTGTAGGTTATGGCAGTAAAATGCCTTTTGATCTCGGCAAGCCAGGCGCATGCTTACATTGCTCACATGTAGTGCAATATCGCTATGTAGCAACACAGCTCTTTGTTGCGCGCTGCTCGCCGCTTGTCAACGAGTGGAGAAAGATCGTTGACGATGCCATTTTGTCAGCCGTTGCACTGCCTTTGTGGGCGGTAGGGTCGATGCAAAAGTGGCGTTGGACATGTCCTTTCAACTGCTGAGGATCTCTGTTTCTAAAGCGGGATGTCATTGGCATAGGCGCCTACCAGTGAAGGTCAGGTTAGGGCTGGAGTCCTCGGACTCAGCTGGAAGGCAATAAGCATGGGTCCAATCTGGAGAGCGCCTGCTCAGGCACCGCAAACCCCACCCTTCCATGCGTTTTCGATCGAAGTTGCCTATATCGTTTGCGGGTAATTGGCCGTGAGGTCGATGATGGGGGTGGGTTCCATGACGGGGATGCAGTAACAACAACGCACCCCATTTTATTCTGCAAATGTAAGGCACCGCAGTCAATGAGACTAAATACAACTCTCCGGGCCCTCGTGCCATCCCATCGGGTTTATGTCCGGCTACGCCCTCCCGTTGGGCAGACATTTGTCGCCTCTTAATATTCTGTACTTTTTCTGACATTATTGAATGAAAAACACCAGCTCACAGACAGTTTTTGCATATCGGGTTGCTAGACAAGTGTCTTTGAGACACAGGATCATATAAATAGCCTGTGGGGGGGAAATGTCCTGGAATGGCAAGCAAGAACGGTGATGCAACAACCAGCAATTGGCGGGGTGAGGGAGGGCGCATGCTGGGATGCATATCCCTTGTAGTGGCATGCAAGCTAACACTGGCTTTTCTACCTCACCACACCCTTTTGCGAAGTCTCAGCGGTCGATTCTGTGAGCCTTATATGTATGCCATGCGTTGGTTTTTTTTTTCGAGTGACGTGGACGTTGCATAAGATTGACAACAGTGGTCTGGCGTCGAGGATTGTGGCGATGCCTTGCATAACTGGTGAGCCAGCTGGGCCAGCTTGTCTATTACCGATTCTTTTGATGCTTTGTGAGTCTGACGGAAATTTGTTTCACGACCTTATTACCGGCCGGATAGGAGAAGAGATTGACTGGAAATGGAAAGCCAAAAAAAAAAAAAAAAAAAAGGAATGCGGGATTGTCAAGACGAAGTAACAGGCCTGAAACATCGGGAGGATATGAACTAGATGTCGAAAGAGAAGGCGGAGATGTTATCCAGAGAGGAGTAAGAACCTTGTGATGTGCGTAGCAGACGACTAGCCAAGATCGGGAGCCGCCGCTTAGCCCGCTTAGCCCGTCATTGGGCCGAGTAGTTGTTGCTGTGTAGCGGATAATGCTCTGGATATGACGCTGTCCAACGTGGACTACAGAGACAATTGTTTGACGGCTGCAGTTGCGGAACCTGACTTGGTGTTTTAGGCGCGTATTCTTTTCATACAGACGGAAAGCGTACTCATGTTGGCGTTCAGGAGCAGAATCGACAGATGCAACAACTCACCACAGTCTGGTTTGCGCCCTGGTGCTAAGACGGCCCGTTCGTAAGGCCGCGATCAGGTCAAAATAAAATGATATAAAACGCCGGAGCCTGCACAATTTACATGTCGGCCTGGGACAGCCGCCCCGTATGCCTCTAGCTGGCATGAGGCAAGGCAGGCCATTGTTTGAGGTCAGCCCTGCCAGCAAGGCACTCCTGCACGGTCGCTTTTAGGGCTACCAAAAACCATAACAGTTCATTGGCCACGACTTGCGTACGCTGTGCGTTTCGCTGGCGAACGGCCGTGACAAAAGGAACAGTTTCGCTGTGGCGAGGCAGGCACCGGTAAAGACAATGGCCGCTCCATTGTATGACCTGCAGGTCGTTGAAACCCAAAAGAAGATTCCACTAGCCGAAGAACAAAGGGCGCACCAAGCATGGAGGTATTTTATGCATTGGGCGTGGCGGAATGATGTCCAACAACGACCAACAGCTAGCCGTGAGAAAGGATGGTCCAGCTGGCGCTGTTCGTGCCGAAGGCCGGTCCCGAGTGGGCCAACAAGTCGAATTTGGGTCTTCTCTTATTTGTTTAGTCAAAAGGATGCCTCAACATTATTCCTGAAAAGGTGATTACCTCAGCAAATAGCTACAATAACTCCTTCGAATTGCAGGACAAAACACACATGGCCATGACGAGATGCCGTTGTGTCTCGAAATCGTGTGGGGAGCACGACTCCTTGCGTGCTTCAAGGCCAGTTGAAGGCAACACAAGGGTGGGAGAGAGGCGATTGCGCAGTAAAAGACAACGGACGACAACGGAAGACAAGGAGAAGAAAGGAAGGACGGCCAAAAAAGAAGGGAAATGGCGTATCGTTACATCACGAGAGCGGAAGGCAGCATATTCGTGGCCATGTTCTTCTGAGGGCAACGGTGGCATGGACAACGATGGGTGGTGCGGTGGGGTCCAAGCAGGTTGCAGGGAGGGTTTGTTCTGATCGCAGGTGAAGACAAGAGATGAAGACAGGATGAAAATGTTGGGAAGCACAAAAATTTGGGACACAGCAGAAATGCAATGTATGGGCGAACAAATGCGGCAATGCCAGATAGGGAAGGAGACGAGAAGAGGCAGGTGCGACCTGACAAGAAGAGGAAGGCACGACCAGAGAGTTATGGACATAAGAAGAGGCAGGTGACAGATCTCTGGACTTGGCAGGTGCGACCATCTTTTCTATCCAGATGCACAAAAATGTGTGCAGGCGACCTGTCGTGCCTTCCCCTTCTTCGACCAAGTTGCACGACAGTGATACCTACGGCCAATTGATGCTATCTCGAACATGCACAGCACGTCTTTCTTCTTGATCAAAAGCCGCATCGCACATACGCATGCACGGCCATGAGAGGTGAGTGGTAACAGTATGACAACGGTAGCGCCAGCTCATACTAGCAGGGACAGGGACAGGGACAGGGGCCCTATCAGGGCCGCACAGAAACGTTCGAGAAGCCAGATACCTTACACAAGAAGGAACAAGAAATAAATGTCAGCTGGCCTCTACATCGGCACTTTCACTGGATGAAGGAATGAAGCTTGGCTCGCCTGGCTGCCGAGAGACTGCCCGAACTCAGACAATGCGGAATGGATGGACCGCGGAGAAAAAGACAGGAAAGGAACCTCAGACGACGTGTGCAGTCCAACCAGCTTGCTTTGTTGCACCACCATTTCCCGTGGTATACTATTCCACTTCACTATATCGAGTCAGCCGCACATTCCGGAGAGGAAACGGTCTGGGAGGTCTAGGGAAAGCATGAAAAGACAATGGATGGACACAACAGCGAGCGATCAGAGGCCGCAAGGCTGTGCCACGAAGTCGAACAAAATCGCCCGACCTTTATTGCACAGCAGGTGAGAGAGTCTAGGGGGGAACGCAACGAAAGAATTACGAGCAGAAGCTAGAAGGGATAGGCCGAGTGAGACGAACATTTGTGTTCCGTGCATCGAAAGATGGCAGGCAAAACGCATGCTGAGCAACCTCTCACAACGGAGTTTACAACGAAACAGATACCAAGACGTTCTGCAGAGTACGACGGTGTTGGAGGACCTATGTCTATGTCTACGGACGAGACTTTGCGACTACATGCAAACGAACAGTTTGGAGCAGCATCGCCTCATCAAAATGACCGGCGATGCCGTCTACGGCCGGCCGTGGTCCCAAGCGGCACATGTTATGGCCTCGGACGTTAAACCGTAGCTCGTTTTGCTAAACACCAAGCAAGTCGGTATCTGGGGCGAAGCCGGGAAACGCTCAGTTTGCCTCTTTGGTCTCGTGTTTCGGTCCCACTACAATAATCTACTCAATGAGGACATCATCACAGCCAGTTCTGGCTAACAACCCTTTCCCAAATGCTCTCGAAAAGAAACTGGATGGACGAAGTAGGTTAAGAGCGCAGGCGCATACTTTGACGAAGCCCTGCTGTGCTCGCCTCTAAGGCGGCATGATCTCTGCTGTCACCCTTCCTTATCCGTTTAGACCGCCGCTCGGTGGCTATGACCTGGCCTTGTTCTTGATCCTGGTCCTCATTCTGTTTTTGGGTTTCAACGTCACCACGCCGTCTTTTGTGCCCGACTCCGACGTCCTGCTTTGTCGTCTTTTTCTTGGACATTTCAGCCTCCATCAAACGCGCTTCATTGATGACCCATTGCACTCGTCGCCGTTGGCGACGGACAATCGCCTCTGTGCGCCGATATGGTATTGTCTCTCGGATGAAATCGCCAAAGGTATCGTTCATACTTTTTCTTGGAGCCCATAGGATACGTTCACCCTCGTGGAACAACTCTTGCTGGCCTTCTACTTCACTTGGGTCAATCGTGAACTCAAAGCCAATCTCTCCCTTTAGTGCATAGTCTATCACTCCCTTCTGTAAATCCTGAAGGGCCACGGCAGGTTCTTCCAGGCTTTACTGTATCGCGGTTCCTTCGCCTCTAGGGCTCTGGTGGATTTCTCGAGCCACCACTGTTCAAAGTTGAGATACTCAAGCCAGGTCATCGACTCCATTTGCTGGCCAGGGTCCTTTCGTAGTTGCAGGGACCGGTTGAAGTTATGAGACGCGAGGCGTCTCTTGAGAGCCGCAGTGTATGTGGAGAATGTTTGGTCTTCACCGCATTGCCGAAGGTCTGGCTTCAGCTGCCATAACCGTCTTGTGTTCGCTTCGAACATGGGATGGGCTACCTCCCGGTGTGCGTCCATTCGCTCGTACATCTCCCGTCGTGCCTCGAGGAAGAGAGGGAATCCCCCATCGCCATTGGGGTCCCCGCGCTGGCTGCATTGCCACTTTTGAAAGTCCCACCAGCGTTCAAGTTGCCTCGAGAACACCGTTTCTACCTGCCCTATTCGGTTTACGGAGTCTGAATCAGTAAACCAGGGCAGAATGGCAGTGATGCTCGCTGTAGAGCCCGAGTCATCCAGAATTTGCAACAGCGCCTCGATCGAGCAGACTGCCCGGCCGCCTAGTTTGTGGAGCACATGGTAGCTTCCAATCTCAAAGTCCATCTCTCCAGTCATCACCGGCGGAGTAGGAGATCCTCGGATAGACTCGGGAGGCGGGCGTGGAGGCCCTCGTTCAACAAACCCGTCTGAGGTCACGTCCAAGTTGTTCAGACGAGAAAATAGCGCGCTCACGTTGACCGGTTGCGGTGTGGCGGTTGCAGCATCGCCAGCATCCCTGCCAACAATCATGCATTAGTGACGTCCATGATGTGGGCAAGTGAGTACGAACTAGTATAGTAGTAATACTGCGCAGCAGTAAGAGGTAGAGTACAAACGCTTCTTACCTTAGCCTACGCAGCAGCTCGTCGCTTTGCATCTCGGAGAGCTTCTCCATGCCAGTAATGTTTGAGATGTTAAACACCCCATTACCGGAGCCGCTGCTCTTAATGTACTCGACCAGCTCGCTCATTTTGACGTCCAGGAGATATGCGGCCGCGAAGACAGGACCGCGAGACTCATCGAATGACATTTTGAGCCGGAATATGCGATGCCGCGTGCGATGCCGCGTGCGATGCGAATCGGGCGAGGGACAATATGGCAGAGGCCGCGGAGGTGAATGAATGAACGATGGCAAGATCGCGCAAGAGGGCACAAGACTGATGTTGACAATAGAGCAACACGAGGCCACAACATGGACCTGTCTATTTGGTTTGAGCTGGACGGCCTGACGGCGTCGTCCTCGCCCCACTTTAAATAGCTCGTCTGTTAGCAAAGATACTGATTATATAATACTCTAGCACCTGATTGGCCAACTAAAGCCTAAAAGACCACTTAGAGTTCGGTCCGGCCCGTAAACATTGGGACTTTTCGGGCAGCTCACTCGCTCTCTCAGGGGACAATGTTTGATAGTGTTTCCTAAACGGGCCTTACAGTATGGCGTATTGCTAACGTACAACATATTATATCCACGATATACAAAGCACAGGATTTCTCTTATCTGCTAAATTCTGCCTTCCTAACCCATAGACAACCGAGGCCGGTTTTCTCTGTTTACTGGTTGCAGCATCTTTGAAAATGTGCCTTGCGTGGCCTCGCCTACTGAAGCCGACTCTGAGAGCGACTAGTGGACTTCCAGCAGAGAGATCCCAATGCCAGGGCGTGTCCTTTTGCGCGCTGATCGAGGCGTTGCTTCTCCCATTGGTGACGTCTGCGTGGTCTTTGTATCCTCATCTTGGATGGCGCGGCCGAGAAGTTTGTGAACCAAGACATAGACGTTGTCGGCCTGGAGCTATACGCCTTCCACAACATCTGCATCGTGGCGGCCGGGCCCAGGACTCCCTGGCTCGCCGCCCAACAAGGTTCCTTGCGGTCGTATAACAAGAGAGCTGTTCAGCAGGATATTGGCCGGCTTTATATCGCGGTGTGCGACCGGTGGTTCGAGCGCATGGAGACATCAAAGGGCGGAGAGCAGTTGGCAGAGGCTTTGGGTGTTTTCGAACGTGGACAGATCGGTGTAGTTCTCGAGGTCGTCTCCGGGAACATACTTAAACCTTAGCTGAGGATGAGTCAAGTAAGTAGGGCCGAGGAATTCCACAATGTGGTCCTAGCGTGTTTAGGATATTAGCACGACATTGAAGCCACTTTTATGATGCTCCTGTGAGGCACTTGCGAGCAGCACTACTGTAGTACTTACATAATAGACGCTCCCCATAATCCGGGCCTCCTTCTTCCAAATGTCCATATCGACTGGGCCTGTTGCAATATACTCCTTTTTCGTTCCGATATTGCGTATTCCTTGTCAGTCGTCACATTCCAAGCGTATGTGACCACACCCAAGCCTCCGTGCCAAGTATCTTCATATAGAGAATGGTGCGCGAGGAGCTCAATGTCATAGGTAGCTGAGAAGAGAGTGTGATGCTTTGGCAGCTTTGTAAAACAAGTGATTCGGAGAGATTCTTGGGATCAGCTGTGCCGTTGCGAAACTTTGATGCCCAATCGACGTAGTCCGAGGATGTGGTATTGCGGAGGGGGATAACATTTTGTAATATGATAACGGGCTGTTTGTTGTTGAGAATGCTAGGACCTTGTAGAAGCCAGTCGAATTTCGACTTGCATTGTACGTCATCCCCGCCATAGGCAGCCTGAATCCCATATGCGGAACCTAGATCCCTCCTTTACTAAAAGCCGGTTCTGGTCATCAAACGTGAATGCAAGGTGGAATCGACTGATGCCGGGCAGACTTGGAAGTAACAAGTCGACGTTGTCATCGCAGCCGAGCACCACGCTTAGTCGACTCCGTGTACCGTGGCTAAATCGCACTTCTAAGATAGGGCCGCTCTCAAAATTGCCATCCTCCTCTGGCTGTTCTGTTTAATCCCTCTCCCGACGGTCGACTAAAGCGTCGTTGCGGTGACTCGGCACAAATCTTGATTTATTCTCGTCGCGGGAGATGGCGGTGGATGCCTGCGCCCCGGCATAACCGTCGCTGGGGTGGAGATAAAGAATGATACCGGGGTCTTCCATGGCAAAACAATATCCAAAGTGTGAATTGTGAGAATGAAGTGGTGACGAAACAAATACAGACGTATTGTTTTGCTAAAGAGAGGTATTTCAGCCAGAAACCTCCGAAGCCAATACAACTATCGTGAAATAAAATATGAAGAAGAAGTAAAGGAAGGAGGAGAAGATGTAGGACGACGAGGGCAGCCTTGTAGATCACGCCATACATGACTTTGACATCCGCTTCGATGCCTAGTTTCTTATGCCTTTCACATCTAGTGCAGCCGCAACCTTTGGATCTCGGGTTTCAACGACACCCTCTTCTTCTCGTTGTCCAGCAATTGAGTGTATATTATCGGCCTCTGCATGGTAGCCTAAAGCAACCTTATCGCTTCTGTTCGTTGATCCAAGGCCTTATTTCGCGTCAGCCGTTCTTGAATGGCTAATATTTGCGTTTCGACTTAACACGGTCTTTCAAAAACCAGTGGTTAGAATTCTCGGCGTGAAGACATGAAGACATGGGATAAAATATGGATGGAGCAAAAAAGGTGCTCGCTGAAGTCGCCACTCGTCGTGTCACAACGAAGATATGGTGTTGCTTCGATGTGCGTTTAGTGGATGACCTTGTCGCCTGGTTTTCAAACGTCTTTCGAAGGCAAGGATCGCCAAGTTCCGCGGGCTTCCGCCAAAGAGCAATACCCTTCGCCTCTCTTCCACTACAAGGCTGTGGCTGAAGGGAAGAGAAGCACTGTGAAACGTTTCAGGCTGATCGTGTCTTATCCTTGTGACCTTTAATTAGTCCATTTGCAGACAAAAACAGAATCTAGTCACCAACAAGGCTACGGCGTCCTGCGGGCAGTTACCGGAAACGTGTTGGTACGAAGAGTTTGCCTCTGCACAGGAGGCTGCTGAAGTTTATCCCACTCAAAGCTATATAGAACAGACAAATTTCGTCTTCTAAACTCACGAAGGATGTGGGCGAGCAACCAACTCTCTGCATGTTGGAGGGACTCGCTTTTTCTACAGGACACGTATCTTACCTCTCATGCAAAACATGGAGTACATCTGTCTTTGACTCAAGCCTAGAAAGATCAGTATAATCTCTCGTATCCATCTTTGCCGCAGTATATTTCTCTAATTTCTAGATCGTTTTTCTTTTCTTATATTTTCTTTGTTCCGTTCCTTTCTTGGCAGGAAGTGGTTAGCACCTTCTGCAACTTTTCACTAGTCCGTCACCTGTACAGTGGCAAGAGCCTCCAACAATAGCGCCTCTGGCGTCACGGGCAGCTACAGTCCCATGCCGGCGGTTGGAGAAAAAGTGGGTATTTCGCTCGCCTGCCAGGCCCTCCTGCTTCTCCGCAGCTTCAGGCACCTGGACCTCGGTATGTTCCCTATCAGCCGAGCGGCCCCTCCTCCACAACGTGACAGCATATTGTCCGCGGTCCGCTAAGAGTCAGGCGAGTCATTAGCAGCCCCATTTCGCTCTTTTGTGCAGGAACGACGAGGCAGGAACGGCCAATCTGCCATCCACTCTTTCCGCGCCTTCTTTTATCTCTCACAACGCATCGCCTTTTCGTCTTTCGTGTTTTCTTCTTTGACGTACTTTTATTCCCGTTTTCTTCTTTCTACCAATCCCACCCAACCGACCACTCCTCCACACTCCAGCGTACCGCCACAATGCCGTTCAACACTGAGCTCACCAGACGGCTGGGGATTACCGGTATGCTTCACTTGGACGGCGTCCCTCCATTTGTCTGAAAATCCAGGACAAAGACACCATCAAACAATTAATGCTGACTCGATGCTCTTCTTTACGATACAGTCCCCGTCGTTCAGGGCGGTATGATGCATGTCGGTACGTGACCATCTGAACATCCTCTTTCTCCATTCGCTGCGAGCAGCCGTGCATTTTGCATGTGACAGCGGCAAAATCGCAAAATGGCGTCGCAACGAACTGCGCGACGACGCGACGACGCGCCGACGTCACGGCGCCGACACTCATGCCCAGATACAAACAGCTAACATTCTCCAGGCTACGCCGAGCTGGCGTCCGCCGTGTCCAACGCCGGCGGTCTCGGTATTATCACGGCTCTCATCTTCAAGACGCCCGAGGAGCTCCGCGACGAGATCCGCCGCTGCCGCACCATGACCAACAAGCCTTTTGGTGTCAACATCACCCTGCTGCCGTCGCTTGCCCCGCCCAACTACGCCGCGTATGCCCAGACGGTCATTGACGAGGGCATCAAGGTTGTCGAGACCGCCGGCAACAGCCCCGGCCCCGTCATCGCGATGCTCAAGAAGGCCGGCATCATCATCCTGCACAAGTGCACGACCATCCGCCACGCCCTCAGCGCCGTCAAGCTGGGCGTCGATTTCCTGTCCATCGACGGCTTCGAGTGCGCCGGCCACGTCGGCGAGTCCGACATCACCAACTTCATCCTGCTGAGCCGTGCGCGGCAGACGCTCAAGATCCCCTTTTTGGCCTCGGGCGGCTTTGCCGACGGCCAGGGCCTGGCGGCCGCGCTGTGCCTCGGCGCCTGCGGCATCAACATGGGCACGCGCTTCATGTGCACCGTCGAGTCGCCGATCCACAACAACATCAAGGAGGAGATTGTCCGGGCGCAGGAGACCGACACCGCCCTGGTGCTGCGCCGGTGGCGCAACACCACGCGGCTGTACCGCAACAAGGTGACGGAGGAGGCGCTCAAGGTCGAGCGCGAGAGCAAGTCGGGCGAGTTCTCCGAGATTGCGCCGTTTGTGAGCGGCGCGCGCGGCCGCCAGGTGTTTATCAACGGCGACCCCAACTACGGCGTCTGGACGGCCGGCCAGGTCATTGGCCTGATCCACGACATCCCGACGTGCGATGTGCTAGTAAAGCGGATTGCCAAGGAGGCCGAGGAGTCGCTGCGGGAGAAGCTGTCTCTGCTGCAGCCGGAGAGCAAGTTATAAGCCGACCACTGGCAACGTGTTTTGTTTGCTGGCCGAGAAGCTGAGCGGGCGAAGCGAGCGTTTTTCGTTTTCTATCGCATATGCAGCCGCACACCGTAAAAGGGTGGGATGGCGGTAGTGTCCCAATTTTGAAGCAAAATGCTGGTGCATATTCTGATGCATCTATTCTGTAACTATACTACGTACTACGTACCGGCCCATTAGACGAAGAACAAAAACAGATATGCCATATCCTTACCAATGTGCATATGCTCGTCCCAATTGGCGTCCAACTGTGCCGTCTTGTACAACGTTGAAATCCTGTTCTGCAGGCAGAATGGGGCCCTGGCCGGAGCCGAGCTCGACCTCTCGCACGAGGAGATTCCAAGACCAAACGCCAACCAGATGTATCGTTTTCACCATGTGCCTACTGACGCAGTCGAGATTGCGGAGGAATATGCAATTGCATGCGGTTTGTGTAACGCTGACGAGACGAGACAATAAACCAGGCATCCAAAACCAAGACATCTGTCAGCCCCAGGGAGAAGGGCTGTTGCACGTGGATATGTATTCTGTACGAATGTAGAACAGACAAGTTTAAAACCAATCACGAAAATAGCAACATCTTCCCAATAACAAACGCCATCGAAAGACACATCACGCTGGCCCTAGGGAAGGTTGTGGCGGCGGCCGACGCTCGCTGAGCACACCACACGCAGGCCACTCAATTGCTAGCCAGGGCAGATTGCTCATGGGTTTGATGAAGCCATTGACGGTTATCACTTATACTAGGAAGATGAACCGTTTTCAGTCCGGATTTGCCCATCTGTGTTGGTGGCACATATCGCTGCAGCATACGAAATACATATGCACGCTCGGCAGCCACCGCCAACAGGGCACGGAGTAATTACCGCGTCTGGCATGCGATTGGAAGACCGGAGGCACGTCTGGACTAAGAATCATGTCGATGCAGATGTAATACGACGTCGGTCACGGCGACATCAGCCAAGGCGGCAGAAGCACGCCGACATGTGCAAGTGAGAAACCGAAAAAAAAGAGAGAAAAAAAAGAAAAAAGAAGAAAAAAGAAGAAACCAATAATCTGCCTCAACCCACCAAACGGTCACGCGGTAATGAGTGGACAATGTGACTCTCCCTCGAAAGCAGTCGTTGGGCGACTTCTAGTGGGCGGGGGGATATGACTGTGCTTCCGTATGGCCCCATTTTGGCATTTTAGTGGGGGTGCGGTCTCGCCCTACTAGACTTGGACTATTTCGTACTGGACAGACACAGACTCAGCGAGCAAGAGCAGGCCCCACCGCCCAACACACCCCACTGGACGCTGGCACTTGGGACTTCTGGCGGCCGCACAGGAACGGCATGGCTCAGCACTCTAAATTGGGTAGGCGCAACCACTACGTCGCCCGCTAAAAGGCCTGGATGGGAAAGGCACGCGCGCACCATTCAATCGTTTCCTACTCCGAAATACAGCGCAATTACCATGTCGTGTACGTATCTTACGTACACGTAATTATTCCGTATTACAGCTCTGCCTCCAGAGGGCTGTGCAGGCCAACTTTTGCGGAGAACCACTGCAAGGGCGGCACTTTACGCCCCATGCAGCACAGGGCAAGGCCCAGAACGAGAACGGTTCTTGGCGCGCCCACTATTGCGCTCTCTACAGGGTTATCGTCGCTATCAGGAAGCTTGTCCCCCTCACCGTTCCATTCTCTCGTTGCTTCTTTCCCTCTTTTCTCCCACGTCTCTCACCCTCTTTCCCTTTTCTCTCCACGCACTTTCCTCGCAGTGCTTCTTCATTCTGTCTCCTTGATTGCCTTGGAAAGGAAGCTGCGACTGCCCCGCGACCTCTGGAAACGATCATCGCCAGCTTGCTGGACCTGACGGCGGCGGAAGGAGCCACGCTTGTTTTATCTAAAGTGGGGAGGTACGGCTCCTGCCCTTTCAAGCTCCGAATCAGGCTCTGCTGCCCTGCTGCTCTCTGCCCAAGTGCGGACCACATCGCGGCTCCCAGTCCTTTTCTCTCCCTTTCTCTTCGTCATCTTTATTCGCATTCTCTTTTGCTCGCATCCTCTCTCGCACACAACACTGCTGTTGTCATCAACTGGACGCTCGGTAGCTTCCAACGTACCATTGCTTCCTAACCGCCCCACACGCCCACGGCCCAAGAAACAAAACCAATCCGAGGAAAGGGTCGATGTGGCTCGAGAATCATCTCGTTTTTGTCTACCTCACAACCCCGTACCCTATTCCTCGGCCTCTGCGTCTGTCTCAATCCTGTACAACCTTGCGACGTTCTCAGAAACCTGCGAACTTTCTGCAAGGCTTGTAAATTGCAACAGACGCCTGCCAACCACCACGAGCCGTGCGCACGCGATCGACTGGCGACGGCGACTCGACTGACAACAACAGCAACAACATACCTCGTGACCCTCTTCGATACACGATGCTGATGCTCCAGGCCGTCTTCTCTCTACTGCCTCCGACCATCATCCCGCGATAGATCTCGTCGCTCGCACGCCGCCGAACGATTCCATATCTAATTTGCATCTCAGCCGCCATTTTATGCTTTGTATTCCCACCGTCTCATCGCACAATTCGCGCACTTCGAAGCGCGCACACGACATATCTCGACACGCGCAAAGTCTTGAGCACCCATCTGTGCTTCTCTTCATCATCTGCCCTACGGGCCGCCCTGTATTGTCCGTTTGACAAGCCCTTGTGCAGCCGCTCCGAGTCGCTTTGCTAGTCATTATCAAGCACCCTGCCAAGCTGCCAAGCTGCCAAGACGTGGCCTTCTCCTCCCCTGCCCTACCTTCACTGTACCAGTTTTGCTCGTGGCTGGCCTGGCTTGTGTCTCGCCCCGCCACGTGCTGCTCAGCGCTTCAGCTTTCTTTGCTCCCCCCTCACCACGAGCTTCTCGACGTTTTATCTGTAAAACAGAGCATTTGTGTTTGCCGGGTTTAGTTGTCTGCTGCCTGCGTCATAGCATCTCCATCTCTTGAGACGAGACTTGTCGGCCTCGTCCTCGGAATCTACGTTGCGAACCGAATCGAACTTCTCCACCACTCGTCGCTGCAACACTCGTCGACTCGGCAGTTACAATCGCGATTCTGACTTTGAACATCGACTTATTGGTTATTCGCCTATACACAGCCGATTCACCTACCCATCAGTTGCTACCATGGCGCACAAACCTATGTCGATGGAGGCTGTCATGGACGAGGAGCGCCTTGAGGTCTTGGCGCTGCTTGGATCCCGTTCCGATCGCAGTCGCCGGTCGTCGAGCATTGCGAGCGCTGGTAGGTCCACCTCGCCATACTCGAATAATCCCCGCTCGCCCATGCGCTCTCCCATGCAGAGCATTCTCGATTACGACGACCTCGAGGCCCCTCCCGAAACGTCCAATGCGTCGGCTGCAGGAGCGTCCAACGCGTCTCGCCAGAGCTCCCCGCGCCCGGCAGTGCAACAGATACGGAGCATGCTGGACATCGACCCTGTCCGACCTCCACCCGTGCCCATCCGCAGCATGCTGGATGTCGACAGCCCGCCAACGCCCACCATCCAGCCCGTCTTTAGCGCCCAAAGCTCACCCACGGAGCCAAAACAGCTGCCCGCGAGCCACCATCGCCACAACAGCAGTGGCAGCGGCGGCGGCGGCAGCGTACACCACCCGAGAAGCATGTCCGACGCTGCAGGCCACCCTGTCAGCTTTGGGCCCCGGGCGCACCAGGGAAGGTCAGACCGCCCTGACCCCACGGCCAACTACCAGTTCGCTGACATCATCACCAACCGCGAGAGCCCCATTTTAACCAAACGCTCGGGGATGTCGAGCTCGCATGCGGCTGGTCCCGGCTCCAAACGTGGAACCAGCATGGCCGAGGTCATGCGCGGTACCGACGTGAGCAACCTCAAACTGCCTGGCCATTCGCTCCCACTTCATGGACGCAGCGCTACGGGCGGTGTTCGTAGCAAGGGGCCCAGCCACAAGTCCCAATCACCACACAACCGTCTCGGCGTACGTACCAAATCTCCGCACACAGGCATCAATACGCGAGCTCTCAGCCCCGCCGGCGCTGCGTTTCTCGCCGACAGCCAAGGCTACGACATGCAAAATGCCTACCGGCGACTTTCTGATTTCAACATTCGGCGCGCCGGTGGTGGCAGTCTCAGCGAGCTGCCCATGCGAGGCTCGAGTACGAACGGCAGTGGTCGCTTGGCAAAGGATTACATGAGCCCCGATGGAGAGGAGCTACTCGAGGACAGCAGCGAGGACAATCACAGCTCTTCGTCGGACGAGGAAGGCGAGCGTGGCCGTAAGACAGCTAGAAGCTTTACCGACGAAAAGAGCCCGCCACCGTCCGAGTCGCCCGTCGATTCTCGCAAATCGGGCCGCCAAAGCTTGAGTCTACTGGCCGCGGCCGAGGAAGAACGTAAGTCACTATACAAAAATACTTTTGCATAACCCCCCTCCTCCCCATCCCATTGACACGAAGTTTGTAAATGGTCAGCCACACCTTGCTAACTGCCCCCCTCCCCCCCCCCCTCAGGTATTCACGTGGCAAGTACACAACCGTATAGGTCTCTTCTGGAACCGGAAATTGTTGTCACCAACTCATCGGGTGACAAGGTCAAGGCCAAGTCTGGTGTCCACCCGGCCAACAGCTTTGATGCGTCGCGCTCCGAATCCCGCACGCGGTGGGACTCTGACAACGAAGCTGAATACACCGATATCAAAAGCGCGCAAAAGTTGACGCTGTCGATGACGCCCATTATGTCGACGCCAGCAACCCAGCGGTCCATCCGGATCATCTACCGCGGGGATTTTGCCAAGGTCCAAAAGGAAGCCGGCGACGATGAACACCGCCGCGTCCGCAAATATGTCGTGGCGACAGACCTCAGCGATGAGTCGACACATGCTCTGGAGTGGGCCATCGGTACCGTTCTCCGCGACGGTGACACCCTGGTGGCCATATATTGCGTGGACGAGGAGACGGGGATTCCCGGTGGAACCGACTCTCAAGACGAACCGAAGACGACGCGGGAGCAGGCACAGGCGGTCTCCGCCACGACTGCGACGGGACGGCTCCCCGAGACGCACTCTCTCTCAGCACTTGCGACGGCAACGGCGTCCTCGGCGGCCCTTAGTGTGGCGGCCCCACCCGCGTCGGCTCGGCCGTCGCTCATCCTGCGAAACAATGACAGCAGTGCGCTCGGCACAGGAGCGTCTGCCTCGCCGGCACCGCAGCGATCTCGCGCCGAGGAGGAACGTCATCGCGCCGTTCAGGACATTACCGATAGAATCGCTAGACTTCTGCGGAAGACAAGGCTGCAGGTGCGCGTGATTGTCGAGGTGCTCCACTGCAAGACGCCGCGGCACCTGCTCACCGAGGTGATTGACTTGGTGGACCCGACGCTGGTCATTCTAGGCAGCCGTGGTCGCAGTGCTTTGAAGGGGTAAGCTTCCGCTTCTTTCTCCCTCTTTTCCTCTTTCCTGCCTCGTTCTTGACTTTTTTGTATTGATGACTAACAACTCCAGTGTGATTCTCGGCTCCTTTTCCAACTATTTGGTGACGAAGAGCTCTGTGCCGGTGATGGTCGCCCGCAAGCGGCTCCGGAAGCAGAGCAAGTACAAGCGGACGGCTTTTAACCAAGTCAACAACCTCAGCAACCCAACAGCCAGGAGCCTGGCCAATGCAAAGATCGACTAGTTGCTTCGTTGCCCAGTTCGCTTTATCGGCGGCTTGTTTTTCGTTTCTCAATCATTGTTTTCTCTGTTGAGGAGTTTTGTGTTTTTTCATGGTCAGCGATTGTCGAGCTCATCTTCTTTCCCTCCTCGCTTCCAATGTCTTTCCTGAATCTCTCGTCAGATTTAACTTGTTCGGCTCGTTGCACACTTTGTTGCTCCTCTGTTTTCGTCACTATTGCTATTATATCCCGAGGCCAGGCAGTACTGGACCAAAAAAATAGTCATGCTCAGTTAGCGATAATGAAATCCACGTTTAAACGGTCTCGTGGCAACCTCGCCATCATTTTTTCCCTTTTCAACTGGTCTGTTCACAGCCGATCATACTATCCAACAATGCGGACGTATTTACGTTTCCGTGTCTCGGGTTACCTCACCCGACAAAGTAAAAGACAACTTTGCATATCATTGGTCCGTCGACGAGGACAGAGTGGTGGCGATATCGTCTCCGTAAACAAAAGTCAGAAGACATCACATATGAATGGGTTGTCGTGCGTCACGAAAACCGCGACTGGAGCCAATCAGACAGCCAGGCTCCGAGAGCCCTTTTTGTGTTTGTTTTGCGAGAGGCGCTGAAAACGCGTCACGTAACTGAAGCGAGACGCGTTAAGTGGTTTTTGGTAGGCTAACAGGGGCCTTGCAGTGAACGTTTAGTGGCATTTGGGGTATTTTAGTGTTTTTGTTTACGTCGATTAGTGTTGCTTTGACGCACGTTCTGTTTCCTCTTTTGACTAATACCACCACTGACCGCGATTGTTGTGTGGGGCCTAACTAGGCAGCGACTGCCATATCTGGGAGTCAAGGACTGTTCATGCAAGCACTTTAACACAACAGTTTCAAAAAGAGAAGGGATGATCGTTGTCCGTAGTAGTACGAGTCGCCGCGTAAGAATATCCCCAAAACGCGGCAGGGGCGATGGAGCGTGGTTGGGAAAGTGCGGTTCGGGCAAGTGTAGGATGCGGGGTTCGTACCTGCTTCTCTGGAATGTGTAGCTATGTCGAGGGGCAAATCCAGCCCGGCACGGCAAGCAGGACCTGGCAACCGCATTTGTGACCTGCCGCTGCATCACATCGCCGGAGCCAAAAAAGGGGCACTTCACCTCAAACATTTGCAGACCAGATCTTGTCTCTCCACTGATCGTGTTATTTGAAGCCGCCCGATGCTTCGACTCGAGGAATAGAAGCACCCGAAGAGCGTGTTGAAGCGGCCATCTCGTCGTCATATCGCACTGTCGAACGAGAACCGTTCCACCATTTTCTACCTCATCGTCGAGATCCTCCTCGCTCGCCCAAAGTGCTTTCCTGTTGATTGGACGACCGGTCGCCACTTGTGCGACCTGCAGGAAGACGTGTGGCCCGCCCGCGGCCTGGCCCTGTCGGTTGCTGCATGAGAAGCTTGGGCGCGCCCTTACGGCGATAAAAAAGAGGAGCCCTATTGTCTCACCAGTGCCGTTCCCAGCCTCTCGATTTCCCACACCGTCGAGGACGACAAACAAAACAGAGTTGCGCCAGACCAGAAAACGACAAGTCGATGGGACGACAAGACATCACACAAGACACTGATTGACAAGAAAAGCCTCGACTATCCAGCAAGCCCAGCAAACCTATCGATCAAAGCCTCCTCCATACAGAACCAGCCCATCACTTCAATCGCCCTCCGCCGCGCGAGTAACTTTTCTGCTCCCTTTGCGCACGCCGTCCAGTTGGTGCTCGTTCAGTTGGTGCTCGTCCTTGTTTATTCTTTTCCACCTGTCCCCTTTTGACAGTCCCTCCCGTTGCTCACTGTTCTCTACGACGGTCATCTTCGTCCTTTTTATTTTTGTCTTTTCTCTTCTTTTCTCTTCCCCGTCGTCAACCGCTTTCTGAACTCAGGTTTATTTGGTCCAGCCGGTCTTTCGTCTTTTTTTCATTTCTACTGTCGTCTTTGTTTCTCCCACAGTCTTGTTTATTGCTTGTTTCTTTATGTTTTCTCTCCCTTTTACCTCGTCCCCTCCCCCCTTCATGCAGCCACTCTTCGCTGTCCACAACAACGTGTCTCTGCTGAGCATCAACATTGCCCCCAGCACATTCTTAGCCACCTTGACCTTGGCCCTCGTCTTTCTCTCGCTATATTTGCCACGGCTACCGTCCTTACCTTTACCCCATCTCTTCAGCCTCGGCCGGCGTCGTAAAGGAAACGACGATATAGACACCGTCCAACACAGACGCCAACGCATTGCAGACGGTCTCGGCGACGGCTACGACGAGTACGTCGATCCTCGCCAGTGGCGTAACAGAGAATCTGTCGTTGTCGATTGGCAACATCGTCAACTACCGCCGTTGCCGCCTCCGCCATTCCGACCTCTACTGGGGGGGTACGTCGAGGAGTGCGACGATCGTGAGAAAGAGCGCTTCTCCGGATTTTTCCGTAAGAAAAAAAGCAGCCGGAGTGACCGCGAAAGGCCATCAGCCAAAGATTCGAGAGAGAGACAACGGACTAGGGAACGAGAGAAGGAAAATACTAGTCCGGGAAGTCGCAACAAGTACTTAACACCTCCAAAAACTACATATACCAGCAGGAACACCACCGCGGAAACGACAGCAGAATCGGCCAAGCTGGTGGTTTATAGCAGTCGCCGCAACAACGTGGGCGTATATGACCCTCATAGTCAATCGCCGGACAACAGCGATAGAGAGGAGCGAGGCCGACAGCCTATCGGCATTGACACGAACGACCATGCCACGAATTGGCTCTCCACTGGTATCCTGGGACTCATCACATCCCGGATTCGACCCGGCCAACAACCGACTGCTGACACCGTCCATCTCTCCCCACCGCGAGCACCAGTCGCATTCCCTACACCCGCAACACGTCCAGCAGAAAGTGAACCCACAACCCCCACAGGCGTACGGACAACCGTCGACCCACACCGGCTTCCTCGAAACCGACAGCGAGGGAAACGACAGCGTGGAGGATTCAGCATCTGGCGGTGGTGGGTACAGCCCTCCGGCGTGGCGCCGCCTCGAAAACGGCGACCGTAGCTCAGGCTTCTGGCGCAAAAGTGACAATATCCTCGGCTCACCCACTCTGACGACGCCAATGAGAGAGACGGACGACCAGCTACACTACCAGCATCAGAAACAGCAGCAGCAACAGCAACAGAACTCATTACCACACCCATCTACATCGCCACGTGCCTTCACATCACACCTTCAACAGCATTTTCAAAGGCGGAAAGAGTCCAGGCTGGGTCGTACATTTGCCTCGTCGCGAGCATCAAGTCCTGGGTTTGATAGTGAAGAGGACGCCATGGTAGACGACATGCTTGGGCCCGACGACGATGACATCTTTGACGACCATGGTGGCAGCTATGCGGACGATACCGTGCTGGAGCGCGCTATGCGCACACGACTGCCTGGCAGCATGAGCCCTGACAAGGAACGAAGCCCCGAACCGGAGCTCGTCTACCCAAGCCCGCTCAGTCGGATGGATGGCATGCGGCTCAAGGCTATGGAATCCATACAGGAGGAGAGGATTGGTTTAGAGTTCCTAAACGGCCAACATGAGACGTCCGACAACTACATTCGATTTGCAGTCCGCTCAGAGGTAAAACACCACACCAAGCTTCTCCATACTGCGGTCGGTTATGTGCGCAGCAGAATCTATTTTGCGACCCGGTCTTGGGCGCACATTCTCCTGTCAGTCGTGGTCGGTATCCTGTCGATTGCGGCCATGCGCGCATTGTCATACGCGGCTGGCTTTCGCGCTGTACCAGACCTCGTCAAGGTGGCGCGCGTTGCACGATCTTTTGAGCCGCTCATCTACTATTCAGAAAATGGCGTGGCTCAAGTGCACGATTTGGAAGCCACCGGTGTGGCCGTGTGGGATTTAGGCGAAAGCGTCCGCTTGAGCAACCTCACATCAGCACCTATTATCGTCCAAGAGCTCGACGAGCTCAGCGACACCCTCCGGGCACTGGCGATGGAACTGACCCGCTTCTTCTCAAACATCGATGGCGACATTGACGGCATTTTGATTGTTATGGAATGGGCACGACGGGAGCTCGGTCGTCTACAGGAACCGCCGACGTCGACGTCGCCTAGTCTATTTCTCATGAAGCCCTTAGCCGCTGCTTACGACAACGTGTACAACTTGCTCGCCTGCGCGGGCCTATTTGAAAACGTCGCAACGGGATCGCCCACGGCTGTGGGCGCCGTGGCCACGACGCTGTTTGGCATGTCCGGCCCGCAGCGCACACGTGCCACGCTGCACCGCACGTTCCACGAGTTCCTTTCAGTGCTCGAGGAGGCCGTCGCAACAGAACTGCAGCACAGCCTGGCCCTCTTTGCGCTCTTTGAAAACATCGACCGCCAGTTTCTCAACCTTGTGCGCACCGTCGCACGCGAGGCCAGCGTCCAGGACGAGCGCCACGCGGATCTATTGGCGGGCCTCTGGACGCGCATCCTCGGCCCCAGCGCCGCCGCCACGGCCAAGTACGAGCAGAACCGCGAGCTGCTGCGCGACGTGCGCGAGAAGACGGTGCGCAACAAGGGCGTGCTCGTCGAGCACAACCACCGCCTGTTGGCGCTGAAGACGAGCCTCGAGAGTCTGCGGCGCAAACTCGTCAGCCCGCTCGTGCGGTCGGTCAATAGCAGCACGCTGACCCTGGACGAGCAGATCCGCGGGCTCGAAGACGTCGGCGCGTACCTCTCCGAGGTCCGTGCTCGCCAAAAGGGCCGGCTGCTGGAGGCGCTCTACGGCGTGGGATCCGTGCGGGAGCGCATTGGCTGGAGTGGAAGCAGCGAGGACGATGTGAGCTAATCGGGAGGCGGTCGGGGCTCCAATGGACGGTGGACAGAAGTAAGGTTGTGAAAATTGTGATGCATTTGGTCGATGTGTGTTACTGGTCTCAAACGGATTGTTTTCTTTTTGTTTCTTGGGGGACGTACGATCACCGCATTCTTTACGGCGCCCACACATTGGCATTGTTTTAATTTGTATGTCTTTTAAAGTAAATTTTACATCATATTTCGGCATATACATCCTAATCGAGTCATCTTGTCGAATTTCATCGTGTCGAGCCTGCGTCAAACTCTGTAAGATATATACAGTCACGGGCACAAGCAAAAGGATAGGTGGTACTATTCCGGACAGGGAAATTTAGAAAAATCAAAAGGGGCTCCTTCCAAAGTCCCAAAAGTCTATTGTGCAATTGCTACCGAGGCGGTCATGAAAAACGCGACCGATTGTCCATCTAAAAATAGGAACGAGAGGCTCAAACCAATACCTCAAGTTCTCACTGTTGTGTCTATTGCGCAAAAGAACAAAATATAGTAAAAGCAAGGTCAACGGTCAACCTTCTGAGGTGCGCCAGAAACAAAAAGCAAAATATCCCAAGTTGAACGGAAGGCAAGAAACAAACTAATGCCTGCTCGCAATGCGAAAAGAAAACAAGCAATGCCCAAGCCATGCAATGCTTCGATTAATTCGACTGTAAAAAGAGTCGTATGAGAAGGAGGGAGATCGGTGAGGTGTGTCGATCTGTAGTGTCGCGTCGTGAAGTAGGTAGGTGAGGTTGGGTATATAAAATCAAAGAAAAAAGGCAAAAACCCAAATGACGCCATGATGCCAAAGTCGACAATGTCGAACAAGAAGGCTCGCAAAACGAAATAAAAAAAAAGTACATGCAAAAAGACAAGGCTGTCAGACTTTCCTTTTTGCCTTTTTGCCTTGTCTTTTTGCAACGTATAAGGGGACCAAAATCTATGTCAATAAAAAGAGCATGTGTGTCGCATCGAAAAATGGTTCGCGTACGAAAAAGGAGTCGTTCGCGTGTGCCGTCACAGTCCTCTAGAAGGTGCTCCAGTTCCAGTCACCGGGGACGCTCTGGGCGACGTCAGGAACCTTGGCCACCGTCGGGGTCCCAGGCGCACCGGGCTGGCGAAGAGCCACGACCGGGCTCGTAGGCGCCGTGGCGGCTTTCTTGTAGGCGCTGGTGTTGACGGTAGCCGGCGTCGTGGTGCCAGACGAGGCGCTTGAGAGGTCGCTGCTGTTGGTGCGTGTGCGCCAGGCCTTGAACTCGCGAAAGCAGTACGCACAGGCGCGGTTGGACGAGCCCTTGGGGTTGTAGTTGGCCTGCTCGTCAAGCGGGATCTCAAAGGCGGAGTGGAAGTCGCAAAAGATGTTGCCGCAGCGGCGGCAGTGGTGGCGGCGGGTGAAGTAGCTGAACGACTTCTTGCACGTCGGCTCGTCGCACATGGTCGACTCAGGGTCCGGCTAACCAAGTTAATACCTGACACCGTAAACGAGGCACCGTGAACGAGGCACCGTAAACGAGGCACTGCCCTCATAAACAGCCATGTTCATAGGAGTCATAAATTACACACCTTCCAGTGGCTCCGCGAGGGAAAGCCATTGACGTCCGGAAACTGGTCGAGGTTCCACTTGGTGTCGACACACTTGCCGCTGTCGTTGGTGGAGCGGCGGCTCAGCAAACCGATTCCAAAGGCACCGAGGCCCGGGAGGCTGATGAAGCTGCCGCTGGAGCGCATGCCCCCGCTGCGGCGGCTGGTCTGGCTGTGGTCGTCCTGCTCATCGTCGTCCTCGGAGCCGTCGCCCACGGCACTGCTGTCGCCGCTGCTGTGGTCGGGTGCGTCGCCAGCCTTGGCCTGGCCCTCGCGCGACGGATGCTCGTTTCGCCGCAGGACGGCCGGGATGTAAAGGGGGCGGACCTGGCGGGTGTGGTAGTTGCCGCTGGTGTTGTTGCTGCTGGCGGGCTTGGGCGAGGTGGGCGAGCTGCTATTCGACGTGCTCAAGGGCGAGATCTGGGGATTGTACTGAGACGCAAGGTTGGACGCGGTAGCGGCGGTATTTGCGGCAGCGACGGCGGCATAGGCGTAGTGCTGCTGGTTGAAGGCCGGGATCTGCTCTTGCGCATGGCGTTGGTGAGGCTGCGTGTAGAAGGCGTCGCGCGACGCCGTAGGAATGCGCGGCATTATGAAGTCGGCGGCCATGGTCATATGCCTGCTCAGACGATTCTACGAGGAGAGAAAGAAGAGTTGTAAAGACGTAAGGTTCACTGGACGACGTGGGAGATCGCATGCGCTCCAGGTGAAGCGACGCCAAAGTGTTGCAGATCGTGCAGAAACGGGCGTGGCAGAGGATTCCGCAGAGCCGGGAGGTAAACAGGAGCGAGGATTCTCAACAAGACAAGACGACGAAAGAGTAAACCACCTCTCTCGGGTTCGTCGGCGGTGAAGATACGTAGTAGTTGTTGGGGTGAGAAATACAGAAGATAAGCGCAGATTGGAAGTCTGCGCGAGTAGGAAGAAAACAGATACAAGCCCGGTTGCTTATTCTGTTGCTTTTCTGTTCTCTCTCGAGGACAGATGCTGAACGTATCGTGAAGAGGAATTCAAAGGGTAAAGTCTAAAATCGTGAACGTAAATAAAGAAAAGATGAGAAACTAACAGAAAAAAGGGAGGAAATAGAGAGAACGGAAGGGGAAGGGGAAGGGGAGGGAAGGGGAGGGAAGGTGTGGAAAGCGAGGCCATTTGGGGGGGCACGATACTTTTACATATGGGGGAGGGCACCAAATAAAGCACTTCCGACGGACAAGGAAAGAGCGACCGCCAAGCAGTAGCGTGGTACGTAGTGCGCTAGCGACGTCTGATAACGAGAAAGGCAACAGCCAGAGGCGAGACGAGCGACGGACGAGGCGAAGGGGGCAAACGGGAAAGAGCGACAGGCCAGGCCATAGTATGGGCTGCACACGCTTCGCTCCTTTTCTGGTGGGCTCGGTCAAACGAACTGCAAGAGCGGCAATTGGACAGCCGCGGGCTTTTAGAGCCTAGGCGCGGCGTTCAGTTGCAGTGGGGCGCCTTCTGTCTGCGAACGATCGAGGCTAAGAGGCTAAGAAAGGAAAGTGCGACTAGCAGCCCGGTGGTTGCGAGAGGCCAGGCCGTAGGTTGAGATATCCTACAGTGGGCTACGAGGGATCAGAAAAGGCACACAGGGGGCCAGAGTGCAAGAGGTTGCGGAGGCGAACCAACAACCAACATGCGCTAGGGCGACATCGTCGGCGACTGGGGATGATAAGTAGATTTTGACGACTCCTGGAGATCGCACTTGTCGAGAAGCAGGGAGTGTGACCTGTGCGTTTGCAACGACAAAAGGGAAAAGCATAAGAGAGGACGGGAATAAGCAAAGGGGAAATCAAACGGATTAGCAGGTGCGAGTGGCATTCTAGAATTCAAATAAATCCTTATCGTCAATTTTGGCAACTGCTTCGTAGTCAGCAAAGAGTTCGGAGACGACACTGTTTGAATCGCGAACAGCGTTTCGACCATTGGACAACATTTGGACAGCGCAGGCACAGACACGGACAGCAGCAGCAATTGCCCCCCATGCCCAGGCCTGCCCAGACCCGGTGAAGACGTCGCAGGCGCACACGGCGGTTGTGGTGTGCAGGGATCAGCGGGGATTGCAGACTGCAGACTGGGCTCCACAGTGGACTTACACTGCGATCCACAGAACTGGCCTCAATGTCTGTTCCTTGCTCTCTTGGGGCATGGGCATCTCTACAAGGAAGAAAGACAGAGCGCCACTGCGTGGGATTGTTGCGGATCCAACTCCCCAAAAGCAAAGAGCGGTGGGAAGGGGGGGGGCGATGTCTGCAGCAGATGCATAGACTCAAAATGGCAGACGAATACGGGGTACGTCAGAACGTCAGGTTGTCAAGACGTCAATACGTCAAGATATCGACTTGATTGACTACCAGGATCAGAAACGATTGACAACATGATGACTGAGTGACGCGCCAGAGGGAGAGTAAAGATGGGGGGCAAAGAGGTGGCAGCGAACAATCGAAGGACAGGGACAACGGAATATGATCGGAGTACAAAAGTACAGAGCAGGTGGATGTGCACGAGCGGTAGGATATTGAGAACGGCAAGCACCGTTTCGACGTCGTCTTTTGGCTGGGGGAGACAATAACTTGGCGGGAAAAACGAGTGCCGGCGAGGCTATGTGGCGAGCCCAAATCTCGACTCCTTTGCGCGCAAATCCCGAAAGGGCGCTGACTGGCACAACTGCTCGAGGCTGGTCATGAGCCGTTTGAAGCGCACGCCGGCGCGCATTCGAAATCGACTCTCCAGTCCTCTTCTTATATTTTGTTTTTATCTTTGCTTTGCTTTAGTCCTATCGTGAGACTGTGCGATTCTAGCGACGATGCTTTGTCTTTGTGAGTTTTAAAGGACAAAAAGGCAAGAGACGATGGAATACGAGCAACAGCTTGTTTCGTTACTGAGCCCCCAGGCTTGATGCTTCGCATCTGAAAGTGGACGATGGATAATTATGTCGTACATATCCTCAGTTTGCCTCTTGGAGGTTGCAACCTGACGCACGTTTGCTCCTTCCCCTCTCTCACCGCCTTTGCTGTTGCTACGTCGTTGAAGAAGGAAGGAGGGAGTGAGGAAGGAGCAGCACACAGGGTGCCATTGCCCCGACTGTCGGGCCTGCAACGTCCAAGTGACCTGACCTGTCTCTTTTTTGTGCCATTTTCTCCGTTCTTCAGGACGGTCGGCGCATCGTAGGCAACGCAGTCGCCAGCGTGTTCGGCATGCAAGCACGTCTCCCCCCCCACATCACGAGGTCTCGACTTGCAGTGAGGAGACAAGTGGAACAGCGGCGCTACGAAGAGGCCATTGCGAGGAAGGTGCGTGGCACCGCATTGGCACATCTTCAAACCGGCAAAGGAAAGAGACAGTGTAAGTGCAACCAACCATTTACCTCAAACGAAGCATCTAATGTGTCGTGACCTTGCGACGTAACATGCCTTATTACTCAGGCGTCGCCTGCATTCGTCTCGTGCAAGTGACAGCGGTTACGGCTGCAAAATAACAACACGACATGGATAGGCCAGGTTCGCACTGGATCTGTACTTTGGGGTTAGGACGGAAGCAATACGGAGTACTTGTTGTGGCCTGTTAAATTAAAGATGGGGAGATGATGGCAGATTAGATTGGGCTGCCATTTTCGATAACGGCGTTTGCCAGCGGGGGTTCAACGTCAGCGTATCCTGTCGATCAACGCCGCCCGATCAAGTCCAATGAAGGCACTGTCGTTGTGCTTGCTGTCGTACTCCGTACACCATATATTAACATATCTTGCGACGTACGGAGCAGTTCGGTAAACGCACCAAAAAAGGTCGCTCACCGGTACGTCGTAGAGGTTTTTGGTGTAATTACGGGATGCAAATTGCCGTTGTTCCTATATCTCGCCCATTCGCACTCTTGGTCTGTCGTTTTGTCGAATCGCTCTATCCTACATTTCTTTTGCCACGCCGCTCATTGGGCCGTCAGCAGCCGACTGCCAGGACGAATATCTGGGTCCTTATTTACTGGTGCGCTTGGCGAGTCACGTTTGCCTAAAAGTACCTCCGTCGTATTGGTGGGCCCCGTAGGGTACTGACATGGTACAACACTTCCTTATCAGACGCGCTTATATGTCAAGGTATCTTACGTGTAGTTCCGCAGTTTGTGTCTATGCTTTTGTTCTCTGAAGTACGGAGTAAGTACCTAATTAAGGTATCCACCTCTCACGTGCCAAAAGTCCCTCTTTTTGTCCTGCTTTCTGTGCCCTCCGCCAGTCCCTCACGACCAACCACCTTACACTGATTCTGTCGGGTCGACTTACTCAGAACGGCGAAAGCACTCGTGGCATGAGAGTGAACATCTGCGACAGACAGCCTGCTCTTTCCTTTGGTTTTCACACCAACGACGTGCGACAATTACGCAGTGCGTTTCCGATTGACAGCATCGCCGCCACCGCCATGCGATCAAAATACGCCCCAGATGTCGTAGGATTGCCATTCTGTACATTTTATTTCTTCTGGGGCATTCCAATTTGTGTCGCACGCGACGCCCTTTTATTGTGGTGGAACAGAAAACCATCGCTGTTCGGACGGGTCGCTTTTTCCTCCTGTCCAAAGTCAAAAAGTCTCTCTAGAGCGTTTTTGTCAAGATGTAGCAGGCACGGTTTGTGATTGGTCTGTCAGAGCAGCTCTTATCATTGGCCTGTGATTGGTTCTTTGAAAGTACAACCCTGATGCCGTTTTTACGACGTATTTCTCAACCCGGCAAAGTTTGGCCCACACTACCCCTGCCGTTAATGGAAGGACCCATTATTTTTATGGGCCTAGGACAAGGCCAAGACCAGAAAGAAAGACAAAACGTTCTGAAAAGCATGTTATTCAAGTTCGAGTTGGAGATTTTCAGTGAACGAAACAAGACCAGCCAAAAGCAACCTCGAAACGACACGATGAGACAAATAGCACGACGAAAAAAGACTTGTCTTTTGACGGAGAAGTTCCAATTCCCTCCACAGCTACTGCAACAGGCAAAGATTGACGGCAGGGCACAGAGAGACGGAAAGTGAAGAAACGATTGCTGTCTGACCGTTGGCGTCCAAAGCCAATGGCATCTGTGTAGAGTACGAATTACGACATCTGCAATTCGTGAATTCTGTAGTGTGCCACAATCATTTACACCGACCAGCTCGGCCTACGACAGGTCATTTCGGGGAGTATTATCCCAGCCCCGGGCCGCCTGTACGTCGCACAAGGTAAATGAAATAGAATGCTGTCGTGTTGAAGACGCACTGCCCGACCCATGGCAAGGGAAGGGACATCCGTTGTATGCAGTATGCCGTACTACTATTTGGCGATATCCTGCCGCGGACGGCCAACAAGGGCCGCTCTCGATATTGTTTGAGATTGCGGTTTTCAATTTCATTTCGTAAGTTTGGATGAGTACACTCATACAGCCCCAACAACAGAAACAAGCAAGAAACGCTGGTAGGGAGACTAAGATACCGGAGAAGCAAAAACAAGACGCATGCAAGGTCCAAGATCCAAGACGATCCAGGCCCAAGGCTCCAAGACACCCCCAAGCCCAACAGTCTCATAAACACTCGCTGAAAAGGGGCCGCAATCCTCGTATACGAACCAAATGGGGAAGTGGTTCTATCTCAAAGTGCCAACTGTTGACACTGTACTAAGTACAGTACATCGCAGCACACTATTTTAATGAGGAAACTGCTACAAAGACATGCCGATCCAACGTAAAATACTCAAAATAAAACCCAGAACCTGGTCCAGCGCCAGGTACAGTGCCTACAGGACTCCCTTCCTTGCCTAAATGGGCAGCCCATTAGCTAATAGTTTGCTCTGCGTCCCACGCTACGGGCTGTCGGGTCTGCACAGTACGAGGGAGAACTGCTTTTGTACGATGTAATAAGTCTGTCTCGCACTCGCAGCCGACCTGCCCACGCTCGCCACGGTTCTCCCGCCGCTAAATTAAGAGATGATGGAAATCGCCGGCGCTGCCAGGTAGCAACTCTGGGCGCCGAGGAAATAAGAAAACACGAGACATGTAATGAAGAAGCGATAACCACAGAGTATGCCGTACTTTGTCATTACAACGCAAAGCAAACGAACAAAAACATGCACAGCCGGAGGGCCGGAGGGCACTCTGCACATCATACATCGTAAGCAGTCTCCCAGAGCAAAGCACAGTTATCAGGACATATCCGACCAGAGGCAGCCTTGGGAAGAGGCGAGGAAAGTGTCGTAACAAAAGACGGCGATTAATCGCGTCGAGGCAGTTCTACGCGGCTGTTTGTTGATTCGGAAATGGCAACGGAACAGGAAAGAGAAAGCAAGACTTTGTCCTTGCTTTGTCAAAAGGCAGATCCTCAAAGACAGTGGAGCATCATCGGCCTCGGCGAGAAAGGCAAGCGCGGTGCCTGCCACCACGGATAACCTGTAAAATAGGCGGCCGCCACCTGCCGTGGCAGGCGCCCTCCAGGCGTCTCGGGGCCCCATAAAAAACAAGAATCGCAAAGGAAGCAAGGAAAGTCCCCAGTATCCAAGGAAAGAGCACGCGACACTTTTTGAGTCCCTGAAAAAAAAAAAAAAAAAAAAAGGAAAACGAAACAGCGAAGCACAGAGAAATGGGGAGGCCGAAAAAAACAGCCTTCAACCTCGATGAGGCAACCCGACATCGTAAATGGCAAAAGCAAACAAAAAGTGGGAAAGGCTCGCCATTGCAGCATTCTTCCCGCGGTGCAGAGAACTAGGGGTTCAGAACATCTATCAGAGCCGGAGTGCCTTAAACCATCTTCAGCACGCAGAACTCAATGGCCACGGCATTTCTGACTGTGGCTACGTTCATCATCACAGCCTCCGAGTTTGCCTCGTACGTGTCATGCAAGTCATGATGAATGGACATTTCACAGATTATGCCAGTCATCGATTTTATACTGCGAATCATTCACCATATTGCATTAATCGGATGGGAAGGCAGGAGCCGGCCTGATTTGCTGGCACCTGCCTAGAACTACCTGCATGACAGCCTGTAGGAGCCGTCGCAAGCCGAAGAAGGGCGCGGTCGCTGTGATGCTCAACCATAGACCGGTCCAGACTCTATTCATCACTCGTTTCGAACAGTTTGGCGCTGGGCGATTCATTTAATTCTTAGACATCTAAGAAAAGAAAGAAAAAAAACAGATTGGCGGTCGTTTTGTGTACTTATCGCAAAGGAAAAGCCAACAGACACACCTCCATGCCATAACAAGGCACAAAAAAAGAAAAGAAAAACAAACGAGTCGTGTACATGCAGACGCCATGCATGTCCCCCCTTGCATCTCGTACGTCCCATGATCACGTTCCTTCACCGTTCTTTTGTCTCTTGGGCAACCTTCTCCTCCCAACGGCCACTTTTCCCGCCATCTTTGAACACCACGCGCAGGCCGTCGATGCGCATGCCCTTGTCCACCGCCTTGCACATATCGAACACTGTCAGGGCCGCCACCGAAGCGGCCGTCAGAGCCTCCATCTCCACACCCGTCTTGCCTTCACACCGCACGGTAGTGCGTATATCCACGTGCCCGTAGTCATCGTTGTTGTCGTTGCTGTCGTTGTCGTTGTCGTTGTTATTATGGGCCCCAGAAACGGCCAGGTCGACTGCAACATGCGATAGAGCTAGTGGGTGGCACAGCGGAATAAGGTCAGCCGTCCGCTTAGCCGCCATGATGCCAGCGATCCGTGCCACGCCGAGCACATCACCCTTGGCCATATCGTTGGCTCGAACCAGGGCCGCTGCAACAGGACTTGAGAACCGTACCGTACAGGCCGCCTCTGCCGTCCGTGACGTCACGGCTTTCTCGCCCACGGGAACCATGTGTGCCGTCCCCGATGCCGAGACGTGGGTCAGACGGGGTTCTTCCTCGACCGGGTGTTGAGATGCCGTCCGGCCTCCGCTCTTGCCGTCGTTTTTCTGGCCGAGTCGGCCAGTCGTAGAGTAATACACCTTTCTCTGAGATATTGAGCATGCTACCAGCGAAGCTGTCATATGTGAGAGGTGTGGTGAGAGAATGGGTAATGAGGCCGTCCCATTTGTTGGCTGTCTGCCCCAACTCTGGACAAGGCCAGCACAGCTATACATCGACAGTGAAGGCTGGTGGCGGCTGCGGTCTATGTCAACATTAGCTACGGGTCCTCACACATCCTGCAACCAACCCCATGTCGCAAAGCCGGCTCTCCAGATTCAACCCACCTGTCCTGCCTGTCTGAATACATGATACATGAAAGTGAGGCTCATCTCGTCGTCGGAGCAAAAGCACTACCCACCTATCAAGATCATCGGCCGGTTCTTCATGTGCTCTAGCTCGCCGATGCCCGCGTGGCGCTCCTTCTTGCGCTTCACTGCCATGCCAATCACATCGAGCAGCTCAGAGGCGTTTGGTAAGACATCGCTCAGCTGAATGTCCACGTTGGGTTCTTGTGCCGTAGCGGCGGACGAGGCCTCTTTAGCAAGCCGCACCATCTCGGCCATGGCCGCCTCATCGATGGGCTCCCCACCGTTGGCTTGCCGCATAATATCCCGCAGTGAGACCTCGGCGTTGCCAAAGAGACACACTTTAAGGCTCCCGTCGCTCGTGATCCGCAGTCGGTTGCATCCGCCGCAAAAGTTGTGCGTCATGCTCGTGATGAAGCCCACGCGGCCCGCGAAGCCAGGCACCTCATACGTCTTACTCGTATCGTGCGGTCCGTTGTGATGTGCGTCCGGCACCATGCGCTGCAGCGTCGGGTAGTCCGCGCCGATGCGTTCCAGCATCTCGTTGAAGCTGACCATCTTGCCCGTGCTCCACCGGTTGCCGTCAAACGGCATGTACTCGATGAACCGCACCTCGAGGTCGTGGTCCCGTGTCAGCCCCACAAATTTGCCCAGCTCGTTGTCGTTCAGCCCGCGCATCACGACACAGTTGATTTTGAGACGGATCCCCGCGCCCGCCTTGTTGAGCTCCAGAATCCGATCCATGCTCCGCTGCACCGCCGAGAACCCGTCGCGTCGCGTCATCAACCGGAACTGCATCGGATCGAGCGTGTCCAGGCTCAGGTTGACGCCCGTCAAACCAGCCTCGACCATGGCCTCAAGCTTGCGGTGCAGCGCCAGCCCGTTTGTCGTCAGGCACAGCTCCCGCAGGCCGAGGCGCTGCAGCGCGCCGAGCTGACGCATCAGCGGCAAGATGTCCCGCCGCACCGTCGGCTCGCCGCCCGTGAGACGGATCTTGTTGACGCCCTGCGCCACAAACACATTGGCAAGCAGCACAATCTCAGGCGTCGTCAGCAGGTTCCGTTCCGGCGACAGCTCCACACCCTCCTCGGGCATGCAGTAGAGACACCGCAGATTGCACCGCTCCGTCAGCGATATGCGCAGGTAGTCGTGCTGGCGCTGAAAGCCATCGGTCAGGAATTCGGAAAACGGTCGAGCATTTTTCAGCTGATCCTTTCGCCGCCGACGGCCGGGCTCCCGCTCGGGCCTCTGCACCTCAGTCGTTGCTGCACCCGCAGTGAAGCGATCAACAGAAGGAGGCAGGGCACCGTCATTCAGGTTCGCTGCCGACGTGGCCCGTGTAGCAATCGTCCGCCGGACCTGGCCGGCTGTTGAACGTGGCCTTAATGCCAAGAGGCCGCATTGGGGAGACGCGAGCCGCAGCATTCGCCACCCAAAGCTCGGCGACGATTTGTTCAACGGCATGGCGATGTGTTTTGGTTGCAAGAAGAGATTGGACTCGGAAGCATGCCAGAAGAAAAATGACACCGCCGAATGCTAAGGACGTGTTTTCTTTCCAAGACCAGTCATCGCAGTCGTGGGATTGCTTGTCTTTATGTGTGTGCGGAAGAGTTGAGCTTTATCGGCCACCTCCGCGTATTCTGCGGAGATGCCAATAATTACTCCGCACACCATGCCCAAGAACCAGCGAACCCACATGTCAGAATTACTCATCAGGTAAAGTGGCAAAGTAACGGCGGCAAGCGCTCCTTCACACTAGTCGGTCGAACTTTCTGTACTCAAGATGTCTGTTTACTTTGTCCTGCATGGAAAGAGCGTTGGAGGTTCGAAACAAAAGGACGATTCAATCTGGACAGCGCCTTCCCGCATTGCGTCCTTCGCTGCATTCCGATGCATCGCGGCAGGAACCACAGTGCGCTAACTGTCAAAAGCCAATGTCACACGGAGAACCTGGTGGGGATAATTGACATTAGTCCCATTATGGCAATTGGTAAACAGAGGAAGGCACGTTCTGCACAACCCCGCGAATGGCTTCTTCAGGCAGGAGCCAAAGCTTCTGCGATAAACAAACTACCCCTGAATCCCAGACGTCCGATCGACCTCTCTTGAGTAACCTCGTCATTCACTACCGACAGCACAGTAGTACGAGAGCTTCTACTGCGGTATCACATGAGCCCAACGCGCCCGAGACACACTCTGAGCTCGACGCGTCCATCGCAAGACCCCAAATCTCCGATAACGCCCACCGACCTCCAGCCATTATGCGCTTCTCTCGAAAGTTCAAGGGTACGTCATCGACGTTTTAGGGAGTGCTGTTTCAGGTCCATCGTGCCCATTACCAATCATCTTGGCTTTCTCGTCACGATGCATGCGCCGACTTTCTTCTAACGCGCTTCGCAGCTTCCTCGTATTGTCTGCCGAGCCCAAATGGCCGGCTTGTGGCGACGCTGCTTCCCACCGGAATACACATTCAAGCTGTGGACCGTCTCGAGGGGTTCGCCGACGTAGTAGAGCTTCCAACAGACCTGTCTGTCTCGGCCATCGTCAGCTTCCAATGGTCGCCGACTTCACAGCGTGTCCTGGTGGCTACAACAGACCAGATTCTGGTGGCGGCTGTCCTGGCCTCGACCGGTGGTGAAGAAAAGCCATTCCGTGCTGTGATTCGCAACCCGTCACTGCCCGTCGTTGCCAAGCCCGCCTTCGTCGGCTTTGGTCCTTCCGATGACCAAGTGTGCCTCTGTTCTGCTTATGGTGTAAAGTTTGCCGTGTTCAGCTTGCTGACGGGCAAGACGGTCGAGATCTTGAACCCGAAGCTCTTTAGTTCAGTTTCGGTTTGCCGTCGTGGATTTTCGTTCCGGCCAGACAGCAACCACCTCTCCCTCCTGACACGCACTGCAGGCAAAGACTGGGTCAGTGTGCACGATCCGGCAGTGTCAACTCCCATTGCATCATGGGCCCCCGACACTATTGATGCTCAGGGCCTTGTCTGGAGTCCGGACGGCCACTGGCTGACAGTGTGGGAGTCGCCCGCATACGGCCGCAAAGTTCTGTTCTATACACCTGACGGCCATCTTTTCAAAACCTGGACCGGTGTTCCTCATGCCGCAGCCACTCGACAATCAAACGGTGACGGCGATGGAGGATATGGCGATTTTGAGACGCACATCGATACACATATTGCCGACGAGCTACTTGTATCAGGTGTCAGGCTGGTGCAGTATTCAGCAGACGCTCGTATCTTGGCCGTTGGTGATGCCTCGCGTACAGTTCGACTGATTGACGTGGCATCTATTACGACATACAAACGGCTTGTTCATCCCACATCTCTGCGCCCTCGAACGAGCGCTTCATCTATGGTAAGTCGGCCCGTATCCGGCTGAAGTGCCTGGTATTAGTAAAAGATTGTGCAAAAAACAAGAAACGCTTACCAGAACAAACAGATTTGGCAGGAACAGATTGGGCCATCTGCCGTCAGCGGTGTTTGTCACAGCTTTGTCGAGGCAACGCAGGATGTATCGCCCCCCGGCCGCTCGGCCTCGACCACCACTGACGCATCTGTAATCTCGTCAGGATGCACGCTGTTGGCATTTGACTGTGCATCCGCCCTTCTTGCAACTCGTTTGGAAGAGGCTCCCACTACTGTCTGGGTCTGGAGCGCGGAAACGGGACACTTATGCAGTGTTCTTATGCTCCATGCGAATGTGTCTGCTGCAACATGGCACCCTTCTACACCCGCCACTCTACTCATCACATGCGACGGTGAAAAGCACCGAGGGCTGGGTGTCGTCTGGAACCCCCTCAAGGATGAGCCTCCTCAGGTCGGCGACTTCTTGCGCTATTATCCTCTCACAACTAACGAAGGCCACCTTCCACTAAGTGGCGCCCCAACAGGAAAACATCGCTTAACATGGCTACATCTCGACGGTATCCCACCTTCGCTGTTTTACTCGGATGGACACGAATTTTCTCTTGTCGCGCTTGATGGGGGCGACCAACATGAGTACAAGGCAACCGACTCAGTGCCGTGGCCAGAGGCCGACATCCCAGCAGCACCTTCCTGCTTGTCCAATAGGCAATGGGCCCTTGAAGATCGAGTGAGAGAGGAGTCACCCCTGGAACTTGTGCCAGCGAGCGTGGACATCGAAGGCGCCAGTGTGTTGGATGATACCTTCCACTACAAAAGGGAGGACTAGGCACTTGTGTTCCGTTTCCCCGTCCTCTCGGCTTCCAGTGTTTCTCACCGCTGCGCCCATCTTTCCTTCTATAAACCGACCAATCGCGGATCTCCCACAGCAATTCTTTTCAGCCCGTCCTATGTTTACTGCTATGGGCGAATAATGACAACACACCGTGAAGCAAGCCCACATCTGGAGATGCTGTGTGACCATACCAGTGACAACACAGCCAGGTTATCACTAAAACTCTGTCCAGCCACGGTCGTTATCGGTCTAGCTGTTATGCAGGCCAGAGGGGGCGGTTGAAGAGTACAACATATTGCAATCAATCTACTGTCTACGCGGCAGATCACTAGGAGATTCGTGCTCCCAGAGCTGCGAAAATAATCTGTCACGTTTAGCGTTGCGCAAAACGGGCCATTTCGATTGCCATACTTCAATCAACCCCATTGATGCGATGAATCAGATTGCAGCAGTTCGGCGCGTCAACGTTGAATTTGGGGTAATGACGAGACATTGCACAGTTGTAGGATCCCCGCCCGCCTATGGCCCGAGCCGCATCAAGCATGACACCTAATAAGACTGTTATGATAACTCGTCCCTTGGGTCCTGTGACTCGGTAAAGTCATTGTTCTTGGGCTCGTTCTTAGCGCCTGGTGGTATGAGCAGGGGATGCTGAGGTCCAACCGGCGACACGAGGTGCCAGCTGTCAATCCGAAAATACGACGCAAACATTGTGCAAACGAACACCAATCCATGCGAGTATTCTTTGCGAGGATCTCTTAACGGAAGCCAGTTTTTGCGAAGGGAGACAGATGCTACCCCGAGGCAACATTACCGCTTCAGCCTTGACGTCCGAAATGTTATGGGGGCCAGCATCGTCGACATAGAACACGAACCTGACCATTCTCTTTCGCTTGAATCAAACCAATCAACATACAGACGGTCCCTATCCTTTGCGCTGAAAACTTGAACGCAAAAAAAGAAAGAATAGAAAATTCACCAACCATTCCCAACGATCATATGGTACCGGAATTCGGCAACGGTCGTCACCAAAATCTCGACCTTTCTGTTTGTTCAAGCCCATCTTCATTAACATGCTGTGTAACCGCTGTCATCACACTACGACGTGCCAAAAGTACAGTCTGTGAATTTCTGCAAGAAAAAGACTTCGAGAAACGAAAAGGCAAATCTTAAAGCCCAGCCTCTATGCACGCCAAAAGCAGCAGCTTGGTAAAGCAAGCAAATTTACGACTACTTGCAAGCGCGTGCGTCTCAGCTTCTATGGTCATTTAGGGAAAAGATTCAGTAAATGTGCAGACTTCGGCGCACGTCACAATTGTCGACAATTGATTATCCTAGCCGGCTACAGTCAGTATACCGGGGCAGTCGTTTTTGACAGCAGTACTGCACGGTCGTGTCTCTAATTCTACATGCGAGCCTGACAGCAGACGATCAACTACAAATTTATTTCGTATAGTCGTCTTAGGTCTCTTGCCGCCCTGGTCGAATACAGATACTCGGCTGCAGCTTTTCTGTAGGAAGTCGTATTCGCGCCCATCAGCATGCTTTAAGGGCACACTTCTTTTATGCATGTGCTGATGGTTCTGTCCACTCACAGTCGCCATAGCATGCGACGTTTCAGTCGCAATTGCGCCGGGCTCAAAAATGGCAAACGAAACTCGGTCGCCAGCGTCCATCTCATATGTGTCAAGTATGTTCTCGACAGGCGCCGCGCACCGCTCCTAACACCATCGACGCTCTAGACCGGGCCGGCATATCTGAAAACGGCAGAATCGTCCCCTGCCCGAGGCGATTGGACTTCGTCTCTTGCACAAATTACTTTTTGGCTATCCTCGCTTAAGTTCTGGATCTTTTTGGTCAATCAGCTGTCCAAGAATCCATGTTTCGTGGGGGTAAGATAATGTGACGGCATCGTCGCCGTTTGCACTCTCCATACACACGATGCATGTTCATGGAGGTGATGATGTGTCGCTTGCCAAGCTGTTTGTGGTTGCTTTCTTTCCTATTTTCGACTGAATATTGCGGGTTTTTTTTCCTGCAACATGCGGACGCCCCAGGGCAGAGAAAACGATGTTCGTTAAGGACATCACCCTGGGCCGAGTAAAGTTGCCGGTGGGCATACCACCTAACAGCACACTGGAAGATGTTATCCAACGTCCTGGAGGCAGGAGCATTGCTCTGTTGTCTTTGCATGCTGTTTGGCTTATTTATATGACGGTGTCGTCCTGTCCAGACAAGTACAATGGATATGGCAGAATGCATCACCAGATCTCATTGTCTCGGTATCCGTCTTTCTTTGCCCTCCATTTCAGTCACCAAGTATCTCTGTGCCAGAGTCTTCCACACCTTGATTTTGACTTTGCCTCAACCACACCCAATCTTCAAAAGCGCAGACCAACTGCCATCTCTCGAAAGACACAGCAAGTCATGAATCAAGCAAGCAAGCACGAGCTTGTGCAGCACGCCGTGGAATCGGGTGCGGTATCCGGCATCTATTACGTCTTAGTCGCCAACGTGAGTGGAACTGCTCTGATCCCTTAGCCGATAACCAGATCCTCAGACCCGCACTCCCTCTCTTTTCTCACTACCGCATTGGCGAGCTATGGCTAATACAGATGTTTGCTCTACCCACACTGATAGTTGCCTCCTGAGATGAACTTTTCGGACCTCAAGGTTCTTTCCCGCGAGGTTGCATCCGTCGACAAGTGCTTCATCAATGGCAAAACATCCGAAGGTTGGGTGCGTGTCCGCAGCCCACAAGACTTTTACAGAGTTTACAGTTAGTTTGACCAATTCATAGGATACAAATCAAATAAGTCACTAACAAATGTTGTTTGTTTTAACAGGCCACTTGAATGGATTCAACTACAAGGGGTACATCCTATCCGCTTCCATTGAAAACAGCAGCAAGTCGGTCTACATCTGGGACCAGAAGAAGACGCGCGCAGCAGCCAACGCTTCCTCGTCGACCATCGGTAGTGGGGCGGGAGCACCGAATTTATCGCCGCATGCCGGTGTGTCTCCCTGCCTTGACTACGGCTACTGCGCCCCGGCCAACGGGAGCACCTCAGCGCCTGTCGAGTACAACGCCTGCTATGGTTATGATTCCGGTTATAGCAGCGGTGCCTCGTCTTCGTCGGGCTATCCATACCCTGCGCAGTCAGCATCCCACACTGTGACAGCCATGCCCCCGAACTTCAACTCGTACCAGCAGTATGAAGGCGCCGGCAGCAGTGCCAGATCATGGCAACCGTACCACACGCCCATCAGCAGTGGCCAAAACGGCGTTGTCTGCGGCTCTGGCTACTACGGGTACGGGTGCGATCACCAGGCTGTTCATGCCACTGGCGAAGGAGTTTCCCAGACGGCCAAGGTCATTGTCAAGAACCTCTCGCGCCATGCAAGCCCCAAAGAGCTCGAATCCTACCTGCTCTCAGTCGTGGGCGGCCGGCACATGCTTCAAGAAGATGTGCGTTTCCCACGCCAGCCATCCTCGAGTTCGGGCTCAAGCTCAAGCTCAAGCGCAACCCGCCAGCATGCATTCTTGCTCTTCAATACGCACAGCGATGCCCTCGCGGCGGTCAGCAAGCTGAGCAAGACCAAGCTACTCGGCCTGAACATTGAAGCGCGACTGGCCACGGAGATGGTCCTGCCAGTCCGTGGCTCCCCGTCATCGACGTCGTCCTATGCGCCACCCAATGCCACGTCGTCTCTTACGGACAGTGGTGATGCTGATCTCGGTGTAGATGCATCGGCAACACTGTCTACAAACGGGCAGACGGAAGACACCAAGCCGAAACGAGAGAAGTCGCATAACCTGGTTGTTGATGGAAAGTCGCTCTACGGCCACGTCAAGCAGGCTATAGAAGAGACCAAGGGCCGCGACCGCAAGCATAAGCACCGAAAGTGAAAGTTGGGGGGACGAAAGGTCTACTTGATTTTGAAAGAGAATATTTCATATTTCATGACTTTTTATATTTTCGTCTTTTTGTGACAATTTCCTTGTCATATGGTTTTGCTTAATTTATAAATTGGTTTTATTCTCGTATAATCTAGCTACTTTCTATTTTTTATTCGGCACGAACTGTTTACTTCACAGTGACGCATCCTTACTGAAGATTTACGTTGCCACTGATTGTTCATGGTCATTGTTCACCAAGTTTGTCGACTATGGTGTCTCCTGCTAAGATGCGTCGCGTTTTGCGCAGACATGAGCTTTCTTGGGCGCCAGGCCCAAAAACACTGTGGGAAGGAAACGAGGGAAATATGGACATAATAAAAGAGTGTAAACGAGGATGAAAGACAGGAAGGCACCAAATCTAGTCCCCAAACTCCAAATAATTGCAAATGTGGTACGCCAAAAAGAAAAGAAGAACGTGCAAAATGAATAACAAAAGGTGCGAATATACGAAAAAATATAAAAAGTAGGTGAAAAGAAAGATACTGAAAAAGGAAATTATAAAACAAACGCCACTTCCAAGAAGTTTGGACGAATTATATTATTGGAAAAAGATATTTTGAAATCACTTTCGTTCGCCTGGTATAATGTGATATTCCAACCAGGTTTGGCATATCCACCACGTCATGCATGTCTCCTCCTCCTTTCTCGCTTACGCCATCTGAATTCCCGGGACGGTATCCGGCCGCCGTGGCTCTTCGCCGTCGTCCATCATCGTCAGCCGCTGCTCTCGTGGTAACGGGTGTGGAATGCCAGGTTGATTGCCAACCACCAAGGCTACATCGCCTGCCGCGTCGCGACCTGCAGATGCGCTCGTCGTCATGTCAATGCTAGCTTGTCCGCGTCTCACGCGGCCCGTCTGTTGCTTGACCCACGAGTTGACGGACCGGAACTTTGCCGGCTGGTCCTCGCTGGATTCGGTGTAGACTGTCTCGCGGCTCATTCGCTGTTTGCGCATCCACGAGAGTCGCGCAGCTGCGCCAGCTGATGCAGACAATGGTGGGCCAGTCGAGGCCCCTGACGGACGCTGGGCAGCCAGTGGCATTTGGCCGGGCTGTGCCGCCTGCTGATCCGATGCCAGCACCAGGATCTCGCCGTCACCGAAGCCGGATGATAAAGAAGACAATTCCGAGGCGCGGTTGACTTGTCGCCGTGCCGGGTCGTATGCATCAGACGGCTGGCGTGCCAGTTGTGACTGATTGTAGAATGGGTCCGGCATGCGTGACCGCAGTGTGCTCGCCTCGCTGCCATTGTCGTCCGTCATGTACTGCTGGCCAGCCTTGTAAACCGCCATCACAGAGCCGGTTGGCTGGCCCATATTCGCAGCTCCGTTGTTCAAGACGTAAGGTGCGGCCACTGGCATGCCTGACTGGCCGGATACCATTGACGAGCTGAATGACGCTGCTGGAGTGTGTGTGAAGACAGAAGCGTCCGTATTCGACCGCATCATACCAGCCTGCATCCCGTTGGCACTGCTGACCTCGGCCTGTTCTGGCGGAGACTGGAACTGCAATCCCAAGCCCAATCCGCTTGAGTAGTAGACCTGGGATGGAATAGCCGGTGGGACGTCTCTGTCGAAGCCGAAGGTCCTCAACGTGTCACCACCTTTCTCTTCGTAGGTAGGTCCACCCGCGCGGGTCATATTCGAAGAAGCCGCATTGTTAGCCGCCATGGGGCCCACGTTCGAAGAGTTGGACTCTTCTAACGTCTTCCATGCTTTGTGCTGCCTACTGGCAAAGGGGATTTTATTGGCAATACGATCGTATATGCGACGAGGCAGTCTAGCAATGGTGGAAAAGGGTCCATCGTGGGACGGGAACGTTGAGGCATTGCCGCGTTGCAACTTCTCCCGCTTCTGCTTCTTACAGGCCCTCCAGACGAGCCAAGCAATAAAGCAAATCACGATGAAAGCACCTGTTCTTGTTAGGCACAAGACGATGAAGCTGGGACCCGTATTGACGGAGAACATACCAATGGAGCCAACAGATATCAATGCCCTTTCGGCCGTCGGATCCAACGCCTTGTTGTTATTGCTGTTGTTGACCCTGTTGTTACCGTTGTTGTTGTTGTTGTTGTTGTTGCCCTTATTGTTGCTGCCGCTATTTCCGCTCCCGTTTCTACCATTGCTGTCGTCGTCATCTGCCGTGGTCCCGTTGACACCCCTGTGCTTTCTGTCATCAGGACCGTTCTTGTCATTAGGTCTGCCAGAGCCAGGGAAGTTGGCCCCAAAGGGGACAAATGGCGCGAAAGGTCTGTGGGTAGTCGTGGCAGTGCTCTCAGTTGTTGCTGCAGTCGTTATCAACGGTACAAAACTGGTCACGACGGCATCCTATCACCAAGTTAGCCCGGTACACAATATCTCGTGTCACTGGTCTCTCCGTGAAGTTCAAATACCAGCAGGCTGCACTTACCGGCCCAGTTGCCACAATGGTTGAAGTTGTCAGAACGACAGTAGGAGCGTCTGTCGTAGATGGTGCTTCCGATGCGGGTGAATCCGTTGGCGCGGATGTGGCGTCGAGCGATTCTGACGAAATCTCTTGGGCACCATTGCTGTCACTGCTCCCAACGTCTCCGCTACCGGCCGCGGCGGTGGTCGTCGCACTTCCGGCACTGCTGGAACTGCCACTGTCGTTCCCACTGCTGTTGCCGTTGTTGCCGTCGACGCCGGCTCCAGCATTATTGGTGTTTCCACCCCCATTGCTATTGCCCTTGCTTCTGCTGCCAGTGCCAGAATTATTGGCATTGCTGCTGCCGCTACTTTGGCCTCCAAAGTTGTTGTTGTCGCTGTTGTTGTTCTTATTGCTGCCACCGCCCCTGTTGTTGCTGCTACCACCACCACCATCACCGCCTCCGCTGCTACCCCCCTTACTTGTACTGCTGCTGCTGTCGCCGTTGTTTCCTTTGGTCTTGTCACCTCCGGCATCGTTGTTTCCGTTGCCCTTGAATCCTTTGCCAAACCCACCACCACCACCAGAGCCTCCACCAGAGCCTCCACCAGAGCCTCCACCAGAGCCTCCACCAGAGCCGCCACCAGAGCCACCGCCAGAGCCACCACCAGAGCCACCACTGAACTTTCCTTTTCCGAAATCTGTCGAGGTCTTGGAATTTCCGTCTGCCTGTCCACCCTGGGCCGCTCGGTTGTTCTTTACATTCGACGAAGAGTCTGACGGTGTACCGCGCTTGTTGTTGTTTTGGTTGTTGGAAGTATCCATCTGCCGCCCGTCCGCTGCATCAAATGGTGCCATACCCTCTCCCCTTTGCATCCTAGCCGAGCCGAGAGGTCGCCAGAATGTTGATTCGGGCTGGAGCATTCAACAAGCTGAATGCTTCACTATCCCAACGACTACTAGTTGACAGAAGGTTATGTGCGGGATGCGGACTCTGAATATAAAACTTGGCGTAAGAAGTGGCTTGTGTTCGAGTGCTGCTGGATGATATAAGTAGTCGCTTCGAAAATCAGATCGGAAAGAAATCAAGTGAACGCCAGAGATAACGAAAGCGAATAGAAGAGAGAAGACAAAGAAGAACCGAAGCGGACAAAAAAATGAAGTTCTCCAGGAGCGTTTTTCTGAAAAGAACAGAAAAAAAGAGAATATTAAAAGGCCGGCCTTGCTGAAAGAAATGAAGAAAGAAGAAAAGAAAGAAGAAAGTGGCACCTGGCAGAAAGGAACAAAGATGAGTAAAGGACAAATAGAAAATGTGCAGAAGAGGGGAAAAGGAGAGAAGAAGGGAAAGAGGGAAAGAGGGAAAGAGGTAAGAAGAAAAGGAGACAGGGTCCGGCGTAAAAAGGAATCAGAGTTGGAGGGTTCGGTAATAAGAATGCTAAGATGGGGGACAGAGGGGCACGAAGAAGAGACGGCCCCAGGAAAGGTATGTTGGTGGAAGGTTTGTGTACTGTAACAGGCTTTGGCGATCACCCTAACCCGGCAAAGAAGATCAATGGGAGTGGTGGGAGGGAAAGAGACACTCCTTCATGTATGAGAGAGCGACGAGGAGGGAGTAAGAGAGTGCGTGTATGAATGTGTGGAAGCGAGATCCACCACACGGGTGTCTTAGGACGTCTAGCACGAGACCTGTCATGGATATAGCCGGGAGCAAGAAGATAATGTACGGTACTGACGAGACACAGAGTGGAAGGCGTGACCGATCGGTACACTTCACACTCGTATGCGGCATGGAATCTGAATTCACGGATCAGCAAGCCCAACGAGGGCCAGTAGAGCCACATGATGGCCATGGCGATCACTGTGAGTAGACTTTTGCTCCCAAAAGACGCGGACAACAGATGGGTACAAAAGCAGAATTGACTTGTTAGGCAGGGATGCCCCATGTTCCTCATTGCTCGTCATGCCACGTCCTTCTTGCTGACTGCCATGCTTCGTCTGCAGAAGCAGAACGTCAAATGTGTCGAAGACGGACAAAGTGACAGGCTGTGGAGAAAACGGCGTTGTTCGGGTGGACATGTCATACATGCACCAAAATGCGGGAGCGGTTGGGACGTTGCCGGGGTCTGGGTCTGGGCTTCAGTTCCAGCCCAGTTCCAGGCTGGCAATGTCGTGTGTCCCCCCGTGCTCCACTTGTGCATGGCACGGCACCGATGAAATTGTAAGGAGGAGCCTTGTGTGGCACCTTTGGCTGGAGAAAGGGAAGAGTCCACGTCTGTTTTGCTTGTGTTTTCTTTTGCAACTGCACTTGTTACGCCGTGACGACCACGAATGCTTCTTCTTTTCCTTAGCTGGACTTGTGGCCTGAAAACGAGCAGACAAAGTTAGTAGGGAAGCACCAGTGAACAAGCTTGTCCGTCGTACTTGAGCATCTTCCACTTCCAACATACCATCTAGGTCTTGGCATCCATCTTCCTCGCATTCTCAGCCGTCCTTTCCGCAGTACACCGAGCCAGTACCAGACACCAGGAGCAGTTGCCGTGGTGGGTAGCATTGAGATGGCCAAGACGCCTCATCGACGCGCAACTCAATCGTGGGTAAGGATAAAGGCGAGCAAAGACTATGTATTGGGGACGAAAGTGAGAGAAGACGAGAAAGAAGACAAGGCACATGGCAAAGGTCGGAACTGATTGGCTGCTTGGCCTCCTGATGGCCTGTTGCCAGGTTTCGATGCCCGGGACGAGGCTTGGATCGCTGCATGAACGGAGGTGTCACTCTTGAAAACGTTCTGATGCAGCAAATCGTTGCTGCGACCTGGACGGACCAAGACTGCGCCCGTCGCGAACCACGCAATGCGGTACGGTTCATAGCGCTGGGTGCTGGCGGCGTCCTGGTCTGGTCTGGCAAAAAGGGGATCGCTGGCGTCTCAGGCCAAGTTTCAGAGGCGAACAGCAGCAAAGGGGGCCATGCACTCGGACTGTCCCGTTGTGCTGGACAATTGCGGAAAACGGGACAGGGTCCCAAGGGCCAGGGGACGGGGAACATCTGGAACTGGGCGTTGAATGTGACCGGGGTTTGCGAATGAGGGGCCGACGGACGCTTTGTTGTATTTTGCAAGTTTGCAGGGCGGGAAGATAAAGCGACGATGTTTTCATTTGAACGACAGATTCGGCCAAATAAAACAAAAGAACGGCAGGTGCAATCATGTAGACTAATCAAAACTTAATCGTTAATATTAAGCATTTCTGGTCGCGGCTTCCTTTTCCTGGGTTTGCGTGAAATGTTCTTTCCCTCAAGTATGGAGCGGAAGTTGGGGAAATCACGACCGTGTTTGTTTCCCAAAACGGCAATCAGCCACGACTGCCGAAACCTCACAACTGCTGGCAACCTTTTCTGCCCCCCACTGAGTAAAGAGATCGGAAGCGGAAACAGCGACCCTAATGGCTTCTACCCCACAGCCACATATCTTCACCTCATCGCCTCGTCTTTTTGTCTTCCTGATCTGAATCTGCATTGCGGAGTACTTCATGGTCAGCTTCTCATCATTAAGCTCACGATACAACATGTGACTACGAGGGCGTCAATTCCACAGTCGCGAGAACGAGCAGCAAAGTTGTCCATTTTAAAAAGTCGATATTAACACACTATTGACCGAAATTAACGGCACTTTTGACTCAGACGCCCGGAAATCGTGGCAAGCATGCTTTATCTAGTTGTGCACGATTTGGCTAAGCTAACTTTTATAAAACTCATTGGGAAAGAGGCGCAGAACACCAAACAAGGGGGTATTTGCTTCTGGGGAAGATTCGTTACTTCGTGGGGGGATAAAAACGCCAAGCTTCGGAGTTCGGCAAGCCGTGTATTTGTGTGATATTGATATAGCCATCTACTTGCAGTCTGTATTTTCATTCCAGATACTGCGTGGTCCTGTCCGTCCCATGGTATGACAAAGCTTCTTTGCGTTTTTGTGAAAGGCTTGGCTTCTGTGTGGTTTTAAAGTATAAGAAGCAAAGCCACCAGGATTGCATGTACCAAGGATTACCATGTCTGGGCTTGGACTGCCCTGTCGGAGGTGGCTGATCCCCCTTGTACCGCATCTTTTTGCGTGCGAGGAGACACAGAGAGGGGAAGAAAGATTACGTCTGATGCTCAAATTTCAAGCAGAGATATAGAGACGTGAAGCACAGTCGATCAGTAGGTTTGAAAACGGATAATTGTTAAAGGCGGAGTTAGAAATAACAGAAGAAAAGAGTGGTTCAGGTGAGACTGTCGCAGTGGGTGTGCGGACTGGATCGTGATTATTTTATATAGCCCGCGTTATGCGCCATCGAAGGTCATGTTAGGGGCCGGCCAAGACATTTCCTTTGAAAACAAAGACTCGGAGTACTGAAAAGAAAAGCCTAAAAGAAGATAGAACCATCCGGAAATTCTGTCACTCTGCTCCGGTACATCACGTCTCCTCATATGACCCTTGATTTGTTATCAAGAGGGCTGCGGGTTAGGTCAGATGGTCCAAACTTGGGTTGAAGTTGCCTTCAGTATTCCCAAATCGTCAACATCCAATGGTTCTCTCTCTTTCTGCAAAAGTATTTGTCTGTCCAAAAGCCTCCCTCGACCTTCTTCTGCTGTTTTCTCTATGGAGTGTAGCAAGGCTCACTCTAGGCATGTCTCAAGAGGTCGCCGAGGCCCATATAAGGGGCCGGCGATTTCTCGCTTTCTTGGGTTTTCGATTTACTAGCAAAAGTGTCGTATTAACAACATAAAACAAGTATACATATATGCCGAGCCATTCCGTGACAGCGTCCGAGCTTGGGCCGGGCGGCTATATGCTCTATGATGCCTCCTCCCTCAAGAGTCAAAAGTCTGGTCCTTCTTTCATCCACGGCGGTTGTTCTCACTTCACCTCATCACTTTCACCTTGGAAGCCAATAAGGATGCATGTGGAGCTTCGAAATTTTCTCCGTCGCATTAAGCTACCGTATTGACGGGACTACAGTACGAGTATGTTGCGTTTTATTATGAAGTGGCTTCCTGGTACGTGATGTTTTGTGTTTTGCAACGACAGTATGTATCCGGTCATCAGATATGGTACCGGTCCCTTATTCCGCGTATCTCGGACGATATACGGGTTATACTTTATTCATCGAGTACGACGACAACGGCACACCGGATATAGTTCAGCGGTGTATTTTTGAACGCAAGCCAGACCGGGTATATCTACCAATGCCCGACAAATAGCTATTTAGGTGGACAATTTCCCGGGCTAAGTTCCGAAGGGGTCTTTATTTTACCGTCAAATGCACTGTGGTTCGGTGGAGACGGTGCCAATCTTCGATATCGACAACTCCAATTCCGGGGCACCAAACAGCCGGTGCGGAATGCCTCATCGACGTATTGCTATCTTCATAAACCCGCGACCCCTTGTCCCGATATCCGGGGCAATGTGTGTTAACCTACATGCCATCTTTTGGACACGAAACTGGAGCCAACTGTCGTGATTCCGTCTTGGCCTTTGGATATTCGCATGAATACGATATTGTTTGCATCATAGCATTGAAGTTAGAGTCGTAGTTATGCTTTTTTGCAGGTGCAGATGCAATTCGTTGTCGTCCCTTGTCATATGTTTCCTTTTTCTGTTTCGAGCAGCTTTTGCTTTAAATTGGAAACATATAGGTTTGGTCACAATAAGTAGACGTAATATACGTTAAACAAACCTCACTCGCTGGTTCACCGTCGTAAAATAGCGCTTTGCTAAGTGTCTCGGTCGACACCGAAAAACAAGGCTGGCTGTGCGTCGTTGTTCCATGGACAATTCCACGGTACGTGGAAAGAGAATTATCACCGCCGTAGATAAGCACGGGCACGACCGACGGACACGCCTTCAGCCTCACTAGAAAGGCCTCACTGGCGGAGGTATCCACTGGGAAACCCGGCGGTTTGGGCAATTCCTCGACCTTTTCACAATAGCAAATCAATTTCCATTGCATAACTAAATGCTCATAAATTGTCGCCGTTGAACCTCATTTCGATCAAAACGCGCGTGTCGGGGCGACCGCTGCGGAACGACGCGTGACGGACTCGATATCGCAGCGAGAATTGCGGCGACCGTTGCGGCTACGCGGAATTGGCACTTTCTCTCTCTCTTTTGCCTGTCTCTTATTCTAACGCTCATTTGCAGCGACATTTATTTTCTCACTGCGGTATATTTGAACACTTCAGCCCTGTCGGCCAAGAAAGGATCCATCAGCTGTCAATTTTTTTTGCTCCAATACCCCGTTTATTTCGCGTAATTTTTGATTATGTTCTTCCCAGGCCCGTTCGTTGGATGGCGGCAGTCCGGGCGCATGGTAGGTCAGACTCGGAGGGCGGCCGGTGAGAAGCAATTGGTGCTCGATAGCCGCTTTCTCTTTTTGAGATTTACCATGTTTAGCTTCATATCACCTCCCCCACGTGAAATTTGGCAGATGTTCATGCCACTCTACCCTTTACTGCCCGAGCCAGGGCCGCACATGTTCGCATATGCTTCGCTCTTTCCTGTCTACCTTCTTTCCTTGCTTGTGAACAAGGCTCGTGAAGATACGGAAGGGGCATTCGGGTGTTTTCGCAGACAGAACGGCGGAAAGTAACGTGCAAGGGGCGCTTGCCCATGTGTCCGAGGATTGCGCTTTCCCTGTGTAATTACACCATACATATCTGCAGTATTATTACGTCGCACAACGGACGATGAATATTCGGAGACAACGGTCTGGGCCAGTAGTCAAACAAGGCCGCGCCTTCCTGGTTCTCTTGCAAAGCGTCATCCTTTAGGCGAATTTCGCATTTTTTACGGAAATTCGGACACTCTTGCTGGGTGGTGCCTTCCCTAATTTTTCACAAGGTAAAATTGTGCACGGATGCCGACGCGGACCCACACGCAGCGAGACGGAAGGAAGCTGCCAACAATACAGAGTAGATTGGCCGCCTGCCGCCCTCACGATCTCCAACAGAGGCGGATGTTGCTCGCTCGCTTGTGACATCTGCATGAAAATAAGCCCTCTAGCATTTGGCGCAGCCCTAGCTATCGGCGTTGCCTTTTCCCTGTTGTTCACACGGGCCGTGCTGGGTGAGTTGGCAACTGGAGCTTTGGTGGATGCCACGGCGTGGAGCCTGCCTGAAACAGAAAAAGAGACGCAGATTGATCCATGTGTAAACATTGCTGAAAAGGCAGTCGCTCATGCCTTCACGTCACAGGCTCGAGGAAAGCGCTTAAAGGAAGGCGCAATGGACATCCACCTCGAAAATCGAAAACCTCTGAAAAAATCTGTGTCATCAATGAAAGGGGCTAACACGAACAGGGCGCCGCCGTCGAATTGCGATGCGCTACTGCCAGAGTCTGAAGCGGAGGCACTCGCTGACCAAAAAGGCAAAAAAGAGCTGAGATCGGATTTTAGCCTTTGGCATTCGAATAAACTATTTTTTTAATTAGCGCGGTTTTCTTGTTTCTTGGGTCGCGGCTGCCGGCTTTCATGGATTTTTTTTTTCTTGGCTCAGAAAGCAGGTGCAGTCGCGCTCCCCTTTTCAACTGTTTCTTATCAACCGGTCCTACCTCGTCACTTTGTAGTGACCATTCCCCTCCCCTCTCTGCTCCTTTCTCTCCCCCCTCCCTTTCCCCAGCGCCACTTTTCCATCGTCAATTTCGTCCCCAATTGATCTGAAAAATGGCGTCTCTCGCGCCAGCTCTGAGCCGACCAGCAAGCTCGCGCCCGCTGAGCGCGCGGCTGCTCAAGCTCAACCAGCTCCAGCAGCCGAGACAGCAGGTTCGCCGGATAGCCACGACGACGAACACTACCGCGTCGCCATTACTACGGTCTGAAAGGTCTTCGGCTGCGACTCGCGGCCGCGTCGCCGGTGCTGCCCTGTCCGGTGCTGCGCTGTCGCGCCAGTTCGCCAGACAATATGCGTCCGAGGCTCCCGGTGCCGGGGGTGATCTACCTGCGCCCAAGCGCAGCAAGGTGCGGTCGGCCTTCCGCTGGATTTGGCGGTTGACTTACATCTCCCTGCTGGGCGGCATCGTCTACGTCGGCTACGACGTCTACCAGGATCGCAACCCTGAGCCGCAGGTGGCTCGCGACCCCAGCAAGAAGACGCTGGTGATTCTGGGTGCGTCGTCTAGCCCTGACCCTGCCCCTGCACTAACTGTGCATCACTAACTTGGGATAGGCACCGGCTGGGGTTCTGTCTCTCTGCTCAAGAAGCTCGACACCGAAAACTACAACGTCGTTGTCATCTCGCCTCGCAACTACTTCCTGTTCACCCCTCTGCTTCCTTCCTGCACCACTGGCCTGATTGAGCACCGCTCCATCATGGAGCCCATCCGCACTATATGCCGCTCCAAGAAGGGCCCCGTGACCTTCTACGAGGCTGAGGCGAGCTCCGTCGATGTCACCCGCAAGATTGTCAAGATCCGCGACAACTCTGACATTCGCGGCGATACCAGCGAGACCGAGGTCCCCTACGACATGCTCGTTGTTGGTGTCGGGGCTGAGAACGCCACGTTCGGTATACCCGGCGTGCGCGAGAACTCGTGCTTCCTCAAGGAGATTGGCGATGCCCAGCAAATTCGCAAGAAGATCATGGACTGCGTCGAGACTGCCGCTTTCAAGGACCAGCCCGAGGCTGAAATTGACCGCCTGCTGCACATGGTTGTCGTTGGTGGTGGCCCGACGGGCGTCGAGTTCGCCGGCGAGCTCCGCGATTTCTTCGAGGACGACATCCGCAAGCTGATTCCCGACATTGCCGACCGCTTCCGTGTGACCCTGATTGAGGCTCTTCCCAACGTCCTGCCGAGCTTCTCTAAGCAGTTGATTGAGTACACCGAGAGCACATTCAAGGAGGAGGAGATTGCCATCCACACCAAGACCATGGTCAAGAAGGTGACCGAGAAGGCTGTCGAGGCCGAGGTCTCCAAGCCCGACGGCACCAAGGAGCGCGTCACCTTCCCCTACGGGCTGCTCGTCTGGGCCACCGGTAACACCCTGCGCCCGCTCGTTCGCGACATGATGTCGAGCATTCCCGCCCAGAAGGACTCGCGCCGCGGCCTGGCCGTCAACGAGTACCTTGTGGTGCAGGGTGCCCGTGACATTTGGGCCGTCGGCGACTGCGCCGTTGCCGGCTACGCCCCAACCGCCCAGGTCGCGTCGCAAGAGGGCAACTTCCTTGCCCGCCTGTTCAACAACATGGCCAAGACGGCCGCGCTCGAGGAGCGCATTCAGACCCTGAGCTCGTCGCTGAACCTGAAGCCCGGCGTTGACTCGGCCGCCGTCAGCCGCGAGATTGAGGAGACGGAGCGCAAGCTTTTGCGCGTCAAGGACATCAAGCCCTTCCACTACTCGCACCAGGGTAGTCTCGCCTACATTGGCAGCGAGAAGGCTGTTGCTGATGTCAGCTGGTTCAACGGCAACGTTGCCTCGGGTGGAACGATGACCTACTACTTCTGGCGCTCCGCCTACCTGTCCATGGTCTTCAGCACACGCAACCGTCTGCTGGTGCTGAACGACTGGTTCAAGTCGAAGCTGTTCGGTCGTGATATTTCCCGGGAGTAATTTAGTTTTGGTCGTTCTGAGCTTTTTGTCGATGCGATATCTACTACGGCTGTTTGTTTGTTCGTGCCCGTTTTCTATAGACTTTTCCTGTTCCCTTGTTATCGTTCCCTCTGCGTTTTATTTTTTATCTTCCTCACGGTTTTAACGTGTTCTTAAGAGGTTCATTTTTGGGGGGCGTCATTCATAACGCCTTGAGCTGGCCGATGGCTTCTTCCATTCTATCTAACATGAGTTTATCGTTCTTGGTCACATGTGTTAGATCTAATTTTCGAGTTCAACATTAGTGCACAGGTAGCAAACAGCCTTGTTTGCCCACCTGAGCAAATCTCACCCAATGCAATATTTGGAAGGTGATTTTTTTGTAATTTATTTTGGTCACGGTGCCGAACAAGCAATGCTACTTGAGCCCTCCTTTTCTTACTTGTTTCCTTTTGTGGCCCCTTACTCCAGGTGTCTATCGGAACTATCACCAGGCCACGAACTCGGCCCTTATATCTCGCGCACTTTCAAGACCCTCTATCTTTCGGAACAAATTACCAGTTGCCAAGGCAGCATCACTAAGGGATACAAGTGGCGCTGAGGAAAAGCGAGCATGTCGACGGTTTTGTGCTTGACTCAGTCGCCAACTCCTCTCGCCAGCTGCCTGTGCCGGCTGCTGCTATCTCTTCGACGATGGAGCTGTCTATCAAAACGTCGTCTTCGACGTCACGCTCCTGCTGTTTATGACTTACTGAATGATATCGGTCGACGGAGGGATCAAGGCCGCACTAGAAGCTGATACGTGCAGGGCCGTTGATATGTTTGTGGCAAGATCTTGCCGCGTATTCCAGTACCATGGGCATCCATTTTCGTCTAGGGCGAAGAAACTGGTTTCAAAGCCTCTCCGGTCTAGAGGACCTGACCATGTGTAGACCTGGCCGGCCGCTTCCTTCTCCTCCTTGACAGTATCCGCTCACACGTCCGGCTTTCTCTGGTGACATAGTTTTCGACGAATGTATATTCTTCTTCAGATTCATATCTCAAAGACACGCAGAGTGGTCGTACACAGCACATCGGCACAGCTCGGTCACATCGCTGCTTGTGTCGGCATTACCATCTGGCAATACGGTCATCTCACTGTAAGTCTGCAGACCCTGTTACAAATCGTCTAAGCAGTATCCTATTTAGAGTCCCAGGAAAGGAGGCGCCAAACTCTACATCTTGCCCGTATTTAAAGAAGTTCATCTGGGATTTGGATTTCTAGCCGAGTGCAGGGTTTTCGAGCACGCGAGATATTGTCTTGCAGGCTGGATCCATCGACGGTTTGTATGACATAAAATGATAAAAAAGGTCTGCCTTGCAAACGAATATATTTAAGGCCAGTCTGTTATATATTTCGGGCACTGCGGATGAAGCTCTCACAGCGTTGATAATACTTGGTGTAGGGCGAGGTCGATTTGGTAGACAAGTATTATTACATGGATACCGACGTAAAAATGCGCATACTCTATGTACTAGTACTTGATTGTGTCACTGTGGCGGACAATGCATACAATGTGCTTCTCCAGGGCAAGAGGAAAGGCCAAGCCAGTCCGGATCAAGTCGGACCCCACAGGGAAGCGCCACCCACCCACCCATGCCGCAAACATTGGAAAGATCTGGCCGCTTGGCTTGTGCGTCCAACCGTCCAACCGTCCATCCCGCCATTGTGGCAGCTCATTCTGTGCTGTATCAAAGGGCAGGAGCCAACACGCGACCAGCATCGGGCCTTCCTGATGCTCTCACTTTCTGTTTTTGGCATGTTTCCGGCGATGTAAACTGTAAACACAAAACACTCCGTAGCCCCTTCCCCGCAAAACATATTGGGGCATCACATCGTGGATTTACCCCTTTACCAATTCCTGTCCTGACGAGAGCTTCACTCTCCCTCTCCAACATCCTCTGCGCTCACTGGCTAGGCCTCAGGCTCGAACATCGTCAGACCTACACCAACCTGTTGCCCGAGGATATCTGTCATGATATTTAGACAGTCTTGCCACCCAACCGTTGTTTGCTACAACCTACGCTATGCGAATCCACGCAAGAGTTGACATCATTTCTCGAGCCCCTTTTGTTTCGACTTCGCATTCAGCAGCTCAGGACAACTGAATCTCACCGAGCCACTGCACGACACTCTTCGAATCCACACGACCATATGGGAGCAGGTTGAGACCTGAAAGAAGCGGCAACACAACGAACCCCGAAATTGCACTACCCACAAGATCATATTTCATCTTTTTTGAACAAACCTACATCTGCTGTCATCTGTCTCCTGCTGCATTGTCCCGTGAGTCGAGTCTCAGAGCCCCACGCCCGCATATCTCGGCCAGGCCAGACCGGGATTCCCAATAGCCTCGTCATCCACAAGCCTGTCGCTCTTGTGGGTCGCTGCTTAGCATCGCCCTGACGAACTCTTCCCCTATTTTTCTCCTGGATTCTTGAGAGCACGTCTGCCTGCGTTACCGGTCCAGTATCTGCCTGGTCGTCTGGATCGCTTGCCTGTTCGTTTCCACTCCACAACTCAATGTCCTTGCCCTTCTCGTTCTCATCATTCGACATTCTTCCTCTCCAGTCACATTTTTATGCTTCTTCTTGTTCTCTCCTGATTTGCTCTGACTCGTCTCAACCTGCAGACAACTTCCATCCTGCTCGATTGGCTTCACGCTCCAGGCGGCATTGATATACCATTTTGACCTTCGCTCGGTTGTCTGCTGACCCCGCTCGCTCGCCATCCCAGCGCCAGCCTAACACTACTAACAACACCAGCCAATCCCACAAGGGTCACCGCGCCCAAACTCCCCAACGTCATTGTTAGCCGCGAAGGACAAGAAAAACTCTTCTCGCCTGCCGCCGTCCACCAAATTAGACAAGGGGTAGACAAAACATTAAATTCCCTAATATTAAAACCGAAAAAATACACCACTCCACCAAACCGCACTTCCTTTCTCCTCAGAACCCTCCTCCTCGCGGTCCACCCAAAACCTGCGAGTCCACCCCTCCGTCTCTCCGCCAGCCAGAACCTCACCCCTCCTCGTATCTCGCCTCCGCGACGCGTTTCTCTCCTTTCCTCCTGCTCCGGCCCCCGATCCGCAACCACAACCTCCGTGCTCATCCACAAGCAAGGAGGACAAGGAACCTCCCCCGCACACCGTTTTCATCTTTGTTCTCGCCAGGTTCCCAGGAGCCCCTCTCTCCGTCTTCATCCTCCTCAATTTCGCACAAAGCGCTCCGTCCACCATGGGTCAAACACTATCGGAGCCGATCGTCGACAAGGTACGTTCCGTTCATTGCCTCTGGCATTCTCAGTTGCAGAGGCAGCCGTACGACTCGTCATTTGCGCTTCTTTTGCACATGTTGTTTCTCGCCCATTCCGACCGATGCCGTACTGCCGCCACTTTCCCCACGCTCGGTTTGTGCCCTCGTGCGCTGTTTTACGTCTTGCCGCCGCGGTCTTTACACACAGACATCGCAACTTGGCAACCGTTTCCGACCGCGTTAGCCTTAATTTTCTCATCATTTGTGCGATCCATGACCGGATATCGTCGTTGGCCCGTCATTGAGGGCCGTCTCTGGGGTTGCTTTTTTCACGCATGCACCTGTCCCCGCCCGTTATGACGCTCACGCGCCCCATCTCGCTCACTACCCCGCCGACAACCACGAACGACCACAGACGATTCACTTCTTTTGCAACGCGCGCGCGTGTCTTTTGGAAGCGTCAGAAAGTTGTTGACATGGAGAGCTTTGTGACTAACAATTGGTTTTTCCACCGTGCCTTATAGTCGTCCGACAAGGGCGAAGATGACCGCCTCCTCTACGGCGTGTCGGCCATGCAGGGCTGGCGCATCAGCATGGAAGACGCCCACACCACTGTTCTTGACCTACTCCAGAACTTCCCCCTCGCCGCCAAGTCCCACGCCTCGAAAATCAGCTTCTTCGGTGTATATGATGGCCATGGAGGCGATAAAGTAGCCCTGTTCGCTGGAGAGAACGTACACAAAATCGTTGCCAAACAAGAGTCTTTTAAGAAAAGCAATTACGAGCAAGCCCTCAAGGACGGCTTTTTGGCTACTGACCGTGCCATCCTAAACGGTATGAATTTATATGTCCAACGAAAAGAGGGGGAGTGCCGACGAGGGGACAACACGCCTTGTTCCGGACCCCAAGGATCTTGGTGATTCAATATTTCTGACCCAGCGTTTGCAGACCCTAGGTATGAGGAGGAGGTATCGGGCTGCACTGCCTGCGTCGGCCTCATCACCGACGACAAAATCTATTGCGTGAGTTTCCGTCTTTCATTTCCCTTTTCTGAGTCGCGCTTATGGCCTGCTAGCGGATTGCTGACCCGTGACCCTCTCTTCCAGGCCAATGCCGGTGATTCCAGAGCCGTTCTCGGTGTCAAGGGTCGTGCAAAGCCATTGTCGTTCGACCACAAGCCACAGAATGACGGTATGTTCCGTAGTTGTTTTCTTTTGCATGTACCAAGACGCACATGCAAAAGGCTCTTGCTGACGTTTGCTTTTACCCCTCCATATAGGTGAGAAGGCACGCATCACGGCTGCCGGCGGTTTCGTCGACTTTGGTCGTGTCAACGGCAACCTTGCCCTGTCCCGTGCGATTGGCGATTTCGAATTCAAGAAGAGCGCCGAGCTGTCTCCCGAGCTTCAGATTGTCACTGCGTATCCCGACGTGACTGTTCACGACCTTACGGACAACGATGAGTTCCTCGTCATTGCTTGCGACGGTAGGTCCAGAAAGAAGCAGAACGAACCGGAAACCAAATAAGAGGCAAAAAGGCTAGAATGCTAATAAGACACGTCATAAAAGGTATTTGGGATTGCCAGTCCTCGCAGGCTGTTGTCGAGTTCGTCAGACGCGGCATTGCCGCAAAGCAGGACCTCGACAAGATTTGCGAAAATATGATGGACAACTGCCTTGCCTCCAACTCCGAGACCGGCGGCGTCGGCTGCGACAACATGACCATGTCCATTATCGGTATCCTCCGTGGCAAGACAAAGGAGGAGTGGTACGAGGAGATCGCCCGGCGGGTGGCTGATGGCGATGGTCCGTGTGCCCCGCCTGAGTATGGTGAGCTGCGACCTATCGAACTTTGAAAGCAAACACACCCCGGTGTCCCATTCTCGAGCTAACCTCTTGCGTTTTTCTTTTCTGCAGCTGAGTTTCGCGGCCCGGGCGTCCACCACAACTTCGACGACAGCGACAGCGGCTACGACATTGAGACTGACCACCGGTCACAATCGTTTGGCATCGGCGGCAACCGGGGAAGAATAATTCTTCTGGGCGACGGTTCCGAGGTCCTGACTGACTCGGACGATACGGAGATGTTCGACCGCGAAGACAAAGACCTGGATAGCCAGGTCTCCAAGGCGTCCGCCTCGTCGGACGATGAGACGGACGAGACCAAGGCGAGCAACGTGAAGAGCGAGGGTGCCGCAGATGGCGCCGCAGTCAAGGTGGAGGACAGTTCCAGTGGTGCCGAGACAACAGAAGCCTCAAAGCCAGCGGGTGCCGAGGCGCCTGCCGCTGATGCATCCGCCAAGTAGGTATTTGTCCGGACAGCGAATGGAACAAAGTATCTGTGACGAGAAAGAACGAGAACGGGCCATGACAAGGCAGCTGTATTGTAGTACTTCCTCAAGCAGCAAACAACTACAACTACCTGCAGGTCTTGTCATCTAGCTCGACCTCGCCCTCTCAAACGTTTTTGGACCGAAGGCCGGACTACCAACGCATGTTCATGGTTCACGGACGAGCCGGAGATCCCCTCGCCGCTTTATCTTGGTACTCGCCGGTTGGAATTCAGCCATCTGGTGTGCTGTCATTTTATAATTGTGGCGAAGATCCAAAAGAGAAGAGGTCACGCGTTTTTTTTTGTTTCTGTTTTATGTGTACCCTTTTTTGTCCCCTTCACTTTTTGTTCATTTTTCTTTTCTTGTGTCTCTGGGGTTTCTATATCTTTGTTATTGCTTTTGATTTTGCTCTGTCATTTATATCATGGCCTTTTTGTCGCCTTTTTGCTTGCCGCATACGTGTTTTATATTGCCTGTGCTTGCTCGACTCGAAATCATTATTTCTTGCCTGCTTTCACTTTATATAAATCGAGCCCATCATTGGTCATACTTCATTGTCTCTCTTTATTCCTCTCCGGACTCCTACCGAATTTCCCTTCCGACGGCCATTCGGGAAGCATACATGGATTGCAAACCGCAGAAGCAGCGTGGCGTTCAAATGGAGCGGCGTGGCAGCATGGTTGGCGTGGACAGCATTAAAACTAAAGAAAACATATAACAGAGTAATAAAGAAGTTTTCCAAAAATGCGAACATGGGTTGTTTTGGACATGAACAAGGTTTACTAAACGACAAAAACCGATGCAAAGACACTCCAAGACATGCCGTGACATGACCTATATATTACACTTGTCAACAAAATAAATAAACGCATATACACCTTAGGTCATCTAAAACGAAGAGCAAGCAAAAGCCACTCAAAGCTGAAAGTCGTAGAAACGTATTAAGGTACAAAAGTCCAGCGGGTGATGAATGGTATTGGTATACAAAATAAGGCGACTTAATGATTACACAGAGATTGGAAGCTATATGGTCCCCTGACGCCATAACAATGATGCGAAAATGCGAGGTTTGGTGTCCATAATATGTACATGGAATTGACACGAAATCGTGTGCAGCCTCACCATCTCGAGGTGGTCCTGGGCTGCTTGGTGGTCTTGGTTTCCTTCTTTGGGGGCAGCCAGTCGGGCTGGATCTCGACATAAGCTGGCCCGCCCTGTGGACTGTACTCGGGGCCCCTGCTCCTATTCGTGCCTCTGCTCTTGCCGCGCGTGACTAGTTTCCGGCGAAGCGGAATTCGTAGTGGCGGCGGCGGCGGCCGGCCATCTCGACCGTGTCGTTCTTCGCTACCCAGAACACCCTGGTCGAAACGGTCCTTGAGCAGCGCATTGTCACGGTCCAGTGCCTCCTCGAGAACTTGGCTCAGAGGCAATGCCGGCTCCCAGCCGTCGTAGTACGAGGCCCAGCGCGCGCTTGCGGCAGCGCCTATGGATGCAAAGGAAGCGCGGTCCCGTCCAGGGTGGTGGCCATCCTGGCCCCCAAACTCACCGCGCAGGACCTTGACAAGGTGCGCCGTCTGCGGGCCCGTATCGCCCGCCAGAACACGGCCGGCCTTCTTGTTCATCCAGTGGTTGGTGCGACGCAAGATGCTGGCATAGACCCAGACGGCGCCCATTGCGTAGGACATGCGGCGGTGGTACGCCATTTCATGGAGTAGATGGTAGGTGACACCGTCTGCGGGCACGGCTCTGGTGCTGGGAGGCGATCGGGTAATTGCGACCGTGGCCGGTGTGGTCGTCTCGACCGGAACTTGTGCTTGGTCTTGGTCGGCTTCGTTGTCGACTCGTGTTCCGACGACACCATCACTGACGGCATCCATTTGCCGGACGATGGCGAGTGCATGGCGCAGCTTGAACTGCCGCTTGGCGTGGGTTAGAACGATGTTGAAACTGGTTGTGTTGAGCGCCTGGGCGGACACCAGGTTGGATGGCTCATTTTGCGGTGACAGCGACTGTTGGTGTTGCTGTTCTTGCAGAAGATGCTGTTGCTGCTGCTTTTTCTGGACTTTGGCCTGCTCAACGCGGTGACGCCAATCCTGCTTCCGTGTCAAGATACCAAGCATCTCTTGGCACTCCGCAAACCGACTGTGGCTTGCAAAGACTTCAAGGATGCGGTTGGCTGCCGGCCGCGTCAACCAGTCCGAGCCGTAGCGCTCGGCCTGGCTCGCCATAAAGCCATCGAAAAAAGCGGCCGGGTTGTAGTCGTCGTTGTAGATTTGGTTCTGTTCCCTCTTTTCCCTCTGCTCTTGCCTATGCTCGGCGATAGCCCGCAAGACATCGTACTCGGCCATTTCTTGGGCGATGCACTGCCGCGCCTCGGGGGAGTCGAGCAAGCCGCCCCGGGCTTGCATTGCGTGCAAGATGTGGCGCTTCACCTCTTCGCTCTCAAACAGTTGTAGGAACAGCACCCACGTCGTCAGGTTGGGCATGTGTCCCCGGTTCTCCATCAGCGCCAGAGTCGAGCTAAAGTTGCGCAGGTCCTGCGTCTTGACCACGGAGGCAAGCAGGATGTTGAACGTATCCGTGTCCATACGCAGACGAAGCCGTTCGGCACGCACAAAGAGTGCCCGGGCCTCGGGGCGGTAAGTCTCGCCGTGCTTGCTGAGAAACGCCAAGGCTAGCTTGAAAGCCGACAGGGACAGCACGTCCCTGACAGCATCGTCATCAAAAAGCGAGTGTAGCAGATCGGCCACGGTGCGGTCGTGGCTGTTGAGGACTGGGTTGCTATCGGCCGTGGCGAAGGTGTCCTGGCCCTGGGCCTGGCCGTCAGCGTGATTGCCACGTTCATCGTCGTTTTCCGTGCTCTGCCTCCTTGACCAGCTGCTGCTCTGGGGATACAGCTGCGGGGCAAGGTGTGCCGGTGGCCGGCCGTTGACAAGCGCCGCTACATATCGCACAAACGATTCGCGCGTCCACACTTCTGGCCGTGGAATCTCGTGGGCGCCGATATCAGTAACGTGAGGGCTCAGCACGTAATCGGCGAGCTGCTTGCTGTCGTCGAGATAGTAGGAAGACGAAACCAGACTCCAGGTCTGAGTGGCCGTAGGGTCTGGGGCGGTTTCAGAGGACTGGTCCTCGGCCTGGCTGCTGACTGGTTGCCGCAGCTGTGTTGGTGATATTGAAGAAGGCGGTGGCTGCTCAGCACGTCTATCATCCAGGCGCACGTTTGGGCTCACTGCCACGGGCACGGCATCCTTCGCAAAGAAGGTCACCTCGCTCGCGGCACGGTAGATTGATGGCATTGTTCCAGAAAGCGTGAGCAGCCAGGAATGGTCGGCATCTTGTCTTTGAGCATTTGTGTCCGTCACATCGTCAGCAGACTGTGTCTGTCCTAGTGTACCCGCATTGCGGCGGTACAACCGAAGGATGCAACCGGAGCGCCCTGATATCTTCCAGAGCGTCCCGTCAACGCCATGCAGCAGCTCCTGGATAGACGGGCTGTCTCCTGGAAATGCAAGAGACACAGCGTTCCGCCGATACTGTCCTGCTTGCGACTTAAAGCCCGGTGCTCCGGACTGGTGCGGCAAGTGCTGCTGTAGAAGTGGTGCCAGGGGAGACGCCGTACGGCTCATTGAGTAGAGCTGTACAAACTGGGATGGCGTCAGCCCGGATGCAAGCCGTGGTGCCACAAGAGTGCCACCCACGCCCGGCACCAACAGCTCGTCCTTTCCTGGTGTGGCCGCCGCTAGCCGTTGGAGAATGACCCGCCAGTCGGGCAGCGGCCGAAGCTGCGCCTGCCGGATCACCTCGAGCCGCTCCTGCCGGAAGACCGACTTCCCGTGCCGCATCCGACTGTGAAATGTCTCGCTGCGATGCTCATAGTCCATTGCAGGTTCGACCAAGACCGACAGATTGGCGGGACGGGGCACTATGGGCTCGCCTGCGAGGCTGTTCAGCAGCGTGGCGCCTGGTGATGGAGTCGGCTGCGGCACACCGTCGGTGTTGGTGCTCTCGAGCACCTCGCCATTTTCACGGCGCCTCTGCTCCTCAATCTCTCGCTGTTTCCGTTCTTCCCGCTCCTTGGCAAGCTCCACCCACGAGACAATGTCAGCCTTGGTTTGCTCTGCCGCACCGGCGAAGACGCCACGGCTCGTGCTGAAGCGACGGCTGTGCGTCGTCTCTGGCCTGCGACGGCCGAAGGAGCGTTGTGTAAGCAATCGTAACCGCAAACACCCTATCGACGCAGGGCCGAGGCCGTCACCACATCGGCCGGCGGCTGACCTGGGCGGTACTGGTCGGCCGCCGCTGAGTAGCGGCCGTAGCCTCTGCATTGTTGCACGCGGCGCAGTCGGCTGCTATAACGGTGCTCGAGCCATAGAGGACGGTGGAGCGTGCGAGATGTCGGGGGTTGGATCGTTCGTGTTGAAGAGAGGACGTCGCGCTGAAAAAAGGGGGTTCGTATGGTAGACGGTAAATAAAGGAATGCTGCATAAAAGGAAGGTCGCTTTGCTGCGGGTGGCTCCTTCTTTTTGGCTTTGACGTCGTTCTTCGGCATTATTAGTGCTGTTTGTATTTTCTTCTTATCGATAAGGCGCGCTACATATCGGGAAGCCGCGATTGGGATGTTGGCGCTGAAAGCAACTACACTTAAACTACAGGGAACCAAGCGCTGTCACCACGTAATTACATCATTTTCCATTGCAGTTTAATACACAATAAAGCTTGCTCAATGCAATTCGAAATGCAAGTAGGAATGCATTTTAAGGATGCTCGTATTTCGATGCCTCATATATCAATGCCATGTGAAACGCCTGTTCAATGCTTTTATCGCTAAATCCAAATGACGAAAGTCGAATGAACGAATGAGTGAAAATCGATGGACGAAAAAGGAGGACCACCAAAAGATACAGAAAGTAAAACGTAGTGTGAAAGAATGAAAGGAAAATGGGGGTAAATGACAAGAGAGAGACCCAGACTCTGTGTCGTCTCCGGGTTAGGCGGTCATCAACCCCCCTTATGTCTTCGGTTAGGTGGGCGACTTGGGCGGAGGAGGCTTGGGGCCGCTGTTGTCCACACCCTGCCACTGGTGCGCATCCCATTCGCCTTGGCCGACTGCGCCGTTCGTTTCTCCGCGACGTGCCATGGCCTTGATGTCGCTCCAGTACTCTAAGCGGCGCACCTCCTCGTCGGCGTGTTTCACGGCAGCATTAAGATAGCCGACGCGGCGTCCAAGTGCCTGCAGTTTGTGTACGGCATCGGCATCGTCGTTTGCGGGTTTCGGGCGAGTCCCTGCTTCTGCGACTTTGCCCTTGTCGGCCCCAGAGGCCTCGATATCTGCGGCGGCCTTCTCTTTTGTCTCTACCGCTTCGTCGCGTGCTTCGATCAGTTGAGTCAGTAGCGTTCGTCGCGATGCCTGGAAGACAAACAAAGCCATGATCTCGTGCATACAGTCCTGTAGGCGGACAAGATCCTCGCGGGCGTCGTGAATGAATTTGTCCACGGCCTCAATCTTTTCCCGGTCGATGCGCGCCGCCCGCAAGAAGCACATAAGGATATCGGCATCGAGGATCTCTTTGGGCATCTCAATGTACCCACCGTCGTGGCCTTCGTGGCCATCGACCTCCCCCTCACCGCCGCTCGCGCCCTCGCCTGGACCACTGCCCACGCTCGCCGCTCCCAGGCTAAGGCGGCTGGCGTGGCGGCTGCTCACTCTGCTAGAGCTGCGGCGTGTTTCTGAGGCCGACAAGACGGTGAAATACTCGGGATTGAGCAGGTGAGGGTCCGTGACGCTGTCAATCTCGCCGAGCCCCATGACTGAAGCAGCGGCAGACGAGGCAGATGTGTTCTTGCGCCGGACCTTGCGCCGGACGCGCTTCCGGATCCACGCACGCCGGCGTACAAAAGAGTTGTACCACGTCGGTCCGTGCCACGTAAAATACTTGGCGAACATGAACGAGTACTCCCAGCCGTTCTCGTCCTGTACGCCCTGTTCGTCACGGTTGATGCGCCACTCAGGCCACGCCCACTCCCACGTCGGGTCCGGCACCTGTGCCGTTCTGATGTCGGTCGGACTGGTGCCGTGAGCGTAGTTGGTCCATGGCGAAGGGTCGAGGTTGCCTAGGGCTTGACGTGAAAACAGGGGAATGCCGCAGAGAAACCCGCCGCGCTCATTTTCATAAAGGATGTCGATAGCGGCCTCAGACTCGAGGCGGACGGATTGTGCAGACTGCGCAGACCGCACGGACTGCATGGACTGGCGGCTGGGTTGCGCAGTGACGGGTGTTGCATCTGCTCTTGTTACCGCCGTCTGCTTGCCTTTTGTATTGGTGCCGCTGGGGACCTCGCCGTCGGGTGTTGCGTCTGTACAGCCGGCATGTTAGACAAAGATATTTGTTAAGTGCAGACAACTGCATCTCCGGCCCTGCGTACCTTCGACTAGGACGGACGGTGCTCTGCCCTCTGGCACCGACACGATTTTGGATATGCTTCCATATCTGGAGGAACTTTGTTCTTGTGGTGGATTCTTCGGGGCGCGGCTAGCATCAATGGTGGCTGTTGGAACGGTCGACAGCGTATTCAGAAGCGGCGTAGAAGATGACGCGGAGGGCACTTGCGATAGTGGCCTTGCAGGATTAGGAGTCAGGGCCGTGTCCGAGGGTTGTCGGCTCGTAGCTTCATCACCCGCACCATCGCCGGTGTCGATAGCCGTGTTTGGTGCCGACGATTCGGCGGACGGGCCGGCAGCCGTCGCCACGTTAGTCTCTGGCGCCGCTCCATCGCCTGCGTCCACGGCATTGGTGTTCGTGCCTGCGTCATCCGCCGCGCTGTCGACGAGGATGATCTCGTGGTCGTAGTCGCTCTCCTTGAGCGGTGGAGCACGACGTGAGCTCCGGGGTTTGATCTTGGGCATGTCGAGGCCAGGTGTCCAAGCGATCAAAGGGCCCGAAGGGCCAGGTGACCAAGGGGTTCAAGGGTCAAAGGATCGAGAGATCGGTGGAGTCAAGACAAGGCTGACATAACGAACTGCACTGTCGATGGGACACGGAAAAAGGAGGGATGAAAGGACAGTATAAAGGCAGAGGGCGTACACAAAAATCGTGCGATCAGGCCCGTTCAGAAGTTGGACGGGAAAACCATGGCGACGGCAGAAAAACGCGTATATTGATTGACTTGGCGACAGTGGAGTGCGAGCTGTGGGTGGCCTGTGGCGTCTATAATGGCGCACGGGCACAAAGATACTTGATAAAATTGTGAACCATGTTTGGGACGCCTGAAAGGAGGCAGATTTTCAGCTGGGCCTCTAGTATTAGAACAGCATTAATACGTCAGGCGGCAGGAGCGAACAAACAGTAGGCTTGCATTCCAATGCACGATTCAACACACCGTTACTTCCCGTTATGACGACGAAGCCCATTTTAGAATAGGAAAGAGTCAAAATAAGGTTGACGATGCAATGGAAAGAGCAACCGAACCTAACGAGGCGTCAACAAACATGCGACCGAGTTGTTTCAATAAAGCTCAGGTAGCTCTCCTGTCGACGCCCTCTTCTAGAAAGGCCAGCCTTAGCTCAGCCATAAGAGACAGGCCGAACTCGATCGATTCGCGAGTGCGATGTGTCAATTGGCCTGCCTGTCTGCGCGCGGTGGGTCGCGCTTTCTCCCTTTGTATTACGGAATTTGCTCCCTCCCTTTGTTAGTGACGTAATAGGCCCTTCCAGGCCTCGAGAAAATTGAACCGGGGAGGCGCGATGGAGATACCTGTCTATCTCGTCCTGTCTACGAGTCTTCCGTCGCATCTTACGGCATATTCATATTTGCTCTCGCGTGTATACCAGGTGACAGAAATGCGCACTTTACGGGCTCGTCTGTTAGTACCCAAGCAGCAGGCGAGTTTGGTATCTATTAGCATACATTTAGTGGCACAGGGAGCATCCTCAGAATCTCAAACAAGAAGGGGCGACGGGATGCAGCAGAGAAGCATCTTCAACCTTACCGCAGTCGCTACCGTACTGACTTCCAGGGCCTGCAAGGGAAGGAACAATGGGAGTGGCTCTGCTAGGGTCGCACCACAGCCGCCTTGGAACAGTACAGTAATTACTGCGTACTTTGCTCACGTCCGCCTGTCCCTTTGCTCCAGTGCGGCGTACTAGTCCTCCTATTACGTCATGACTCGCAACAAAGCAAAGTGTTCCGAAAACGAGGATGCAGAGAGCTAGGAAACAGCTGTGCTGGCTCCCGCCATCTGAGATACTTGTTTCACCATGACAATTGCATGTGCTTAGCGTGTACATTCCATGGGGCAGGAGAGCAATGCTTTACAGTGACAAAATAGGAAAGAACATACAAAACGAGGGGCTGGACCCAGTGGTGGGCAGGATCTGGCGAATAGAGTAGCAAGAAAGAAGGTGCACGTTGCGTCTTGAGACCCGAGAGGAGCAGGCACGCAGAGCAAATGGTCAAGTACCTCGTAGAAAGAGCGAACAACCGACCAAAGTCAGAGCCACCAACATCGCTTTTCCCCTCCTTCCCTCCTTCCCTCTTTCCCTCAATGCAAAGCTATATATAACCTCTGTCCCCCTGAGATCGTGTCACCTGCCCGCCTTTTGAAGCTTCCTCTCTCATTCAAAACAAACCTCTACACGACACCAAACCGTCTTCGTGGCCTGCAACCTCTCATCCCAACCCAGCCCTTCTCACTCTCACCCTGTCTACCTAACTTTAAACTCAATTCCTTCACACTCGTCATCGCAATGTCTCGCTCTCGCACCCCGCTCTACCTCGGCATCGCCGCTGCGGGCGGTATTGGCTACTACCTCTACAGCGCGGGTGGTAACCCCAAGGTTGCTGAGAAGAAGTTTGAGAGTGCGTCCCCCTGGTGAATGCTGGTGTCATTGATTGATCCACATTTTATTTTATTTCTTATTGCTTTTTGTAGCCCACTAATACCTTGTCGGTAGGCGACCTCCAGTCGGTCCGCAACCGTGCCGGCGGCAACACCAACCAATTCCGCACGGACATCGACAAGTACGGAGCCGAGGCCGGCGCCAAGGTCGATTCGGCCATCAACAAGGTGCAGACCGAGTACAACCGGGCGGCGGCCGACGTCGGCAAGAAGGCCGAGGAGACGCGGTCGAACGTGAACAAGTCGATCGATGCGTTCGACAAGAAGGTTGAGGACGCCGCAGCCAAGACGAAGAATGGCGTCTCAGGTTGGTTCGGCGGCAAATGAGCGAGGCGACTCTCGCACACCGAGAATGGAAAAAAGACCTGAGGCCGACGACGACACGGCCTAGTTTTATGTTTTCTCACGGGCTACGTACATTTGTTCCTTGGCTGTTCATATAATATCATTTTCATCTTCATCTCTATTTTGCTTCCCAACGTTGTTTTTTCTTTTACTTTTTCTTTTTGAAATGTCCGCTTTCCATTGGTCCAATACTATACAGGGTATCTATCTATCCAGTCCATGTGCTCCTACTATTATTATTGTTACATACAGCGAAAAGTCATGCGAAACACGCTCTCAGGACAACTCGGCTGCGACCAGCTTCAGAATCTCCTCTACGCCCTTGCTGGCATTCTTTGGGTCCTTGGCGATTGCCTGCCAGTGCTCGCCGTGCCGCGGGTCATTCATCACACATTTGGAGATGACATCGGCGCGCTTCTCCGCCGTGCCATGCTGCAGCAGGAACTTGTAGTACCACGCCCACGAGTCGCCAATGTCGGCGTCCAGGACGAGCGCCTTTTCGAACCAATTCTGTGCGCGCTCCAGCTTGCGCTCGCCCCAGAAAATACGCGCAACGGCCACGAACAGCTGCGCGTCATTGTCCACCTGCTTAATGGCCTCGAGTGACAGCGGCTTGCGCTGCGTCCGCGGCTCCAAGAACCAGATGCGCTCGCTCCACAGCAGGCCGCTCTTGGGCATCTGCTTGAGCGCCGCCGCCATCAGCGCCTTGGCCTGCGCCATGTTGCCGGCGCGCCGCTCGATCCGCACCAGTTCGCACCACAGCTCGGGCGATTTGGGCACTGCCTGCCGTGCGCGGTCCAGCACACTGCGCGCCTTGACCACAGCACCCGCACGTTCCTCGAGGCGCGCAAAGAGCAGCCACAGCGGCACAGAGCCGGGTACGGCCTTGACGCCGGTGCTGTACGCCTCGCGCGCTTGCGGCACCTTGCCAAGGTTCTCGTAGATCTGGCCCTTCATCATCCACAGCTTCGCGGCGCCCGGGAACAGCTGCAGCGCCTCCTGGACAAGCTCCAGAGCAGCGTCGTTGTTGCCCAGCTGCCGCTCAAACGCGACGCTGCGCATCCAGACGCGGTCGGTGGGTGCGTTCTGCCGCGCCGTCGCCAGCAGCTGGCGTGCCTGGTCGGGGAAGCCGTTCTCAGCCTCGAGCTTGACGGCTGCGAGCCAAATGTCTTCGTTGTTGGGGTTTTGCTTGAAGGCACGGCCCAGGACGCGACGGGCCTCATCCAGCTCGCCCGCCAGCAGACGCTCCTTGGCCAGCATCATCCACAGCACCTCGCTGTGTGGGCAGGCCTCGACCGCGCGCTCGAGCACCTGGAAGAGCGCCTCCTTGGTGCCATGGTTGCGCTCCAGGTCAACGGCAGCCTGCCACAGCGTCTTGCTGTTGACAAACACGCGCAACGCATAGGCATAAATGGCACGTGCCGTCTCGTAGCGGCCGCGGTTGATGCTGTCGCGGGCGTCCTCTTTCCACGTATCTTTGCGGTCGTCGTCTTCATCAAGGCCCCAGCCGAGTGTCTCACGGATAATGTTGCCGCATGTAAGCACGGCGCCCTCCTCCTCGCACTTCTCGGCCTCGGCAATCCACTCCTCGCGCTTTGGCATGGCCGACTCCTTGACGAGCGACTGCACGGCGCTCTTCATGACGTTGCCCTTGCCTCCCTCGCCCAGCTGCTCCTGCAGACGCGCAGCAGCAATCCAGATTTCGTGCGACGTCGGCACGGCCTTGCGCGCCTTGTTCAGGACAGCCTTTGCGTTCTTGGGCGTCTCCAGGCGCGCGAGGGCCAGCCACAGGTCAATGGAGGCCGGGATCAGCTCCGTCGCCTTGGCGAGCAGCAGCCGCGCGTCCTCGGGGTCCTCCTCCAGGTTGACGGCTTCTTTCCAGAGCGCCTCCGACTCGGGAATGTGGTCCAGCGCCCGCCGCACGACGCGCTTCTTGGACAGCGGGTCCGTCTCGAGCTTCATGGCCTCCACCCACAGCCGCACGGACCGACGGTTTGCCTTGATGGCGTCGGCGGCAATGACCTTGGCGTTGCGGTTCTCGTTGAGACGAATGTTCTCGAGCCACACGTCCTCGCTCTTGGGGCACTGCTGGCAGCCCCGCGCAATGACGTTGCGCGCCGCCACGACCTTGCCGGCCAGCTCCTCCACGCGCGCCGCGGCGATCCAGCCGGGAGCGCTCAAGGGGTTCGATTCGACAGCCGACTTGAGCAGCTTGCGCGCAAAGTCGACGTCGCTCACGCTGACCTTTTCGGCCGTCTCCAGCTTATTGAGCGACGTAATGTAGCCGCGGGGGTCGACGCTTGTCGAGGTGCCGAGGACGGTGCTCGTGCCGTTGGTCGAGTGGGAGGCCTGGTCGAGGTGGGCCTGCAGCACCTTGTCGCGGGCTGCACCGATCTTGGCAAAGTTGGTCACCGTGCCGTCTTTGTTGGCGCCGCCCGGCTCGCCGTCGTCGGCCACTGTCGTCCCCAGTTCGGTGCCGTCGCGGGCTGCTGCCAGGACCGTGTCGGGTACGGCATAGAAGCGTTGTCGCCGGGCTTCGCGCTCTCGTTTCGTGCGCCCGGTCATGTCTTTGACGTCCGGTAGGCTGAGCCACTCCTCCTCGGAGACGGTGCCCAATGCACGTTTCAGGTCGGCAAATTGGGCCTCGACTGTCGGGTTCTGGCGCTCGTACTCGTCGAGCTCGGCTTGCTCGCGTGTTTCCCTGAATTGGTGCAAGAAAGAAAAAATCATTGTCGGTCAGCTGTTCATCTACACGCAGACGATAAACCATTTGCTTGACTCGTCGTTGTACTCGAATAAAAACACAAAAGAAACAGAAATAAAACCTGCGGAGGGCGGGTGCGAGTACGAACCTTTGCTTCTGGCGCCGTTTCGCCATCTTCTCATCGACTTCCTGCCAGATGCGGTCGGCCTCTTCATCGTCTTTCTCGTAGATACCGCCCGAGAATAGGCCGACCTCGTTGTCCGGGTCCTGGTACTGTGGATCGTCGGCGGTGTCGTCTTTGTCGTCGTCTTTCGAGTCGCGGCCGTTTGCCTTGTTCTGCAGCTGCATGGACCGCTTGGCGATCGCCGCCTTCATCTGCTCGTCGGTCGGGCCCTCGTGCGACGGGCCCAGGTCCGAGCGCGTGACGAAGCCCGTCGCGCCACGACCCACGCCGGCGACATAGTTCTCGGGCGCCTTTTGGCTCAGGAAGTCGGGAAGGGCAGACATTTTGGCGTCGGACGGCCTGCCGGGAGGGACTTGTAAAGAAAATTCTAAGAGCGTATTAAATTAAAAGGAAATAGAAAACAAAAGACGGTGCTGGCGCAACACGTCGACGCTGGCGGACATGCAAGAGAAATGCGATGGAAAGATGCAATGAAGTCGATAAAAAGATGTTGACCGTGGAACGGTCTTGGTTCTTGCTTGCCTAACAGGGTGGCGGACCAACGCGATAAGAGCACAAGATGCATCACGTGGAGATAACGCACCTAGCTGGATAGAGTACTGTGGAAAGGACGACGCACGGGCCAGGGTGTGGACCCCTCGCTCCTCCCTGCTCGAGGGCTGGACGTCCCTGCCTCGTGCATTCTAGGGCACCTTTTTTTGCCTAGCCCGTCCCAAGCTAAACAGCAGGCGCGAAAACACAGCCAACAGCGTCACATCTGCAGGCTGTGTGGCATTTCTGAACCCCCGCCCTCTCTTTGCTCCCCTCTGACGCCCGCACGCAAATCCTCGCGGCCGAGCTTTCCAGACATCGACGGCCGCCTCCGAGGCAACAGACACCAGCCGCACACCGACGCCCGCGAAAATACACAATGCCGACGGCGAACCGGCATTGATTACGACACGAAAGCCACTAGAGACTCCAGAGACGCCAGAGACGCCAGATATCGCGGAGCCGTTGACATCCACTCGTTGACTCGGCTCTTGCGCCCCTCTCAATCTGATCGGCGGTCCTCTGTTTACTGTCGTTGGCTCGTTTTTTTTTATTTTACGCCGCTTTGTTTCGGGCCCCTCGTTGGTCCGTCGAGCGCGTCATCCAACGATCGACCCCCGTGGCCAGCCGCACAACCGACAGACGACCGCTTGTGCGTTGTGGCTGCGAGGCCCAATCCTTACCCGCGCCACTTGGGCCAACCACATCGACCTCGTCACGACATTCAGACTGTCGCTGACGACTGACGAGGCATTGACACGCGTCGGACAACACGTCACAGCCGGTACTTGTTGTCAACCGAGCTTGGCAGGCTGCGCACCACCACGACACCCGAGCCGCACGTGTTCATCTCCGGACCTGTCCCCGTCTCTGTCCCGCGCGACCATTGGCGCCGTCTCCATCGGGTGGGGTAGACAGCAGCGGCGAGCACGACGCCTTTGATATATCTCGACATATCACGACGTATCAACATACGCCTGCACACTGCACACCCGCACAACCGCAACCGCGACCGCAACCGCAACCGCAACCGCATACCGCCTCCATCTCCACCTACGTATCGTGCCGTCTCGCAAGGGAGCGGCCGGCGTGACGAACAAAGATGTCCACATCATCCGGCACACCCGAGACCTGGATCGCGTCGTTCTGCTCACTATTGGGCCACGAGTACTTTGCCGAGGTCTCAGAGGACTTTATCGAGGATGACTTTAACCTAACAGGCCTGCAGTCGCAGGTGCAGCTGTACAAGGAGGCACTAGAGGTATGTACAGGCTGGGAGTGGTGATGGGAAATGGGGGACTTCATTGCCATGTCGGTGTGGTGTGGCCTGTTGAGCGGGACGGGCCGAAGTCGACCATGGCGCTTCTGAAACAGACGTGTACTAATACTTCTCCCCTTTCCACAGATGATCTTGGACGTCGAGCCAGAAGACGACGAGGACGACGAGGAAGAAGACGATGACGACGAGGAAAACGAGACGGGCGAGGAACGCATGCGGCATACCGGCGAGCGCCGCAACCACAGCAGGATGCCAAGCGACCTGTCGATGATTGAAGGCTCAGCCGAGCTGCTCTACGGCCTGATACACCAGCGGTTTATCTGTTCGCGGGCAGGCATCCAGCAAATGTCCGAAAAGTACGAGCTGAGCCACTTTGGCGTGTGCCCGCGCACATATTGCAACCTGGCCAGAACGCTTCCCGTGGGTCTGTCCGACATACCAGGTGAGGACACCGTCAAGCTGTTCTGCCCGTCGTGCCTCGACGTCTACGTGCCACCCAACAGCCGCTTCCAGACGGTCGACGGCGCGTTTTTCGGCCGCACCTTTGGCGCCCTGTTCCTGCTCACCTTCCCCGAGTACGACCTCACAAAGAACGGCGTCGAGGCCCTCACCACCGTCTCGTCGCTGTACGCCGGCCAGAGCGGGGGCTCGCCAACCGTCAACGGCATCTACGCACGCAACACCGCGCCGGGCCTCGGCCACGGCAAGATTTTCGAACCCAAGATCTACGGCTTCCGCGTGTCCGAGCGCGCACGGTCCGGCCCACGCATGCAGTGGCTGCGCAGCAAACCCGACGACATTGCCGAGCTCGACGAGACACGCCGGCACAACGCGGCAGAGCAGCAACACCACGACGGCGCGGACTCGGACGGTGACGTTGTGCAGGAGAGCGACTCCGACGCGGCCAACGGCGACCGCAGCACAGGCGTGGCAGGAAGTGGCCGGCGACCACCACCGGCAGACGGCGGTACAACACAACTGCAGCTGGCACGAAGCGCAGATGGCTCAACAGGCCTGCCGTCCGACGCACAGCTGCGGCAACACCAAAATGGAAGCCCCATGACAGTGGATGCCAACGGCGTGGAGTCTGAGCTGTAGGTCGTGCATCAGGCTGCCATGGCCCAGTACGGACTTGGGACGCACAGGAGCGGAGAAACGGAAAAGTGAGAACGAACGGGGTGGAGGGGAAACCGGAATTCGATGACGTGGAGAGGTGTATCCCGTGCATCTAGATCGAGGAAGGGCATATGGGAGGTTCTGATGGATTCGTCTGTCTTTTTGTTATTATATATATCGCTTTGCATTTGCTTCTCGCGCGGTTTCCCGTACTCTTATTATACTACCATACAACGCTGTGTTTTGTGCGAGCTCTGCATGGGAGCATCTCCGGGCCAGTGACGGAGGCAAACAAGTGTTTGCTTTTGGCGTCATTCTTCTTTGCAGGGGCCAACTGGGCATCGTGATTTGTGCAGTATGATTAGCACTGAGAAAAGAACGAAGAAAAAGAACGAAGCGCGGGAGGAGACAAGAAGATCGAACGAGGAAATGCGATGAAAAAATCCACTCACCAGTATTCAATTGGGCGCGCACGAGGATGATAAGACAATCAGAAAAGGACACGACGGTTATGATCACGACCCGGTTCAATCAGTTGCTTCTCCGACTTCGCCAGATAATATTCCACAGTTCTTTACATATATCATGCGTCCACTCTAACTTTACTCACTTGCACGATACAGACGCACATAAATTACCATGCAGCCTGCATGACTGACTCGTCAGTTCACCCAACGTGTTGCCAGCCATATGCCATTAACCGCGCCAACTGCAACTCCCCATATATTGCGTGTGCTACACAACAGCTGCTTGGCTACGTTGAGTCTGGCACAAGCCGGCCGGCTCTACTGTGCCGTGGCCAAATAGCCAGCAGCCTCGTGTGACTTGTAAATAATTCTGGAGACGAGTCCTTCTGGTGGTCTTGTCCGAGCAAAGCTTGTAGCTTGGCAACAGCACGTTAAAATACGGGCATAAAAAATAAAAATAAAAACACGTCCATGGTTACCCTCCGGCTTCCATCCGTACCACTGCCACCCCTCTGATGGCGCCTTGTGGAATAATAAACAGTCAAACCATCGAGAGGCCAGTGCAGCAGTTCATGTCAGCGCGGTCTTCCCGATAGCCCGTGTCGGTAGACTCAACATCCGTCCCTACTACCATGATTGTTGATAAATTCGGGAGGCTTACACCCGGCATAAAATGTCACCGTCGTTGCAAGCCACAACAGCCATACTAATCGGATGTTGAAACAAATAGCTATGGCACTAGACAAATATAAATACATCCTCATGATGATTGGTTTTCGTCAGCTTCGATTTTTACGTCGGGACACCGCGATGTCCTTGCTCTGTCTTTGATCTGCATATCAAATCGAGTCCTGGATCATATAATACAGCTGCAGCTCTCATTCCTTCACCGCCTTTCCAACGTCCAGGTCTGTTATTTTCTTTTCTTTGAACCTGTACACGGTCAGTGCATTTTATGGCTTTAAACTCTAATAACTGTTCCGGTTTCCATTGATCTATTACTTAATTCCTCCATTTCCTCTATACGGTACTTATACACTGTCACATTCACGTCACACCAACTCCTTATAAAACAAAAAAATTCCCCACGGTGTCAAACAGTCTAATGTGAATCGTATTTCGCATTCGCCGGGTATTTATTGGACAGTAATACGGCGTAATACATGCAACAGCACTCAAAGTGGTTGGTCAAGGAGGCGACGATGCGTTGCGCAGTTGAGGTCGAGGGATGTGGGCATCGGCCAGTACTTCGTAGATTAAATCCTCATTAAATTTTACCGTTGTCAAACGGGAAGGACGCAGTAGAAGAAGAAAAATGAGCAAGAGCCCCATTATTTTTATTTTGTTTTATTTCCTTTGCTCTTTCCGCCTCTGGCAGTCAACCGCACTCCAAAGTCCGTAGCGTCGCGTTGACGCTAGGCGATTGTTGCGTGCCGTGCTCGGTGCCAAGACCACGTTCTTTCCACGCATGGGGAGTCATACAGTCAAAAGAAGCAAGACGAAAAACAAGAAGTACGAAATACGATGCACAGGAAAGGTATCCTTCTCATTGTTTTCCCATTAGCTTGCAGCTCCATGCACTTCAAAGTCGGGGCCTTCTGCGTATGTTTGTGTTTTTCCTGCAGTTCGATTACAGTTCGCCATGTTGACTCCGGAAATGGCCTCCGCAATGTTAGCGTCAAGCGGGCAGGTGCATCCATGAGAACACGGACTGCGCCTTCCTCTGCAAAAGATGGGCCAAGGAAAGAACGACCCTGGCTGCCTGGCATGCGCAAAGCGAGCGTAGTAATTATCCAGCATACAAATGTGAACTATCTAAAACGGAAGGATCAACTGTCCTGGCGGAGCGTGCAAAGCACGAGGTACGGATGTAACTTACGTTGCAAGCATATCCGAACGACGAGACAATTAGCGGCTGCTTTGTCTGGGTCCCTGGAAACTCCATTTCCGCTTTCCCTTGCCCGTTTTACCCTTTTCACCTAGTCCATCCTTGGCCTGGCCATGGGCGGCGATAGGTAATCACCAAAGCTGGGCGTCCGGGTTTTAGGGTGCTTTTTTCAGCCCTGGATACTCAGTGTCCTAGTGCCTGCCATGGGAGAATTTTGCAGAGACTCGCCCATCGCCACTTCCCTGGACAAAAGCCAGCCGACGTTGCTACCTCGCGCCTTCCGTTCTTCACTTTCACAATTGGCGTATTCTACACTCTATATTTGCACTATACACATTACGGCTGCATACTACGTTCTACACCTGCACCTGCCCACTACTACACGACACTGGGTTGATCAAGGCAAAAGCAGCATCTCCATCTTGTAAGAGTCGTTACTTTGCAACCGTCTTGCCTCTCGTCTCATGTCGCCTTTGTCCCATTCAGTTCGCCATGATTCAGTTTGGGACAAGCCGCTAGGCACTATCAGCAATGCACATTCTTCAGAGTGTTGTTAGTGGCCCCCATTGTAAAAAATAATAATAATAATAATAATCATAATAAAAATCATAAAAAAATAAAAGACGAGCAAAAGAAAGCAAAACAGAAACAGCGCTCGTTATCACGCTTGCCGTCCGGCCCCTCCTTCCCTCTCGACCACCCCCTGTCGTGTATTGTGGATGCAATCCCTCGCGTTTGTTCCTTCTCTCCATGTAAGTGCTCTGTCCCGATTCGCCTGTTGTCGGTAATGCTCCATTAAAAAGTAGGTTGTATCTGCCCGTCTTCCCTTTTCCGTCTTGCTTTTATTCTTTTTGTCGTTCTTGACCACATCCCGCAATTCATGACCCAAGGGTGATAACGCAAAAGCGTGTGGGCAAACTCCGCGCGCAGAATCGCAAGCCCCAAAAGATGAAGCGATGAAGCTGCTCTGAGTAGGCAATGGTGGTTCTGGTTCCGTATGTCGTGGAGAGTATGGAGTAATACTCCGCTTCATCTCGTTGTTCTCGGCCGTGTAATTATGAATCATAATGCGTCACGGGGGAAAGAGCCGTGGTCCTCGTCTCTTCAAAGAACGAGAAGGTGCCAGCGACCGCATATTTGCACTTGCCTGCCTTCAGCACTATCTTCACCATTGGGCCTTTTTTGCCATATCATTGTAAATCCGCTGGCCGGTCGACTCACACAGCCGACTTGCATTTTTTTCTTCGGATTGGCATCGGTGCATCCGCCCCGCGTGCTGCCCCCATTTCGTGTCAAATAGTCAAGCCGATGTTCTGCCAGCAGGCTCCGCAAAAGGGCCAATAGCTCGCGCATGGAGGCCTGTTGCCGTCGCGTGGATCGTCTGGGACGAAGAGGGGCGCCAATGGTTGACCACGGAAGTGACGAGCTGGCGGCAACAAGGTGCGACTGAGGTGGTGGAGCCCACCCCCGACGTCTTTCTCGACTTGCTGTTGCGCCGTTTCGCCGTTGACCGCGTTGCCCGCGGCTGGTCCTTTGTTCCTTCCTTTTCTACTGTGCAGATGGCGCCGAGTGGAGTTAGCGGTCGTGTCAAGTGGTCGTACGACATAGTGCATCGCACTTTCCCCCCCACCCCAGGTCAGAAGGGCTGCTTCGTAGCTGACCGCCGTGAATTAAGAAGCGGAGAGAGGAGGATGGCGCTTCACGGGCTGCCTTGATGCACGTTCGTAGCTTCCTTGCCAAGATGGAGATATCGAATAAACAACACTGGCCAGAACGTTTGTAAGCTGCGCCTTCCCTTTTAGCTGCCGTCCATTCACCCGTAGTGGCCCGTTCTTGATTTTTTTTGTTGCATTTGGTCGCGGCCGGCCCTTGCCAACACGAGATGGACTTGACTCGGTCGTAGTTGCCCCCTCCCGCATTGCCGGCCTATGGCCCTGTTGTTTTCGACTCCAGATAATAAATAACAAAACTCCTTTTTCCTTCTCCAAGTCTAAACTTTATTCGGCCCGCGAATCTCCAAGAAGGAGTCATTGTCCTTTTCCTTACCCCCTTCTTCACTACGCGGTGCATGTTTTCAAACTGTCGCCGGGATCGTATTGTCCTTTTAACCTGTCCTCTTGTCGCTACTCTCTTTTCTTTTCCTGACAAGAGGCAGAGAGAGCTTTGTGTGGTTTTGCCCTTTTGCTTCCTGTTTACCTCCTCATCGTTCTCCGTTGATTCTCATTCTTTACTTTTATTCTAAGAAACACCTTCCTAGCAACTTCACCGCCAGCTGCGCCTTTGCACGCAGCATCGCCAAGTTCTGGTCGATCCAAAACTATCACAAAACGTTCCTCCTTGCCGAACTCCATTGTCACTGCTATACGACTCTCGGTTTTCTCTCTTCCCGCGTTTCAATGGCGGAAAAAGACCTGGAGTTGGGGACCACCCCGGCCGCAGCAATGGCACCCGCCGTGGCCAACGAGACGTCAGCACCGCGGGCCGCTGCCCAGTCCGATCCCCGCTACCAGCACGGCAAAGACGAGGTCGAGGTCGCCCCCCGGCCGTCCGTGTCGTCTGTCTCGACGGCCGCCACCGTGGACCTCGACAACCTGCGCGAAGAGGCCCGCCGCAACAACCCCAACGGGACCACACGCCCGGACCCGGGCGTCTCTGTCGAGAATGCCGTCAACGAGTTTGAACATCTACAGCACGAGCTGTCAGGCCTCTCACGCGCAAGCCGCATCCGAAGCCGCACTGAGAGCCGCGCCAGTCACAACCGTATCCCGCTCGACACAGAAAAAGCCGTCGCAGGCAAGTCCGCGGATGATGCCCACGGCGACGACGACAACGGCGATGAGAGCAGCGAGGACCGTTTCGACCTCGAGAGCTACCTGCGTGGCAGCTTGGCGGCAGAGCGCGCGGCGGGCATCCGGCCGAAGCATATTGGTGTGTATTGGGACCAGTTTTCGGTCCGCGGTATGGGCGGCACCTCCAATTACGTGCGCACGTTTCCCGACGCCATTGTGGGCTTCTTCGATGTTATCAGCCCCCTGCTGCGCTGGATGGGCCGCGGGCCCCGGGGCAAGCAGAGAACCATCCTCGAAAACTTCCGCGGTGTCTGCAAGCCTGGCGAGATGGTGCTCGTGCTCGGCAAGCCTGGCTCCGGATGCACGACCTTTCTCAAGACCATTGCAAACCAGCGCTACGGCTACACGGGCTTCGACGGCGAGGTCACCTACGGCCCCTTCTCCGCCAAGGAGTTTGAGGACTACCGCGGCGAGTGCGTCTACAACCAGGAGGACGACGTCCACCACGCCACGCTGACCGTCGAGCAGACGCTCGCCTTCGCGCTCGACACCAAAGTGGCCGGCAAGCTGCCGGAGGGCATGACCAAGGCCAAGTTCAAGGCCCAGGTCGTCGACACCATGCTCAAGATGTTCAACATTGAGCACACCCGGAACACAGTCGTTGGTGGCCCCTTTGTTCGTGGTATCTCGGGTGGTGAGAAGAAGCGTGTCAGCATTGCTGAAATGCTCTGCACCAACGCCTGCGTCGTCTCTTTCGACAACAGCACTCGCGGTCTCGACGCGTCCACCGCACTCGACTTTGTCAAGTGTCTGCGCGCCTACTGCACTCTCTACCAGACCACCACGTTTGTGTCTCTCTACCAAGCGTCGGAGAACATCTTCTCCCAGTTTGACAAGGTCCTTGTCATCGACGGCGGTCGCCAGGCCTACTTCGGCCCTGCCCAGGAGGCCCGTGGCTACTTTGAGAGTCTCGGCTTCGAGTCCCGTCCGCGCCAGACTACGCCCGACTACCTGACCGGCTGCACCGACGAGTACGAACGCATCTACGCACCAGGCTTCTCCGAGGAGAATGCCCCGCATGACCCACCATCGCTCGCCGCGGCCTTTGACCGGTCGACGTTTGCCGCCCGCCTCGGCGACGAGATGGCTGCCTACAAGGCCACCCTGCCTGAGGAGGAGGAGAAGTACCACGACTTCCGCCTTGCCGTGAAGGAGAGCAAGCAGTGGGGTGCCGGTGGCACCGTCTATGCCATCCCCTTCTACCGCCAGATCTGGGCCCTGATCAAGCGCCAGTTTGTCCTGAAGTGGCAGGACAAGGTCGCTCTTGCTCTCGCCTGGTTCCGTAGCATCATCATCGCCATCGTCCTCGCTACCCTCTACCTGCGCCTCCCAGTCACCACCGAAAGCGCCTTTGGCAAGGGCGGTCTCATGTTCATTTCGCTGCTGTTCAACGCTTTTGAAGCCTTCGCCGAGTTGTCCACGATTATGCTGGGACGCGGTGTTCTCAACAAACATCGAGCCTACGCCTTCCATCGACCATCGGCACTCTGGCTTGCCCAGATCATTGTCGACCAGGCCTTTGCCGTCACGCGCATCTTCGTCTTCTGTATCATTGTCTACTTTGCGAGCGACCTCTATCGGAGCCCTGGCGCCTTCTTCACGTTCTTCCTCATGATTCTCTCCGGCAACATTGCCATGACGCTGTTCGTCCGCATTGTGGGCTGCATCAGTCCTGATTTCGACTACGCAAACAAGATGGCTGTCGTCATAGTGACTCTCTTCATCATTACGTCCGGCTACCTGATCCAGTACCAGTCGGAGAAGGTGTGGTTGCGATGGATCTACTACATCAACATATTGGGTCTCGTGTTCAGCGCCATGATGGAAAACGAGTTCAGTCGCATCACCATGGTATGCAGTCCCGAGACACTGATTCCCTCCGGTCCAGGCTACGACGACATCAACCACCAAGTCTGCACGCTTCCCGGTTCCGTCTACGGCACCAATATGGTGTCGGGTACCGCCTACATTGAGCAAGGCTTCTCGTACTCGCCCAACGATCTGTGGCGCAACTGGGGCATCGTCTTCGCCATCATTGTCTTCTTTCTCTTCCTCAACGTCATCTTGGGCGAGATCGTCCGGTTTGGTATGGGCGGCAACGCCGCTCTTGTGTACAGCCGCCCGAGCAAGGAGCGGACGCAGCTCAACAAGCAGCTCCTCGAGAAGCGAGACGAGCGCCGCCGCACCAAGAAAGAAGTGACTAGCTCCGAGCTCAGCATCAACTCCAAGAGCATTCTCACGTGGGAGGCTCTGAACTACGATGTGCCCGTCGCAGGTGGCACGCGCCGCCTCCTCGACAATGTCTACGGTTACGTGAAGCCCGGCTCGCTGACGGCGCTCATGGGTGCCTCGGGCGCCGGCAAGACGACTCTACTCGATGTCCTTGCCGCCCGCAAGAACATTGGCGTCATCTCCCCCTCGCGCAGTGTGCTCGTAGACGGCCAGAAGCCCGGCAAGCAATTCCAGCGCAGTACCTCGTACGCCGAGCAGATGGACGTCCACGACCCGTCCCAGACCGTCCGCGAGGCCTTCCGCTTCTCGGCGGACCTTCGCCAGCCCTACGAGACTCCGCGTGCGGAGAAGTACGCTTACGTCGAGGAAATTATTGGCCTTCTGGAGCTGGAAGAGCTGGCCGACTGTATCATCGGCCTTCCCGAGGCTGGCCTGACCGTCGAGCAGCGTAAGCGCGTCACCATCGGTGTCGAGCTGGCGGCCAAGCCCGAAATGCTTCTGTTCCTAGATGAGCCCACCTCCGGTCTCGACTCCCAGTCCGCCTACAACATTATCCGCTTCCTCCGCAAGCTGGCCGCTGCCGGCCAGGCCATTCTGTGCACGATCCATCAGCCCAACGCCGCCCTCTTTGACCAGTTTGACCGTCTCCTGCTCCTCCGCTCTGGTGGCCGCTGCATCTACTTTGGCGACATTGGCAAGGACGCCGACATTCTCCGCGCCTATTTCAAGCGCAACGGCGCCGTCGCCAAGGACACGGACAACGTTGCCGAGTTCATGCTGGAGGCCATCGGTGCTGGCAGTTCACCCCGTATTGGCAACCGCGACTGGGCCGAACTGTGGGCCGAGAGCCCCGAGTTCGTCCAGGTCAAGTCATCCATTGAGGCGATCAAGGCCGAGCGCATCGAGGCCGTGAGACGCGAGGAGCTGGAGGCCAGCGGTGTTGTTGGCGGCGACGGCGACCTGACGCTTGAGCAGGTGAAGTCGGCTGCGACCGGCACTGGCATCAGGGCGGTGGCGCCGCAGAAGGAGTACGCCTCGCCGTTCATCCACCAGGTGAGGATTGTCGTGCACCGCACCAGCGTCGCGCTCTTCCGCGAGGCCAACTACCAGTTCTCCCGCCTGTTCAACCACGTCGTCATTGCTCTGCTCACCGGCCTCACGTACCTGAACCTGGACGACTCGCGTTCGTCTCTGCAGTACAAGGTCTTCGTTATGTTCCAGGTCACGGTCCTGCCGGCGCTGATCATCTCGCCCGTCGAGGTCATGTACCACATCAAGCGCAGCATCTTCTTCCGCGAGTCGTCGTCCAAGATGTACAGCGGCCCCGTCTTCGCTCTGGGCATGCTGGTGGCCGAGCTGCCGTACGCCATTTTGTGCGCTGTGGCCTTCTTCCTGCCTCTGTACTACATGCCCGGCCTTCAGACGGAGACGTCGCGTGCCGGTCTGCAGTTCTTCTTCGTCCTGATCACGGAGCTCTTCAGCATTACGCTGGGCCAGGCCCTCTCCGCGCTGACCCCGTCGACGTTCATCTCGAGCCAGTTCGACCCGTTTATTATGATTACGTTTGCGCTGTTCTGCGGTGTCACGATCTCGTCGGCCAACATGCCCGCGTTCTGGCGCTCGTGGCTGTACCAGCTGGACCCATTCACGCGCCTGATTGGCGGCATGGTGGTCACGGCGCTGCACGACCTGCCGGTGGTGTGCAAGGAGGCCGAGCTCAACGTGTTCCAGCCGCCGTCCAACATGACATGCGAAGACTACATGGAGCCCTTCTTCAGCCGTGGCGGCTCGGGCTACATTGCCAACCCGACGTCCATGTCCGACTGCGGTTACTGTGCGTACAAGGTGGGCGACCAGTTCTATGAGCCGCTCAACCTGTCGTTTGACAACCGCTGGCGCGATCTGGGCATCTACCTTTCGTTCATTGCCAGCAACGTGATTATCATCTTCCTTGCTGTAAGTAGATCATGGGCCCCTCCACCACGCCTCCTCCCCCCAAAAGCAGCTACTAACCTTGTCTCAGTCCCGCTTCTTGAACTTCAACAGGCGTTAACCGCCCCAACTACTTCTACATCGTCTTTCACCCTTGAGGCCACGACTTCCGATTCGATTTTCTTTTAATATCCTGATGATATTTTCTTTTTCTTTTTCTTTCGTTTACAGCCAGGCTAAATTTGTTTTCTGTTCACAACTCATATAATAGAATGAGAGTAAAGAGTGGAAGCTTCAAAAAGGGGTTAGACAAGGCCTTGATTTTCAAGAAGTACAGCGGCATACCAATAGATTGTGTGATTTACAGGCAGCGAGAGGAGGACATGGGGAGAGGGATAGTCCATATACTAACAAAACGTACTAGAGGAATATAAAAAAAGGAAAATACATTCTGAGAAATAAAAAAACCTTTATACCAAATTGCATCATTTTGCAGCTTGGCAATCAATGTACGTTCAATGCCTTTCATTCGTACAATGGTTTCATTATCTACTCCCGTGCTACCTTTGCAAAATTCTTCTCAAACGTCCCGGGCCCGCACGTAACACGGCAATCCACCCTCCATAGGCAGCGTCAAGCTCGTCTTGGTGACGCGCTCCACACTCGGGTCCACCAGCGCAAAGTCAAAGTAGTAGGCGACGGCGGCCATGGTCTGCACGGCCACGGACTCGGCCATCTTCTTGCCCAGGCACGTGCGCGGACCGCCGTGAAAGACGGGGAACTCGGACGCACTGCGCGCGACGAGGCGCTGCGGGCCGCCAGCATCTGTGCCGGACGGCTGCAGCCACCGCTCGGGGCGAAACTCGTCGGCGTCGGCGCCCCAGGTGCGGTGGGCGCGGTTCATGGCCCAGGAGCACCAGATGACGAGGGCCCCGCGGTGGAGCTCGGTGCCGTCGGGGAGGACGAGACATGCGGTCTCGACCTGCTTGATCTCAAAGGGGATGGGGGGGAAGAGGCGCAGGCCCTCGTAGAAGACGGCCATGGTGTAGGGCATGGCGGCGGGTGTGAGGCGGGCAAAGTCTCGGCTACTGTCGTCGACGCCGTTGTCGACACCGTTGTCGCTGTGGTTGGTGTTGCGGCTGTCGCTGCCGTCGTAGTCTGCAAAGAGCACGCCCCCGGCCTCATGGCGAATCTTGTCGACAACGTCGGGGTGCTTCATGAGCATATAAAACGTCCAGGTCAGGCCCTGGGCGACCGTATCACGTCCTATGTGTTAACGTTAGCAGAGGTGCTCCAAAAAAGAGTGTGAGAGACGGACAACAACGTACCTGCGGACAGATAGTTGAGCGCGGCATCGGCGACAATCTCTTGGTCTGAAATGGCATCGAGCAGCGACTGGATAAGACTGCCCGACACCTCGTTGATTTTGCTGTCGGCGAGACTGCTGCCGGCGTCTGTGGATGTGAGGAGGGGCTGTGACGAGGACGCCGTTTTGCCCCCATGCTGGGCCGCGCGGTCGGCCACGGCCGTGGATACGATGCGCCGGCCAAAGGCCTTCACGACGGCCAGCGCTCTGCGGAGGTCGGCCGCGCCGGCAACGGCCTCGGTGATGAACCACAGCGGATTCTGGAAGCGCTCGGTCGTCGCTCCCGACGCGTAGTCAAAGGCCATGGTGAACTCGTCGTCGGCATGCATCTCCATGTTGTAGGCCATGCGGCCCATGATGCACGAGGTGAGCTCGTGGAAGACGGCCTGCAGGTCAACTGGCTGCTCGTCCGTCTTTGCCTGCAGCCGCAGACGGCGCAGCGTGTCGGCCAGATACTGCGGCAGGGCAATGTCGGTGAGGACGCGGATGTTGGCCGTGTTCAAGAAACTCAGGCCGGCTTTGCGCTGGGTGCGCCAGACGTCGCCGTCGGCATTGACGATGCCGTGGCCAAACAGGTCCCAGAGCATGCCCCGGACGAAGCTGCCCTTGCCGATGAGGCTGCCCTCGTTCTTGAAGATGAACTCGAGGTTGCGCGGATCGTTGATGACTACGCCCGGGGGCAGCGTGGGCACGGCGACCTGGAAGGTCTCGTAGCCAAACTGGCGCTGGCACTTGACGAACCATGCGAACAGCTTCTGGCGCGCCTGCAGGAAGAGGATGCCATTGCCCAGCAGTGGCAGTGTGTTTGGTGGTTTCCTGGGACGTGTTTAGAACTGTGCAACGCACGAGGACGAAGCAGGCCCCGGGAACTGCCGGTGACCTTTCGGGGGCCTGCCAGGGATGCCAGAGACGCCAGAGACGCTAGAGACCTACCGGAGGGGGACACCGTGGCGGCGGATGACGGGGGTGCGAAAGGCCGAGGCCAGGAGCACCGCCAGCAGGATGCCGGCCACGGTGTAGATGAGCTCGCGGCTGCCGATTTGCGCCATGGTGCGAGGGACGTAGTGGGACGCAGACCTGAACTGGCCAGCTGCGGAGCCAGAGACGGCCGGAAGTAAAAAGCAGCGACACACGGTACAAAGTCGTGATACGATGCGTCGGGTGACAAGGCGTGAGACGAGGCGATGGCTGGCGGGCTTTTAGTGGGGCTACCGTTTCAATGCCGTCAGTGCGGACAGCCCGTGAGAATCATGTGCGACGGGCGCAGGCCTCCAGCAATCGATCACTACGGTCTGGCGGTGGGATCGTTCTATGTCGTGTCCTTCGTGGGCCTTGGGTTTGTCTGATGGCTCAATTGACTCGAATGACTCGAATAGGGGCGGTTCAATTGGGTTCGGTAGAGGGAAGGTGAAGCCGCAGAGGCGATGCAACGAGGAGGCAGGAGCGAGGGGCTTTGTGCTGCGTCCCTGGCTGACGTGCATCCGCCGGGAAGGGAAGGCGGCTGTATGTTTCTTTCGACGGGACGCAGGCTCGGCGGGTAACTGCGGCCCAGGATTGCTCTTTCCTCGATTAAACGAGTGCCGATGTTTGTGATGTCGCGTTTGACGGCAAGAGTGAGGTATGCTCTTTCCTTTCGCAGCAGAATCCACCTCGTACTCGTTGCGCGCATCTTGAAACCTCGACTTCAAAACTCACTTCCTGTGGTCACGCGCTTGGCCGCGCCTTCGACGTCGCGTCTTGAGAGACTCCGTCCCTGTCCCCGGATGCATCAATTACGCCGATGGTCGTCGCGGGGCCAGTGGCGCGGCTTTCGCCTTCGGGCACACTGGTCCCCATTCGGTCTGCCGTTTTGTACCGTCCGTTCGCGCCTGCCAAAAACGAGCTATTCGACCGCACTACTGGAGGGGCGAAGAAGGCTGGGCAGCATCTTGAAATGTGGTCTCGTGATGCACTGTCTCCCTTGCGTTGAAGGAAATATACTGAGAAAACCCCTTGATACCATAGGTGCAGGACAACCTCGTCTTCTGTTTTACATGGTTTACAATTGTTTACCCAAATAGGTTGTTTATTGTTTTAATTTTTTTATGGGATATTCCATTGGACTTTTTATTATTTGGGACTCGATTTATTCAGCTTTTCAGATAATTGTGACGTCCAAAATTCACTGATCCTCCCCAAAAAACATTTCTGTTCATGAAAGCTGACCCGACAGATGGCGAGGCTCGCAGGGAGCGCTGCACTGCCATTTTCGCTGGGGCTCTCCATCCTCATCCTACAACATAGCCGGTAAGGAACACACTCTCTACAGATATCAGAAAAGGATGACAATGACTGAGGCCCCAGAATCGAGCAGACCCTGATCGTCATGGTAGTACCCCTTCTTCAGTACTCCGTTCTGACAGCTCAAAGGCTCACTTCACTTGGACAAAAGGCTCCGAGACACCAAGGGTCGTGGCCGATGGTTCCTGTCACCAACGGTTTCATCTCGCTGTCCAAACTGGCCATCGTAGCCAGCTCCGCGAACTGTCCCCGGCGATAACAGATCAACGGTGTGTTGCGTCGAGTCTCTGTAGGCAGACGTGGCAGGCACACTGAAGCAAGGGGGTATGACAGGCGATGCTCATGCACGCCATCAGGAGGTGCGATTTGGTCGTTGCCTGCCGGTCAAGACGGCGATCGTTCCGGTGATGATGCAGTGCTGGTCGGAACGCCGTACTGGTTTTCGAGACCGTGTTCATTTGTCCCTGTCCGGCCGCGTTCGTTCGTCCCTTATTCCATTTCCTCTAGTCTGCTCTTCCTCTTCCAGTCCCATTGACCACGCCAGAGAAGACGAGGCCACTCGCTACGATGGTCGTCGTCGGCTGTGTCTCCATACACCTCCTCTTCACCATGTTCAAGTAAGGGGTGGAAGAGAGCGACAAGAGACGAGAAACAGGATTGACAGAACGGCAGACCGACAACGACAACGACGAAAGAGCGACAAGAACGCCACTGGCGGACTTCTCCGCCTGATTCATTGGTGTTGGTGATGCTCCTTGTCAAACCGAACCCCACAAGACTAGGACGGCCCGCGATGCGGCAAGGGAAAGAGGGGGAAGAGGAAAAATGGAAGCTAGAGAAGCAATAGGAAAAGCTCGACCATCGCGGACACGCAGCGATGTCGATCATGTTGGCTTCATGCACCTTTGTTGCTTTGTTTGCCCGTTTTTGCTGGCTCGCCCGACCTCCTTTTCTGTCTTTGCGCTGAGGACCAGGCAAAAAATCAAAAAGAAGGCGGCACTGAGACATGCATGTTCGCTGGGCCGACTGTGACGCTCCACGCCCGTTTCTTAGCGGAAGACACTGTTGTCAAACGGGGATCTCTGTCTCAATGTCTCAGACATTTTAGTTTCGCTGTGCATCTTGCGCTTTTTGGCAGTACCTGAAGGCACTTTAAATCCTGCAAAGCATTGCCATTCGTTTTGGCTCCTTGCTTGGCTGGTGGCCTGCTTCGATCTGTCCGACCACTCGGCCCTCTTTCTGACCAACCTCTCCCTGTGGTATCCATGCCTGGCACCGGCTGGCAACGGCTGGCAATGCGATGGAAAGAAAAAATTTTTTTCGGCGGACGGGCATAAGCAGAAGGTAACACACAGGAGACACAAACTCGCGAGGCAATCCACACCGTGCACAAGCTTATCAAATAGGAAACGAGGGAGGCGCGCGGGCGGTGACACCTTGGCGATCCAGATCTGAACCAAGCTGAAAAACAAACAACAACGAACCAGTCCGTGACCGAAGACAGAATCAGAGGCGGCAAGGGAGAGCGAATCGCGGGCATAAACACGACAGACACAACGGGTCACAAAAACAAAGCATCGGAGACAAGATGCAAGGGAGCAAAGACAAGAAGACAAAGATTGGGAACCAACATCGAAGCGAGATGTAGGCAGATCCATTCTCTCCTTTTGCTGGTTGTCGGTTTTCCAGGCGACGCCGTCTGCTCGTTGAACCCCCCATCCATGTCTCGGACGGGTTCGTCCAGAAATCGTACCTCAAGCCTCGTCTGGTAAAGCCATGTTTGTGGCCGCGACAGAATAAAAAACCTCGTCCCAACACCCAACAGACACTTCCCGTAATGAAAGGAGGCTGCGCGTGGGAAGCGGCAAGGTCCCAACGACCAAGAATCACGAACCGGTGGGCAGCATCCCATGCGAACGAAAATAACGCACGCTGTGCGATGACAAAAGGGCGAGAAACTCCTTGGTCCTCCTCCCCTCCCGTACTGTCTTCGTTTTCCTACTTCTGTGCTTGGTTGCCAGAACAAGGCAAACTGTGGTACTGGGAGGCTGTGCGTGCGTGGATGCTTTGTTTTTTGGCCTCGCCCTTTGGTTTTTTTTTTTTTTTTTTTTTTTTTTTTTTTTTTTTTCCCCGTGTCGTTCCGCGAATTTCTTTCCATCACATAGTCCCGTCTTCTTCAGGTCTGAACCTTGTCCAACCCTGCAGGACCCTGTTGTATGTATTTCGTACTTTCACCTGCATCTGTACATGAAATTTGACCCCTCGTCTCGCTCCATTTTCTTGCACGAGACAGCGCCCTATCTCGTCACAAAAGAAAATAAAATGGGACAAGAAACAACACTGGCGACGGGTGGCCTTGTTCACCGCGTCCCACTTTTCAAAAGAAAAGAGTAAGAAATGACAAACCGCCGACGTAATTCGTTGTAGGATGTGGATAGGCGAGTTGCGAAAAGCCCGTGCGGAGCAGGGGGACACAGGATAAGACTCTGATCGTTGCACACAGAGCGAATACAACGTCGCGAAAAGTACGCGACCTTGTGGCATAGCCGAGCTTCTGTCCTCCGGTGGCGGTTTCGTGAAAGAAACAAAAAATGAAAATAAAGTACTCGCATGGTGAGAAACAGCGAGAAACCAATTGCTGAATACGAAGTAGTTGAATGACA